TCTGTACAGAGTTCTGAGTGCTAAGAGTGACATTTATTTGAAGGTGAACATGTGAACCATTATTTTGAATCTTAAGAGAGTAAAATACAACATAGTTTGTCTTACTTTTTAGCTAAATATTTAGTATTTTTAAAAGGGCTCTAATGCAACAGAAACAAGTAAGTTTTTTTTTTAACAAAATATTATGTAAATCAAAAACTTTATATAAGCCACAGGAAGAGTTTACAGTCATTTATGTATAAGAATTAAGAGCAGTGGCCCTATGATAGAACCCTGAGGTACGCCATACTTAAAAGGTTACTGTAATGCTTCACTTTCCTCAAAAACAAACAGATGTGTGAAAGTGATGAAATGTGGTTTAATGGCCAGTCCAGTACAAACTCAAGTCTATGCATTGAGACATCAAGACTAAGCTGAGTCAAGCACATTTCCCAACAATATACTGTGTAGCTAGCTGCTCTTACAAACATGTTCAGTTCCTAGATTTAATAATAATGCATCAGATTTCAAATAGCGCTTTATCAGAGACCCTCAAAACGCTTTATATTGGATACATTATTCATTCGCTCACACAGTCACACCCTGGTAGTGGTAAACTACCTTAGTAGTTTAGTAGTAAACACGGCTGCCTGTTGGCACCTACAGCCTCTCTGACCACCACCACACAACACTCACAACCATACACCAGTGGAGGACACACACTGGGAGCAAGGTGTGTTTAAGTGTCTTGCCCAACGACACAATGGACAGACTCAGGATAAGGGGGAATGAACTGCCAGCCTTCCTGTTATTGGACGACCGCTTTACCTCCTGAGCTACTGCCGTCTCATCTTCAGCTCCAGTCGTACCTGAACATTTCTCTTGAAATTAGTCTTTGGTTAATAAAAATGCAACCATAGACTGTGCATAGAATAGAATGGACGCCATCTGCCTCCTCGCAGGGTGAAGCCACCGTGAGAACAGCACCCTCTGGTGACGGGCTGCAGTATAGGTCATCAATCCTGCCTCCGTCAGCAATCTCTATGGAGCTGTGGACAAACTTTAGAAATTAATTACACAGAATATAATATTTTTTCCCCCCTGGTTGTGATGTTGACATGCGGTTATTGTAAGACTGGTTTGTGCTCAAGTCCTCTTTTCTGTACAGCTCCATTTTTAAAAGTTATTAGGACACTTGAAACAGCCTATGGGGCCTTGAGAAGCTCACCTGAGGGGATACGCTGTTTGAGCCGAACGTCATCACAGCGACTCCTCGGCAACTCTCCCGCTGAATGCGTACAACGCTACTGCGAAAGTGGTGGTTCCAGGAAGTGGAGAAATTCCTGGAAATACAGAGAGCAATTCAGCTTCAAATTCATATAACGACACAAAGTGGAACCAAGTTGTCCAATAGTATATACAGTCTATGAATGCAACCTCTTAAAAGCCTACCTTATCTTAATCACTGTCATAATCTCTGAGTCTTTGAGAGGTCAGACATGTCAGCCTGATTTTTCCTAATTGAACTCTGTTGACAGATTATTTTCCCCTATCTGTGATTCAAGCGCTGTAAATGCTTTATCTCTGTTCCCACTTGATGCACTTGTCTTTTTTGTGTGTTTAAATAGATTTCAGCACAGCGGGGGATTATTCAAAATGCTGCACAGTGGCTTACAGACGCCGTAGATTATTTCAGCTTTGATTATTCCATCTCAACTCATTAATGTCCTCAAATTAACGTGATAATGAATATTTGATGGTCGAAGCCGCACAAAGCGCATTTAAATTCTGACTATGTTCTTATGTGTGTATCTTGCCTCTTGCACCAGAGACCGCCCACACTAGCTTACCCATTCCCACAGTGTCATCTCCTCATCCTCAGGCAGGCTAACCAACAGTGGAGGTCAGCGAGGATTTCACTCTCCTCACACACACACACACACTCAGACACAGACACACACTATACCTCTTTTTTTTTATCAGGCTTAATGTTGAACACCCACATCTTTACATCTCCTCCTGATCATATAGAACGCACACCTATCAAATTGAATTTTCTCACAAACCTCCTTATGCTCTCACTTGGTTGACTATTCGCCCACTTTAATTAATCCAATTAATCAGACGAGGTACATCCAGATAATCACAACATGTGTGTCCTACTGGCAGCACCATCAGTATCCTCTCCTGCTCAGTAAAGTGTGAAGGGCGAGACGAGGAGACAATGAAACTTTCAGTCTGGTTTGCCTCGTTTCATTATCCTCAATCATCTCGAATCATGACATTTTCCACTGACACCACAGCCATTTACTTTATAGCTCGTTTGGATCAAGACCAGGCTGACGAAAGTGTGAATTACTGGCTCCGAGTCCAACCTTGACGTCTTGTTTGTTTGTTAAATGTGTGGCATAGCTGTGCCTTGAAGCTAACTTGTTAAAGCCTCATTAGGATCGAGTCTTTTATTCACCGGCTATGTAAAACATTGATAACCAAGGCAGAGCCCACTCATTTCACGGGACATTATAGGGAATCAATGCAAGACATGTACTACATTTGAATACGATGAATAATTCCACTCATAAATTAGGCAAAACTTTGATTTCAAACCCAACTTTTTGTGCAAAAACCCATCACGGAGCTGTGTTTGGATTAAGTCAGGCCCACACCTGGTCTGCAGAGGCTGCTTTAATGACTGTCCAGGAATTAATCGATACTGGTAGTGCTGCAAGCTGATGTTAAATATTTAAAATTCAAAGCTCATCCTGCTGGTGCACTCAGAAAAGGTCTCGGTATGTAGAAGCCTTATGGTCAGGGCTCCCTTCAGCATGTCAGCTGCCATGCCCACCTCTTTTGTCCTCCTCAACAACATGACTTTTCTCAAGGACTTCTACAACTCAAGTCTGATCAACTTATCCCCCGTATATACACACCAGACGTCCCTCTGTCTCTTTTTCGCCCCCTCTGTCTCACTCCTCCGCCCCTTTCGTCAGGCTCCGTTGACCGTACAGATGACAGTATAGACTACGGCACCAGTGTATTGGAACCAAGAGCCAAGGAGAGCGATGAGGGAAGGGAGAGGAGACAAAACGAGATGGATGGAGTAAGGGGAAGAGAGAGAAAGAGAGTAAGTCCGCCCTAGAGCCTGTCAGCCTTTTTATTACCATAATGTCTGTGCTTTTATCACCATGCCTGCCAACAAAAATCTCTTATAGCCAATGGGTTGGCAGCTACAGAGACCTTGCTGAATGACAAGCAAGTAAGACCGCTCACTTGATCTGTTCGGCGTTTGGGCGTTGCAGGGAAGGCACAGAGAAAAACCTCGCAAGGGTCAGACAGAGCTGGAGGGAGGAGGGTCCACCTTGTTGACCTCGCACAGGGGGGATGCTCGGTGTGTTGAGGACAGCCGGTGGCCCGGGTCAGGGTCACACACGTGTTCAAGCAGAGATTTGTAGACAGGCAGAGGATTAGAAGACAGTGTTCGTGCCTGACTCACCTTACACTGCTGGAAAACAGGAACTAAAGGCACACACGGAGAAGAGGATTTGTTTGAGATACAGAACTCGTGTGAGTGAAAATAGGACTAATGAGGACAAGAGTGGCAGAGAAAGAGAGATTAAAAAGAAAAGGGAAGAATTCAAATTTCATCTCAAAGTATTCATGAAACTTTTTTGACGTAAAACTCAGATTTGTCCTCATGGTGTCCTAGATTTAACTTATAGGTTTGTTTATTAAACAAAAACTTGCATGTCATTATTTTAACATTTACAGTAGCTTAGGGGGACCTTATTCTGAATCCCCAAAAAGAGGACAAGACCAAATTTTGACTTTTTCGGGTCGGGTCGAGTGTTTTTTACACACTTCTAACTCAGTTAGTCCACGACACACAAACTCAAAACTTCCATACAAAACACGGACATTTGAAGGATTTAATAAACTCCCTGGACAAGACCGGACAGCCCCCCAAAAAAGAGGACATGTCTGGGTAAAAGAGGACATATGGTCACCCTACAATAGCTACGTATTAACTCATGTGAGAAGAAGAAAAACTTCATTGATCCCCGAAGGGAAATCCAATGGACCGCACACCCCCTCTCTGTAAGTGAGGCCAAAACAGCGCTCTGTGTTGACTGGCTAACTGCAGCATAGAGGCCAGCTCCTCTATTATATCAGATGGAACATGAGTCGAACTAAAACCTTGAAATACACGTCAAATAAACCTACTGATAGTTCCTATCATGCTAATATATGTGCAAGAGTTTATTTGCTTTAATGTGGCCCTGATACTCCACCATAGGAATCCAACAAATTAATATTATTTAGCTTAACTAATAAATATGATCACAGAAAAGAGATACACAAGTTAATATCACAGTTTTTACCATTATTTTCAGACATTTCACTGTACATTCAAAGATGTTTGCTTTCATTATTATCTTATCATCAACGTGGTTTGTAGAGACAATTTCGCATTTGTGTGACAAAATGATCCATCTCAATATGCACCCAAAATATTGTCAATACCTTCATTTTTAATTTCTTTATGGTTCTTAGCTGGCAAAAATGCTGTGTCATCCTTAAACCGCAAATTACTAAAATGTCGATTCAGTCTGGATTAATACTATCAGAGGACCGCGGAGAGTTCTGGAACATGGTGGGTAATTTTCCCTGGAATTTTGACTGAACAAATCATAGTCAATTCCCACAGGATTCAAACGCCTCAGCAATTATTACAAATTATCAGAGGTCCCCTGTTTATACTAATCCTGTGCGAATAGGACTTAAGGCAGCGTTCTTCACCAGATTAGCAGAGTAGAGGAGGGAAGAGAGGAAGAAAAAAACACTCCTACAAACTCTCCACGGTCCTGAGTGTCTGCCACAAACTGACACATACCAAGTCAGGCTGGCACGGTATCACATGTTCACCTTGGTTAGAATATAAAGGTTAGAATCTGTTTTACTGCAAAATGCTGTTGACTGACCGACACGCCATCCGTCTTTCCATTATTTAGTGACACTCTTTCCCCTTCGTCTTAAGGTTCGTTTATGCTGAACGTTACATACATATAAGGACGGAGCTCTCCATCTGTGCTTCGTGGTTTTTTCATCCATATTTCTGCACGTATCCTTGAAGTTTCTGGATATGGGCAAGACGGGGCAGTACCACCAAAAACCGTGGGGGCAGTGTTGCTGCTGTCACTATCCGATACATATCTCTAAAGAGAAACGAAGAAGACAATGGCGGGGCTGAAAATGGCGATCGTCGTTGTCAATTTTGCTCATTGGTACCACTAGAGAAAAGTATTCTCCGTCCTCCAACCGCGAGGCATTTAGTGGCCTGACCGACTACTGCATCCTCCAACGCTGCCTCCGTTTCTGTCTCCTCCTTTCATTTGTTGTTGTCAGAAACTTTTGACTCAGGCCTGCCCCCTGGTGGATGTAATGGTTAACATCCATGCGAACGTAAAGAACGCATGGAAGTATGTGGGTGGTTTCAGAACCATCATTAGAAACTGACGCGTACATTTTCATACATATGGCGAGCATAAATATGCTCCTAAGAAACGAGACGCCACTCGATTCCCACTACTTCATCATGCCTTGCAGTTTGCAGTGAATTTGTCACCCAAGTCTGACATCAGTGTAGCTATCAATAGCTATAGCTTTCTTCTTTTCTTTCTTTTAAGTTATTCCAACCAAGGCAATTTCACAATTTGAGAATATCATGGCAAATCTCAATCTCTGCCCCTCACTCAATGTCTAATTACACTAATAATCCGTCACTAAGAAACATTCATCTTTGTTAGCTAGCTCAAGACGCATGATTTTAAAACGCAAACAATTCAAAACATCGCGAATATTTACGTGGAGTAGCAAAGGATTGAATATCTATAATAAAAAACCTAAGTGTCATTACTATGAAAATTATACCAAAATCTTACCCCTTGCTTTCAAGTGAGGCCCTGGTTTTGTCTTCGTTTCAGGGGCTGTGTACCCCTTGACCTTAGCCCTTCCCCTTAACCTTACGGAGAATTGGGACATCCCATCGCTTGACTTGAAAGCGCAAAACCGAGGGCTAAAGGCTAAGACAAGGGCTAAGGGGCACGCAATTAGGATTGGACCTAAGTCACTAATTCACTTCTTTGGAAAAGAGAGGCTGTATTTAATTGGATTTGCAGTATCTGATATGATGTATAACTTCAATTTTGCAGAGACCTTAACAGACTTATTGATCAACAGTAAATTTGCCCATCAACGCGCATCCAAGTTCAATTCTTTGCATGTCACAAATCTGTTTCGCTATGTCAAGCGAACTTGTGTAAATATGATTGTCATAGAGTGATTTTGAAGAGTCCCCTATAAAGACGGTATGACTAAGCTGTAAGAAGACTGTAATATTTATACTCTGAGTCACTGTGTGTATGAATGGTTTGACTTTTAATGCCTTCTGTGCACTCCGGAGCTCTCTGATTGCATTAATGGAAACACAGCGACCTCATCTTTCACAGTATCCGGCACAGAGTAGTACGCTCTAGCTTTCACAGAGGGGTGACATGACACACCTCTTTCTCTGAGAAGCGTGCAGCAGACAGCAGATACTATTACACATCGTCCTCTCTGCTGTCCATCTTGTCATCACCCCCTCATGAATATTCAATTGCTCACCCGCTCTCTGGCCTTCTCATCAAACGCCTGGTATTAACGTGCCACAGACGGTGTGCTGTGCCCCTTTCCCCCCTCTGCTCTGCGGTGACTTGTGTCCCGGCCAATTCGTTATGACTGGTAGGGGTGACTCAGCCTGGGCAGCGTGCCACTGGAGTGTGGGGTGACATGAATTGAGAGGGGTTATGCTAGGTGACACAGCAGACACAGGAGGAGTTTGAATGAAGCTCTTGGAGCATCTGTATAAAAGAAATAAAACATAAAATGGTCCATTTATGACTGATAAGGATTGGTTTGATTATTGTAGATGTGGAAAAATCTCTTTGGTCAACAAAATCAGCTTATTACCTTGTTCGTAAAGCTTCTGCTAAACAGCTTCTTTTTTTATAGAGACTTCTTTTAAGCCCTGAAGGGTTCCTTGAATACATAATGAGAGCTCCTTAGATGCTTTGTAAGGTAGAAAGTGCTTTGAAAGTGCTGGTAATGACAGTGAGTGATACCTGCAGTGAAACAGCTGTTTAGAGACAACTATACTAGAATGTGAGAAAATTGTATCATAATCATCCCTGTAGGGAAAATGTCTACAACAGAGAAAATGCTCTGACAGTTTTCTCAAGAAGCACCGAATGTGAAACTGACTCATGTCTGTGGCAGGTTATTCGACGCACTGCTGATCCCGGTGTATTATGTTACTCTTTTGTTCATCAGGTTGCTTCAGACACAAAGGCTCACATCAGGTGGCGGCTGAGCGTGGTGCAGTCTCTCAGCGAAAGTCAAAAAAAGGCGAGGAGTTCTTGGACAAACGGCGGTCTTCACAGGAGAGGAAGCTGCTTTAATGCCACAGAACTGTCCAGTGTGTGTCTGAGCTGGAGTAAAGGAACAACTGCACACGTCAATAATAGTCAGAAGAGAGAAAGGAGATAATAATGGACAACAGGTTCATTTCTTTTCAAGTACAAACCAGAAATAAAGATTTTAATCATGAAAAGAATCATATGAATTGTTATAGCTGATCCTACAAGATATACCCTCCAGTCCTATAATAAGAATTAATAAAACACTACACATATTGTTTTATATCGTAGCACTTTTAGTTGTTTTAAAACCATACAAAAGTGTTCATCTAGATAAACTGAAAGCTCATCAAGCTCAACTCAACTTAATCAAATCAAACCCAATACAACTCAACTTAACTTAAATTTACTCAACTCATTTAATTTAACCCAATACAACTCAACTTAACTTAAATTAAACTCAATCAAACTCAATCAAGTTGAGCTCAATCCAACTCAAGTCAATTAAGCTTAGTTTAACTCTACTTAACTCTATCCAACTAAACTCAGTCTAACTTCTCAACCATATTTAACTTAATGCAACTTAACTCAACTTAATTTAATCAAATTAAACTCAATCCAATTTAGCTTAACTCAACTCAATTCAATTCAACTTAATTTAACTAGAATTAATTTAGCTTAACTCAATCAAATTAAACTCAGTCCAAACCAACTCAAGTAAACTCTACTCAATCTAACTTCTCAACCATATTCAACTTAATGCAACTTAACTCAACTTAATTTAACTGCTCAACTCAATCAAATTAAACTCAATCCATTTGAGTTTAACTCAACTCAATTTAACTTAATTCAGCTCAAATTAACTTAACCCAACTTAACTGAACTCAGTCTAATTAAACTCAATCTAACTCCTCAACCACATTCAACTCAACCCAACTCAACTCGACTAAACTCAACTTAGTCAAATAAAACTCTTAAATGAACCTAAGTTAACTTGACTTGTGTCGACTTCACTCAATTGAACTTAAGTCACTCAAACTAAATTTAGCCCAACTCAGTTTAACTCAACCTAACATAACTCAATTCAATTATGCCTTTTTTTTTGGCATACAGTGTATCTAACTCGATGAAATTTACTCCAGAGCAGATGTTCAAGAGGTGATAAGATAAGATGAACTTCATTTATCCTTAAGTTATCTTTTATAGTATCCTTTATCCTTAAATTTGGTGGTGCACGTCACTCAGATATTACAAAAAGTCGCTGTGCGTAGTTTTGAGATGATGATGAGATACTGTAAATTACTTTATAGTCGAAACCAATCATCAGACCATCAGCCGCAGGACCGAGTGTTTCCATTTGCTGGTTTTTAGTGCTTGTAAACACTGTGAGAGGGCAGGTGTCAGATAACACAATTCATAGCATTGAATACAAACTGAGAACAGCATGGATGAAAAAATACAAGGACGTGAATTTAGAATAAATACACCAGCATAAACACAATTAAAGAAGTCCATCCCATATTTACTTACCGGAGCTTCAAGTGAAATTGTTCAAAAGGATCTATTGAAAATCTATTCTAATTGCATTTCAATATAAATTCGTTAGTTTTCATTAATATTAGCTGTATTTCTGCATCCTTCAGTGGTATCTGAACACCACTCCTTTTCTATACCATCACTTCCTCCCTTCCCCTGAATCTGGTGTACTAAGTGTGATACAACACATATATCTCCCACACATAGAGAGAAACACCACCACGCACATAACCAATGTGCTTCAGCTTTTAATCTGGAAGCTGATCAGAGGGTTCATCATTTACTCACAATAAAAAATGATGTATTCAATCATTTGTGTAAACTACACTGACTTTGAATGTATATCAGCTTAATGTTAATGTGCGTTTCACATATAGATATTGGCATAATGAATCGTTTCATTAATCTAAAATGACAGAGCCTCACTGTCTCTCTGCAGGAGTAAACAATATCTCAGAGCTGCATTAGTATTCACTTTTATGTCTGATGGAACTGTTTTAATTGGCCTTGCTTTAATGCCATGTATCTAATTTTACATTTCAGTGTATTAGTATAGCTCGTATATGAACTTTACATCCGTTTTCTAAGATATACAAGAAGAATTGGCTCAAAGAAAACTAATGACATCAGTTCAACAAGGCTAATAAACATAGTATGTTATACTTATATATACTTTTGTGAGAGAATGTTAGAACCTAATTTGTAACTGACCCAAAATGTTATAGAAATAGATTAAAAAAAGCCCGAAATGTAATAATTCGTCAATAATGTTAAAAAGTATTTAACTGTAACTGACCCAAAATGTGACAAGTTGATACATCTTATTACGTTTTGGGCTCTGCATCTTGTTACATTATCGACCAGTTATTTCATTTGGGGTTTTATTACATTATTTTTAATCACATTTCTGGTCGTTGTTACATGTTGGGCTCTAATAGGGCAGCAGCCTAAGTAGGGAAGCCCACACTTCCCTCTCTCTCTCTTTTCGCCACTTTGTCCAGCTCTTCCCAGAGCACCCTGAGGCGTTCCCCCAGGCCAGTTGAGAGACTCTCCAGCATGTCCTGGGTCCCCGGTGGGATGGGCCTTCAATACCTTACCAGCGAGGCATCCTGGTTAGGCTGAAGTAATGAAAAGCCCTGTCTCTCTCTCTCCCCTATCTCTCTGTATTCCTCCCAAACCCAGCAGCGGCCCGGTGGCTGTCTAGCATGTGTCTGGTTCTACCAAAGGTTTCCGCCTGTTAAAAGGACGTTTTTTTTCCTTGCCACTGTCACTCATGTTAGATGAGATGGGCCAAATCCCATCTTAGGTTGGGTCTCTAATTCATCAAACAACGAGCGTGGTCTAGACCTACTCTTTTTCTTTGGAAAGCGTCTTGGGATGACGACTGTTGTGAATTGGCGCTATATAAATAAAATTTGATTGATTGATTGATTTGAAAAGCTGAGATTTTTCTTTGGGGAACCACAATCATCGGCTCCTGTGCTTTCTGAATTACTAGCTTGTCGGCTTTCTGTAACTCCAAACTCAACTTTAGGATGACCATATGTCCTCTTTTACCCGGACATGTCCTCTTTTTGGGGCCTGTCTGGTCTTGTCCGAGGGAGTTTATAAAATCCTTCAAATGTCTGGGGTTTTGTATGGAAGTTTTGAGTTTGTGTCATGTGGACTTACTGAGTTAGAAGCGCATTAAAACACCCCTGGTTCAACCTAATTTCCAAATCATATTATGTTTCGAGGTCAGCTGTATCTTTCATGAGAGAAGAAAACTTTTGCAGACGTCAAACCGATCCCCCTCATAGATGTTTACATTCAGGATCTAAAGCAAACACTTCTCTGTGCTAGCTGAAATGTTGTGTGTCTGAGCATCACAAACAAATTCCTGTTGCTAATATTTTAGCATCCTGAGGTTAGATTAATGCCAGGCTGGGATGTAATTTCCTGTAGTCGTACTCTTGATAAATGATGTGTCTGGTTCTTTATTAACAAACGGTGGAAGCTGGTCAGGAAATTAAAATACTTTTTTTTTCCCCTCCTGAACATCTAACGCCTCAGATTGGCTGCTGGTGCTAAAATAAAACAGAAAGAGAAACCCTTTAAAGATGTTTTACTCTGTATGTCAGTGTGCTGCTTCTCTACGGAGGCCCTGTCTCCTGTAGATCAAATTAAGACCATCTCACATTTTTACGTCATCTAAAAGACAGCGAGGAAAGGCAGCGTGTAAACTCCAAAGACAGAGTGTGAAGGAAACTGTAAATACTTTCACAACAGCATGAAAAGTTTCTCTATAAACTCATTTCAAGGAGAGCTGTTGGCACTCTGCTCAGCTTTGCCCACAGGTGAACATGTACTGCTTGACAGAACGTAAAAAAAAGAAATCTGGCAACTCTATTTTTGTATATTTGTTTCTGAGGTAGCTAACAAGAGTGTATTTTTGATTAAATACAAAATGTTGTCCAATCCCTAAAAGGCAGAATCCACTGAACTCTAGTCACGGTATCATGTCTAAAGTTATACTGCCCCCTAGAGACTAAAACAAAAATCATTTTCCTTTCAATCAAACTTTATTCATCAGCAAAAAGAATCAACAGACATTTACACCCCCTCCCCTCCCCCCCCTCTTGCCCCAACAAGCTACTAAACTCCATCTTAGTGTGGTCTAATTAGAAGATCCTTCAGCTCCAGAAATGGACAGTTGCATTTGTCAACAAAAAGCCGACTACTACTACTACTGAGCAGATTTTTCAGTGTGATGCACAGCTCAGGGTTGAGCTCCGGAAATGACATTTTTGATTTTTCATTTGTGAAGGTTAAACTCACAGTTGCGACATTTTGTAGATCTTATTTGTTTCCACAGCTTTAATGTTGGTCTATTTGACTCACACACCACAAAAACAACCACACTGCTGACGGATATCCTCAAGCATACAGACTATGTTATCATTCACATCTGATTTTACGTATTAATAAATTAATCAACTATTATCAAACCCCTGCAGACCCTCAGCCCAACTAGCCAAAACACAGAATCCCCCCCCTCCTCTCACATTATAAAACCTAGAATCTGAGCATTTCATAGCCCACCGCTTTCCTGAGTTCATGGAGAAACGGACATGAAAGTCGATCTTTCATCACATTTAACAGCTTATAAAACACCACCAGGAGTGGAGCGCATTACAGTAACTCGTGGGTGTTTTTAATATTTAAGTGGCACGACTGACAAAGAGACACTTCTTAGCTTGTCAGAGTCTGTGGCTGTTTTTCAATCACAGTCAGCAGTTAGTGAATAACTCCTGAATGTGAGGACTCTCTCCAGCTGGGGTGGGCTGACAGTTTAGATGTTTTTAAAAGAGGTGTGGAGACTAAGATTAGTATTTGTGGGAGTGTTACAGATATTAAAATAAAAAGATTTGAAGTTCATAGACGCAATAAAAAGTGTGCACTTAACACGAAACTACGGAAGAGGATTAGGGCCACTAAAACAAACAAACAAAAAAAAAAGGTCTGATATAATTTTTTTAAAATTATTATTATAAGAAAAAAAACTCAGAATTCTGAGATTAAAGTAAGAATTCTAACTTTAAAGTTCTCCGACTTTTTTCTCTGAATTTTGACATTTTTTTTCTCAGATTTCTAAAATTTTTTCTCTGAATTCTGATTTTTTTTCCTCTGCATTCTGACTCAGAACTCAGAATAATTTTTAAAAAATTATTGGACCTTTTTGTTTTTTGTTTTTCCAGTGGCCCTAATCCTCTTCCGTACAAAAGCCTTCAGAGCCGACAGAAAGAAAACACCAATTTTGCTCAAGCGTTCATAAAAGTAAATATTCCATCTGACTCTAGTCTCAGGTAGTTTTCCTCCTTATAGTTTGCACATTTTATTCCGCCAACCTCAAATCTTTTCTTTACTTTCACAAAAGTAAGTTTCTCATGAAGATTATTATTCTAATCTTTCTCTAAACGACACTGTAGTATAAACTTCATATTCAGAGCCTAAGACTGTTGCTGTTGTATTGCAGCCACTTCTGATGAAACCTCCTTTGTCAAACGTGTGAATTGACCTGATGCTGGCGGGTGACATGTTACATTACCCATGTTTCCTTGCAGAACTAAACCAGATTAAGACAAAAGCATTTAAGTGCTTATAAATCCCAGGCAAACATTTTTTTTTGGCTCAAGTATCAACAGTTTTTTTTTTTTTTCCTTCTCTCTGTTAAAAAAAAAGACAAAAACAATAACAACCCTCAGACTGTCGGCTGTCTGTCCTGTGAACTCTGATTGGCTAATGAGGTGGTGGTAATGAAAGTCGAGTGGTTCATGTTGAATCACATTCTAATGAGCTCAACAGTTCACAAACACTTGGCACCACCAGCAGCAGCAGCAGCAGCAGCAGTATCTGCTCTGAGAGTTACCTCCACGAGCAGCGCCGGGTAATGCTGTAACCTAGGGGGTGTGAAAGTGGTCCATTTCGCTCACTACAATGTGGTCTAAGGTGAGCCGTGGCGATTTCCTCATGTACGCCTGGCCTTCTGTCTCTTGGCCTGGCGTTTGGCTTCGTCTAGAACGGCGCTGTCCCCGCTGGCCTGAGCCATGCTCCTCACTCCCTGGATGCGATTCACGAGCTGTAACAGGAGGGGGATCACCTGCAATAGACGCAACAGAAACACACACACACATGCAGGTTTGGCTAAGACACAGCATAACTGATTTAGAAAGTTGACGCTCAGACAACACGAGCTCTTTGAACATATTTTGTGCAGCAGGTGAAGGGTGGAGTACCTTCTCGTGGTTGTAAGCCGCTAACAGGAGCAGCAGAGTCAGAGGCAGAGCTATATAGGAGCCCTGGGCAACGTCTTGGTCAGGCACTTTACGCTGTTGGAAAACAGGGATAAACACACGGCCTGAGGTGAGAGCAGTCCAACAGACGGACAGAATCTAAAAGCAGGTTCATCACCAGGCTAACAAAAAAAGCTTACAGTCGGGTTGAAGGTGAGCGTGACGTGCTTGTGGTAGCCGGTGGAGGTGAAGGAGACCTGAGGTAGAGTGAAGTCGTACTGGGAGCGGGACAGTGTGGAGTACAGCATCAGCACGTAGCTCTGAGAGAGAGAGAAAGGAAGCGACTTTAGACACAAGAACAGCTCGTCTGGATCTGTAGATTTAGTCCTCGGTCATCCTTCAAAGCTTCACTCCCCCAAGATCTTTGAGGTCTACAGGACAGCAGCTTCAACATTTACCACTTTTAAACAAAACATATTTTTACTCTTTGGCTTTTAACCTCGGTTCCTGTTAATTTTAAGCTCCATCCAGCCTGCATGTCCACAAAACGGACATGCAGTTAAATGTTCATAAAATAATAATGATGATAATGATAATAATAATGACCATTAAAAAAATAATGAATAAAAAATTCGATCTGAAGGACCTGTGCATCATCATGCATGTCCATCCACTCTTTCCAAAGTGAGGGCAAAGTTGAAATTGTCCAAATGTCCTCCTCTCTTTGTCCCACACTGCAGAACTTCGACATCGTATTTTTGACTGTAAAAACTCCGCTCATGGCATGCACAATTATAAACATGGATGCAGATTCGCACCCGTGCATACACGCAGGAGCACACAAGCATTTCCTTACACACATATCCCACTCTTACACATCCATATCTAGTGGCACGTAAAGTTTCATTCAATTCTGATGATGTTTAGTGAATGAAATAGCACTTCAAACACACCGAGTCCACAAATGAAGACCTTTGTGCGCGCCACAGAAGGATTTCAAATTACACGCTGGTACAATCTGTTGTATGAATGTTGAAAAGTAAAATTCAGAGCCGTGGTGATCGAATGACTGAAAAAAAAGGTTTTAATATGTTGTTATGGTGCCACAAACACGCTCAAAAAAACGTGTTTTTAATGGAATTCTATTGTCCGTTTTGCTGACAAAGTAGGGTGGATGGAGCTAAAATGTGGCGACAGAGTACGACAGGCAACACTTTTTTTTTTAAATATGAAAAAAAATAAAAACTCTCAACAAATTCGATGCCCCAATATTTAAAAATGTGACTGTCAGCTCAAAATAAAGATGAAAAAAATGACAAATGTCCACAAAACGGACACAGAGTTGTTCTCTGACTGTTCTTTTATTCACCTTTTAATATTTGCTCTTGGAGTGTTTTTATTTTCATTTATTTCTTTATTATTAAAGTGTTTTTTATGTGGTTTTATTATAATTATTTTTAAAATTCTATTATTTCCTCTGTGTGTTTGAACTTATTTACCAGTCTGTGCAGCACTTTGCTAAACTTGATTGTTTTTTTAAATGTGCAATATAAATACAGCAAGTTTGATTGGATCCTTGAATTTAATTTAAAAAATTAAAGATAGGCAGCCCTTCAATAACGTAGATAACTAACTGTGTGTAACTGTGGGAAAAAACGGTTGTAAATACCTCGCCATCTCTGTCCAGAGGTGGGAAGTGGAAGAAGAGGGACTGTCCCAAAGACACGCTGTTGAGTGGGTTGTCCAGATTGTCACTCTTGTAAAGTTTTACCTGGTAAAATAAAGGAGAGGCAAAGAAATAAAACAATCTTTTCAGCCCAACAGGGGAGTTTCAGATATTACCATCAATTCAGTAAAAGGTCAAAAAGCAGGAAAGAAAAAGCCAAGCACTCATACTGAAAGCGTTGCGAGGTGTTCGGGGGACGTGTGGACGTTTCCACTGAGGTCAAACTGACTGATTTGCCTGAAGGCGATGATGTTGACCCCGTCAATGTCGCTGCTGCCGACCTGAGGGGGGGAACACAAAGCTCAGTGTACAGATAAAACCCTGAATTCATAATAAAGAAAACACCGAATGTGAACTGTGGATAAGGCTTTGTACGAGTCACAGGGTGTGATAATAACAGAGAATTAAGTGGAATTAAGGCGTTTCCACTCCCGGCAGAGAGATTAGGAGGCCTTCACTCTTCAGACAACTCAAATTATGAACTGAGAGCTGGAAACTTGCAGCGGGATTATCGCTGCTTTTGTTCTGCATATAGAAAAGCGGGTCATGTGATAAGGCTGCTGATAAGTCATAATCACAGAGTTCCCACAGTTATTTTTACAATTCAAGAACAAAAGTTTCTCTATCTTGTCAAGTTTTTTTTTTTTTCAGACAGCAAACTTTAAAAACACTCTGACATTGACAAAGTTCGATGGTCGTTCATACCTCTATAGCTCTGTGTTGTGGTAACGCTCTCTCGATGTGGTCGTTGCCTTCTGCTCGTAGTTGAATGAGATACTTGCAACCGGGCTACAAGGAAACAGCGGTAAAGTCAAAAGGTCAAGAGGATACAGAGTGTGTCTGACATTTGACAGAGACGCTGTTTAAAATGCTCTGCACAGTCGCCTTGATTGCAGAGGTACTGAACTTTGTTTTTCGACCTCCCTCCTGATGGGAATTTTACATGCTTCTCTCCTACTCACCAGGAGACCCCTCAGTCTGAACCGACCCTCCTCATCAGTGACGGTGTCCTCGCTGTAGAGGCTGCACTCGCCCTGTCCCACCGCTTCCACGGCCACATCCCTCTCTGCGTCCCCGCTCAGAGACTGCACCGCTCCATAGCAGCTGAGGAGAGCAGAAGAAGCCGTGTCACGACAACGTCCCGAGTCTGAACGTTTTCTTTTTCTAAAATTTGAGTCACACGTAGGGCTGCACGATAAATCAATTTTAGATTGTAATCAGATTATTTAATTATGACGATCGTCAAATCAATGTCCCTCTCTATCATGTCTCGTGCCTCCAGGCCACCGTAGGCTCCCCAGTTCCCACACACACCAGTGTAAACAAACATGGCGTTTGCAAAAGAAGGGGATAATTTCGTGACTAAATAGGACAAGAGCAAGTCAGTCGTATGGAATTGGTACGGCTTCACAGTTTCGGACGAAGAGCAAACCACTCCCTGGTGCAAAGTCTGTCTGGAGGCGATATCAACCTGCCCACACAGAAACGAATTCAGGAGTAAACGCAAAAGTTTTTTGTAGAATTGGCGTTTCAGGTGACTGTAAACGGTACTTTTTGGAAACGGGTACGAGAGTGCATTAATCCTTAAACGATTTCACCTCCATCTTGATATCTATCTGCATCTCTCCAAACGATCATGTGACATACAGCATAACTCATTTATGGCGCCTGGGTGTATCCAGCTAAAACAACCTTTATACACATGCTCCGTACTCTTCTTCTGTCTTTTGTGCATTTCCTGTGCAGCGTTACAGCGCCACTTAATCGACTGGCATATGCACAACATCATTTTCAGTGGTTTTGTTTTGAGAGATGATAGAAAAACTTTTTCGTGAAGTTTGTCACTGAATAAAAAAATCACAATCGAAAATAGAGTTTTCAGAGAAAAAAAAATCAGGATTGCCTAAAATCGTGCAGCCCTAGTTACACATTTAAAAAAAAAAGAGGAAAAAAAAAACCTTTTTGTATTTTTTAGGGGCAATTTTAGCTTTTATTGACAGGTTGGGAGAGATAGGGGAGGACATGCAGCACATGATCGAAGCCGTACCTGCTTCGTACCCCCTCCACCCCCAAAAAATTAAATAATAATAATAATAATAATAAACTGTTTTGTAACCATCTGTCTGTGTCATGTACACTCCTGTACCTGTAGGCAGTTTTAATGCCAGTTATATCGATGCTGAGGTTTTGACCCTCCTCCACTGTGATCATCTGAGATGCCGGCTCAAAGCGAAACTCCTTCATCATTGGTTTGAAGTAGTATTGACCGGGACTCTGGAGGAGAGAAAAGCGTTACATCTCTTTATATAATGGAAAACAGAAAAATACACACATCTTTACATTACCGGAGCAACAAAGCAGCTTTTACAGACTCAGCTCACATCTTAACACCTCACACAGATAAAAACAGAGGTGGACAGGATCCTCACCAGGTTGTTAAAGGTGAGCACACCGGTGTCCTGGGTCAACAAGTTGGAACGAAACTGTCCGCCGCTCAGAGACAGAAGGACGCCTGAAAGCGGGTGACCATCTTCTGATTTGATCTGGAGCACAGAGAAAGAATAAAGGAGAGGATGATAGAGACGACATGTCATGAGGGAAATAAACTGTCATCTTTAGACTGGTCAGAGTTAAATCAGAGGTAGCTGAAGACGAGTCGAAGTCAATGAGTCACAGCTGCAGGTGAACTCCGAGAGGTGATCGTTTAATCCTGTTCACTCATGTGGATGAAATACGTGTTGGATCTGTCAGATTGTGAATTTGTGGGTGTATTCAGGCTGACAGGTGAGTCTAGAGTCTCCAGTTTTCTATTTCAGTGAGAATGGAAAATAATGACAATTAAAGTTGACAACAAATTCGGTCTTGACGACGAACGAAAGGTTTTAAAAGCAATTCATCAAAGTCTGAAGGGGAAATGAACGCTGATGATCTGATATAAAGACCTCGTGGACTTTTTGAACAAAGGCTGTTCAGAGATGAAACGCTGGAAACACACGGTGGAGAAACGGATTCTTCTTATATCAGCGATTTTTCTTTTTTCTTTACTCTCAATGAAACAGAAACAGGAGCGCGAATAAGAAGCTGTGATTGTAAGACATCACAGGTCGAGTAAAAACGACTTATTACCAGGAGGAAAATACGTGACAGAAGTGAGTATTGTCCGTTTTACCTTGAAGGTGACTCCAGCCAGAGCGAAGGCCTTGAAATCTCCCTGCGTTCCCTCCACAGGACTCAGGACGAAACCCTCTTTACTGGCACTGATTTCATAATGCCGGTCACTGTGGAGTGGACCCACACTGAAGGACAGACAGGAGGAGCAAAAAAGAAGAAGAGGACAAGCTTAGGAAAGCAAGTTTTCAGGATGAATTTTGACTTTTTACCTTGTGTCATGAGGTTTTACTCATGAACAGTCCCGTATCCAAACTAAGTAACAGTCCAAAATCAGTCTAAACCAACTCCAACTTCCGTTACTAACACTCGGACTGAAGTAGGAGAGTTGAAACGACGAAGAAAGAGAAGTCGGCACATTAGTTGGATAATTATGACTGTTAAGCAACAACCAATTAAATCTTGAGTTACTAGACTCCTTCAGGGGCTTTTCCAGAGAGTTTAATGCAATAAAAGACAGCAGAAGATCGACAATATCACCTCCACAAACCAGATTAGAGGGATCAGTAAGGTTCCCATAATGCTTTGGGATAAAGACAGAAATCTCTGACAATAAAAATCTTAAAAGTAAGGTTTGATCGATAAGTTTTATTTCGGGGCTGATACTGATTATTGGTAATCAAGGAAACAGATATTAACAGATATGTAGAGCCGATATTCATTTGCAGTAGTGTTGTTTTCGTCAACCATGACGTTGACGAAAATATTTTCGTCAACGTCTTCGTCAACAAAAACAAAACTCCACGTGTGTGTGTGCGCGCACGCGTGTGTGTCTGTGTGTTGGAGGAGCACAGCAGGCTGATGAGAGCTGTCAGAGCGGACTGAAGCTGCTCCTATATGTTTAGCGTTTAACTGACAGAGTTTTGCAACTCTGTTCGCCATTTTCGTCTCGTCCCATCAACGTAAACGCACTTTCGTCTCGTCACATTTTAGTCATCTCCGATTTATGTTAAGCTCGTCAACGTTACGTCTTCGTTGTAAATATGACGAAAACAATATTCATTTGCAGTAAAAATGTATATTTTGGCCTTTAGTGCTTTTATTTTGAAATTAGAAAAGAACCAGAAGTAGTGCACGCTAGCTCCGTATGCCTCACAGAGACCTAGAAGCTCGGATAAAAAGCTCCAGCCCCCCTCACCTGTACGCGCCCATCTCATTTGTAACCACGGTAATGAGCGGTGAAGCAGCTCCTTTCTCGCTGATGTAGATCTCCACTCCTTGGAGCTCTGGTGACACTTTGCCCTCTAAGAAGAGACCGGCACGTCCGGTGATTTCAACAAGCCGCCCTGGACAGGACTCTGTGGAGAGATCGCCTTGTGGTTTTACTGCATGTAAAGGAAGTTTTATTCCTCTTTGTCACCACAAGCTAAGACCTACAAATCAGCTGGGCTTACACATCTAAAGGAAGACGGACAGCCTCAAAAGACAAAGGTGTATTCATCAGTTCAAAGTGTGTGTGTCGACGCTCACCACCAGTGATAGTAGCTTCCACCTCAGGGGGGTAGAACAGGAGCTCCTTGGAGGAGGGTGTTACTGTGATCTTTTCTCCAGCCCTGTGAAAGTGAAACACAACACAGTGACTCACTGCTCACTCACTTTAATGGACACAAGGTGGCTGTTGTTTTGGAGCGTCTTTGAACGAGTATTTTCAAAGCTTATAGATAAACCATTAAAACGAAAAAAATGAACTTTTTAAAACAAAGTAAATGCTCCAAATGTGTCTCTTTGTGGTCCGACATAACACACTGTTAACAAGAAAAGGTTCATTTAGGGCTGCACGATTCTGGCTAAAAATAGAATTCAGTATTTGATTTTTTTAACATTGTCATAATCAAATAATCTGATTATGATTTAAAATCGATGAATCATGCAGCCCTATTTTGATTACAAAGTCTCTTGAAGTACGTCACTGCGTTGTGACCTGCTGGAATGACTCTGACTTCTCAAACTGCTCAGCTCTGATTTGTGTTTGTTTTGGGCCTAAAGGCATATTCTGGATGTACCTTAGTAATGTTGAAAAACTAGAAAACTAGATCAGGTAGTTAAATCAAATGCCCAACGTAGAGAGGCGACCCGTGTTTAATTCCAGCCTGCGCTCCTTTTCCCGCTCTTTCTCCCAGTTTGCTACTTTACACTCTGCCTCCTGTCCCTCAGTGAAGGCATAAAATCCCAAAAACAAACCATGAAAGAAAACAACCCAACTTAGAAGCAACATATAAATCATTAAAGATACAATTTTAAATAAACTTCATTTCAATCAAAACTACCAGAGTCTGAATCACTGATTTTTTCACAAGGAATTGGATCTCAAGCTGGGCAAAGGCCACCCCGGCCACCCCTCTAGACACAGCCCTGCGCTGAGGTCCTAATTTTATTGAGTGGTTGAATAAGAAAGGTTTTTTTCTGACCTGGCCCAGTAGGAGAACTCGTAGTGGAAAGGACCTGTCAGCTCATCAGCTTTCTCCTGCATAGGAGGGCTGTCGTCCTTCGCTCCTTTATCCTCCTCGGCTGCTCGCCGCTCCCGCTCCTGACGCCGCAGCTTAATCTCTGCCAGCTGTTGCTCGTGCCGCTGCTCTTCTAGGCTCCTCAGGGGGCCGAGCACTAACGCCGGCTCGCTCTCGATGGACGATCTGACCGTTTAGAGGGAGAGAATTAAAATGTAGGCTTAAAACAAAACAAAAAACAGACGGAGGTGCAGCAGCAGCAGCAGCTCTGGATTCATGTTGACATTACTTGATAGTAACGGTGACGTCCAGGATCTTGTCAGTGGTGATGAGCCCAGTCATGTGATGGCGCACTGCAGTGAGGGTCAGGATACTTGGAGCCGAGCTGTTGGATAGAAAGTATAACCAGCGTTTGATGAAGCTGTGCAGAGCGAGGTCACTTTGAGCAGAGAAGGACGCAGAGGTCATCACTTACGTGTCGTAGGTGTAGAACTCCTGCTCGAACTGGTGGCAGGAGCGAGGGGTGACTTTGTAAACACCTGGACGAGGCGATTTACTTGATTAATGACTTTGGTCCATTTTTAAATTTAGATAAGTCTGACACAGACCTTTTGGCTCTAAACACCGTTACTATGCACGAGGGAGCAGCTGGTACTTATTTTCCTTTTGCTTGATATGCTAATTCTCACTATGTTTAGCTAACGAGAGGTCAGAGGAGAAAGAACCGTACCCGGCTTGGAGAGGCAGAAGCGGTTCACTCCCTTGGAGAGGTTGTACATGCCAACGTTTTCAGGTTTGCTGCCATCTTGGAAGAATTCCTGCAGAGAAAATCGCCCACGGTTAGCGTTTGAATAATTCAAGTGCGTGTATCACCATCTGCTAAAACATCAAGAGATCGACTGAATACAGACCAAGGTGATGGCGTGAGAGAGGGAACAGCGCAGTATGTAGCCAATCTGTCTGAACTCCACCCCCAAAACATCTGAGTCCAGAACCTCCACTTCCATGGATTTATGTTTCCAGCACCACTCCTCATGAGAGATACTCACTGGCAGGTGGAGAAAAAGAAGAAAGAGAGACACAGAAGAACAGATGATAAAAGGTTTCCATTTTTTAAGAATCACAGATAGGGGTGTCCCGATACGATATTGATATCAGATATCGGTCCAGTATCAGCAAAAAAATGAATAATGGATAATATCGGCTAGGGCTGGGCGATATGGAAAAAAGTTTATCATGTTTTTTTTTTTCATATCAGTCAATAACGATATATATAATGATATAAAAAATGAAATTTAACAGTGCTTATTGGTAGCATGTCAGGTCTTTATGTCTTGAACATTTTTTCGTAAAGCGTTGCGCTAGAGAAAGCGGACTGAATGGTGGGCTGTTTCGGCTGCACAGGCGCCATGGGCTCCTTGCTCCGCTCAGGGTTTGTAACCTTTTGCACTGTGCGTGCTCTGCCGCGTGGCACTGCTTCAGGTGATGAAAAAGATTTGAGGTATTCCCCGACTTCGCAAGAACATGTACTCGACATAACAGGCAGTACAAATTACTCTGCTCCTCTGACTTCATGTGTTAAAGTGCTATGTTTGCGTGTAGCTGCAGCCTGTTACTACACAGTTGTTTGCTACTTGGTTCTAATTCAGCAAACTGACCATGTTTTTACCAATATCGAGGGAAATTAATTTTCGATATTTATCGTTATCATTTTATCGCCCAGCCCTAATATCAGCCATCATCTAAAGTTTCCGATATCAGCACTCCGATACAAGCAGTCCATTCCAGAGTCTGCTCCGGCACCCCTATCTAGCAGCGCCCTGATCCAGCATGCAGAGCCCACATGATCACAACAACAGTGTGTACTAAGGTACAAACAAGGTAGCAAAGAGTGGGAGTGATGTCGGCCTTGTAGCAGTATTTTTTTGTTTAAGTCTGAAAAAGATGTTGCAGCTGAGTGCAAAACTTGTCCTGCACAATTATCAGCTCAATATCGATATCGGCCAATACTGAAGGGTAAAATATCGGTATCGTTGCATCAGGACACCCCTAATCACAGACACAGTCAGTGCATCAACAACTTAATCGGACTAAGCTCATAATTTTTTTTTTTTTTCGCCGAATCGGACTTTTCTCCTTGTCCGCATATACATGCAGCTGAGAAAATCAAATTATTGAAGGTGAACATGACTCCTCCCCAAAACTAGGGGGCGGTATGGGTCTTTTCAGCAGCGCCGTATACAACATACAACTGTCAACAACAACAGCAGGTCTGTGCCTGACGTCAGAAGTGGTGACAACTGCTGCTGGGCATTTTACGAGCAAGAAGATGGAGCCTCGTTTTTTTGACTAAGGTGTTTACATGCACTTTAGTTGTTCGGTTTTAATCAATAATAATTTGGTTTTCTCGAGTGTCATGTAAACGTACTGAGTGATCATTTGAAGGTTGAAACTTTTCCTCACAAGACCTTTCCATGATCTCATTTTATAAAAACCGAAAAGTAAACTTTCAGCACCGCTCGGTCCTGGCAACACTTCAAGCTGAGTAAACGTGCCTCAGAGCTGCTGTGTGTGCAAACAGCTTGCAGGCGCATAAAACAGATTGTGTGTATTGAACAGCGAGCGAGATGGATGCGGCTCCAGAAGGTGAAGGCAGGCTGGCTGGTGATGTGTGCTTCCTGTAAGCTGCCAGGAAAAACCAATTATGATCAAAAGTTGGTAATTACTAATTGATCATAAAACAATCATTAGAAAGTAATTAGAGTCATTTCTGAACAGAAATGCACAAAGGATAAGGGAGCCGGTTTTGATTCATTTGTTGCCTTTCAGTGTTGGAGTCCAGACCCGCATGCTGACTTTGCATCTGGGCTCTCCCTTCATTTAACAAAACTGCGAATAATGACAAGTTTTTGTTTCCCTAATCAGAAAAAGAATAACTCCCATTCAGCCTTGAGTAGAAAAAAAACATTCAAGACTGAAAAATAAATACCACAGCAACATTTATTAATCCTACTGTTAACTACAACCTCATTTCCAAAACAGATGGGACGCTGAGGAGAAGTGGTTGATGCTTCTGTATTATGCTAACACACACAGTTTCCTTTTAAGCATTGTACAGTTTTAATCAGCATTTAAAGATGCAGCTGCATACTGTCTTTACAGATAGTGACATCAGAGAGTCAGTGCAGTGATTTTCTGAGTCATCTGTTTTTAAAGGGATATTCCGGCATAAAATTAAGTTTTGGTCAAACACACTAAATACAGAGTTAGACAACCCCTCAAGAGATTAAATGTTGCCAACTGCTTGCTTCTCTAATTATACCAACTTTAGTAGCGACCACACGATAGCAATACACAGCGGTCTATGGAGTCACAATCAAACCTCAACCAAAAAGCCACTCTACAGCCACAAATAATGCTCAAAACAGCACCTAACATCATCAACAGGACATATAGGGTCCCAGTCTGGTTTCCTTAGCAAAGAGACCAAACACAACTCACCCACTCTCCTCCAGCAGTCGCTTGTTTGTGGGGGGAGCCCTGACGAGTCGGTCACCGAGTGCAGTGGAAAATTTCCCTGAAGTAATAATCATCATAATAATCATTTTGCACTGCAGATACAGTAGTTCTTCTGCCTTAGCGTCTCGGTCTGATTGCATGTCCATGAAGTTATGATCATAAATGTTCTTCCTTGAGCTGCGAAACTCTGCTGCCCTCTGTGATCAACTCGTCAGGGCTCCCCCACAAACAAGCAGCTGCTGAAGGAGAGTGCGTGAGTTGTGTCACCATGGCGATGTTCCTCCAGGTGTTATTAGCATTATACAACCACATTAGTCTGTTTTCTTTAATGACTAATGTTGACATCGATTTTACAACAACCATACATATTCCTGGTTCATCATCTGGTATGTAGCTTTTAAACCACTTTTCATTAAATGTATAATTTCAATGATTTGCAAACCATCAAATTCCACTTTTACCAACATTCAGGCGTTAGATAATCAGGGTTGTATTTGAAATGTTACTAAAGTGAATCCTGACCTTTGTATCTCCCAGGTAAGACACTATCAAAGGAGAAGCTGAGGGTGTCACCGCCGCCAGGCAGAGCCACCGATCTTCTCTCCCCCTGTCGACTCACAGGCTGCAGGGTCACCGACAGATCATCGCAGGAGGCTGGAAACAAACCCCAGGACACAGAGTCAGTTTCAGTGAGGATTCATGGGTTACATTTACGTTTGGAGTCCTTACCTAAACAGTAGACTTTCCCAGAGACAGAAGCCATGAATTGGGTGAAGAGCAGGTCTGTGAGGGGTCGGTCCACAAGCGATACTTCCAGGGCCTGAGGCTGCAGAGCTAGACCTGCCTTCACCTCCATCTCAGGAAGCAACACCTATATGTAACACGAAAAAAAGGATTGAAGAGTTCATGAAGTTTAAGCCATGAGGATTCAGTTCAAACAGTTTCAGAACTAAAACTTGAGTCTTACATGGACGCTGTAGTCTCCAGGTTTGGCTTGAAAGCAGAAGGCCCCCTGGGGATCAGAGTCGATGGTCTTACTGGAGCTCTTGTCTTGGTCCCGGTGTGTCAGAGTGACCTTGTAGCGGCCCTGCTGCTTCATACTTTCAGGCAGGTGGCTGATGGAGATCTGGCCACACACACTGAACCTGCGTGGGAACGACATGAGAACTCTCTTACTTACATTAGTCATTTAAATAAATAAAAAATGGAGACTTTGAAAAATCTGTGAGAGTCTGAGGAAGAGAGCGGGAACTGTACCCTGCTGTGATGATGTCAGGAAGTTGTGGAGTGTTCGGAGCGATCTTCACCGTGATTGGCTCAAAGAACATGAGCTCCTTATTGACACGGATGGTGTAGGTGCCGGCTGTCATGTTCTCCAGCCGAAAGGAGCCATCCTCCTTACTGATGACTGCGGGTACAGAGAGGCACAGTCAAAGACTCGGAGTTTATAACGTTTATTTTGCTGCGACTTTTCCAAACCACCACAAAACCTCAGAGTCTTTGAGGGGCTTACCTTTGATATGGTTGTTGAGGGACACCGTGGCATCAGGAACACCCTCTCCATCCACACTGTTCAGAACTCGGCCCGTCACTGAGAAGCCCATGACACGGAAGATAGGCTACACCCAAGACAACACAACCAGAGTTACATGTAAAAATGTGGAAACGAGCAGAAAATGAATCCAGATTAGAAAGATAGTTTAAACTTTTTCAACAAATACGAAGATGAATCTTTACCTCCAGTTTCAAACTTGTTATTCCATCTGTTCAGGAAAAAAGAGACAGACGGTAGACGATCTCTCTCCTCGGTAAAACGGCACCTAAAGTGGAGGATTTCATCAAAGCAGTTCAGAGGTAGAAGAAGGATATTTCCAAGTAGGGATGGGCAATAAATTACCTTTCACGATATATCATCTGAAAAATCCTCCATCATAGAATAATGCAGTTTAACAATACCACAAATCAAAACAATACCAATTAATATTTAAATCGAATATTCTGTTATTTCTTACTCATTTAAATGCACTGGTGTTATTTTCTATCCTCATCACTCATTATAAAAAAAAAAAATTTAAAAAATCACTCAAGCTCTGCAGTTTTTTTCTCATTTGCTTAAATTACTATTTCTAGAAAACCCTCAATGTGATATCAGCCATCAGCCGGTTTAAAAACTAACACTAAAGCACTAAAGGAAAAACACCCTCTCTGTCCTGATGTGGATGGATTATTACTTGTTTATAGTGACGACAGGGAGGATAAAAAAGAACAACTAAACACGCATTCAAATCATGAAATGCTAAATACATCACCAAGGTCAAGTTTGTCTGTGAGGAATACTGACATCAAATCTGACGGCTTACCACAGTGTAGTCGCCGCTGGCCAGTGAAGGGAAGAGGAAGGTCCCATCTTCCCTGGAGAGAGCGCTGCAAAGGTAGACCAGAGAGCTGTCCCCGGGATCAGCGCCCTCTACTGGAGTTAAGTTACAGCCGCTGACATCCTGACAGGACACATACATGGAGTTATGGTTTGTGAGAGTAATACTCACAGATGAATACAACTCAGATGAATTAAGTCAAATAAAGAAGTTTGTTCACCTCTTTGTTGACTGTAGCCGAGTACAGCAGGAAGGTGACCCCTTTCATGGGCTCTCCATCACTGCGGACCTCCCCAGACACGTCATAGCCTCCAACTACCAGATGGTCAGTAGCTGGGGCATTGGAATTGGAAACATGTACTGAAGTAGAACTCTGTTGAAAATAGAGGGGGAGGACAGCCAACAAGTGAGTAACAATGAAGAAAAAATCACTCATTACAAACCTGCAAACCTATCAACTCAGAGCGGAGCAAAATGATTTCATGTCATATTACCTATTTTTAAATAATACAGAATTTAAAAACACGATTCAGACAGTTTAAATCTGAGGATAGAAAAAAGGCATTGAGACACAGGTCAACTCAGAAGCCGTTTCAAAAAAATGAAGCTGTGTTTTAAACACTGTTGTTGTCTGTGATTTACTGAACATAAATTTGTTCTCACATCAATTTACATATCAAATCAGCAGTTTGAAAAATGAATATGTGATCGTTCTAGTGGTTTAAATATAGCAAAAAAATAAATGTGAAAAATCTGCCTGAAACATTGATGTCTTAAAAATCCTGTACACCTGAACAAAAAGTAGCTAGAAAAGCTGATGTACATAAATGCAGTTCGCATATATTATACCTGAGAGATACATGTTTCCCCCTATCAAATTTCCACTTTTATTCATGCTACATGTATAAACATACACATATATAAACTAACAAAATTAAACAAAGAACTAATAATTAGGGCTAGGCGATAAACTGAAAATTTACCGATACTGAAATTTACGACAATAACCAACGTCATTTTGCCCATGTTAATATATTGTGTCAAAAAAATAAATAAATAAAGTTGGTTTTGGATGTTTGTAGGTAAGCTATGGTCTCATGTCCCTTTAGGACGCTGTCCTAAACGACGGTTTAGGACGGTTCAAAAGCTGTCATAGCTGAAGTAGATGAAGTTAATGTGGGAGGGGGTGAGCAGCTTGTGGAGTAGTTTTCATCCATTTATCGTTATCAAGGTGAACTGCTCAATATATCATGGTATTGATTTGAGGCCATATCACCCAGCCCTACTAAGAACATATATACATATTAATTATAAAGGTGAGATGAAGGTAAGAACCTTTTCCAGAGTCCAGGAGGGATGAGCTGCTGTGATCTCATAATTTCCAGGGAGCACTTTTAAAAAAGTATACCTGTGAAGGAATGATCAATAAATGGTGAACAGTTAAAAACATATGATGGGATCAATAAACAAGTTTGAAACGGAGAAAACAGCGAAGTGTGAACCACTCACTTTCCTCCAGGCTGTGTGACGACACTCTGGAGTTTCTCCTCCGTCCCTACTGTGCTCAGTCTGACCTCAACTCCAGCCGGACCCAGGAGGTGGCCTTTACTTAAAATCTGAAAGTCAGAGATTAGAGTTATGATGTGAAGTTAGTCTGCCTGTTACTTTTTAATGACTAGATTTAATCAGATTAGATAGCACTTTAATGATCCTTTTGGGAAGATTCCTTTAAGGAAATTAAATTTAATCAACAATTGATCAAAATTAATTAACACTCCTACGACAAAATCTGCTCTGAGATTGAGGTCCTGGACTTATTTGTTGTGCATTTAAACATCTTTTCAAACAAACAGGAGCTCAGCTTTTTTTTCTTCATTAAAATTTAGATTCATTTAAAATTTAAGGGACGTCACGACTCTTTCAATTCTCATTGCTCACTACTCACCGTTCCCGACACTGAGAAGCCAGTGAAGACAAAGTTAATGTCTTCTTCTTTTGTGCAGATGTCACTGACTCCATCCACATGCAGGTCGACACTGGTTGGCTCTGGTCAAATATTAAAATCAGGCAATGAGCAAACATGTAAATAACAACAGAAACAATCCAAATCGGATGCATGTTTGCTAAAATGTGTGGGTGCTGCTGTTGTACTTTCTTACCAAAGCTCCATCCAAGAGGAGGCTCAATCTTTAAAACAAAGTCTCCCTGTTTGAAAGAGAAAAACCTTCAGATGACAACAATCATCGGTGAATAGGAGAGTTAAAAATGCTCAAAAGTATCCGTCTCAAACCTTATCATAGAGAGGAATCATGAAGTAGCCATTGATTGGAGCGCAATCGGTCTGATATTTCAGTGATCCTTGTTTGGTGTACAGTTTGATCTGTGGAGGAATAACAGGGTACATGATAAATTCATATGAAGTAGGATAAAGGTGAAATCACATCTGATTCAGACGCACGAAGAGGTGCTAAACTATAACCTAGGGCTGGGCGATAAACCAAAAATTTACCAATGCCAAAATTTGCAACAATAACTGATGTCATTATGCCCATATCAGTATACTCAGTACCCGAGCCTGGAGTGGAGAGACCTATCCAATACAGCGGCGACGCTGGATTACGCTCCAGCACATAATGAGGTGTCTACGTATATAATGTCTATGAGATGGAGGACGATTCAAAAGTTGTAGCAGCTGAAGTTTACAAAGTGAATGTGGGAGGGGGTGAGCAGCTTGTGGAGTAGTTATCGTCCATTTATCATTATCGAGGCGAACTGATCAAAATATCATGACACTGATTAGAAGCCATATCGCCCAGCCCTACTATAACCTGTATTTACCATGACACAAACTAACCATCTTTCCTGGATTAGGTTGAACTTTGCTAAACAGCCAAATGGCTAATCCCACAGAGTCCCTTCATTATCGGGGATTAGGACTCATGACCAGCACTTACACGTCTAGCCGGCGGACAGACACGTTATACTACACAAATATACTACACAATAATCCTCTGTTAATGAAGTAAAACGAGTTTGTTTCAGACAAAATGACTGTATTGCAACATCAAACTACGAAAATTAGCAAACAGCTACAGCAGCTGAAGACTTCCTTTGTGGCTGTAGTTAATGTGTCTCAGTGAAAATAAACAAAGGTTGACTTAAATACGTCTAGTTATTTTCATTTTTCATTCAAACTGTCACTCAGTCGTTTCCACCCCCCATCCGGCCGTCAGCGGCTCACTGTTAGCCTGTTAGCCGGCTCGTCTGCACTCTCACCTCGATCAAAGAGTAATTGATTTCCACGTCTGATTTCACAAATCCTCCGCATGCCACCACGATATCATCAGAGGACACGGTCAGGAACTGAGAATAGGTGATACAAAACAACACCCAGATGGCTCCCACGTCTGCCCGGATCGTTATTCTCAACATTTCGGCTGACTGTCGGAGCAACTGCACGCTGCCTTCAGTTCCGGACCAGCTGAGCTGCTGTCAACGACCGAGAGCAGCGCCTGAAGCAGCGACCCCTGCTGGCCTGGAGGTGGAAGGATTTTAACCCCAGAACACTATCGCTAAAATTACAAACACTATCACTATCGCTAAGTGATTTTTACCCGAAATAATATACCCAGTAAAAGCAACTGTCATCAAAATATACAATACACGACAAAATAAATTAGTTTTCTTTTATTTTTAGCTGTGCAATGTCCAAAGAGAGGGGAAAAAGTGCCTTGAGGGGACCATATAAAAATGCAACATAATAACTGAAATGAGGCATTCATGAACATTCATGTCCCTAATACACACACACACACACACACACACATTAGTAAAAATGACCAGCTGACTAAAATATTTCACCGAAATTCAAATTCAACTTTATTCTTTTGGCACTTTTTATACAAAAAATACAGTTCTAAGTGCTTCACAGAGGCTAAAAACAACAATTGACGACAATAAAACACGACCCTCCCACCCACACATCCAAGAGAAATATTAAAGGCAATTAATGAAAAGCGTCATGAAAATTTGTGAAAAAAAGTGAAAAGCCACCACATCAATCTCCTTGAAAATCACTACTTTGTGATAGTTATTCATAACCACTGTGCTAAATAAAGATAGTATGCAAATTCCAGGACCACTCTTACTGACCTTATTCCCTACATGCAGTTATCAAATCCACCCAAGCCTACTTTACCCTCTATCACTATTGCTGGGTGAAAATCACCCTGTGAACACGTGTCTGTAGGAGGTTTTGGATCAGGGAAACAAATATGCCTTCAAAGATGTCAAAGGCAATCCCGTGATACTCAGACAAAAGCAACATAATGAAAATCACGTAAACATGTTTGGTCGGCTGTAAATCACCCAGTGATAAGAGTTCTAGGGTTAAACCACTCTTGCGGAAAGCTGGACGCGGAAAAATCGACACAAAATGAAGATTATTTTACATTTAAATATTTATTCTCTATTTTTTACAATTAAAATCAAAGGCCACCACCAAAGACATAAAAAGACAAAATGATAAAAGTCAAACAGCTTTAAAAACGTAAGTTTAGCATACTAAACTCTACAAAGAGGCATTTTAGTAAGAACAACCATTCTTTCAATGTTCCCTTATGATCAATGTCCACAGTTTAACACAGTTAGAGGGGCAGTTTACCCTCTAAAACTTGTCAGTAAAACCTTAATACAGTACCTATGCAGAAACAAGAAGAACTGTGTATTTTTTGACAAAAATGCAAAATCTGTCATTGAAAATGTATACGTTACAGATTTAAAAAATGAAGAAAGTTATTTTAGGTATGACATTGTTATTAAAATAACCAATAAATGTCTGCAGCAAAAACCACATTCAAAGTTAACCGATCTTAAGATGATCTGTGTTATTTCTGGAGTAATTACTAATTGTTTTTAAGCATTTCTTGTTTTGTTGTTATGATTAAGTATCTTCAGTGTACACAGCAGACTGTGTTCTAAAAAGTGTAAAAACATTTGGAAAAAAAAAGAAAAGTGTTTTTGTTACAGTTTTGTAGTTAGAAATGTAGTTTTTTTTTCCACACTATTTTGAAACCTGACAAAAAAACATGATAGTCATAACTCACACATGACACAAAACAAACTCTATTAAAACATAATAAGAGGAAGAGAATGCTGGTGTGATGATATTTAAAGTGCAATTCAGAAAACCCCAGTGGTTATATTAATTCAAGTCCTTCTCAGAAGGAAAGATGAAAGTACATACAGTCAGGGAAAAAACAAAAACATGCGAGTAACAATCATTACAATGGCAGAAAAATACATAAATAGTGTTACCTCCTCATGGTTTGATCATTATCAGAAAAACAACAAAATAATACTTAAAAAAAAAAGAGACATATTTGTGTCAACTGGTCCAGAGCTGTAGTGTTTTCACAATGAAAAAAACAAAAAACAAAGATAATTTAAGACAGTGATCCAGACTCTTCTTAGCTCCAGTCCACATGTCCGGTCTTGTACCTGTGAAGTCAGGCGTATCTCCTCTCACACATGAGTAGAGGAGTCAGGAGGTGGGTGTGCCAGGAACACACTATCATCGTAGTTGTTAGCGAAGCTGGTGTGATAGCTCGGGCTGCGGGGCTGAAATTTAGGTGCCGAGGATCTGAAGGTCGAGACCCTCTGGGCCTGGCACAGCTTTTGGATCAGGAAACGCTTGTCGCGGCCCTCCTGGAAAACAAATATCATATAGACTGTCAAATGATGATCAAGCGTGGTTGGTGTAAAAATATGTACAATTTCTAAAATAAAAGTATGAAGTCAACAAACCCTACCATCGCTAGCTGCTCCCTCAGCTGGTTTATAACTCTCTTGTGGGCTCCAGCCAGCGCTATCACATAAAACATGGCCAAACTGCAGAGAGGAATAAAAAGTGTTTAAATTACAGCTGGAAAAGTAGAAACCTACAGTTCAAACATGAGTTATATGATGTTCTACTGAATTAAGAGAGCCACGACTGAAATTTCACATGATCATTAATATCAATGCACCACTAATGATTTCTACTCGCACTGTGTGAGCACAACAACACACAACATTATTTTCTACTTGTTTTGAGTCATCAACAAGCGCATCAAATCCTGTCGGACCCTCTTCCATTAATGTGAACGTTCAAGTTCATACACAGTCTATATAGCGAGAAGTACGGGTAACGTGAAGGTAACAGCGTAGCTTCTTGAGTCGCAAGAGAATGGCGGTAACGGCGAAAATTTCTAGGTAAAGACTGACCTGAGGAACAGGCAACAAGAAGAGCATGTCACCATCTGCATGCATGCGAACAAATTTGTGAGTAAATTTCTGTGTTGAGACATTAATTATTTTCATTTTCCTCAGATAAATGTCAAAAGCTGAAAATTGAGTTAAAATACAAAGCTGTGTAATCCTGTCTATAAGGAATCCAAGGTCATTTAATTTGAAACTATTTTCACACACATGAATATGGGTCAACATCCCATCCTCATGGCCACAGACACAGCAGCACCGCTGCTGAAAAAAGTTCTGGGGAAACACTGTAAATACATACCATGAGACAACAAAGAAAGAGACAGCAAAGGCCTCCGAGGAGAGAGTAAACAGCAACGTTCGAACTCCATCAGGAAGCTGGGATACTGTTGTTGGTAGAACCTCCCATGAGGTGTTGTAATTAACAAATGGTCCACAGGCTTGAGAGCAGTTGATTCTGTGCAACAAGGGATGTGAAAGTGAGCACATCTACTTCAGAAACACTTCACATCAAAAAGCAAATATTGACTTTTCATATCAATACTCCCGCCTCGAGTTTGTATCAGAGCAAACATGAGATTACTTAATAGACTGGAATAGCATTACATTACTCACTGTGCGACGCTGACAGTGACAGGCAGACAGGCCAGAGCCAGACCTATCAGCAGCACACCCAGGAAGAAGAAGTTAGAGCTGGACGCTCGGAAGGGACGCGTGGCTGGACGGCAGTTTTTCATCAGTGAGACCTACAGGTGAGGAGCGGAGAGGTAACAACAGGAGCTGTAGTCATTCTTCTGATCGAGATTCAAAAACACGTGTAAGAAAAAACGCTCACCTTTTTGATGTAGAAGATGAAGAAATATTTGATGGTGCAGATAGCAGGCAGCATCGGGCTGTAGAACGTGCCGATCCAGCAGATGGTCTGACCGTAGACGATCTCCAGCACATTCTGGGGAATAGCGAACTCCTGCTGGCCCCACCACTTAGCCAGGCCGCAATCACAGTGCTTCACTATCAGCCTGATGATGGGCAATTAAAGACAAAAATGAAAAAGACTTTTTTTATGTGTGTCTACAAACAATGGAAAGGCTCAGACATATGTCAAATCTGTCTGCTGTCATGTACGTCTATTTCAGATCTAAAACAGAACGAAAACAGATCTAACAGAATATTTTCGGATTTTTTAGAGGCGGCAGATATGTGTTTTTTGGGGCTATGCAAACAGATAAGGACCTACTTTCTGGGAAACTCCACAAAGATGGTGACTGCGACGACGATGATGAAGTCAAAAATGGTGAGTTTGTACATTTCTTGTCCCACGCGGGTTTCCCAACACTGTAGAGAACAAATGTAAAGTAAACAAAGATAAATGTAAAATTGAACAGAGAGGCATTTCTGAAAGTAATGAGGATTAAATGAAGGTTTTAGTGAATCAAGATATAAGGAGGGAGTGAGGAGAAACAATCAGAAATCATAGCTCTGAACTGAAACCACTCCCACTAACATTATAAAAACCTGCCCTCAGGCTTTTGTCGATCTTTTTCTCCATCACTCTTATTTTTATCACAGTTTTTTCCATCATATATGATCTTTACCTTTTTTTTAATTAATTTTTTAGACTGTCATGAAATACACTAATAAGATATCCCATGTTTCATACTTTATAGGAGGGAAGTTAGTTTATTTTCTGCAGCTCACTGAGCACTTAAAGTTACGCTGGAATATCCCTTAAATGAAGCTGTCAATTATGGCTTTGTACCCCGTTTTTACCATCCAATGACTCATAAAAAAACAAACTTATTGGAAAATTGACGATCTGGACATGACTTAAAATGCTAACATGTGTAAACTAATAGAAATCCTGTTTAAGAAAGTTTACTTTGATGTGTGTTTTGATTTTTGAAGTTCAACACATGTTCCATCTGTTAACATGGAGGAGGCAGGAAATCAAATCCTTCACTGCAGAGAGAGGAGAGCAAACAAAGACGCTCCAATTCTGGTCACTTACAGAGTAAAGCACATGGTTATAGCCGCAGACACAGGGATCCTCTTCACAATGAGTGATCTGAGACCAGAGAGAAAAGAGCAAAACGCCAATGCTGGTCAACCGCATGAAGACACACCTGCAGAGAGAGAGAGAAAAAAAACAGGTGGACGAAGAGGTTAAGAAGAGCATCACTTTTTCTTTGTGTACTTCATCATTTTTAAGAACAAACACGACATTTACATTGTTTTTAGTGTGTTTCCTTAAATGTAGTTAAAGTTGGTAAGACCATTCAGGTGAAAAGATGAGTCTAGATTACCTCATGAGTGTAAATCGGATCTCAAAGGCAGGAGAGTAGTCCTCATAGTTGATAATGATGGAGAAGAGGAGCGGGGTGACGAAGTTGGCCAAAGTGATCACGATAGAGGGAAGATACTCGTAGATCAGATCCACGATGAAATTCTCCTGCAAAAGAGAAACCAGTGTCATTAAAAAAAAAGGATGTCTCTGAAACTTCCTAAAGTCTGATTCAGTCTAAAACTCTTAGTGACTGAGAAAACATCAAAAGAAATCAACAGGAACTCAATACCTTAACGTTATTCATCTGAGCTTCCTGGGAAAAAGTGGTGGCTATATAAATGCTGTAGAAGCAAGCGGCCAGAACAGCGATGACAAAAAGGTTGAGGATGAGGCGGATGAGGTAAATCCGACACTTCTCTTTGCGGGTGCGATCTGCTATTTTCTGTTTGATCCTCTCCTCCTCCAAATCCGTCTGGCGATAAAGGAAAATGAGTCGGGTAAATATTTTAAGTGATAAAACAGGAACAAAAACAGAAAATGAACCGCCTCAAAGATTAGACCAGGCTTTCTATTTGTCTTTATCTTATCTCACTTCTTCTGTTCCTGCCGTCACCTTCAACAGAAATTCAGCTCACCTTCAGCTCATAAAGTAAACTGCTTCTCTTCAGCTTTGCAGCGTTCTCATTCGTGATGCAAAAGTCCCAGCCGGCAAAAATCTTGTTGCAGAAGCTTTGAAAGCGGTCCTCATCTTGAATTAGGTTACGTTTGAATCCCGTGGCAGACCTAAGAGAGAAATAATCAAAAATAACTAACTTTAAATCACAGTTTCCTCAAAGACTCTACATAGCATGATTCAGCCTGAATGTTACCTTTTGACAATCCAGATCAGACTGAGGAACAAGTAGGCTATGGTAACCAGCAGGTAGGCCAGTGGCAGATTGTAAGTGGTATTTGGAAAGTGGATTTTGTCCACTTTGTAGTGTCCATAAAAGAGATAGGTTTGCTCCAGAAAGCCCTGCAGGTTGAGCACAAAGTGGAAGTGATGAGATCAAAAGCGATCTTGTTTTTCTCCTAGAGACCATGAAACGTGAAGTGTAAGAACTTACTCCACCAGACAGCAGATCTGTGATGTGCTCATGGAAGATAACCAGACCTCGACGTGCGCTGCTTGGATACACACTGCACACACTTCCTGCAGACAGACACGAAAACAATTAAGATCTGGCTTTTAAAAATACCAGACTCTGATCAGATTATTGTAGGACTGCGATGATACCTTCAGTACCTCCATTACAAAAAATGATTGAGGAATTCTCCCTGCCTCGAGTGCTCGTTTATAAACTCAAGTCATCACTGTTCACACGGATTATTTTCACGGTGACACAACGCACTTAAGTCACCAATGTACAAGGAGGAGTAAGCGTGGTTTTGGTTTTGCGGAGCGGTAAAAATGAATGATGAGAGGGGAAAACAAGAGGAAAACACAAAAAGTGACGACAAAAGAGAAGAAGATACATTTTTAAAAAGGCAAAAAGTGTCTAAGGTGTGGGAGGTGAGTGACACAGAGCTGCTCTGGCTGTCTGAAATCATCACTTTTTGTGTTGTGCAAACGGTGCTGCTGTGTCTGTGGCCATGAGGATGTCAGTGATATGCGTGTTTTCAGAGCAAAATAAAGAGAAAAAAACTTGTGTGACGTCTCCGGTCCCTGTCTAAAATCATAACTGTTTGTGTTGTGACAGTAATTTGCGCATTTTTAGTGCAAAATAAAGAGAAAAAAACGTGTGTGAAATATTCGGTAGAATACTCGATAACTAAAATATTCGATAGCTGCAGCCCTCGATTATTGCACTGAAAAAAATCAACAATCAATTCTCCTTTTGGTACCACATGAAAAAAGAGAGATCCTAACAGTTTTTATAGCGACCTCTGGCACAGTTCTGGTCCAAAAAGTCCTTGGATACACAGACAAATATACTGGTGACAAAAAGCAAGATGGTCTTTTTTGGACAAAATTCAAAAGTGTCTGTATAAAGTCCGATCACACAGAAAGCTTATTTACTGATATTTAACAGAAATTATACATTTATGAACATGTACTAAATCATCAGTTTTTAATATCTTATTCTTTGTGGGTTAAATTTAACAAGTGTCTGCTCACCATCATGCATGTTGTAGGTGATATTCCCTGAAGCACTCGGGGCGACGATGATAGGTAACATAACGAAGCTGAACATGAGCAGAAATATGATCAAATTGAGCATCACAAGGAAGCGCAGGAAGGAGAAGTACGATAGGATCCCTGTGCCAAACGTTCCTGAAATATAAAGGGAAAGAGAAGGGTTCAATAGACTTCAAACTACACCAAGTTTGCAGTGTTTGGTCCCAGCTGAAGTACGTTTACTCATGTCAGACCATTCTTGACAGAAATCAATGGATGTCTCTGAGGGTAAAGATGCAGTTTTGATCTCTCACCCTCGATCAGGTGAATATCTCCCCTCCAGAGCTTCAGGGAGCTTATCCATTCTCCAACATCATCTCTCAGCTTCCTCAGATGCCTGCGAGTGCTTTGCCTGAAATGACTCCAGCTGCTGAGCTCTTTAGCCTCCTCCAAACGCTGTGTGCTGATAAAATACAGGCAAATATATGAGTTGTAAAGACATTATCGGCATTGTTTAAATCATTTCTTTCATGCCCTTTTTCAAGGAGATAATAAATACAGAACGGCGATGTCTTTCCTACTTGTCTCTACGTTTCTCGGCCATGGTCTTGGCCAGTTCCCGGATGGGTCTCTCCTCTGTCGGACCCTTCAGTTTTTCCTTATGTCTCTTGAATGTGCTGATGCCCCATTTCCCACTGCCGGAGGAGCCAAGTCTGGCTCTAGCGCTTTCTCTTCGCTTGCTGCCACTGGTTGATGACTTCCTGCGGTACAGCAGAGACTGGTAGCTGGGGAGCTGGTCTAATAGTGGGTTACTAGTGACTCTCCCACTACGATCAGTGAAGAAGACTTAAAAGAAAAAGAGCAGAATTTTATTTTAGCTACATGTTAGCATTATGATACTCAGTAGCTACTCTTTTTACAATCCCAATTTTTCAGTAGGGCTGGGCGATAAACGGAAAATTTACCGATACTGAAATTTACGACGTCATTTTGCCCATGTCGGAGTATTCGGCGTCAAAAGAAATTTTACATAAAAGTTGGTTTTGGATGTGGGAGGTAGGCTATGGTCACATGTCGCTTTAAGACGTTATATTAGAGACATGACTCCACCCCATCCAGTCAAAGAGGGAGAGACAGGTGAGAAGATGGAGGACGGTTAAAAAAGTTGTAGCGGCTGAAGGAAACAAAGTTAATCTGGAAGGAGGTGAGCAGCTTGTGGAGTAGTTATCGTCCATTTATCATCATCGAGGTGAACTGCTCAATATATCAGGATATTGATTTGAGGCTATATCGCCCAGCCCTACAACTGGGACCCATTTCTACATCCTGAGACATAATAATATTTTCCATGTAGGCTCAAATTTATAACTTAAGTGTTAGTGACAGATGGCCTGAGGCAGCAAATTTAACATACAAACATACAAATTTAACAGACAAATACACAATATTACTGAACTTAGAGGGCTATTCAAACCCACAACATTGGACAAAATATTACAAATTCATGATTTTAATTTGTGAAAAACAAAACTGCTGGTTTATCCATCTTAATCTCATTTACATGAAACACTAAACAGTGACTCTTTTAGATCTGATATGCTGTCGGTGGGGGTGGAAAAATGTTTTTGTCCATAAAGGATGAAAGTGATATCAGCTTTGTAAGACCCGATCCGAATTTGATGTGGTTTATTATCTAAATGCTGTTAATCGATCAATCTCAGAATCAGAATCAGAAACACTTTAATAATCCCCAAGGAGACAAATAAAAGATAAAATAGAAGATACAACAGATAAAATAAGTAAAAATATAGAGATAAATAGATAAAATAAGTAAAATGAGTAAAGATTTAGAGATAATATAAGTTTTTACACTATATACAACACAAATCTCTAATAATGATAGCAGTTTTATCAGTCTAAATCAGAGTCCTGCCATTTAAACTGATAGCTTATCAAAATATTGTGTAAATACAGCAAGTACTTTTCTCTTTTTTTGCATCTTTATCTGTCTGAATCTGTATGTATGCAGCACTTGGACCTGTCAATACTTCAGTTTACACATTTAATACTTTGTTTAGGACTCAATATGTTAATTTGATCATTACCAGACAGACTGTGTCCTTTAAAAAAAATGTAATTACTGTAAAGAAAAGGCTGTATTTGAGACTGTCCCTGTGTTTATCTGCTTTTACAGAAGTTTCCTCCTCAGTAACCTTCCTCCCCTGTGCCTTACAGCTGATATTAAAAGTCTGAAATGTTACAAAAACAAGCTCCAAGCCTCAGAAATCATGTCAACATGTCATGAAAGGTTTTCTACTGAGATCAACATGAGCTAACGACCAAACTCTGTCTGTTCCCCTTGTTGTATTTGAGACAACAGCAAACCCAGACTCACAGACTCAGCCTGTAAAAATGTCACCAGAGGAGTTTGGATAGTTTCAGTAAAAACACACACAGACACAAACACCGACATCAAACGGTGGAGTTTAACAGACTATTCTTGTAAAATCATTAACCAGCAGGTCAAAGCTGTTAGCCTCGGCCGTTTGATAAAGTTTAAGGCTAGCGTCATTAGCTGGTAGGCTAATACTAAAGTTAAATGTTGGTTATCCGGACTTTTCAGTATTTAGAGCAGCACACATAAACATTACGCTAACTTTACCTGAGTCGACCTCCATGGTTGTTTCTTGTAGTTGAAATAAAATCGCTTTTTTGTGTATTATTATGATAAGTTAGCAGACTTCGTCAACAGGGAGTTGACTGTCAGGAAGAGGACAACAGTTTTTCCCAGAGACCACTTCCTGAATGAGGAACAGATCCAGGAGCAGCTCAGACCTGAACACCTCTGGTTTTAGGTTTACAGACTTTCTTCATTTAAAAAAAAAAAGGAAATAATGTAAAGGGAGAAATCCGTCTCTTTTTATCAGTTTAAATTAATATAATTTTTTTTGTTGGTTTCATTTTATTATTTTTATCATCGTTAATTCGTTAATTTTTTTTGTAATGTTCATCTTGTTGTGCTTTATTTTAGTTTACTTTACTGTCTGTCAACGCACTTTGTTTTTCAAAGTGTTTTATTTTTTATATTTTTTATTTTATTTATTTATTTTGTTTTTCTTTCTTCTTTTTTATTACAAACATTTAACAAGACATGCAAAGGAGTGAAGTGCAATATGAATAATAACAGAAAAAAAAAAACAAGAAATTAAAAAAAACAACACCAACAAAGACAATAAAAAGAGACAAAAACAAATCAAAAACAAACCAAAAAATTGATAATGGTACATCAGCCAAAAAAGCAAGCAGAGCAAAAACACAAATGAGGCAGGAGTAAGGAGGATCGGTCACAACTGCTTAAGATGTATGGTAAGGTATATTGTCACTTGATTGTGTGGATAAGTACAATGTATGTGATTTGGGGGCAAAACTTTATTTAAAATAAAAAAATAATAATAATAAAGAAAAACTAATAAGCAATTGAACACGAAAGAAAATAAGATAAAATAATAATTAAAAAAATAACAATGATAACAATAATAATAATAATAATGCTTTTGAGACATCACTTAGGTCTTGGAGAGCAGCTGAGAACTTTTCCACAGATCTGTATTCTGTAAGGATGTGTAACCAGTGTGATGTCCTAAGTTTGTGTCTTGTTTTCCAGCTCCTGAGTATGGTCTTTTTGGCAGTGGTTATGGCTATAAGTATTGATCTGGTATTATTGCATGCTGGGCTGATTGCTGTGAGGTTCTCAAGTAAACAGAGTGCTTTATAAATAAAATTGTTGTAATCTTTACTTCACTGTGGCAGAGGATAAGGACCATATCAAAATAAGGTCACTTTACCTTTACTTTTTCTATCTATCTATCTATCTATCTATCTATCTATCTATCTATCTATCTATCTATCTATCTATCTATCTATCTATCTATCCTAAAGTTCATACATCTCATAAGGGATTTGGTTATCATTGTCACAATAAAAAGTGAAGTAAACATGGGATTTGCATGACCTGTTTGGAAGTGGTGTTGGACTTTTACCTTTATTGGTTTGTTCAGCAGACACTTCCTGGTAGCCAGACACTTTTATCCCAGTAGTCATGCCTCTTGAGCTGATTCACAGGTTCGTCCTCAGTCTTGCTCTCGCTGTGTGGACTTAAAGAACAGGAGGAGACTTCTGTGTGGAGCGTACAGCGTTTTGTCAGGATTTCTAAATTTTCTCACAACACATTTATAAGGTAAGAGTGTTTTATTTAGCAGGAAAAAAATGGTAGAATTATAAGATTTATTATCCCCATTGATGGAAGAATGACCTCTTTTTGCTGTTTTGTAGTTTTCTGTCAAACTTGCTACACCTGTGACTGTGAGGCCACCACCACTATTAGAAACCAAACCTCATGTATGAATTAATGATGAAGAGATGAGGATACAACCAAAGGATCAGATAACAAATGTTCCCCCCCAACAATGTAGCTGTCACTTTAAGACTGCCACTTGTTATGTCGGCATGTATTTAATTTTTCCTATGAAGTCAGTGCCATTGTAATGTTGAAGACTTTCATGTATTTTTAAGCGAATTACCTGAGGAGGACCACACCAGCATTAGCATACTGAAGAGTGACTGCGAAGGAGTAAACTCCAGGACCATCGCTGTTTCCAAGGAAGAGCTGAAGCTTTAGTTTGAGGGATCTGATGATGAGTTACAGCAGCGGGGGACTCTTCAATCCTGCCTACCATGACAGTGACACTCTGGAAATGGACAGAAGGTTTGTGTTCATATGATAATATCAAGACAGGAGTAAATTACAAGAGAAAAACAGGTTTATAAAGGCAGCAATAGAAGCACCTTATTCGTGTTTACCTTATTGTTTGTTACATGTGGTTTCAGGTCTACCAACAAACCTCAACACACTAACCCTTACCCCAGGCAAGACCCTGGCTGGAGGAATGAAAGGGAACACACACATTACTCATCAGCTCCACAGCCCAGCAGTGATGGCATTAGAGGTCAAGCTCCCTCGGGGGGCTGGCAGGAAGAGAGCTGGAGAGGGAGGGAGAGGATCCCCATGAGCTTCATCTCAACGGGCCCCGGGAGTCCTTCGTGGCAACATGACCTCAGTGAGTGGACCTGTGCTGAGGGACTACAAGACATTAACAAAACCATTTAAGTCCTGTGTGAATAATTTCATAATAAAGCCACATTATTGGGCGCTAACTAATTGTTATTGGCTTTAGGAATTAGCCTTAACTCCTGATGATTTATCTCATCGCACTGAAATGAGCCACACTGTCATGACAAGAGCAGATGTAAATGTTATTCTGAGGTATTACAAGCCAGAGCCAAAGACTTCATAGGTTGTTGTTTTTTTAATTTTCATAAAAATTTAACTTGTTGCATTTGCATTTACTGTGAATCATAACTTTGGACTATACAATCTTGAAACACAGTTTGGTTTATATCAAGTGTAAAGCTATTCTGACTTCTGAAAACTGTCTTTATTGAGATTTGAGTCCAGACTTTGATTTTATTCCTCCTCCTTTTTTTAGATCACAGTACGCTCCAAATCCTCCCCGACTCTCAGTATGACCGATCACCTGCTGTTCGACTTCCTTCCACAGCCTCAGGTAATGGTTAAACTAATCTGCCCATTAATGATAGCCTCTTTTTTCACAGTCTGCACTGCAGATTAGTTTATTGTCTTTATTGCAGTCTCTTGCACTCTTGTTGACGCATCCTTGCACAGACAGAAAACTCACAGCTTTAATAAAGTACCTCACTTCCCTGATGATTAATCGGCTTAATAGACTTGGACAAGGTAATTATTGATGGAGGCCACGTGATAAAAAAGACAAGGGACAGACAAGGAAGCAATCACAGAAAATAAATCAGGTGAAAGGGTACAAGTTTGGAAAATAGCTGAGGAGAGGGACTAACCTGAAGGTTCACTTTTCCTAAATCATGTCCTCTGGTGAAAAATTTTATTCTGCTTCAGTTTAACAAAAAAGTAAAACTCCCAGGTGAAAATGACAGAACAAATAAACTTATTTTTCTGTATACCATCAACCTGGTCTGACACCTTCCCTCTCATAGTTTAGTGATGGGCAAAGCGGTTCCTTTAGATGTACTGAATCACTAGAATCAGCTTACTCAAAAGATTCGTTAAAGAGATTCGTTCACCAAATCACAGAGTCATTCAGCACTTAGCAGGAGGAGCCTGTGACTCTAACTTTCTGAACTGATACACAGCTGAACGGTTCAGGTTTCAGTTCAGATCATAGCTTCTGGGACCGGCAGATGAAAGTGTCGTGTTTGCGTAGCTTTGGCAACACTCATTTATAGATCATGATGATGTGAATGTACTGTTAAAATAATGAGGAACAACGGTCACCATAAAAGCGTATCCCTCAGACGAAAATGATTCTGGAGAGTGTAGTTCACTGTGTGATTCGTTCACCGAGTGATTCAGGCGTCAGTGCGTTCGGTCCCTCGCTTGCCAGCTTCTCGCCAGGCAATGCTGCATGTTATGGCATCTGCGCCGCTGACAGCTCAACTAAACTGAGAAACAAACAAATCACTCGAGGAAGTGATTCGGTTCTGCAGGTTCACATAAAAGAGTCATTATTTATCATTCATGAACGACACAACACAAACATATTATTTAGAAGCACTAAAACTTCAATTAGCGACAAGTCTTGTTCTGGAAAGCCTTGTTGCTTTTCCAGACCTGTTACTGTTTGTCTGTTTCATGAACAACTTAAAACCTTCTCTCAGGATCTTTAACACATCAAACCAACAGGATAGTGAGCTGGGGGAAAACATCATCTAGCATCATCCACCACAAACCTCAGACTTGCCCCTTGTATGTGATTAAACACACTAAACTTGTGGTGTGGAACGTCCTCACTTTCAGTGAGCCGTGGTTGGCACAGTAGTCCTAAACGTGTGTCAGGCTGCATCCGTATCAGTGATAGCACCAGTATCTTAAGCTCAATCAAAGGTGAAGATAATATAGGACAGTGGCTCATAATGTGCCCCTGTGCCTGCTCTACTCTGACTCAGCACATTTACAAACAGTAGTTTATCGGGAACAAGTAGAGAGACAAGATTTATTCTCACTATCTCGCAGAGACACTGTTTTCCTCTAAAGCTGTGAGGCCAAAACTTCAGACTCTAACTCTTCTTGATCGGATATGCAACACACTGAAATAAACAGTGATGTATGTTGTCTCTATGATGTACAAAAGCAAATGAGACCTTCATGACAAGAGTGACAATTTCGAGATAGAGAAATTTTAATGCCAGTAACTGCTGAAAACAGGAGTAAAAAAATGAGTTCAGTTGGAAGAAAGAGGGTAAGGAGGTCTGATTATCTGGTACGTCGACTGACCTGACATGCAGGAAACCCTTCCTCCCTTTCTGCCGTCTCCTAAAATCACACGTGTTTGGCTCTCAAAACAAACACATCAATTAAGCGAATCATTCGTACAAATTGACCGAGTAAATACACATTTGTGTGTCCAGATACGTGCAAATTCAGCAAGCAGATGATTTTACTTACGCTTGTTTTGAACACAACATTTAAAGGGTTACCACTTTGTCCACAGGGGGCGACAAAGTCAACACAGACAGAGAGTTCCTCACAGGAGCTTTAACGAGGGATATAGAAGACAGCGCAGTAATTACAAATTAAAACGACTTCTTAACACTAACATTTAGCCTAAAATTGTCTGTAGTTGATGTAATATTAGCTTATATTATAGCATCTGCGCTGCTGACAGCTCAACTGAACTGATCATAAATTCTCATGTTATGAAAATTTATGATCTGTTTTATTATAAAATAATGCAAATTATGTTTAGAGCAAAATCAAAAATGCTCTTTGACTCTTTTCAAGTCAGAACAGTCCGTATAATCTCAGAGGTGCTTGCAAATTTACTGTACAAGAAGCTAAAAAAGGTATGAAGAGGAGACGTGTCTCCATTACTGAAGTTAAATTCTGTAAAGATGCTAACATAAATCTAAAAACACGTCAATCTTTTTTGGTTTTAGAAAATGGTTTGTAAAGCTATTTTTGAAGCTTATAAGAGTGATTGATTATCTGTTGTTGTGGTTTCTTTGTTTTTCTGGAGGTCGGGAGCCTAAAAAGTTGACAATACAGGATGGGCTTTTATAAGCAGTCTGCTGCTGCCTTTTCAGTCAATATTCAACACATGATTCTTGATTTAGGGATTTTGTGTGAAATGTCAATATTGTGTACAATATTTGGTGTTGTCATGACTGATTAAACGACTACTACTGCTACTACGGTGCAAGCTAATTAGCTAATGGGTAACAAATATGTTGTGTAACTTTTGACCTGATCAATTTGCCTTTCACTTGCTGAAAAAACGGTTCAATAATGATGGAAGCAAATATGCTTTTGCAACAATAACAGCACTTTTTCCCAATCTTGAGTTTAAGACCAGAGGAAAATTACCACATGTGAATATAGTAATTTAAAAAACAACAAACTTTACTTTTATACCCACAGCTGCAATTTACCAGCTGCTCTAAGTTAGTATTTTTAAAAATATCAGGCTCAGAAAATTTATGACAATCACCGCTGAATGTCCTTTTTCCCCTTGTTTATCAAAGGGAACATGACCATGAGATGGAGGGGAACAACATTAAGAAGGATGAGCATGTTTCCCAGCACTGATCCTGCCTACCAAGCTTTCACAGAGGACGCTATCAGAGACGAGATGGAAAACGGTAAAGCCTCTGACCTGGTGTTGTGCAACTGGAACAGCAATGTTGCACCTTATCTGCATCCTGCACCTGTGTTCAGATCTAAAGATTGTTATTTTGTGTGTGACAGAGGAACAAAAACTGGTGCAGGAACTTGTTGCCCAGTCAACAGGAGACGGAATTCGTGCCATTCGGGACCTTCCAGTGAGCTTCAGAGAGAAAAAACATATCAGGTGGGTTTGAACAGACTAGCAGTAAAAGAAGCAAACTTCCTTGTCAGTATCAAGGCATGTGGTTAATCTTTACACCGAGCTTAGAGCCGTAAAAATAAGTAGTCTACGAATGTCCAAAGACAAGGTGGTACTGTTCGGTTGCAAAATAGTTCACTGGAGGAAAAGTTACATAAATGTGAGCAAACACGAAACACACCGCTCCCTTTCCTCAAGAAACATGAAGTGCAAATGCTTCTCTGTGTGCTGCAGGAAACATTTTAATGTTGTTATAACCTCTAACAGTTATGCATTACCTCTGCAGGAGTCAAGTGCTGGCTTTTAAATCTGCAGAAAAATCACACCACTTCACATGTTTGGCAGAGTGTTCGAAGAGAGTGTCATCAGTGAGTGTTCAACAGATCATATAACAAAATGCCTTGAAGTTAAACATCTTATCATAACCTTTTTGTTTTGTCTAAACTCTACAAAAACTGTCCTCTCAGTCTTTCCGTAGGCTTGGCTACAGTGTAAATTCAACCAAGCAGACCCTGGAGTTGTGGCAGGGAGTTATGAAAGAGATCGGCGGCAAGTTCGGCACCAGCGTCCTCTCCTATTTTGTGATCCTCAGGTGGTTGCTCATGTTCAACGTTTTATCCTTCCTCGTCAATTTTTGCTTCATCACCATCCCGATGCTCGTTCATAATCTGTCACCTAACATCCCTACAAATGTGAGCTTCAGAGGACTGGAGTTACTGACGGGAGCTGTAAGTGGAGGCGCATATTACATAACATACATAATAAACCTTTTTATAGACATTTATAAACATTTTTATGGAGACACGGCCTTTTATATCCTCCCAGATCTTATTCTAGAGTACTGAAACTGCCTAAGTGAGCATGTTTGTATTAATAACGGATGATTTTTTTTTTTAAAAAGGGTGACTTTCGGGGTAAAATCACTATTTGCTAATGAATTGCAGCACAAATGAGTAACTGCAGTAACTTTAGTCAAATGTAGTAAAGTCAAATATTCTCTACAATGTTTTAGTTAAGTTCTGATTTTAATGACAAATCAAAAGTTCACTTGAAAGCTCCTCCGTAATATGAGTGAATGTGATTAAATTAGGGTGACCATATTCTGAATCCCCCCAAAAAAGAGGACACTACTACACGGGGCGGAATTGTTCACGAGCCAAATTTTGAGGGTTTTTCAGATTGGGTCGAGTGTTTTTTATGTGCTTCTAAGTTAAACACATAAATGTCATCATTTTTTTATCTTTTAAAAAAAGAACATTTTATCTCATCTTTTATTTTTCACTGGCAGAAACGGGCTGCCATACAAAACCCCAGGAATTCAAAGAATTTTAAAAACTTCCCCTGGACGGGCCGGACAGCCCCCCAAAAGAGGATGTATGATCACACTAATTAAATGCAAGTTTCTTAATTGTGTTTTTAAATTTCCAGGGCTACTTCACTTACACAACCATGTATTACGGAGGCTACAGCAATGAAACCCTGGGACATCTGGTGCAGTACGACATGCAGCTGTCATATTTCTTCACTATTGCTGTGTACATGGTACTCTGTGGGATAATACTCATCCTGAGGTTAGTAACTTTGTGTGTATTACAACTATAGACTGTATATACTATGGACAACTTGGCTCCGCCTTCCGCCATTATACGAATTTGAAGCCGAATTGCTCTCGGTATTTCTGGGATTTTCTCTACTTCCTGGAACCACCACTTGCGCAGTAGCATTGAATACATCTTCACCCAGAGAGGAAGCAAACGCTGTTCATTGTATATACAGTCTATGATTACTATGGAACAACACCAATGACATTTTCCCACATCTCTTTAAATTAACGAATATGATTTCTAAAATCTGACTTTGTCTTTTCGCAGCATGGCCAGCTCCTTCAAGAGAAACTATGTACTAGCGGATCCAGTTTCCAACAGTGCGTGGCAGCTTCTGTGCAGCTGGGATTTTAGTATAACTAATGAGCGAGCAGTGAAGCAGCGCAAGAACAACCTGCGTGTCCAACTCAAGGTGACTGTTAGTCTGTTGCAAACCTGCTTTAAACGCAAAGTAGGGAAAAGGAGATGTGTTTTACACCATGCCTCATATTATCGGGAAGCATAGAGTACACCAACTTTAATTTCCATCCTACTTTTTCATTAAAGTCCCACTCTGATCGGTTTTTTTTTTTTCACTACTTAAAGTGTTATCAGTGGTCTTTAAGTTGTGATTATTAAGTTTTTAGCCAAAATCATGTTACCTGTTTCATTTTCAAGAGCTTTTCTTCAGCAGAGCTTCAGCTCATTAGCGATTCGCCTCTGAGGCTGCGCTGCGTTGCACAATCCTCTTCATGCTAGCATGTAGCCTAATGTTGCCAGTGTCGTAGAAGAAGCAGGTAACATAGGAGTTATTCAGCTCTCGAACACTAACATCTTTAGAAGCATGACGAAAGTTAATATCATAATTAGCTTTTTTACGAACATTGCAATCCACTTGCGCACACACTGGTTCCGCAATTGTCCTCTCTACTCTTATGAGTGTGGCCTGTATAATGGGGCTCTGGGGGCGGAGCTTGGATTTGTGACATAGAAAATCTCACTGTATCTGAGCCTGCAGTTTGGGTCTGCCAGAGATTCACAGAGATGATATATCCTGTAGCATCAGAAAAGTGTCATATGAACATGCAGACAACAAGAAAAACATGATTTTCATAAGAGTGAGACAGAAAAGTAATCAAGTAATAATCAAACAGGTCTGAGGTAAATCCCTGCTTAAGATGTTTCATTGTTTTTGGCGTCTTTCAGGAGTCTTTGTCGGAGAAGGCCCAGGGGGAACAGCTGACTCTCTCTGAGAAACTCAAGAAGTTAGGGGTTCATCTGGGTTCCTGGCTCCTCTCCACCAGTCTGGCTGCTGGCTGTGCGGCTGGCATCTATTACCTCTGCCAATATGAAGAGGAGGTAGTACCCATGACGGAATAATTCAACCTGCTGTCAGACTCTAAACTCTGAATAATGAAACGTCAGATCTTGACCTGTTGAAATGATTTTTACAAGCATGTTCAGAGAAACTGAAAATACGTGACGACATTTTAGGTTGTTTGGTCTCAGAGATACCTTATCAGCAGGTGTCACAAGCTAGGACTTACTGACAGTGTTTCATCATGTCATTTACCGGCAGTGCAGGGTTTGAACTGTTTTATTGAACCTGGTTGGTATCTGACGCTATCCTGATCGGAATTCCATCTGTTATCTTTATAGAGGACAACAGATGACGCCAACCAGTCCCTGCTGGAAGAGGCGAAGACTCTCCTGGTTCCCTTTGTGGTGTCAGTGATGAATCTGGTTGTGCCGCTCTTCTACTCCCTCTTCAACAAGTTTGAGCTCTACTCCAGTCAGCGCAAACAGATCTACGCTCTGGTCGTGAGGTTAGCACCAACATGCACTGTTCCGAATAAGCTCAGGAAATGTGCACTTTATTATCTTCTCAGTCTGTAACCCATTGGCTGAAAGACTGCTGTCTCTTCCTCTTGCAGAAACGTGCTCCTCAAGATGTCCGTTTTGGCCGTCTTGTGTTATTACTGGATGAATGTGGTGGCGAAAAAGTTTTCAGTAAGACAGAGACCTGTTCTTCTAAACTCTTATTAACCACACAAATGTTTATTCATTCATATGATTGATTGATTTTCCAAGGAAGTGTATTTTATTCACTAACAAACAAAAAGGGAAACTGTTTTTGGGGGATTTTTTTTCCACACTACACTTCTGTAATTTTCCCTGTTCTCCTCAGTGTTGGGAGTCTGTGGTGGGACAAGCTCTGTACCGTCTGGTTATTTTCGATTTCTTCTTCCTATTGTTGGGATCCTTCTTTGGGGAGTTTCTTAGCAAGTGAGTATCTGACCAGAATCTTCACAGGAGTACAAATGTTTTAAGTGGACCTGAAAATCAAAATTATGTCTCTCTGACAGTGTGATCGGGACCAGATTAATACGCCGTCTTGGCGTTCCAGAGTTTGACGTTGCAAGAAATGTCCTGGAGCTGATCTATGCTCAGACTCTGGCCTGGTAAGAGCAGCTATTTCTGCCGCCTGGTTTGTGTTTCCTCTCCTGGTCTCAGATCCGGTCCGCTCTTACACTGTTTTCTTTCTCCAGGATTGGGATCTACTTTGCTCCTCTGCTGCCCGTCATCCAGATTGTGAAGTTTTTCATCTTGTTTTACCTAAAGAAGGTAAATCCAGGTTTGGGTGACTGTAAACTGAACTGCTCTGGTTACTCAGATACAATGCCATGACTGCTGAGGCTGCTCTATGTACTTTCAAAGGGTCATGTTACTCTATAGGACCCGGTTTAATAATTGATTGAAATCCTTCAACCACAATAGTGACAGTCTTGTTTTGGTTACGGGAAAACCAGGCTGGTTTTGGATTGATCGGTTAATCTTTTGTTTGCACTAAAGAAGTCAGGACTGGTCACTCTTGGATGAACTGAACGCACATGACCGGTTATTTGACCGGGTCCCTGCTCGTTGCATGATTAATGAACACGATGAAAGACCTTTAAAGTCATGCTGAGATCTTCATGGTCTCTTTTGTGAGGGTAAACAGATATGAAGTTCATGCTAATATGGAATAGTGGTGAATGTGTGTCCCATTCTCAGTCCCTTTTTCAATCACCCTCTCAGGTCAGCCTGACACAGAACTGCCAACCACCACGTCGCTCTGGGAGAGCAGCGCAGATGCAAACCATCTTCATCGCCCTCCTCTTCTTCCCTTGTTTTGTGGGAGCTCTGTCTATGGTTGCATACACCGCCTGGAGGTTCGAGCACACCATGAAACTCTAGATCATTATAACTTTGGCATAAGTTATCAACATCCCAATAGTTGAGACATGTGGAAAAAAATGTCGCTCTCGTTTTGTGCACCTTCTCCTGTTTAGTCTCACTCCGTCAGAACAGTGCGGTCCTTTCCGAGGGCTCAACAACACCTTCAGTGTGGTTGGAGTTTGGATAGATGATCTGCAGGAGACCGATGACCATGACTGGGCTGTCTGGATCTACCAAAACATCATCAGAAGTGAAATCTTCTACTTTTTTGTCACTCTTATCATCATGTAAGTGAAGAGTGTTGGAAGTAAATGTGTTTTTTTTCACTGAGCCTGGGCCTGCAGATTAGATAGAAACCCAGTCGATATTTGTCTAGGGCACATGGCTACTTTTAATTAAAGGGATATTCCGGCGTAAATTTAAGTTATGGTCAAACACACCGTAACACCGAGTTAGACCCCCCTGGAGAGATGAATGTTGCCGACAGCTTGCTTGTCTAGTTATACCAACTTTAGTAATGACCGTACGATAGCAATACACAGCGGTCTATGTCTCCTTGCTCAAACCTCAACCAAAACGCCACTATATAGCCACAAATAATGCTCAGAACAGCACCTAACTTCATCAACAGTACATATAGGGTCCCAGACATAGTACTAGCCATCAAACATCTTTTTAGCTTTGCCTGATTTCTTTAGCAAAGAGACTAAACACAACTCACCTACTCTCTTCAGGCAGCCGCTTGTTTGTTAGGGAACCCTGATGAGTCAATCACAGAGTGCAGCAGAACATTTATGATTATTACTTCATGGAAATGCAATCAGCCCCAGACGCTAAGGCAGAAGAACTACCAGGTCTGCAGTGCACATACAAGATTCACAAGAACCCTGGTTGCATAATCATAAATGTTCTTCCTTGAGCTGCAAAACTCCGCTGCACTCGGTGATCGACTCATGAGATTAAAAGTTAATTTTAACCTTAAAAACTGTAAATTCAGAACCATGTGCAGCTCAGTATTATGGGACAAATTTGGTAAGGGGTTTTAGAAACGCTTTAAAGAACAAATATGAGAATCATTAGACTAAATGTTATTATATTTACCTCGGTCTGTCCTCCACAAGCTTTAATGATACAGAGTGAGTCATCTAAAGCAATGATGCAAACTAAATCAAAGCTGTCATGTTGAGTCCAAATCAGTTCTCCTCTCCCCTCATGTGCTTGTAAGGTGTTCAGGGTAACTAAGCTCTTGTTCCATCACTGAATCAGTAATACGGAGTAACCATGGTGATCTTTTCAGCGAACTGAATCCTACCCCGCAGTCACACTGTGTCTCTGCTTTTATTGACATTTATTCAACTTTTATTCAGCCTCAGACTCTTACAGTGTTTGCAGAGAATGAGTGTGTGCACATTATCCGTCTTTTTTTATGAGTTATGTGAACAATTTCTAAAATATTCACAATAATAATCATTACATCCTCCTTTTTAGGATTGTCATATACATCTTCTGGCAAATCACTCGGGGACGCAAGCAGCTTATTTCTCAACTGAGGCAACAGATTGTGAACGTGAGTGACCCTTTAAAAATGTCACGCGAGTTCGCTCTTGTTTGTTTGAGCTTTCCTTTTGTTATCTTCTGGTTTGTTTATCCTCTCACTGTACTCCAAATTGAAATCTACTTATGTGTGTGTGTGTTTTCTTTTTTTTTCATTTCCTTTTTTTCCCTCTCTCTCTCTCCTTTGTTTTTGTGTTGTTTGTTTTGCTCCCACCAGGAAGGGAAAGATAAATCTTTCTTGTTAGACAAACTCCAGAATCTGCAGAAATGTCAGCCCAAGAAGAAACACAAACAGAAGAATCACAAAAAGGTTTGTTGTTAAATTATCTCACGCTTACTCACTTCCCTCCCTGAGTTTTGTTATCAGCCTCAGTACATATTTTGTCTCGTCCTCTCAGCACACCGAGCAGCGTCCTCACGACAGCTCGCCGAATGGTCAGCCCCACTCTAATGCTATGGTTCAAGCTTTACTGGCTCGACAGCGGCTTGAAGAGGAGGAGGGCCGCAGGACGAGCAGAGTGTCTGTTCCATCTGACATCTCCTCCTCCAGCAGTCTGGCTCAGGCCATGTTAGCCCGTCAGAGAGCAGAGGCTTCGGAGAGAGGGGAATTCTTCAGCACAACAGGTTTCTCTGAAATCCCCTTAAACACATCCAACGCTGTCACACAGCCGATGCAAGACAGACGAAGAGCAGGGGAGTACAGAGCAGACGAGGCAGATGGCCTGTCATCTTCTGTGTCGAGTGTTATGATGCAAGTCATGCAGGCCAGGCAGAGAGCGGAGGAGGAGGACAGATTTCAGTGGGCCGCCGCTCCTCAAGGAAATTCAGCTTCTGCAGGATCCAGTGCTCTCATACAGGCCATGCTGGCCCGACAGCAAGCCCAGAACGAGTTTGATGATGGATACTGAGCAGCGGGTCCAGCATTTGTTTTGTTTTTTTCTGTCTACCAAGAACTTTTGTCATGAATACATGATTTAGCGCAACTGTAAATACATAAATAAGGGGATTGCAATACATCTAGCTAGGAATGGGCGATAAAATACCATTCATGAAAAATCCTCCATGGTAAATATTTGACATCTCATGATAAATGCAAGCGAGCGAGCGACGGACTCACAGCCGTAGCCCACACAGAGCAGAATAACAAACAAACATGGATGAAGGTAATGAAGAAGACGTTCCATGTTACTGAACGAAGCTCCACATGAGGGATTTCCTTCAAGATTGGGGTTTAGACGAGTGAAACAGGTCTGCCTGACATCGGACAGAGGATCTGCTGCTGTTCACTCTGTGCAATAAGAGTTTTTTAACAAATGTTTAAACAGTTTTCACTTGTTTGATGTCATTCGTTTGCTCTATAACCCACCACTCAAACTTGTGGTTAAGTTTCTTATTTGACGTCTCCAACTGGTGTTCTCAAGACAAAATGAGTCAAAAATACAGATTGGAATTATAATATTTTTTATCATTATCGCCAGAAAGGTAAATCTTTTCGTATATCCTATATCGCCCATCCCTACACCCAGATCAGATGTACATAAAAGAAGAGCTCAGATACCTTTTGTAGCAGGACTAAGAGAGAGTGCAGGTCCACCTTCTCCTTTTTTTTTTTTTACAAATATATTTTGATAGTTTCACTTTCTGTGACAGTGTATGAGCATTAGATGATAAATTAATAATGTAAATTATGAGCTACAGGCCCTACAGTGCCATTTTAGATAGACATTTCTGTATATGTGGATGAACATCATGTAAAAATAAAGATGATACACAATATAACTGACTGATCTTCATTATATTCTAATAAAATATATTTTTTATTCCAGAATAAGCTGGTGAAAAAAAAACTATGTTGCAGTGGAGATCATCTGTGGGATTGGTCTTCAAGCTAACACTGCCCCCTGTTGGTAGAGTCTCCACAATGACAGGGATAAATCAGTGAATTGAGGTTCCTAATCAGAGTTTCTTCACTAGTTTGAAAGATCTGTGGTCGTTTTTATAGCCGGATAGAAAATTATTTTAGTTATCTGCTCTTTCTTTCTTCAAGCCCCTCCTCAGATGATTGTGAATTTCAACATCACGGCCGTAGAGTCTTGGGAAAGTTTGCTAATTTACATAGATGCAAGATGAGAACACAGATGTGGGCCACACAGAGTCAAACAAAATCAAACATTTTGCTGATTGCAGTAATATTAGTTCATGAATGTAATGAAAAATCACCAATAATTTATTACTTAAAGCAAATACTTAATAATTAGCAAACTACCTTACTTAAGGCTCAGTTGGTAGAGTCGGGTAGAATCGGTCGTGTCCCTTTCAGAGGGGGGTTGGGGTTCGATTCCCGGGTTGTCATGTGCTTCAGTGTCCTTGGGTAAGACACTTGACTCTGCTGGCTGTGCCCAGTTGTTCTCAAATATACGTCACTTTGGATAAAAGCGTCTGCTAAATGACAGAAAGTTGTCAAATTTTCCTCTTTTTATCAAAATGCAGATAACAAAAAATCTTAATAAGAAAGACTGCTAATGACGACCTCAGAAATCCTGCATAAAAAAATAAAGCACAATGATGAACAAAAATCAGACAGGACATGATGACATGAAAACAACGTTGAGGACTTTTAATTCATCAGTGGAAATAAATTTGTTTAATTGTAGATTTTCTTGCAGAGTTGATGCAAAGACTGTTTAAAAGAGATTAGGGTGGTCTCTCTTTTGCCCCCTTAAAGCCAGTCTTGAAATATACTTCGATTAATATTGGGAAACTCATGTATCAACTTCCCCTGACATCTTTAATGAAATGAATTAAAATAACCATAACATGTTTCTGTTCACAGTGTCGAGGATTGATTCTCCTCCGTTGAAAGCATAAACATCAAGTTTTAATTACAAAGTCTGCTGAAGCTCTTCCTGTCAGAGTTCACAGCAGTTTAGGAGTGTTTGTATGTGTACGTTAACTTTATGGGACAATAATGGTAACCTCTAAAAAAAAAGACAAATACAGACAGACATGTGTTATTTACAGTTTCCATTAGGGCTGCACGATTTTGGCCAAAAATGAAATCCAGATTTTTTTTTTTTATCTGAAAACTTGATTTTTGATTTCATTTATTTTATTCAGAGACAACTTGACCAAACTTTACTCTACTAAGTTTCATCTCTCAAAACGAAACCACTGAAAACGATGTAGTGCATATGCCAAGCCAGTAAGTGGCGCTGTAACGCTGCTGAGGAAATGCACAAAAGACAGAAGAAGAGTACGGACACGTTCATAAAGGTTGTTTTGGCCGGACACGCTCAGAGTTACGCTGTGTGTCACATGATTGTTCCTAGAGAAGCAGATAGGCATCCACACAGAGCTGAAATGGTCGTCATTTACAGATTTATACACTCTCTGACGCACTTTCAAAAAGTGCCGTTTACAGTCATCTGAAACACTGTTTCCGTGTGGATGAAATGCCGATACGACAAAAATTTTTTTTGCGTTTACTCCTGTTAATACCGCCTTCAGACAGACTTTGCAGCAGGGAGTGGTTTGCTCTTTATCCGAAACTGTGAAGCCGTACCAATTCCACATGACTGACTTGCTCTCGCCCCTTTTAGCCACGAAATTATCGCCTTCTTTTGTAAACACCATGTTTGTTTACACTGGTGTGTGTGGGAACTGGGGAGCACTTTGCAGAAAGGGGGACCTACGGTGGCCTGGAGGCGCGAGACATGATAGAGAGAAAAAACAATTTGACGATTTTAATTTTGTTAAGATCGTCATAATCAAATAATTCAATGACAATTTAAAATGGATTAATCGTGCAGCCCTAGTTTCCATTTGCAGGCACATCATCTTCATGTAAGTATTGGTGGTTTTGTCACAGATTTAATGAAACCTCTGAATTGTCCGCTGTCATTGCATTGATGTTCAGACCATCTGAAGCATGTAAAGTAAGGCCTTGACCCTCTTTCTCAATAGGGTACACAAACACATCCTTAAAAGCCTACATCTACCAGATTAGTTCACGTCTACTTTTTCCTTTTGTCAGCTGGTTTAAAGCTCCTGTGTGACTCTGACCTCTGCGACAAACCATGCCAAGAAATCTCCCACGATTAAGGCAGTGTTGAAATGTACCAGATGGTGCTCATGATGCGCCCTGAAGTCCCACAAGGAGTTTCATCCTGTTCATTCTCTACCCAACACCAATCAAACGAGCACTTCCATACGGCGAGTTGCAACACCGTGAGGGAATCTCTTGTCCCAATCAGCACTGCTCCTCCCCTAAAGATCTCACACAGTCACTCAGGTCCAAAGAGTCCACAGGTATGGGAGTTTTTCTGCCACTTTTCGGGGTCTGGCTGGTAAAAATCTCCACAGACTTGGAGATGGAGTGCACAGAGCGCTCCCTGTAATATCCGAAAGCCTCCCGCGCCTGCTCTTCTCGTATGCTTTGCTCAAAGGTCTTTCGTTTGTGCCTGAACTCGATGACAGTCTTTGTGTAGGAGTTGAGGGTGGTGACCGACGCGCCCATGCAGCAGGTGAAGGATGCCCAGGCCACGCTGGTACGAGACAGAAGGGACAGGAAGAGGAATTAAGGGATGATTGTAATGCCGCAAATGTTGGCTGATGTAATAAAAAAAACAGCAAAACATTCGTGTAAGAGCACAATACAAATTGCATCCCGGCCTTTTCCCCCTCAATATTTTTGTTTGCTGAGATTAGTGTCAATCTCTTTAGGTCCTTCTGCTCCCCTGAAGAACGCTTGGCCACATGGGGGATCAGACATCTGAATTTCTTCCTCATGTACATTTAAGCACATTTGTTAATGCTCACAAAAGGTCAAGGATTGTTCAGCCTCTAGAATGAAATCTCAGCATACTGCGCATATAGTAAAGGAGTAAAATATTATCCCCTTATGCAATTCTAATCACGCCTGTATCGGAGCTTTGGACACCAAAGCCTAATCCTGCCATAACATGAGAGCTTTGGGCTTTTTTCATTACAGACAGTGACGCTGAGGAGAGGTGAGAGCACAGCCACTGCCTGCTATTTATGGCTGAGACAAGCTGAACAAAAAAAACCCTCATCTGCCTTCCTAATGGGTCAGTTGACATCATTTTATTCATAAGGAAGTGTGTCATAGATACCAGAGAACCAAATATCTACGAGGTTGGCCGTGTAACTGTGGAGTCTTACCAGAAGGACCACCCATAATCCCAGTTGTAGGGCCTCCAGTCAGGAGGGCCAAGGCTGACAGTGACGGTGAAGACCTGTGTGTACATCACATGAGCCACCATACCAAGGAGACCTGGAAACAGTGGAATAAATCTTTAGAAGTCTATGTTAACGCAAACTTGACTTTGGTAAACAAACTAAAATCAGAGGTATGCCGGTATTGAAAACTCAACTTTCTTTTTTTGCTTTTATTCAAACATAATGACAGTAAAGGCTCATTTATGCTCGCCATACGTATAAAAATGTACGCGTCCATTTCAAACGATGGTTCTGTCACTGCCCACATACTTCCTTTACGTTGGCGTGGATGTTAACCATTACATCCACCAGGGGGCAGGCCGGAGTCAAAAGTTTCTGACAAAAACAAAAAGAAACATGGCAACCGTGTAGGAGCTAGTGGTAGTGTATGTTTTGCATAGAAGACAGAAACAGAGGCAGCGTTCTTTTCTTAGTAGTTCAGATGAGAGAAATTGACGACAATCGTCAAAAAGCCCCGCCGTTGTTTTCTTCGTTTTTCTCTAGAGATGTGTATCAGGTAGTGACAGCAACAACACTGCCCCTATGGTTTCCGGTGGTACTGCTCCATCTGATCCGTATCCATAAACTTCAAAGATACGTACAGAAATACAGACAGGAAGCACAGACGAAGAGCTCTGTCTGTATTCAGATCTGTATGTAACGTTGAGCATAAATGAGCCTTAAAACACTTTCTTGGAATTTTCTAGAACTTGCTTTCACCTTATCAGACACTAAAACATCATTTCTTCACATCTTCATGTCTCAGTATGACTTACTCTTATTCAAACAATGCATTAAACACAGATCTTAGTCTAGTTGGTATCAACTTCTTTGGCTTTTTGTGTCTCCTTTTTTACAGTTCATAATTACAGAGCCCCCGAAGGAAAATGAAAGAAAAAAGTTTAAAGGGTTTTCTCGCGATCTTTTGCGTGCCCTCACAAAACTTTTGCGAGATCTCACAAAGTTGTCAAAGGATTATAAGTAAAAAGATTATTGAGCAGTGTATTTCTTCCATGTCGAGTCATCCCAAACGATGGAACCCACACACCCATGGAAGAGGTTCATTGCATCTTCTTTTTGAGATTGGCCTCAGATAAAAAGATATTTTAGGCACGGTTTTCTTAAAAAACACGAGTCATGGAGGACGATTTGAAAGAATTCCTATGGTCAAGGGACATCCCGAGGACATTATGTGCATGCAAAGGGACAAGGTGGACAGAAAAGGAGTTCAAAATAAAATTGAACCTTTCCCACGACTGTGTACATTAGTACAATATTTTTGTTAAAATTACAGAAGTAATCTACTGACCAATAACTTCTGAGACAACGTTTGCAGGATCTCGCAAAAAAATCTCTAGAAAACTCTTTTTTAAATTTTTTTTTTATCCATGTCCCTTCTGGGCTTCCGTACATAATTAAATGAATTAACCAAAGACGGGATATTACAAGTGATGCCTCAATAAAAGACTTCTGGAGTCTCGATCAAGTGATCCTCAAAGCTAGATAAAGTACCTGAGAGCACGGTGAAGACAGCAGCGAAGGCGTTGAGCTTGAGTCCATCGATGACGTTACTGGAGTGGACCAGGTCTAAAGACATGAGGCTGAAACCCACCACCAGCAGAATAATGTAGAGCATCTCAGAAACCAGTGACAGCCATAGTATCCCTGCAACACGGGTTCAAACGATTACAATAACATCAACTTATTAAACAGACACGTGTGCACAGGAAACAGATTAGGATTTCATGGTCAATGTCAGACTAGTTGTGCACGATAAAATCTTCTTCAGCTTTTTTATGTTTCTGGCCAAATGTGATTACATCCAAATCCACATTGCCGGCTTTTTGTTATTTCTCCACTTGACAGGAAGTGAATCCTTTTCAAGTGACAGTGTCAACACAGCTGAGAGTCCTTCGAGTTCACACCGACTCTGAGAGTGTTCATCTGGTTTCATCTTTAAAATGGCAAATGAAACGTCCAAACAGAAAGTCGAGGAGATTTTTGATCGAAGGAAATGGAAGATAAAGACAGAAAAATGTCACGTTTATATCATTTAATGCACCAAATTCATAAATAAGTGATTTATTCATTTGATTTGTTGATATAATATCTGAAACAGAATCGAGTTTAAACATTCGTCCTTAATTTCCAATTAAACAATAATCTCTTTCTGACATTATTTCTATAATACTTGTGTCTTGAGTAGTGGAAACTCACCTTTCTCAGATGCAGGGGCCAAATCAATGAAGCTCCGACATCTCTCACCTAGCGGCAGAAAAAAAGACACCAAATTGTTGCACCAATACGTTATTAAGAATTCACTAAGCTGCGGATCAGAAATTAGTGAGTTGGGTAGAGACAAGGTCAGAGGGGAAGCACTGAGGATAAACAAACGGACCAAATAAATGCTCTAAGCACTAAACTGACAGAAGCATCACTCCAAATCCTAATCTGTGTTTTAATTCCCAATTTCTGTCCAGGTGTGTTTCACTGGATCATCTCACTGAGGAGCGTGACCTTCTGCTCCGTGACCACAGAGTGACACCACAACTAAAAAAAAAACAAATGTTGAGTAAGAGGCAGATGTCTGAGAAATTCTGCTTTTTCTGGCACTTGATTCGGTGTCACCAGCTGTTGCGTTGGCAGCGAGGCTCAACATCTGCTTTTTGTCCTATTGAATTACAGATACTTTACACAGAATTAAAATGAGGGACCAGAATGAAGGGAAGAAAAAAAAAAAAAGTGCTGTTATAGCATTATGCCGCATGATGAGATGAAATGAGCGCCCCGTGTCTGTTTAACCAACAGGTTACAGAGAAGCTGACCTTTGACGCGCTTTCCTTGCAGATGTGCTGTTTTCGTCATTTGCCGGAGCGGAGCGTGTGGCTGGATTTGTACGTGGAACACTTTAATCAGGTAGAAGGAATGTGGCAACAGCTGTTTTGAGGAAAAACTCATCAAGGCCCCTGTTACATAATCCTTATTAACTCAAGCTGTCTCAAACCCCCCTCCATCGTACGGCCACTTGATGAGATAGACATGTGCTAGCAATTCCTTATTGAGTAATCTCAGTGTGTGGGTCATTTGTAGCCCTACACATGGTGAGACTACGTGTGTCCCATAAGCATAGTTCTGTTTCAACATCAGCGCTAAAACATAAGAAAGCTACAGAAGAGGATAGGGGCCACTGAAAAAAAATTAAAATCCTATTTATTTTTATTAATCTGAGGAAAAAAAACTCAAGAGTTCTGACTTCAAACTCAGAACTCTGACATTTTTTTCAAAATAATAATAAAAAAATAATTACATTGGACTTTTTTTTTCATTTTCCAGGTGGCCCTTATCCTCTTCCGTAGAAAACAGTCCAGATCGACTTGAACAGATAAATCTAGTTTGATTAAATTTGACGTCACTGTCTCCTCACCCTTTTGGCGACTCATTGAACTGTTTTGTTATAAATGACGACACTGTTATGTGATAAAATCCTTTTGTTATTTCTCTTCGACACACGAAAAAAAAGATAAATAAATAAATCAGTTTTTTGTCTTCTTAAACCCTGAACATGAACATGAAGTACAAGTTTCCTATTTTCAGTTTTGTAAACTTTACTGTGACGCTCCTCTCTGTTGATGTTGGCTTAATATTTGATGTCAGATAAAAACAACTAAAGCAATTTCACCAGATCCCTGGAGTTTGATAAGTCAGCTGCTCTAAACGGAGGGTGATTACACTGAAATTGTCATGACATGGAAGAACACAAAAAAGAACAACTCATTTCCCCTTGAATACACTCTGCGATGGAGAAAGTTTAATATGTTTTTGTTTATGTTGATCCTTTATTCCTGTCTAACAGCTGCAACAAAAATCAAAAGTCAAACTCACATGTTTGCGTTTACTTTTGAGTAAGAGTCAATGGTGAAAAGCCACATTACTGAAGCAGGATAATGACCAACTCTGTAATGACCGATTCTCAAATCACACGTTAAAATTATTTGAAAAAACTTTCTAAAGGCTTTCTAAAAAACTAAATTAGTCATAATTCAGGCAAAAGTTAAAGCTCCTTTAAGTATTTTTTTTATGTTTGTTACACACTGAAATTCATGTTGATGCCTTTTTAAGATATACAAAAGTAAACAAGACCAAACAACCCTTACCAAAAAGACGTTGAAGTGTACTTCAAGTACACTGTTTTTTTTAAACTAAGTATGCTTTCAGTGTCCTTTTTGTGGACTTTTCAGAGATATACTTAACACAGGTAATTTTAAGAACTTGGCTTGTACTAAGAACTATACTTAAAGTCCATACATATCTAACCTATGCTTAGACATAAACTTTTGTCCAGTATATACTTAAGAATGCCTTCAGTTTAAGTATACTTGTCTTGTACAAAGAATTAAACTAAAAGTCTAAAAGGATTTAACCTACACTAAGATATAAACTTTTGTTCAAGATATACTTAAGTATGTATTAGTATACTTGGTCAGTAAATACTTCCATATATCTTTTTAAGAGCATACTCTTATAGAGTATACTAAGCAGTACAAGCCAGGTATACAAATATGTACTTTTATAGAAGTAATTGCATACCCAAAGGTAATTTTAATTATGCTTCAGAATCAGTGCGCAGATAGCTGAGTGGATTAATGTGCGCCCAATGTTGGGGACTGTGGTCCCTGCTGTGGTCACGGGTTTGATTCCTGTCCTGACCATGTGCTGCGCGCACACACACACACACACACACATACACACACACACACACACACACACACACCACACACACAAACACACACACCATCTCCCACATTGCTGCTCTGTCCTACCCATTGAGCGCAAAATCCCCCCAAGAAGGTTTACTTCAGAGTGTACTTTTATAAACTAAAAAGGGGACTACAAGTTCAATACTAGTAAACTAATAGTATACTGAGAAGTCTACTTTTAAGTATGCTTAAAGTGTACTTTTATAATCTAAAAATGTTCCATTTTAGTCTGAAGAAGGAATAAATTTGTATACTTTGTAGTATGCTAAAAGTACATAGTCAGTAGTAGACTTTATACGTTTATACTCAAGCAGACTTAATAAAGTGAACTTTAAGTATACTACTTTTTGCTAAGGGAAGACAAGATCTTTTTACACTCAAAACTTTTGCAAATGGGTAGATGTCCCCCTAGCATCAGAAGAAACAGTCCTGATGTTGTGATTTCCAAATAATAAATAGGTTTAAAGGACAAGAACAGTACAGTGGGTACCAAAAGTGATAGAAGTGAAAAGTTCCTTACTGGAGCTTTAAACTCAATCAACAGAAAACTCACACACACACACACACACACACACACACACACACACACACACACACACACACACACACACACACACACACACACCTTCTCTTACTTTCATCGTGGATGTTTTCCTCACAGGAGAACCAGATCCCGGTGTGAAACTGTCTGAAGAGGAACCTGTCGTCCCCGGTCTCCCAGCTGTACACCACCTTGTTCGGGTCCGTCTCGTTCACCCCGTAGTCTATACACTGGTGCGTCCGGAGCTTGCTGCACTTAGGCTTGGGGACTCTTTGGGTCCCCACGCACCAGTACGTCGTGACAAATGCGGTGATGGCGAAAAAAAGAGCCAAGAAGTTCAAGGTAACCGACAAGAGACTCCTGCATTTGCGACTCGTCCTCATTGTCCCTGAGAAGAATGCAGAGGCGCGTGGAGGTCCAAAAAGTTCATGAGTGCCGAGTGGAGACAGTGCGCGATCCCGGGCTAATTTCCACAGACTCCTGGTGGGTCAGAAGAGCCATTTGGCACTTGACAAAAAAACAAATATTTCCATAGATGAAGAGGATGAGGACAGCTCAGAGCTCAGCTGTGCGTAAAAGGGTCACATCTCCATAGAGCCTTTTTTCCACGCTTTGTCACACGGTCCTTCACGAGTGTCCAGCATAGCTATAGGATGTCACGTTGTCAAAGGATTTGACTCACTTGCATCAAATGTGGGATACTCTCTCTCTCTCTCTTTCTCTCTCTCTCTCTCTCTCTCTCTCTCTCTTTCTCTCTCTCTCTCAATAGGATGCCCCTCCTCCCTCTGATCACTCACTCAGGCCTGTCAACTACAGGCGATTATCAGCCCGGTGCTCATGTGATGGACAGAAGTTTCACTCCCACTTTCAGCCCCTGTGGAGAGATAAAAGTCTGTTTTCTTAAAATAATAGATGATTACTGGATAGAAAAAAATGTCAAATGTCAACAGCTTTTTAGCAGTTATATGCAGTAATAATAAAAAGAATTATTGTACCATCTGAAAAGCGTATAATAGATAAAACACTTATTACACTCGATCTGTTGGTTTGCAGGGATGACCAACATCCTAAAATATATTCAGATACACTAGTTAGAGACAAAACTATGATTGTCTGGATGTAGTGATCGGAAATATTAAAAAATGGCTCATCTTACCCCACTTTCTTCTATATTTGTATGCAGCTTTTTGCGTGTATCACTTGAATCCTTCTCTATGCTCTGTACTGTGAATATTTAGTCATTTATTGTTTCTTTATGGTGGTTTTGAACTGTTTTATCAGCCCCTTTATTTACTTTCACACATCAAAAACTTGTTCTTGATGTGTGGAAGTAAATTTTTTAATGTGGTATATTTTTGTCATACCGTCCTGACTATTTGCATAAATTAATCACAACTTAGTTTTAATCGTTGTTTAGTTGATTTCTAAGTTACATGGTTATCATTTGTTAAAAACAGTGTGTTTAGTTAGCACATGGTGTTTTGTCATGGCTGACCACAAACTTGTGTTGCATGATATGCAGTGTTACATTTATATCAAGGTTTGTATTCGTATCTTGGTAAAATCCACAATCTACTTACTAACATTGAAGCAGGCCTATGTTTTATGCAGAAAGAAACAAAACTCAATCTTGGATATTAGATACATAAATAAATAATACTATAACATTTTGTGTATTAATTTATCATTATAATGTCATAATCAATACATATTCTCAGATCAATATGCCCATTGAGACAAAAAAAAATGTGAACATTAAAATTGGATAGGTTTGTGACATGTTGCAACCGTCCCAGGGACTGGGTCGGTTGCAACAGTTGACTGTTTTTTTTTTTTTTTATATTATGAAAAATCTGTCTGATGTAATCATACTTAATAATAATGGTATGGGGAATTAGTGGACAGATGTAAATTTACTATATGAATAAATGGTTGGCCTAGTCCAAATCATCTCTGAGTAATTAAGAGAAAAGCAAAAAGTGTTGCAACTGTCCCCAGTCTCCCCTATATGTGATTAAAATTAACAGTGTCCTCACTTGGGTGACTGCCCCCATAATCAGAAGGAGAAGTCTGTTTATTTTACTCTCCAGTCTGTCCAAAAGTCTTTTTTCAGCTCTTACAAACAGTGTTTTTTTACGGTCTCTGAAACTGTGCTGCTCAGGATCCTCGCCTTTCCTTCTGTGCTCAGCTGAGAGGATAATGAGCAGCTGCTGCCTTTGACCAGACTGATGCTGGTCTGATGAGCCTTGCAGTACAGATGACGTGCTAAACTGAGAATCTGCAATAGGTTTCTTCTAATCTGAACTCTGCTGGAGCGTAGTTACAACACAAATGTTGGCATTTCCAAGACGTTTCCCATCAGTCATGTGATCTGTGTGAGACTGGGGCTAAAAATACAAATCGTTTGAGCTTCTATGCAAAGAGTGTTTACAGCCCTGCAGTAGATAAGGCCAGATGGGCCGGACATCTCTGTTACCTCAGCATCATGCCTTCATATGCAGCTCCGGAAGATAAGCCCCACTTCAACATGGCTCTGATGACGAACAAATCAGGCCAAGGCTCTTCTCTGCAGGGACTCGACTTCACCTGCTGGTGAAGATTGGCAGCAGCCACGCTGGTGTGATCAGAGGTTATCAGGGGGTCAGGTGCACATTTGCTGTCAAGATAGACCATTTTCTTAGTACTTTACAGGTTTACATGAAATCAAATAACATGCTCTTGTGATATTTAAAAGTATTTCAGGGGCAGATCATGCCAGCGTGCTTTTCCAGACTATATCAATGTTTTTGTCCTTAAATCACCCAGTGGTTTCTGCTAACAGTTAAGAGGACTCTTGCTGAGTATCAGCAGCATATTGGAAGTCCTTTTAGTTGGCTAAAGTCTGCTAAACGCTGCTTATGAAGTCCATGTGGATGGTGATAGGCTGTCTCCTAAGTTGCTGGAAAAACCCGAAGTTAATCCCTGCCCTCCAGTTAACACATTGTAAGCTCTTTGCTGTGATGAGTCCTCTCTAAGTGTGGGGGAATAAAAGGAAATAAAGTTCTGTAATGTTCTGGGAAATCTGTTCGTCATAGAAAATTCCTATAGGTACTTGAAAGTATTTCGAGGGATCACTGCTGCTGTTTGGTGAGAATATTACAACTAATTGTAACTGTACAACAGTGTGAACATGTTACATGACTGTACAGCGCTGTAGTCATGAATGTTTTTTATGAAAATGAGCACAAAAGAGCTATTTTCCACACGATTATTTCAAACAGAAATATGATTTATGCTAGAAATTATTTGTTAAAGCAGCTCTGGTAAATTAACAACTCTTCATATCTTTACAGTCTCAAAGTTTTGACCAGATTCAACAGAGCCCATAGTAGCTAAAGCATGACCGTCTGTATGTACCAGTTTTTTCTGTTTTTTAGAGGGCTTTTTTTCTGTTTTTCTGACTTATTTTTTAAAGAGCAATTTTATTTATTTTTTTCCAGAGTATTTTTTTCTGTTTTTTGTACGATTTTTTTTGTTTTTCAGAATAATTTTTTGTTTTTTCAGAGTAATTTTCTTTTCTGCTTTTTTCTGACTACCTTTTTCTGTTTTTTTCAGAGTAATCTCTTCTTTTTTTCTGATTAATTTTTTTCAGAGCAATTTTATTTCTTTTTTTTTTTCAGAAGATATTTTTTTTCTGTTTTTTGGACTTTTTTCCGTTTTTTAGAGTAATTTTTTTCTGTTTTTTTGACAAATTTTTTCAGAGTATTTTTTCACTGTTTTTTTTTCTTTTATTCTGTTTTCAGAGTAATTTTCTTCCAATTCTCTAGGATCATGATCACTTAAATCTTAAATTAGACATTTTCATCTCCCTCTGCACGACTTGTTGGAAGCAAACATGGTCCACTTGTTTAGTTTAATCACCTCCTTTTGGGTTTGAGATATTCCCTTCCTCAAGTCAGATTGATGGAATCATCATAAATTTTTCTACTTTGCGAAGGCAGCTCAGGATTTGCAAACCCGATGTTTGACTGTATCTTGTTCAGTCAGGAAAAAAAATAGAACAACAAAAAGATGAAAAAATGTTATGAAAAAAGAAATTGTCTAAAAAACAGAAAGAGGGGAAAAAATTTTGTACAAAAAACAGAAGAAAAAAATAGTCAAAAAAACAGAGAGAAGAAAAAAACTAATCCGAAAAACAGCAAAGAAAAAAAAAAAGTTTCCTTTTTTTTGTAAGTGACTGCAATAAGCTTCTGTTCAGGAGTTATTCCTACATGGACCAACAAGATATCTCTCAATTTATATGTTTTTGTTTCACAATTAAGAGGTCACTTGTTAATTGAACATATGACTTACTACAGTAACTGAGCATACTGTGTTGTCATTCTTCTTGTCATTAAAGTAAAACATATTCACATTTAAATATACATTGAATAAATTCCAGAAATTTACTTTTGAACTCTTCATGTGCATCATCTATCAGCAGTAGTGTGTCATATACAGTTATATAATCATGTGATGGCATTTTATATAGAATTCTTACATAAGTTGTCTGAAACAGAGGCTGAGATGGATTTCTGGCCACAGCACTAGATCTGATCTGTTAGGATTTGATGAGAGATAATGAGACAACACATTTCCTCACAGCTTTCCCTAAGCCAGGAAATCACATGGGCATAAGCATCATAAATGATAACTGGAGAAAAAAAGAAAAAAAAAGGGCCGGGAGAAATTTTAATGTTCTTTTCCTCCTCTGAACTCGACTGAACATGCACAGCTGGGGCTTTTGTGTGCACGACGGCGATGGCAGGGCATATAGAAATGCAGATTAACATGAATGCATGATTATTTTTCCCTTTATGAGATCATCTCATATTCACGTATGGCTCCAGTTGACACGCAGCTGTGCCTCCAAAGTGAAAAATACACGGACCTGAGAAGAAGCTTTTGGTACTGCAGGAGTACTCATGTAAAGACAGATTAAGAGACATAGCACTGCATCTTTCATCTGGCCTTGAATACCTTTGAAGCATATGTGGCTTCAGAGTGCAACACTGCAACGCCAAAGCTGTTGATAGACACAGACTTCATTTGTATTTCAGAGGGCACTTCCGCTTAAAGCTGCTAAGAGTAGAATTTGCCTCCAAACAGATAGCCCCTGAGGATTAGTCCTTATAATCTGCCGTTCACTGATCCTCGAAATCATACTGTCTGGGTGCTCAGAAATCAGCTTACAGTAGTTCAGACAGTAGATGGTGTGAGAGCGGGATTGCATGCTGTGCAGGCTTTATGTACAGCTGCAATGAATGAGAAAAAGACAATTGTTCCGAGATCGTCACTTCCAACATGCACAGAGGATGTCGGCTAATGTAGCAGAGTCCAGTTTTCTTGTATGCCGGCATGCAATGGTCGCACTGTGGTTTAAGAGTAAGGCCTGTTCTGCATGGCTTATCCACACAGATGCCTGGGGTATAAACTGAGCATCTCTGGACTTTAATTTGAAAATCCAGAGCAGGATACACAAGCCAAACCCAGGATTTCAACAGTTCAGAGAACAGAGTGATGACAGTGCGAGTGGTGTTGAGTCGTTCATGAACAATTCGTTCAAAAGAACGGAACGACGTGAATGGAATCACTCTAAGAACCGATTAGTTCCTTCTCAGTTCAGTTCAGTTGCAAGCGTGGCGGTAGTGGAACTGCCACCCTTGACTCTTTGGCGAGCGGCACACAGCCGGCCAGCGAGCGGGCGGACAGTCGCGTGATTTGCTCACATTGAATTAAAGATATGTATCAATCAGACTGTGAACAAAATTAACGACTTCTGAACGACTTGAGGCAGGCAGAGGAGGGAGGGGCGTAGCGTTGTTTAACAACTGCCGAGCACCAGTTTGTTCACCGAGTCTCTCCACTTTTCCGTGATATAAAAGAACGACGACTCGCGCTTGTTTGGCGGGTGTGCTGCTTGCTTTTGTGTTGTTTCAAACATGTCATGATGCAAACGTTGGCGGCACACAGAGAGGTGAGTTTTTCAGCTCAGGGGAGTGATTCTTCCTTCACGACTTGGCGAATGAACGACATGTGTTAGTCAGACTGTGAACGAAATTAACTATTTTCCAACAACTTGAGGCAGAGAAAGGAGGGAGGGGAGTAGCGTTGTTCACAACTGACGAGCACTGGTTGGTTCACCGGGTCTCTCCACTTCTCCATGATATAAAAGGACAACTTGTGCTTGTTTAGTGGGCGTGCTGCTTGCTTTTGTGTTGTTCCACTTGCGTCACGATGTGAACGTCTGCGGCACACAGAGAGGTGAGTTTTTCAGGGGAGTGGTTCTTCCTTCACCCAGTGAATGACGCTGTGACTTCAGCACCCGGCAGGACGGGGCTCTGAAGCTCTGACCGATTTGGTGAACGAATCTTTAGAATGAATCATTTTAATGAACAGATTCTAAAGATTCAGTACAGTCAAAAGAACTGTTCTTCCCATCAAGTGCGAGTGGATAAGACACAGAGACCTTTTACATGGACAGACTTTTATATAGTTTGTAGAGCATTAAATCAGACAACTGTCCCTTTTTTTAAAGTGTTACAGTATATTAAAGTTTAATTACAAAGACACTTGGGCGGTCATTGGGTGCAAATTACCAGATGGTAAAAAGGACATGAAGGCTAAAATTACAAGTCCGAGAGGAAACTAATCTTAATGTTCGTCACTGAAAACAGAGTTAGTTGTGTTGATGGGATTGACTTCCATTCCTCAGAACATTAATCCTTAATATCCAGACTGAATTTTCCTGGAAAACACACAACATAATCCACGAGGGATTTTATCACAACAAGTCGCTGTCAAATAAGTTGATTAATTAACCAGCCGTCAGTGGGAAGACAAACTGTGGATAACTCTTAAAACCCACATTAGGGGTACTATTATATTAATGAGGGGAATTCCGGTCATGCCATTTTTCGCTATAGACAAAGCAAACATGTACAAGTGTGGTATTAAACAGCAGATCTTCAACCGAGTCTAACATAAAACACACACACAGTTAAGGACAAACAAAGAACACAAAAATTAAGTTAGAAGTCTAATCATTCTGCATGTCAGAGGTGATATCAAATATAAAAGAGCTATAGATCATCTGATATTGCTTACGTAAGGACAGTCCCGTTTGGAGCGATTTCTCAAAAATAAATTACTGAATTGGACCGTAGGCGTCACTTGTCTCCTCATCAGGACTGGCTGCTTAAACCCCTCTCTGCTCTCTCTTTGCAGTATGGAATGTCATACAGTACTCGACTCCAGATAGGGCACAGTCAAATCAATCAAACACACACACAGTGGACACTCTACGTTTGGCTCCTTTCACAATATCAAGGGAAATGTTAATGGATCCCAATGTGAGGGAATGCTGCATCCTCCTCGTCTCTCTGTACTCAAAGATTTATTTTTATGCAGAACTGGACACAGCCAGTTTCTTCAAGTGGTCCATGAAGACCTGCAGACTGACGTCATCGGTGAGGATTGGTGCTCCGGTCTCCTACAAGGATAGATAAAGATTGATTGAGTGTTTGACTCACTCTACGCACAGACTTTTGTATGACATAACTCTGATCACATGATCCCTGCAATATACAGCTAACACTTCCCGCAATAATCTCATTCCCAGTCGTAAACGTATTCACAGTGTCACAGTGTTTATATTCTGCAGGTTAGGGTTCAGTTCCGTCTTGACTTAAGAAATAAGAGATTAACACGTTCAATCTCTTTCACTTAAAGCCAGGGTTAGCTAATCTTAGACCTGTGTGCCCCACAAGTTCGACTTCAAATCTTCTGCGTAGTACAGATGGTTTTTCATTAAGAACATGTACAACTCTGACGATAAATAAAGTGGTTGTTTTTATTTCTGTGGTGAGAGAAAAATTTTTAAGTATAACATTTTTATAAAACGTGAAAATAAAACCCCTATTACTTTAAGTGGACAAATACACATTGGCCTTCATTTATCAAGCTTGCATTCGGCAGAAAACTAACATACACTGTGCACACATTTGTGACGTGAGGATCGGCATTTATCCATCTGCATATGAGCGTACATCAGGTCTGACATCGTGTACGCAAGTTTGAGCAAATGTCTGTCTGAAAATAATGGATATACAAACCTCAAACCTGTCATTAATCACCATCACCAAATAAAATAAAATAAAGTACATTTGTTATGTCCTCAGTGAAGAAGCCTATTTGATACCTCTGCCCAGAAACACTGCCACAGAGCAGGAGCGCTGTTTCAACATTACGCACGAACGCCACTGTGGAGCGCTGCGTTTGACTCCTAAAAGGCAGGTGTCTCTGTCTTGGCTCAGCAGCGGGGACGTTGTTGTACACTCCTGAAAGGGTGTGGGACATCATTTCAGCCACTTCAGTTTTGCACAATGTTGCACTGGCGAATGGAGTGCCGTTGGCTGTGCCAGTGCAACGGGAGGACTTGATGCCCGAGGCGAGGCTTCTGAACCACGAATACTTAAGGGTGTGACATGTTAATGACGATAGATTACAGCCGCCGCATTTATCAAGACCCGATCATACGTACGCAGGGATAGGTTGGACATGAACCCTTTCATAAATCTAACGTGCTTCCTATCGTACGATGAATCCTGCGCTCAGTTTTACGCAAGAGTGATAAATGAGGGCCATTCTGTTTTGAGCATTATCCATTTCTACTTTAGGCCAATATATGATGTACTAGGGCCAAAATAAAATCCTGATTTCTTCCACAGAAAACTTAAAGAATAAGTTTTTCTATAATCTCTCAAAATTAAACCATTGAAAATAATGTAGTGCATACGCCAAGCCAGTCAGTGTCGCTGTACTGCTGCAGGTTGATACCGCCTTCAGACAGACTTTGCAGCGGGGAGTGGTTTGCTCTTCATCCGAAAATGCGACACCGTACCAATTCCACACGACTGACTTGCTCTCGCCCCATTTAGCCACGAAATTATCGCCTTTTTTTGCAAACGCCATGTTTGTTTACACAGGAAGGAGACGCCTACTGTGGCCTGGAGGCGCTAAACGATTTGACGCGGATTCCGATTTATGATGGATTAATCGTGCAGCTCTATAATGTACATTTACATTACAAATGGCAAAGAACAGTTAGCGGTAGCTGGTAACACCCGTACCTGTCCCCAGGTGTAGAGGTTGTTGTGGGTCTGAGATGGGTTGACTTTGGAGAGCAGGAAACGAGCCTGTGAGCCTCCGTGCTCCGTGTCGATGTAGCGAGGCATGGGGAAGCGTGTCTGCAGGATCTCCTGGGCGTCATCCAGAGGAGCCTGCAGCAGCTGTTTGAAGTTCTCATACTCCGCCATTTCTTGGTAGCCTGCCTTTCGCCATTGTGCGATAGTCTAGGAGTAAAGATGAGAGTTTAATTGTTAAAGGATGCCCTGTTCTATCTTCTGTATCCTGAAGACTGTTTTTTAAAATCAGGATAAAGGTCATTTCCCCTCTGTCTCACCTCTCCATGGTAAATAACAAGCTGGAAGAAAGTGTCCATCAGCAGGATTCGATCTGGCAAGATGCTGCTGCTGTCCAGGAGAACAGGCTGTAAAGAACGCAAAGATCCAGGTTATAGTTTGGACTAGAGGACTAAACAAACCAACAGTGGTTAGCTTCTCTGGCAGGAGCATGCTGAAGCTTGGAGGGAAGTTCACATGCTCTTCTGACTGAGATAGTAAGAGTGTTGAGGGTGTGAGGCTGACCTCTGGTGGCCCGTGGAAGGAGTAGGCGTAGAGGATGGGCTGGATCATGATTAGTGACTGGGTCAGGTCCTGCCTGACAAAGTGGTGCCTGTAATATGAAGACTCATCAGGGCTGTTGTTGAATACCTGCAGGAAAGGTGATCGCCGCAGGTGGAACATAAACTGGAGAAAAAGAGAAAAAGAAAAACAAGTTTAAAACAAAAACAGGTTAAGGTTAAAAAAAACCTGACAGGGTAAACCTGAATCTGAACAAATCAAGAGAAATTCCTCTAATAAGAAGTGATGGACTGATATTTTAAAGTGAAGTTGGTCATTTCCACATGTCTCCACAAGATGGCAGGTTTACCTGTGGGTAGAGGGACAGAGACTCTGACAGTCTGAAGGATGTGGGATCGTCTTTATTGAACTGTCCAAACTTCTGACACTGTAACCAAGAGAGACAAAAAGACATTCAAACAAATCTGTCATTGTCCACGTAAAACAGCAGCAGAATGACGCTGAACCGCTTATAATGCCCAAGAATCCTAAGAACGCATGTACGTAGAGGTGTCGGTGTGGGCGTGTCACTCACCAGGCGAATGAGCTGCCTGTCCAGCCAACGCAGGACATCCGGTCCCTCTTCTGACTCCGCTCTGAAGACGCCCAGACGAGCCATGAGCACGGCGGCCGCTTCCTGGTCGAATGATGACTCGATGTGCTGGATTTGAGATTGTGCATCTGCCCAGCTATTAAAAAGACAAAGAGGACGGAGGAGAGAGAAAGAGAGAGAGAGGGTGGAGGAAAAGGGGAGGACAGTGTGGGTTGTTAGTTGTGGGTGAGAACAGGGTGTGGTGGCGGTGACGCAAAGATACAGGTTTAAGGGTGTCACCACAAATGTCAGGTATGTAAACATCCCCTCAGGCTGAGCTAATATTGACTCCAGCTGACATTTTCTCTGACTGAATGCCAGGTAAGGGATCAGGGACATACACGTTAAACTCGCTTCAGCGCTCCATCTGTACATAACTTTTCTTGTTAATAATAATCAGGGCTGGGTATCAATTCAGATTTCCCAGATCAATTTGATTCAATATTACAAGGTCCTGATTCGATTTGATTCGATCCAATCCTATATTGATTCAGTCAGGGATATCAAGACTCACCTTCTTCACCAGGCTTTTTACTAACTGCCTTTTGATATTTCTCTTATTGCAAATGTTCATTTTAATCGAAGTTTTTAATGTTTATTTTGTCATTTTATTGATTATCTCTCTTCTTAGTCTTTTTCGTAATTCCCATCACAGGTTTTTCCTTCTTTTACCCTGTTTTTATTTGGTAAAGAGCTTTCACTTATCTCTTCATTTAATATTATTTTTTTGTTTTAGTCCATCAGGTTTTAGTCTTTTTACCATTTTTATCTCCAGTGTTTCCTAAAGGTAGCTCTTTCCTCACGTAATGTCTCTGTGTCAGGCCATGTCTCTTCAACAATATATCTTGAATTCTCACACTGTGTGCGGCTGTGTGTGTGTGCGGGTCCATGGGTGTGTGTTTGGGTGGGAGGGTCGGTTTTTATTGTCACAAATTGTTGTTTTTAGTCTGTGAGACACTTTGAACTGCAGTTTTTGTATAAAAAGTGCCGTACAGATAAAGTTAAATTTGAATCAGTTAAAATAATGCCGTAAATTTGACAAGTTACTTTTAACAAGGTAATCAGAATTAAGAATTAAACCCAAACCAGTTACACTAATCATGTACTGTTATTCAAACATTGAATTAAAATAACTTACAAGGCAAACAATGTAAATGTGTAGCTATAAACATAATATAAACAGGTCCTCCAGCTTTTGTGCAATAATACCACAGTGGTTGGGAGACACCCAACTGTATCAGAACACAAACAAGGATCTTTTGACTTCTAGATAAATGTAAGGGAATTGAAATTGTGCAATAAGTAAAGGTTTTTTAGAGCATGGTCTTGTAAATTGTATATTAACATACAGTGTAAAACTGAAAAACGCTGATCAACATGTTGAGGAGTGAGGCAGCTCCTTTTTGCCGTGACAATACCACCAGCGGTGGGAAAAAAACACCCTCGGGTGGGACCCTGGTACCCGGTACACATCAACACCTGCTCCAGGCTGATTCATCGTATTGCCACTGTGTTTTACCTTCCCGTTGAATATTTAGCATATTATTCGTTTTTTGTCCAACTTGTTAAATCCTAAATACATCCAAACATCAGCTTTTAAACGTGTTGGCGCTAACTTTAGAGGTGGACTCGCTTCCGCCATGTTTGTTTGCCTGTTGGCAGTAATATATCATGAGATTTTGTTCAGTGGAAAGCAGCGCTAAACGCTGATCACGTGAGACTAGCAGGGTTGATACTTCAGGCCGCTTCTCCTCACGTCCAGTGAAGAAAAAACTACCAAAGTTAAAAGATCGATCTTCAGATTTTATGAATCGATTATGAACCATTTAAAGGGAAATCGCCCTAATAATAATACAAACAAATCATTACAGAGTGTCTACGCTAACTTACTTCCTGGCGACGGTGGTGACTCTTATCCTCTTCTGTGTGTTGGAGTGCTGGTACTGGGTAACGAACTGGATCACGCCTCGACCACCTTGGGGAACTGGTGCATTGTGCTGCACAAAGAAACAAAAACAGCCACAACATCATTTCTATGTGCCTGATAGATGTTTTTCTTCTGCTGCGGCGTCACTAAACAACGCCTTTATCACAGTTATTCCTTTGTTTGAAGCTGAACTCTCAGACTTAGATTCCCTGTCGATGCCTCTCACCTGATTCACCACTTCAAAGTACATGCCCAGGGTGCTGGATGGGTTGAGACTGCACACTTTCCACTGGCTTGTGCCACCAATGCCCATCTCCTACACAGAACAGAGAGCACATTGTGCGACGGTGAATAACGGCCGTTCGAATACAATTGAACTGTGAGAAGAAAGGCGAGACTTGTGCTCACATTCTCTGATACGCAGGGACCCTTGGAGTTGAGTGAAACACACGGCCCGATTGCCCCGCAGACCTTCAGCTCCCTTGATGTCTACAAGGACACGAGGACACAGAGCATAAACCCAACAGCTACACCAAAAACGATAGGTTATCAAACACGCGGCAAACAGAGATTTTCTTTACCTTAACGTCTAGGACGCCTCCGAAAGCCATGCGGAAATCTCCGTTGTAGTCTTTGCTGAAGACCCTCTGGAAGGTCTGCTTGAACAGTGACGTGTTAAACGAGTCTCCCATCACAATGTGGCCCCTGTGAACCAATCAAAACAAACGACATTTTTAAAAAGGTTACACCTGTGTTAAAAAAATCTACGCATCCCTGATAGAGACACACACGCTGTCACACCTTCAGCTAATAAAATGGTTAGTGCTGACGTACCCGGTGAGATTAGACAAACACTTCATCTCCAGCAGTCCAGTCTGGTCCAGAGCGCAGGCGTAGATGTCAATGCTGTGGCCGTTCGTCGCTGAGCGGTTTGCCATGGCTTCATAGTACTGTGGGACAGATAAGCAATAAAAACAGGTCACTTACAGGCAGTGAGTTTACCCACAGTAGATAACATATACAGTGTATCTTTGATTTGAAATAACAATTACTCAAAATCTGAATCTACTCAACTGCTCGAGCACTTGCTCACCTTGGTGGCTTTCTTCAAATGCCGAGCGTTGTCTTTCTGGATGTCGTGCCACGAGCGGATGGGGGTTTTCAGCTCATCTCCCACCACCATGCCCGGGCCTTGGGTTGGGGGACCGCCGATAAACAGCATAACACGAGCTCCTGTGTTGGGGTACGTGCCCTGAAGGCAAGAGAAGAAGAATTTGGGAATGCTGTCGAGTAAATCTGCCTCACCTCACAAGTTCATGACTTAACGATAACCAAAGAGTTAAAGAGCAGCTGGACGGAGTTTTTCATTTTCTGCTGATTCATTTTCTGCAGCCACTAAGGACAAAAGCGGTAGTGTTTTAGCATGTATTGTCGTAAAGACACTTATTTGGCTCGCATGTCAGGGCTCAGAGCTGCTCTGCCTGTCTGTCTCAAGACTTTGTCACTGTTTGTTTAGTGACAGTAATGTGCACGTTTTCAGTGCAAAATAAAGAGAAAAAAGCGCATCGTCTCTGGTCTGAGAGCTGTAAATCATTAGGACAGCGTCTTAAAAAGGGACATGAGACCATAGCCTACCTACACACATCCAAGCCAACTTTTATTCATGTATTTCTTTGACACCAAATATATTGACAGGGACAAAACGATGTCAGTTATCGTTGTAAATCTCAGTATTGGTAAATTTTCGATTTATCACCCAGCCTTATTTTAAATAGTTTTAAATTTCAACTTGTTTTCTTTTCTTAATTATGGGAAAAGCTGAAATCCAGAAGTTTGCTGAATATATCTAAATATGGAGCGTAACAAGTCTGAATTACAGCTGTAAGGAATCAGCTGGGGTAACAAGGGCAGACCACATAGACAAAGATTACGACTAAGTTCATAGTCCAAGATTCTGGGAAACTGCTGAGGCGTTTAAAAATGGGCCACATAGTTACAAAGCCACTGGGAAGGGAGCGGTCCATTTAATAAGAGCATTTGATAAGGAATTCTATGCAAATTATGACTCATTAGAAAAAGGGACAGCCAGTCCTTTCTCACAGGGAACAACGACATAAATACACCTGCATACCGCTTTTCACAGTCATGTCAGGTATGTAACAGAGCCGTTCATCGAGCCACATGCCTCTCCACAAATCAGTGAATCACTGCAAGAGCCAACTTCTTCTAATCAGGCTTCATCTCTTATCTGCTGACAAGAGAGTACAGCAGAGTAATGATCTGTTGCCCCGGTTACATAACCATGCAGATTAGCAGTAGGAACAGAGAGGATAATGATGGTGGAGAGAAAAAGACAGAAGGCAAACAAGGAAGCAGCCTTTGAACCGAGCATATGTACTGTTCCTGCAGAGTCAGTTATCAGGCAGACTGTGGATTTCTAAACAATTACACGTGGCACGATTGTTTTGAGCAGGCTAAAGTTCTGGCTGCTGGATGTTTTAACACGGTTGTTTTAAAGGATGTCGGTTTGAAATAGGGCCGGGTGATAAACTGAAAATTTACCGATACTGAAATTTACGACAATAACAAACATCATTTTTTCCATGTCAATATATTCTGTGTCAAAAAAATAAACAAATAAAAGTTGGTTTTGGATGTGTGTAGGTAGGCTATGATCTCATGTCCCTTTTAAGACGATGGAGGACGGTTCAAAAGTTGTTGCGGCTGAAGTAGACGAAGTTAATGTGGGATGGGGTGAGCAGCTTGTGGAGTAGTTATCGTCCATTTATGGTTATCGAGGTGAACTAATCAATATATTGTGATATTGATTAGAGGCCATATCGCCCAGCCCTAGTTTGAAAATTCAATTTCAAGAAAAGGTTTTAGTTAGTTTAGCTTCAACCACACATCGTGAAACAGTGCCTTCATAGTTCAGCGTTATATCCAGCACTTCATGTATCATAGTGTGTCTGTGTGTTTGTGTGCTTGAGAACTGTACCTCCAGCAGACCAACAGCGACAGAGAGAGCGACACCAGTTGAGCGGAGGGGTCTTTTGCCCTGAGGTACGGGCCATGGGTCTCTCTGAAGCTCACCGAGCAAGTCAGTCAGATTCATGTCCACTCTGTGCACAGGCTGAAGGAACCTGGATAGGGACACACGGCGTGGTTTAGACAAGAGACAGTATGATTGTGGGTTTTAACCAGTTGCTGACTAAGACAGGTGTCAAGTTTTCACGCTCCTCCTTACTTGCAAGAGGCTGCGGCGTCCTGAGGTGCAGGTGGGCGACCTTGTTGTCCTGCTGCTCCGGGCTTTGTTAAACCCAGCATCTCCTGAAACACAAAATAGAGGATAATTAAGATAAATAAAAGATTTTTTTAAGGTACATCGATGAAGCCTTTTATGTCTAACCCTAGAAAACTGAACAGAAAAGAGTAAGAAAAGGAAGGGCGTGACAAGTGGGAAAGGGGCCGCAATTTGAAATCTAAAAGGCGATTTTTGATCAATCAAAACAAACAGATACGGAAACTCTAACCCTGGCATCTGTCACTCATTTATTTATCTCTCCATAGTTCTAACTTTTCGGTTGTGTTTGTCTCCACCCACCTGGATCTGTTTGGCAGTGAGGTCTTTGGTTCCCCTGAACACATAACTCTTGGCAATCCCCTCACAGCTGAGTTCATGAACCTGAACCATGCGCCCGAACGTGATTAGGCCCACCAGGGCGTTTGGTGGCAGCAGGCTGAGGGACATCTGAAGGGACTCTTTCAGGGCCTGGAGATCCTCTTCTTCCAGACATGTGTCCACCACGTACAAGAAGATCAGAGGGGCTGGGGGTCCACGCTATAATAAAGAGGTTAGAGAGGGAGGATATCAACACATTAGCTCTGCGTACACAGGTCTGAGAAAGTTAAGAGAATACTACAGTTGGTGCAGCGTTATCAGGAGATCATGTTACCTTTGACAGCAGTATGCAATATTTATAAGGCTACACTTGCTACACACAGAAAAAGCCGGGCTTCGTTACAAGTTTGAAGATGTTCCAGTATAATTTTAACTGCCAATATTAACATCATCCTGCTCTTAACTACTTTAACATTTAGAGAATATTAAAGCACTGAGAATGCTCTCCTAGTCCACAACAACGTTTTAGAAGTTTTTAAGTTGCAGGATGAGACCAATAAATCAATCTGACCTACAATTTCAAACGAGAGCTGTCAGCTTTAGGGTGTCATCATCACAAATCGTTAATATACACCTTTGCTCCGTACATGCAATCTCCATGTATAGGGGTTAGGGTCAGAGTGCAGGCATGTATACGGTATTTACCTGTACTATGTACTCAATGGTTGAAAACTGTGGCATGAGTTCAGCCGGTTGGTTCACTTCTGAAATGCCTGCATAAGAAGGAGGGAACTGCAAAGACACAGAGAGGACAGGATGAACCAGACAGTTAAAGGAATGCAGCTCGTCTACATTAAGAATTAAACGCAAGATTATATAACTAATGAATCTGTGATTATCCAACTAATTAACACTGATGACTTTAATACTTACTGGGTTTCTCTGGAAGCAGAAGTTGCACGCCCATATCTTAGCTCTGAAGTCAACTTGGCTGTGTGGAAAGAACAAATCAATTAAAAGGTTTGCACCGGCCTGGTAGGGGTGTAGCTGTGACTAAGTGTTGTTTACACAAAGTTGTATTCCCAGTGTTTTTTTAAACCACTCCTACTGCTTGTGACACATCAGCATTTGTAATTGCTGATGTGTTAAAATACTAGACACAACAACAAATTCAGGTCCCTGCAGCCACCTTTGGCGGAAAATTAAAGATCTTGTGCATTCAGATTTGAAAACAAAAAATACACGAGCAGTTAGGGATGGGCGATAAATAATCATTGTTGATATATCATCAGAAAAATTCTCGATGATCAATATTTGCCGTCTCATGATAAGTACGATAAATGCAAATTAAATGCAAGTTATCACCCAAACAGAGCAGAATAACAAACAAACATGGCCGAAGGTAACGAAGAAGACGTTTCTGAGCAGCTCGTTACTGAACGAGGCTCCACGTGAGGGAGTTCCTTCAAGATTGGGGTTTAGACGAGTGAAATCAGGTAAATGTTGAAAATGTTTTCACTTGTTTGATATCACTAGTTTTCTCCATAACCTTCAACTCAAACTTGTGGTTAAAGATCTTATTCGACTATTCTAACTGGTGTCCTCAAGACAAAATGATTCAAAAACATATATATAGGAATTATAATCTTTTTTATCAGGACTTTTATCGTTGTCGCCAGAATGGAAAATCTTATCCTGATAATTTTTTAAGCCCATATCGTCTTTTTCTTTCTTAGTTACTCACCAAAGTGGGTTGAGCACTGCCTTGCAGTTGGCCCGGCTGCACAGAACTGGTTCATACTGAACAGGTGGCAGGTCAGGTCTTTCCTTGAGAGGTGTGAAGAGGCAGGAGACTGGGACCACTAGCCTGGTAGCTTCCAGACGGCTGGACGGCCAGAGGTTCCAGCTGAATCTTACTCCATCCCTGTCCTCGTTCTGTTGGATGAACTCCTGGTAGGTCGCCATCAGCGTGCTTCAGTAGAGAAAGAGTCCAGTAGACAATAGTGAGGTCGACGGTCGAACAGAGAACTTGGTGGAGTCAGTTTACACTGTTCCACTCGTCTGAGTGAATTGCTCTTTATACAGGAACTCCTTTCACTCCCATGCCAAAATAAGACGTAGGCATTCAGAAGCGTGACGTAGATATGTGACATCAGAAACCTGACAAACTTGTTTCGATAAGGACAAGAATAGTGTCGAGGAATCCTATTGGTATTTTTAGGCTCTACCTTTAACAGTGTGTCAGTGAAGTAGTAATGATGCCTTATTAAAAGTGTTACCAAGATCCTGTTATGGTTACAACAGACACTCCCTCTGTCTCACTGATATCAGGAGGAGCTGTATGTCTCCAAAGTACATACTCCAATTTAACAGGTTAAAATTAAAACGGGACAAGTTTGTACTGTGTTGAACCACAACTGTTTTATTATCTGTTAATTTATTTTTAAAGCCTATAAAGTATCAGAAATCAGTGTCAAGTCAGTAACCAGTTTCAGATCCCAAATCACAGTTTTTTTGACAGATAGACCCAAATGCAGTTTTATTTATTTTACTGCAAATAAAAACAACCCTGTCAGTTTAAGAGCTTCATCTAAGCTTAATATGAATCAAATAATAATTATTGTAAATGTAAATGTTTCTTGACTTGTACAGCCCTTTACAACAACCCTTTAGGTGAACCAAAGTGCTACTGGGTATTAAAAACCAGCTCAAATAAATACGTTTTCAACTCAGATCTAAAAATGCCCAGGTCAGAAATCAGTCTCATTTCGGTGGGAAGCTTATTCCAGAGCCTGGGACCAGCGACTGAAAAGACTCGGTTACCCCAGAGTTTGTGTTTTGATCTGGGCACTTCCAGCAGAAGTTGGTTTGACGAACTCAGAGCTCTACCTGGCTCCCAAAGGGTTAAAAGCTCAGCTAAATAGATAGGGGCGAGGCTGTTAAGAGCTTTAAAAACAAACATCAAAAGTTTAAAATCAATCCTATAAGAGACGGGAAGCCGATGAAGGGAGCGAAGGACAGGAGTGATGTGCTTACATCTGTTAGTATTGGTTAAAAGATGGGCAGCAGCATTTTGAACAAGTTGAAGGCGTCTAAGAGATGACTGGGAGCTGCCAACATAAAGTGCATAACAATGGTATTACATAAGCATTATAGTATTAATAATAATAATAATAATGAATGAAAACAGAGACAAATGACAGTGGTTTTGTTCCTTAGGTGTAGTTAGTTAATCGACTCTGTATTTCTAGATTACTGGCCAAATTAAATCTTAACCAGAACCCTAAAAGGATCCCCCTCAGTCCTCTCTGTGTTGTTTGATACTTCCCAGCCTTGTTTAAATACTGAAACCTGAGGTGATCCGCTTGAGCAGACAGAAAAAGTGACTCTGATGTCCCAGTTTGGTATTGAAAAAAGGGGTTTTCTATTCCAGCTGTCATTCAAAAACCGATTGGCTGACTATAGGGCTGGGCAATAAAATGATAACGATATCAATATGATATAAATATGCCATGATAGTCGGCATTCTGCCATGGTTTGGTAGACTATACAAATAGCCAATCAAAAGAGGAGTTGCTCCGGGTCTCTGCTGTGCTGAACCGACCATTCAGTCTGCTTTCTCTAGCGCAACACCTTACAACAAAACGTCAAAGAGACACAAAGACGCACAGATGCAGTAGTTCAAGTCCTGTATTGTACTGCAAAAGACATGCAACCAGTAACTACTGTTAAATTTCATTTAAGAGTGAAGGGCCTTACGCACCAGGGCTGATGCAAATATTGAAGGCAAAACTATGAAATATTCGGAGGCGAATTTTGACGCGCCTGATTCTACACATCAAGCCCGATGCGAAAAGACGCATCCCGGGGAAGACTTCCCTGGAGTCTACTTAAACTTCAAGTGATGGCAAATTGGTACTTCTTTTGCTTTCTCAAAAGAAACATAGCACATGGGTGCATCGAGCTGAAACTGTACCACAGTCGCTTCAGAACCTATTTTTGGATGTCTGTTGGACAATTTGAAGTTCTGCTGAAACAATTAGCTCAAAGTTTGAAGAGGCAGAGGACTACACACTAGTGTTGAGATGGCTTTCTGTCATGATAGCATGTACTGAGTCAGTACCAGATATGCACATGAAACTATGTTAACAACCGTTAGCTCAGTTAGCACAGATGAAAGTTAAAACAAAGACGTTTAGCAAACTGTTCAAGCACACAAACCATCGTCATTTCACAAATCCGACACTATGACTCTCCACAAGTTGTCCTTCAGGTCGTCATCTTTGTATTGTTTGTGTAAACGATCATAAACAATCAGCCGGTCAGCCATGTTGGATATGCCGGTGAATCTGACATCGCAACAACACGAAATCTGATTGGTCAGAAGTGGACACACAGTATGCGAAACTTTAGAAAAATTGACTATGATCCGAAAAAAATAAATGCCGCAACATCGCAGGATGGGATGTGAACGCTTGTATTGACAGGATACAGATTCGAAAACAAATACTGACGTCGGAAATAATCGCACGAAAAAAACGCTCCCGGTGAGACAGGATCTTAACAGGCAACATTAAAGATGGACTGGTGTTTTTTTTATATTCTGACTTTATCGATATCAACTGATATGCAAAATATATATTGTGATAAACTTTTACCTCTACCACCCAGCCCTAGCTGACCATTATTTAGCCCAGTTTTTTGTCTGTGAAAACTAAAACACTGAACAGTGCTTCGACGTTCCAAGAATCAGTACTGAGCGAAGAGATAACCTTATGTTGACAGGGGGGCTGCAGAACACACAACATCCCTGATAAGACCCTCAGTAAAGGTCGAGATCTGATGTGATCTCAGAGACCACCAACATTCAAGTCAACCATCTCTCATTTAAAACGTTTTCCCGCCTATCGACGAAAGAAATTCGACACGAACTAAACTAATTCAACAAAGATGTAGTGTCCGCCGCATTTACCAAACATCAGTACATTACTGTGACACACAGCTGCGAGCTAAAGCAGGACAGTCGGTCGGCTAGGCTAACGGAATGTAGCATCGGCGTTAACCCACTTCCTGCCCCCTTCGTGAGTGAACAGTCGGCCTCACTGTCGAGCAAAAACCGGCGAGAAAACTTACCTTTGATATGAGGTTGGTCTCTGGACTGGTGAGGAGAAGAATAAGTCGTCTTACTGACAGAAAATTACAGCATTGGGAGGTGAATACACAGGGATGAACAAGAGGGAAAGACGACGGTGAGGGATGACTCCCCGGCCGGCTTCTAGTCTTCACTAGAGTGACGTGTTACTCCAATCTAGGGCTTCTGTGATTGGCTTGTCTTACTGTGACGTTAACAGGAAGTGCCACATACGTACAGGCACAGGGTTTTCATGGGAAATTGAGTATCTGGGCGTTATTTTGTATGGGAACTCGTTAATTTCAACTTCTAACACTTACAAGACTTTAAAGACATTCGTATGATTTTGAATATGTGCAAAAGATTACCATTCTATGGACGCCGAGAACCGCCATTGCTAAAAGTAAAAATTAATGCAAAAAAAAGATGCCACAACAGAAGGTACCAATGCAAAAAAATGTAACCTAAGTCCACAAAAGAAACGGTGCAGATTAAAAAAAATCACACACAACAGAAGTTAAAGATGCAAATAAAAAAAATAAAGAAACCGAAGCCCGCTGCAAATAAAAAAATCACACACAACAGAAGTTACTGATGCAAAAAAAATTAAAAAAATTAAAAAACGAAGCTCTCTGCAAATAGAAAGAGAAACGGTGCAGATTAAAAAAAAAAAACACACACACACACACAACAGAAGTTAATGATGCAAAAAGAAAAAAAAGTTACATACTGCAAAAATAAAAGGACGCAAAAAAAAAAAAAAAAGCCACAATGGACGTCAGCTGCCGGGGACCAATAATGATGATACAGTGGTGTTTTACGAGCTATTTGCAGCAGGCTTCAGTTTCTTTTTTTTTTTTTCATCAGTAACTTCAATAAGAAATTCTTTCAAGATTTTCATTTGAGCACTATAAGGAAGTACTCATAGGCTTAAACCTGCAGACATGACAAACAGCATCTAATCAAGTTGTTGAATCATTTTGGCTCATAAGCAGCTGAAGTTTATGTGCAGGAACATATTTTAACCACATGGAGGCAGCAAAGTCTTGCATAATTATCCAGGTTTATACAGTCTGCTTTTGGTGTTGTTTAATCTCGATTGCAGAAACTATAATCGGTTTGAAACACAAATGAGCAAGAATGAGTTACCTGGAAATGCTCCCTCTATCTTAACTTTGCAGGTTGTACCCATTGAGTTTGTGTCCGTCTATAAATATCTGGGTTTTCTTGCACATATTGCCAGTTTGGTCACCAAACTCAGAGCAAAAATAGATTTCTATTACAGGAATAAATCCTGCTTTCCCTCAGTGCTTGAAAATACCTTGTATCTGCAACCTTTCTTCCATTGCTGAATTATGGAAGAAAGGTTGTTTTATATATGACTGCTTCAGCCAAATGGCCACAGTCCTTAATTACTGTTTATCACTGTTGCACTTCATTACTGGTTGTAGTCACTTAATGCATCACTGCAAACTTTATGCCAAATCTGGCCTATTCTGAGTGTTCGCAAGTACACTCCCTGGATGACTCTAATTCAGTCAGGAACACTTTGTCAAAATTTTTGGCTTTATTGTGCAAGTTTAAATTTGGCGGCATGATTCTGTTTCGGGTCCCTGCCCTTCCACACGCTTGTGTGGAAGCCCGAGGCAGGAAGAGCCCCTTCCTGCCCATCACGAGCCATCATGAAAGGCGATAGCAGGGAGCGCACGCGAGGTTCTGTTCAGGGCCCCCGTTCTCCACGTTGGCATGGGTGAAAGGCCAGCGGCAGGAAGTGCCCCTTCCTGCCCTCCACGAGCCATCATGAAGGCGGAGGCGGCGGGGGCAGAGCAGCAATGAACAGAACCCCCCCGGAACAGGAGCGCTTCGAGGGTAGCAGAGCATTAGCTGGCACAAGGGTGGAGCTGGGGTGGCGGTGGGTTGCTGGTTAGCTGTCAGAGCAGAGGAAGAGGCTGGGTTAGTGCACTTTTAACCCTTTGATGCGCAACATATCCACACCCCCTCTAATGCGCAACATGGGTCTGAAAAGACCCACATTCATTTCCAATGGTATTTCATGCTGGCTGAGTTTTTCTTTGTTCTATCTTTTGAAATAAGTTTATTTTCTGATTGAATATTCCAAGTATTCTTTAAATATCTTGTTTTTGATCACCACTGATCATTATTTCTATTTTTCTTTTCATACTTTATGAAATAATATAGTTTCTATATTATTACATCAAGTTTACACACATGGGTCAAAAACGACCCATTCATCCAAGTGTGATTTAATATTGAATTACCTAACACTATATTAATAATTTGTTTCAAGTAATGAAATCAGCAGTGAGTGGGGCCAAACCATAGACTGTATATACCATGGACAACTTGGTTCCGCCTACCGCCTGTATACGGATTTGGAGCCAAAAAGCTCTTGGTATTTCCGGGCCTTTTTACATTTCTGAAACCAGAGCTGCGCAGTTGCGATGCGTGCATTCGCCCGTGCAGTCGCAGAGATTCGCTGTGATGACGCTCGGCTCAAACAGCGTGTCCCCCCGGGAGAGCTACGCAATCCCTGAACGCCAATAGGCTGTATCCATAGACTGTATATACTATGGACAACTTTGTTCCGCCTACTGCCTGTATACAGATTTGAAGCCAAATAGCTCTCAATATTTCCAGGATTTTTCTTCATTTCCTGAAACCAGAGCTGCGCAGTAGCAATGCGCGCATTTGGCCGCACAGTTGAAGAGAGTCGCTGTGATGACACTCGGCTCAAACAGCATATCCCTCGGGAGAGCTACGCAATCCCTGAACGCCCATAGGCTGTATCAAGTGTCAATCATAGCAAACATGAACTCCCTAATAACTTTTAAAAATGGAGCTACACAGAAAAAAAGAGGACTTGAGCACAAACCAGTCTGACAGTAACTACATGTCAACATCACAATCAGGAGGGATAAAAAATTATGTTCTGTGTAATAAATTTTTTAAGTTAGTCCACAGCTCCATAAGGTTTGCTGGCGGAGGTAAACAGGGGGTGCTGTTCTCGGCTTCACCCAGCAAGGAGGCAGACGCTTTCCATTCTAGTCTATGGGCCAAACACTTTTGTATTTTGTATCAGCAACATGTTTATTTGTCATTTTGTCACATACACATGCGTCTGATTATAGCTAGCTGAAATAACGCTAGCTGTTTTACCTGTAACTGTGTAACTTTCCAACATGTAATGTCCTCACTCTCAAGGTAACCTAAACCTAATCAAATCAAATCTATGTACAATTATATTTCACAATTGTCATCAAATAATTTCTAAGATAATGTCAGAACAATTGAAAAACCATACTTACATGTATTAGACGGTCTTTTCATGCTAAATGCTACAGTCACTGTATGTGGGTCGTTTCTGACCCATGTATGTAAACTTGATGTAGAAATACAAAAGCTGTGCTTCCTCATAACATAAGAAAGAAAAAATAAAAAGGATTATTCATGCTCAACTAAAACAAGATCTTTACTGCACTACTACTACTACTACTGAATAGTAAATGATAAAATTAATTTATTTCAAAGATATACCATAGAAACACTCAGCCATACATGAAATAACATTGAAAATGGATACGGGTCATTTTAGACCCATGTTGTGCATTAGAGGGGTAGTGATACAAAAACGATTTTTATTCTAAAAGTAAAAAAAGAAAAATTAACATAAGGATGTAGGGTCGTCAAAAACAAGTTAATTGAGGAATTCCTTGAGTACCGACTGATGGAATTAATTTTTTGAAAAGATATATGAAATTTAAACTCAGCCGGGTCTTTTTTGACCCATGTTGCGCATCAAAGGGTTAAATAAGGCGCTCTATAGGCAAAGGACCAATAGGAGCTAGGAGTGAATCAGCTGGTTATCATCTGGTTGAGGTGGCTACTTGCCATTGGCTGCAGATCAGCGCTTGACGTCGTGTCCTGACAGAACTAACGCTATGCTTCATTTTATAAGGTTCTTCTTGGTTTAGCTCCTTCTTACTTATGCACTCTTCTTCAAAAGACTGAAAGCCACTACACCTTATCTATCCACTGTTTTCCATGAACCTCTGAGGTAAAGAGTTTTTTTTTTAACACAAGACATTTATATCATGAAGGAAAAGTTAAATTTATTTATAAAGTGGATTTGATGAACAAAAGAAGACCAAAGATCTCTACTGAGGATACAGGAATAACACAAGTGTGGTCAGAAAATGAAGCTACAAAAGCTCATGCCATTTCACACAGAATAATGGAACAACAGCTGAGACGAGACTCCAGGAGTGAGTCAGTCGTGTCCTACTTAAATGTTCATGAAACCAGAAAAACCAAAGTTGGTCTGAGGGTGGAGTTTGTCACTGCCTTCAGTGGAGATCAGCCCTCACAGTGTCTCTCTCTCTCCCCTCTTCTTCCTCCCTCTCTCTCCTCTTCTTCCTTCCTCTCTTGAAGCTGGTCCAAATGATCCAAACAGCTGCAGCTCCACAAAACAGGAGCAGAGGAGTTAAACTCAGGAAGAACCAGGGCCGAGAGTTTTTGTGACCTGTCAGGAACATTCAGCACCAACATCAGTCAAACACAAACACACTTTCTGTCTCACTGAGATGATAAAAACTGTCAGTCTTACTGTTGATGTCTTTGTCCTCCTGTCCTCTGCAGAGACTGCTAACGTCAATATCAAGTGTCTTTGCTTCAGCAGGGTTTCTTGCCTCACATCTATAAGAGGAAGTGACCTCCTGTCTGTGGACAGTGAGAGGCAGAGAGAGAGCTGAGCTGATCTGGTTCAGTATTTCCTGGTCTTTGTACCACAGCAGAGTCGTCTCTTCAGCTTTATTCAGCGAACACAGAAAAGTGCAGCTCTCTGCGCTCACGTTCAGAGTGTTCACTTCAGGGGATGATACAGGCTATGGGGAGGAGGCACACATACATACACACACACACACACACACACACACATACACACACACACACACACACTGACAGTTACATACACACATCCTGCTTAAAGACTCAGATCCCATGATTATTTTTCTTATTTAGATTCTAGCAGGTGAATTGTGATCAAGAATCAAGAAATATGTCAGAAGTTAAATGTTACCGTAAACTGTGAGTTTATGGCGATGAGTGAAAACTTTCTCTGTTTTGGAGTCAATAGTATAAACCCCAGAGTCGCTCCTCTGCAATCCTCTGAGTGTAAAGAGTCCAGTTGTGTCGTTCCAGAAAAGTCTGTCCTTGTAAGTTTCCTCTATTATCTTAAATTTTCTGTCATTCACCATAGCAATAGTCTTTCCTCCAAAGATAACAAATCCTAACTCCATCACAGGATCAGGAAAAGTGACAGATCCTCCTTGAACACCAGTCAGCTCACTCTTCTCCTCCTCAGCAGCAGATGGGACCATCACTGTTAGAATCAGACAGAAACAACAGAAAGGTCCATCATCAGATAGTTGGAGACTTTCATAAACATCTACAGACTCAAAACCATCTCCAGGAGAGTCCCCGTGGTGCGTTCACTGTCCTCACTTTACTTTATTTTAGGGTATTATCTGAGGACTCTCCTCTGCTGTAAACAGACAGAAAACAGATGAGCAGCTCTCTTTAAAAACATGAGAAACAGACTCTCTGCTTCCTCAGAGTAACAGCATCAATGTTATTCTCAAAGACGAAACACAAATCTTTATTCAAACATGAGCTACATCAAAAACAAGCCGCTTTCTTCTCAAATCTGATGATTTTGATGTAGAATATTTTGTTTTATTTTCATATTTGAGGATTTTAATGACTAAAAGTGCTAAATGTTGCATCAGAGAGCTTTGAGGAGAAATTACTGTCAATAAAAAGACAATAACACCCTCATTGAAAGTAGCTTTAATTTAAAATGACTGAAAAGTTTCAGAAAAACGAATAAAAACTCCAGTAGATTTTTTTGTTAGACTCAACCGCACAGGACTGCAGGAAACTTTTTAGAAAGGCGTCAGATTGAGTGTTCCTCTTTTTGTCTCTAGGATTACGTTTTCACAAACTGAAAATAGATGCTGCAGTTGGTTAAAATCTGCATTTGGACTCTTTCTGTTCAAACTAATAAGGCTGTCTGAGTCTGGTCCAAACCTTTCAGGTCAACAGACCCACAAGAATAACAGCTTTAAAGACCGAGTGGCTAATCATGAGTGAAAAAATAAGAATACTAAATAAACAACATGAAAAATAAACCTCGTACAACAAGATGAGTTTTTTTCTATTTCAGAGACAGACAGGGAGAAACTCTTGAAAGTGTTTTAGTTACCCAAGAATAAGATGATCATCCTCAGGTGTAACTCCATGGTTACTTTTCGGAGGTCAGATCTCTGAAACTTTGAAGAGTGTGTGAAACCTGATCACTGTGACAACCGAGCAAAATGAGGACTGATGTGGAGAAAAGCCTGTTCCTCACACACTGAAGCTTCCTGCTTCAGACCACATTAAAAAAATGTTGGTCTAATAAAGAGTGCTGTACTACGACAGAGAATTAGGGCCAAATTAAGAAAAAAATAAGACTTCAAGATTTAAATCGTTAATTTACAAGAATAAAATCATTACTTTACAATTAAACAGATCATTTAAATAAATCATATTTTTATCAACCCAAGTTTGAGCGTGTGCAGAAGCAGCGAGGCTGGTGGAGCTGCAGGACGGAAGTCACACGTTCTTGGCTGAACAAAGAGAGTTTATCAGTCAGACTACACTCACGTTATTCTTCTAAAAAGTCAAGTTTATTTCATTTTTCATTTCATTCATTTATTCAAATATCTTTAAAAAATATACATAAAAAAATATAAAACATAAAACACAGCAGTGACACAGACCCTCACAGAGTAAAGACTATAAAACACAGGCTGAGGCGTGCAGCACTGATACAACAACAAAATTAAACAGCACACAGACATCTGTTAAATAAACTGTCTTTGAAGATTTGTTTAAGTTTCTATAATGATTTTCATGTTTTCACAGTTACAAAGGATTGAAGAAATTGCATAGTTTAATATTTGTTCTCATTTCTGGTTTTTAAAGTTTGTTTGATTTCCTTCTCTGTAAAAAAATAAACTTTGAATACTCTCAGGTAGCTGTTGAGTTAAACTGACATCTTGACTCTGAACTCCTGAAGGATAAATAAGTAAACTTTTCTGTGTCTTTGTCATTAGACTTACATGTGGATGAGAAAACTTTTAATCTTCTTAAGTGTGTAATTTTATATCCACCCAGGAAGTACCAGATATTTATCATTTAAATAAAGTGAGTTCCCCTTTACAAAACACAGTTTCATGATAAACTGATGCATACAAATATACCAGAATGAACAAAATCAGTGCGGTGCTCTGAACATGTTGTGAAATACAGGTGCATAAAAATTGTGATTCTATGTTTGTCCAAGTATCTTCACTCTAATTTCATCCTTTTCCACATCCAGGTTAAGTTCATCGTGTCTTTTATTACCTTATTTATGTGTAAACCCCTGGACCTTCATGGACTTTAAGAAGAAATAATTCTCCTCCTAAAATGTGAGAAAATAAAAGAATGAGCTACAAACCTAAAAACACTTCTCATACCAGCCTGTAGGCGTGTTCATTTCTGCCATAGAAACTGGTATTTTAACATGGGTTTTAATGAAGTGTCCTTGGTTTTAATGCCCCAAGTGGACATTTGAGGAACTGCAGTTCCTGCCCTTCTGCACTGGCTCTCTTTTCAACACCAGAGGTAGTCCTTAGATGACATTAATTATGATCTGGTACTATGTTCATAAAAACTCCATTAACGGTTGGTTAAAAAATGCAGTTTGGTCACTTCTCTTCCTCAACATCTGGTTTCTTCACATCTTCATCTTCTTGTATTTTTTTACCTGGTTCATCTTAATGAAGGGGTGAAAAGTTTGCCAGCTCACTGTTACCACTCTCCAGCTTTGCTTCATGTCAAGCTGAGCTCACTGCAAAGGAAAGGATCGCTGCTGGAGAGGATATCGATCATCTTCTGACTCGCCTCGGTGCCTTTCTTTCGCACCATGTCGATCACGATTCGTGCTTTGTCCGCTCGCGGTTTGACCCTGGCCGCCTCGTCCTCGGTGTCATTTAACACTTGGAAATGCAGAAGTTCATCCAACAGCTTGTTGAGACCTGAATCAGACATGCGGTTGATAAACTGTGTCCGAACTCTCTGTAGCTCCTCCACTGCTGACGCGTTGCTGCTCATCCTCGACTCGTTGTCCTCCTGAGATGCACTTGAAGATAAAGCTGGAGAAAATGTGATGCAACAATCAACAATCTTTTTTGAGGGTGAAGAAAGAATACCCTCATCTTTGCTGAAAACTCATACAAAAAAAAGCTGAACGCCAAAAACTTGATCTAAAAAGTGTAAAAAGTTAAATTACAAAAAACACGAGTTTTAGTGTCTGCTGAATAACTCAAGGTCTGATGACGATAATGTGTAAAACCTTAAGACTGAGTATTTACCAGGCGGTTTGAGGCGGTACCTCCACACTTGTGTGTCATCTGGATCTCGCACCATCAGAGTGACTTCCTCTGTGCCCGTGGTCAGGGTGACCTCAAACGTCATGTGGTAATTTGGCCCGTAGTTTTCAAAGAACTCTGCCGTCTAGAAACAAAATTCAAACATTTCTTATGATTGTTTACAGCCTTGTCTTCTCAGGCTGCAGAAATGGTTCCTGGTACTCACTGGAGGCTGAATGGTGTAGCCCTCCGGGTCACTGTGGAGGCTGTAGTCCCAGTTTCTGAGCAGGCGACAGTTGGACGTAACTCGGATGTACTTGCAATCTTCATACTGCGCTTTAACCTTTGACAATTAAATCAGACAGCAGACATCAATATCTTTCATACAAGATTTAAAGCGGACATTACTCGCACTAAAAGAGGGTGAAAGTTACACCCAGGTACAGTTCAGTGCAGTTTTTGTGATTAGGAGGATGGTTTTACCTCCGGCAGAGGGACAGTTTTCGGCAGGAGAATTACACCGAGGGGGAGCATTCCTCTGTACGCCGGTTGCAGGAACAGCAGGACTTGACCAAGGACTGGTCCGGTGAAAAAATTTTTGATGAGGCCAAAAATCGACAAGTGAGGTGTTTCCACGACAACGTGAGTGTCAGTTATCTCCAGCGGCTGAATGACGCTCATGCCGTCGTCAGTGATGTGGACGACAGAGAGGCCCTCTGAGAGCAGACCTGTAAATATCCAGAACACCAGCTTCACTTTGTCAGCTCCTCTCAAGTTCAGCTTCACCTCCACAAAGTACAAAAGAGACAAAGTTCATTTTTTCTGTGTTTTCAGTGTTCTTACCAGGTTCAGGCTCACAGTCTGGGAGGTGCAGCTGACGGATTGAGTCCTGAGAACACTCGATGCTGTACAGTGGTCCTGCGGGCACTTTGTGAGCTTGTTCCAGGAGCGTCTCATCCCAGATCAGGGTCTTGTAGAAGGCCTCCCCATACTGGTTCACTTTGAACACCAGCTTTGTCAAAGAGCACTCAAACACACCTTCACAATGAAATGTGAACCTGCAAGAAACAAAGTGTGATTGAATAATTCTGAACTTTTCACCTGTAATCTGTTTCAACATTTTGATCTGTTAAGTAAGGAAGAGCACTGCGTACACCTTAGTTATTATCTTGGTTTTTTCCTTTTTTTTTTAATAGATTTTTACCGATAAAGTGCCGATTTACCTGCAGACGATCATAACAATTAAAGAAAAAGTTCTAGTATTTACAAAAGTGGTCAACTGAAAGTTTCTCTTGAATGTAATTCACTTCAGACAGTTTAATAACCATCAAACTGTCTTTATCTCATAGCTACAGTTTTTCTCACCTGTAAGAAATGCCGAGTTTTTCTTTCATAACCTCCGGTGTGAAGATAAACTTGCTCTGCAATAATAAAAACACACAGAATAAACTTTTTGTTTTTATAGTGAAACCAAATCAAATAGTATTTGTCATAGGGGACACTTCCCACTCCAGCTCCAGTCCTCCATTAAAATCTGTGTTCTGACTAGGGCCCGACCCGGACAATTTTAGCCCGTTTGAGACTAATCGGTAATCGGCCAAAACTTGACGATTTTCGCCGATATCTTCAGAAATAAAATGCGGAGAATAAGATTCGGTTTCACTTCGAAAATGTTCCGCCATTTGAAACCATTTGGTTGGTTTGGTTTGGTTGTTTAAAACGCTTTTCTGGTCCGAGTTTGATCAGTCGGTCTTGCTGTTGGCGTGAAGAGCAGTAGCCTTTTTTTCTAACTTCATAAAAAAAATTTAAAAATCGGCCGATCAATTGATAATCAGATCCCATCCCATTTCACAAAAACCGGACCATCTCACTCAGGGTACTCAAGTCCACATAACGGCAGTGCGCTCGAGCGTGGTCAGCCTGATGCGGTCTCTGAAATGAAACACAGCCATAGTGTGTCTGGTTTAGTTTGACTTCCTGTGTTTTCCCTCCTCAATGATTGTCTACACCTGTGTCCCAGGCTGTGTCCAATATGGCATACTGCCTACTGTCTACTTACCTACTCAATCAGTACATACTGCATACTGAATACTCAAAGATAATTTGAGTATGCCGCGGCTGCCTGAGCGTTTACATACATTTCGTGCCGGCCGGACGCAGCGCCAGGAAAATTTAAATAGTCCTACCACAAGCTACACAGAACGACTGCATTCTGGACAAATTATATAAATTCATTCAGTAATAATATTTTTTCTAGCGAGAAAGTAAGTGTTTACATCACGATTATGAGCCCAGTTGTTTGAAACAGCAGCTGTTTGTAAATTTGTAAAATTGTGTAATGTATCCTGACTTAATATTGTTTATCTATATATATATATATATCATTATTATTGCAATCCCATGTCATCTATTTCTTTTCAGCCTCGGGAAAGAGGGCCATAAGTGCGCAATGCATTGTGGGGCAGAAGCAGTACGTGAAGCAAGCTCCGCTCCATACTCAGAAATAGAAGCCGATTGATACATCCGGGCATTTCTCGCATACACAGAATTTGCAGACTGTACAGTGTGAACGCACTGTCTACTCAATTCAGAGGCGGGGTTAGTAGGAGTAGTACCAGTAGTATATCATTTCGGACATAGCCCCAGTGTCTCACTTGTCTCTCGTTGCTTGTTACCAAGTGTATTCAGTCCTTGTGTTGTCTGTCCTCATTGTTGGTTTGTTGTCGATGTCAGCTTGTGCGTTTCTTCTGTACCTGATGCCCTCAAGGTTTCCAAGTGTCCTTTGGACTTTTGGATTTTTTGTGGTTTTTGTTTGGATTTTTCTGTTGGAATCTTTTGTAAAGTAAGTTTTTGTTTTTCCATTACTTTTTGTTTATTAAACCTTTTTTAAACCTGCATTTTAGGTAAATTTTCTTTTTTTAAACCCTGCCTCATGACAGCTAAGTTAGTGCAGGGTTTTACTGCTTGCTGCAAACTGATTTAGTATCACATCAAATGGGGTGATTCTGCATGGAGGAAGAGGGTTAGAGAAAGGTGATGAGATGCCCAGAAATACTCACATCATCCATCCCTGATAACTCTGCCGTGGAAATGTTCACATGACCAAAAGAAACATCAAAGACCGGGTACAGAGGCTCAGTGAAAGTGGTGTGGAACGTATGAAGGTGGGTCTTTTTGTCTCCAAACAGAGAAAAAAAAGAGAGACTCCCAGCAGACCAGTCCAGAAACAGTCCCAGTCTCCTCTGTCTGGCCATGAATGCTTTCATGTCAATGATGGGGACAGGAATAAAAGTTTCGCTCCGTCCATGATTGAAAGAAAAACCGTCCGACCGAGAGTCATTGCTAATCCAGGCCTTGTTGTTGACTCGGATGTTTGGAGTTAGGTGTCCTTTTCTCTCTAAGTTCTTGTATGCCACACCAACAGTCCCAATTCCCCACCACTCCACCTCCCAGTAGCAGCGTCCAGTTAGACCCTCCCTACACATGACCTGTGACAGTAGATCAAACCTCTCTGGGTGATCAGGATACGGCTCTTCATTATAAGTGGAAGTCACTTTCTTCTCACTCTCAGACAGAAGGAGTTTTTTATGCACTGTGTTGGGGTCGAGTGTGAGGTCACAGACATCTAAATGAGAGACAAGGAAGAGTTTGACTTTAGGTTTACTGATTTTACACAACTGGGAAGAGTAGACATTCATACTTAGCTTACACTTGTTCAGGAGCTGCAGGTTAGTCCAGAACTCTTCATTATAATCAACGCTGAAGCAGAAGAAAACACACTTTCAATTAGATCATCATATGAAAGGACATTATACACAAGTGCAGCCATATATGTCCTCCTAAACTCTTCATCAGTTCAGTCAAGTTGATAGAACTCTTTTTAAGAAAAACTGCATGGAAGAGTAGGACATGCAAAAACGAGTTGAGTTTGAGCTGAGGTTTTTTGTTCGTTTTAAAGGGGACCTGCCATCAAAATTTCATACCCATTTCAATCATTTTTTCATAATCCTTGATGTACTCTGATCATGTTTGCAACATAATTTTAGCTGAATAGTTATTTGATGGTTTGTTTCAAACCATTTTAGTATCCCTGAAAAACCTTACAGGACAACTAACTGCCTTTGGCTCATTAACATTTATTTTTATTTTAAATCTTTACAGAATGGAAATGATGTAAAGGTTTATTTTCACATTTACAACATAAAACGAACATGATATGGACCTAATCTGACACACAAACATGCAAAAAATGAAATTTTTAGTTGCAGGTCCCCTTTAACATAGAACAAATAAGAAACTTTCTATATGTTGAATTGTCAGACCACAGGACGGTCTCTGCATGGTGCAGTTTTGACCTGCAGCTGTGGATGCAGTGATGGACAGCACCTACAGACAACTGTTTATAGAGATAATTTTGTGGCCACTTAAAAACAAATGTTCATACAGCTTAGAAAATACAGATAAGTCCTTTTAATTCAATCAAACAAGCTGTTTTATCTCCTTGTCATACCTTGAATACACACTATGTATATTTAATATTTTGTGATAGCCAGCAACAAATGATACCAACTTGAGTTTTTCCAGTTTGCACTCAGGGTCCTCCAGCCTCTCAGAGAGCAGCTGAACTCCTGCCTCTCCTGGGTGATTGTAACTGAGGTCCAGCTCTCTCAGGTGTGATGGGTTGGTCCTCAGCGCTGAGGCCAGAGAGGCACATCCTTCTTCTGTGATCCCACAATGTGACAGCCTGGGGTAAAAAAAATAAATAAATACACTCTCCTGAAACGCAGCCCAAAAAGACCACCTAAGATCCTGAACTGAATCTCTGATTAAAATATCAGTAATAATGATTTTGGCCTCTTTTTAAGTTCTTGTTTGAAGTCAGACGGGACATAATGCCAGAAACATCAGCAGCACCAAGTTTTAACAGGCCATAGAGCAAGTGTTGGAGTTTCCACGGTGAAAGTTTACACCATGCCAAACAGGATGTGCCTCTAAGAAAGCAAGTAAACAATGAATAAGAGGGGACCTAAAATAGAGCCCTGGGGGACTCCACAAGAGACGGTATCATACAAAAGAAACAGTACCTCAGTTTTTCCAGTCTACACTTTGAACTCCCCAGTCCAGCTGAGAGCAGACACACCCCTGAATCCTGCAGGTTGTTCTGGCTTAGATCCAGCTCTCGCAGCTGGGAATTAGAGCTGAGAACTGAGGCAAACACTTGACAGCATTTATCTGTCAGGCGACAACCAGACATGCTGCAAAAAAAAAAGGAGGGAAACAACAACAACTATTAAGCATCATGGCAAGAACATCTGTGAAGGTGTCTTCATAACAAAAAAGTCACCTGAATTTCTCCAGTTTACAGACTGGACCGATCAAGCCAGCAGGGATGAAAGTCAGCAGAGTTAGCTCATCCTCAAACTCTTCGTAATTTTCCTTTTCCTCCAACTTTCTTAAGTAATATCCGCTATGATCCTGTTGATAACTGTACATACAGTTAGCCAGGTCCAGGGCTCTCAGTGATGACTGTTTCGACTGCAGGATGCAGGCCAGTGTGTGACAGTGTTCAAAATCCAAAGTTAACCCAGATAACCTGTAAAAAACATCACATATTACTAAAGGGAAAGTGAGATGAAAGCCCATCAAACTTCATATTTGTAGGAATGACTAAAATGACGTTGTGTCACAGAGAGTGAATAAAAGTGCATTATTTGTGGCTATAGAGTGGCTTTTCGGTTGAAGTTTGTGCATGGCTCTGTAGACCGCTGTGTATCGCTGTTGTGTGGTCGTTACTAAAGTTGGTATAACTAGAGAAGCAAGCAATTGGTAACATTCATCTCTCGAGGGGTTGTCTAACTCGGTGTCCCAGTGTATTTGACCATAACTTAAATTTATGCTGGAATATCCCTTTAAATAATGTCAACTTGGCAGTGGCGGGTTAGCTTGTGTTGCATTTAATTAAATTGGCTAGTATTAGCATTATATTGAGATATATATTGTATCTTTCCATGCTAATATTGAGCATCTTTATGTGCAAATTAATTACAATTAAACTCTATGACTTATATAAATCTAAATACTTACATGTGGCTGTGGTGTCTTATTTCCCAGTTGATGGTCACTTGACATACTGTATTTGTGCCACACTGCTTGCTAGCTAGTCGTAGTTGAAGACAATTATTAAGTCACCTGCTAAATGCTTCCGGGATGTCCTACTGCAGTAAATGCCATTGGATACAATACAGCCAATCAGAATCTGTCATGTCCAACTCTTGATTGGTTGACTTGGTGGCACATTGTAACGCTGTGTCATGTTGAGCTAGCGAACAGGCAGAATTAATCGCACAGGGAGTGCAAGGCTGAGCGCGAGAGAGAAAGTGTATAAGCAGGAGGAAAACATGTTGAAGCATGAAAAATAATTTCTTGAACATGTTGTTGATTATTGTTCGCTCAACCTACTTTGTTTTTTGCTTGATTCAAATGTTTTCACAAAATACTATCTTGAGTTCTTACAAAAAAAAATGTGTTTTTTTGTGTTCAGAAATGAGGCACAAAAATGACATGATAGGGGTGTCCATCCAATCATCAGCTTGGAAAAACACCAAATCTTCAAGCTGAGGAAATCTCCAAGAGCAATTCCAAATATTTTTACTCAAATTGTGTAGAGGAGTCCAGAATCATCTTTACAACTAACCTCAGTGTGTGCAGTTTACAGACCGGGTCGCCCACTACATCGAGGATCACGTGAGGAAGAGGAACATTGGCGTTCGCTAAACACAGCAGATGAAGCTCACGTAAGTGTGAGTCTGGTGACTGAAGAATGGAAAGAAGAACATCAAGGCAGTCCTTCTCCAGACAGTCACTCCTAAGCCTGTAGATTAAAAAGACAGAAACAAATCACGAGTCAGCATTTTACCCATCTCCATTTCACAAAGCTGCTTTGAGTTCAGACAAGGACCCAGTTAGGGATGGGAATTAACAAGATTTGATCGATATATCGCTGCCATTGTTGATTCTGCTTATTGATTCAATTCTTTAACGATTCCATTATCAATGGCTTTCTTTGATTTAAAAAAGGAGACTATAGGTTTTCACAGTTAACTCGAAACTTTATTGAGTCTCTGATAACATAAAGATGTATACCACCTTCAGTGAGCATCTCCGCCGTGTTTTTTCCTCGAAGTCTCTGTTCTCGTAGACTGGCTCTCGCAAGACCATATTTCAAGGCATCCAGAAAAAGGGAATTGTTAAGATAAAATGTAAACAATGTTGATGGACTGAACCATTTGGAACCAGTTCTCAACAAGAACCGGTTCACAATTCCTATTCCTAGACCCAGTTCAGCTGTATCAAGTGTGAAGGGTTAAAGAAGAAACCCAAAGAGAAAGTGCCAAAACCATCCCCAGGGTACCTTAAAAATCAATTAGCATGACCTTTCATTACTAGGCTCGTTAAAAGGTGATTATTAAAATTAGATAGGCCTGTCACAATAACAAATTTTGCTGGACGATAATTGTGCTACAAATTATTGCCGATAAACGATATTATTGACACAGTTTTTTAAATTATAGATGATAATATATGGCATAATAATGCAAGTACACCATGTCAAAAGCAATAAACTTTAATTGCTCAAGATTACGAACTTTGAACTGGGATGAACAAATATAAGAAACAAACAAGACAACCAAAAAACAATGATAATAAAATGGACCCACATTCTGTTTGATCAAAAACTGCATTCAAATAAGAACCACAATCACAACTACAAACAATAAAAAAATAGACCTCGTCTCTGGTACCGAACAGAAACTTAACTCCACACATAACTATTAAAACAATAAATAAAGTGGAGTCTCGAGTCTGTAAACAAAATTGCACTAAATAATTAGCTTTGGGTGCTATTCCTCAACAGGTCAACAAAGAACATGCATGCGCACCTCAAGCACAATCATCCCCGCGGATCATCCCCGCGGATGATTGTGCTTGAGGTGCGCATGCATGTTCGTCGTACTCCCCTTCTTTGTCACCAAAACTTTCGAACAAATGCGACATATCGCCCCATATCGACCTCTTCTCTCATCCAGCGTGTTTGGTAGCGAGAGAGGAGGAAAACAAAAGCACGTTAATTATCGAGGCTGGCAAAATTACCGACCTTGTTTTTATTTACCGAGCGATAAGGCGATTTATTGATTATTGCGACAGGCCTAAAATTAGAGTTTCATATAACCTCTTCAGAAACACAATCACTGCAAACATGGAGCAGCACCATCTTTGTGAGTCTTTTTAGACCCCTACATTGTTGGCAGGACCCAGTATGATTGATTCTCAGTTAACGAATCCTGATCATTACAGGAAAGACTGGTCATGAAAATGATGAGAAATACTTACACAGCTTTTTTGCACTGATTCATTCTCATGACAAGTTTCTCCGTTCCATAGGGTGGTGTAACACATTTTGTAAGATCAAGCTCCTCGACCAGTTCCCCAGAAATCTGCAGCATGGTGGACAGTACCGCACAGTCAATGGGTGAGAGTATGGCTCCTGTTTCCAGAAACATTCTGATGTCATCCTGAAATCTCTCCTCTTTGAGCTCATTCTTGCAGAGAAAAAGGTTCATGCACCTTTCTTGTGGGATGTTTCCTGCATGGAAATTTCTGAGATATTCCCTCAACTCCTCGACGGTCTCTGAGTCGCTCTTCATCTGCGGCAGCACACTCTGAAGCATCGTCTGATTGGACTCCAGCGAGAATCCCAGAAAGAAACACAAGAACAGATCCAACTGGCCTTTCTCACTCTTCAGGGCTTTATCTATGACTCTTTTCTGCAACTCCAGCAGGCTCAGATCAGTTGGATCAACCTCAAGGAAAGATCTTACAGCACTGATATCTTTTGTCACGCAGCAGTGGAAGAAGTAAAGTGCAGCAAGAAACTCCTGGAAGCTTAAATGCACGAAGCTGAACAGCTTTTCCTTGTACAGGCCGTACTCTTGCTTCAGGATCTCTGAGCAAAATCCACAAAAAACTGAAGCTCTGTCACTGTTGATGCCACATTCTCTGAGGTCTTCTTCGTAGAAAATGATGTTTCCTTTCTGAAGCTGCTCAAATGCCAACTTGGACAGGTTGAAAATCATGGATTTCCTTTCTGCTGACTTCCTCTTCTTCTTCTTCTTCTGAGCCTTCTTACTCACTCCGTATTTCTGTTCTGTTCTTTGGGTTTGAATGATGAGATAATAAATGTACAACTCTGTCATTGTTGTTATACGCGGGCTTCTCTGGTCGTCCCATCCTTTCTTGAAGACCTCAGCTAGGATCCAACAAAAGATTGGGATATGGCCCATGAAATAGAAGCTTACCATCCCTTTGAGACAGGACAGAACTTCATCGGCCTGATCAGCAGTGCTGAACCGCTTCTCAAAGTACTCCTCCTTCTGCTGCTCAGTAAACCCTTGGACTTCTGTCACTTGGTCAATATATTTGGAAGGAATCTGACCGACTGCTGCAGGGCGGGAAGTGATCCAGAGAAGGGCGTTGGGCAGCAGGTTCCCTTTGATGAGGTTTGTCAGCAACACATCCACCGTTGCTGCTTTATCTGGTTCAATCACTCTTGCCCCCCCGTCGAAGTCCAGGGGAAATCTACTTTCATCCAGACCGTCAAAGATCAACAGCACCTGCTTCTCAAAAAGCTGCTGTGCATTCTTGAACTGTCTGAGTTCAGGGTAGAAGGGTAGGAGAAGCTGCAGCAGGGTGTATTCTCCCTCTTTGAGCATGTTTAACTCTCTAAAAGGAAGCACAAAGATGAAGTCAATGTGCTGGTTGGATTTCCCCTCTGCCCAGTTCAGGGAGAAGTTTTGAACTGCTAACGTCTTTCCGATACCGGCGATACCTTTCATCATCACTCTTCGGATCGTGCCATCTTTGGTTTGTTGTTGTTGGAAAATGTTTCTTCCAGGTTTGAAGATGTCAAAGCTGTTTATCTCTTCATAATGTGAAAATGGTGATCTCTTATCAGGGAGTTTAAAGTGATTCAGAATCTCATGTACTTGGCGGCCATAATCCACCTTTTCTCCAGTGATGAAGAGTCTAGTGTAGATATTCTCCAGTCGAGAGTGATCGGTGGATGTGCCCTCTTTAATGAAGGTAAACTTTTCCCTCAAGTGGGCTTTGAGCTTCTGTTTAACACTCTCAGTGATTTGATGTTTTTCCATGACTGCTGATCTGCCACCGTAAGAACTCAGTCTTTCTAGTCTTTCTCTTCGAGCGGTGTCCTTCAGGTGAGGTTCATTCCTGCCAAAACGAAGTTGACGGTCAGGAAAATCAGGAATAACAGCATCACACACAGAAGTAACTTTATTATACTGGAAATAAAAATCAGTCAGCCGCCGTCAAAGGATTGAGCCTCTTTGTTGATTAAAAAGTACCACTAGATTCCCATTGAGTTGATTTCCCATCATGCCGCTGTTGTAAATTAACATGAAAAAGCAGCGTTTTGGCCAAAAGCTGTGTTTGCGAGCACTGTGACTGACTGATGCATTGAGGTACTTTCAGAGGGACGTTTTTAAAAACACATTTGAACACTGCTCTGATGAAAAACAATAAAAGCTGTAATTTCTAGGCTCATTCCACACTCAGTGTATCACCTGTTCCTTTGATTCTGGTGGATCTCAGTTTCTTTCACTCAAAGTATTAAGTAGCACAGAAGTTTCTCTTTGACTCTTTACAGAAAAAATGAACCTTAAAGAGTCTGATTTTCAAGTTTGACATTTATCTCTGACTTCTCACACTTCCTGTTATTATACTGACTTTATGAAGGACCTTTGACCCCAATGACAGACGGAGTCACCTCACAGATTCATAGATATGGGTGCTGAAGGATATTTGAATTAAGTGAGATAGGATAAGAGGACTTCAGATTAATTTAGAACAAAGTCTGCTTTAACATGAGCTGTAAAATACACTTAAATGTAAAGCCTGATTGAGAATACTAACCTTTCTGCAGGTATTACCTTGCTGTTTCCTCAATATTTAACCAGGATGAGAGGTGACAGAAAACTCTGCTGTATGCTTTTGAAAAGTTGTACTAGTGGTCAATCAATAACTGCTTTTCATTGGCCAATGCCAATACCAACATTAAGGGAGCAGGTTGTCTGATATATAATGTCAAAATCACATTGACGTTTTCCAATACAATAATGCTAACAGATACGAAACAGTATTGCTAAATTATAGTGAATGTTTCATTAAATAAATATAGACGAAACATACTTGGCTCAGTAAAACGTCATTTGAGACTTTAGGGTCTCTGCACTGCAATCTGAAATAAGTAGGAAAGACAAAAAAATACATGGTAAATATTAGTAATATTGTTATCGGACTGCATTATTCCAGATATAATTGTAATCATCATTTATATGTATCTAAGAGTAGTCTGGTAGTTGTTGTAATATTAGTTTTACATTTGAGATAAAAAGGTGAAATTCATTCATTAATTCAAAATAACTCTCCTGGTCAAATAAACTCACTTTTTGAGAGCCCATGCTCTGTTCAGAAAACCTCGAGGATAGGAGCTTTTCCTTTTTTACCTCCTGCTGCAAACAGAAAATAGAAAGATGTTAGCCTTGTACCAACACAACTGGGGTCTACATCTGCAGCAAACACCCAGTATGCTTCTTCAAAATAAAAGTGTAATCTGTTTTTATTTTTCTGTCTGGGAGAGGGATTCCTTTTGTTTTCACAAAAAGCTTTTATTCTGAAATTTCCTAAACAAACAAAAAGCACTGCCACCAATCATGAGGGCTTCAGGTACCTTTGGTTAATAACTGAACTGTGTCACATTGATCCCCCCACAATCACTGGTGGCTTTGCCCATTTTAGTCCTCCCTTTCTGGGGCTTTTTTATTCTTACAATATTCAGGTACTGAGATTAATGAAGTATTACTGAAACTTTTTTAAACAGGAAAAACCTCATTGAAATTAAAAATCTCATTTGTAAGAGTGTCCTGGCCAAGACAGGCAGCAGTACATTTACAATGTTACAAACAATTACGGACAGATATAACAACCAGCTATGTCGAAGTGAAATATATTGATCTCTGCTCAGTATGTATAATCATATTCACATATAAACCACATATGTAATGCAACTGAGCGGCAGTTGGATACTGCTCAGAGTAATAAAAGCACCCTTTGACACTGTAAAGGTTGTTGACACACCTTTATGCATTCCCGGACTTGGCATGGCGTTTTGACTTGCTCTTTAAGTGTCAATAACTTCTTTTATATAAGTTTTGCACAATCACACTTCTGCAGGCAAAAAGCTTCTTTTAGATACGCCAATCCGTTTATTATTTTTTTGCACAATAAACCCATAACTGAAAAACAAACCAGCCGCCAGCCTTGTGCGCCACACCTGTAACAATTAGTGGGCACCTTAAATGTCCTTTTGCGTGCCACAGAGGTGATCCCTGAGAATGGCTCCATCAAAGACGACGCTGAACTTGATTCCACATTCGCCTACGGTTGTGCTTAAGTTTCAATTCCACCTTAAATTCAAATTAAATGAATAAAAGCACGATCTTGACCACTGGATGGAAGTATTCATCTTAACAATAGCCTATGTTACAACAGATTCTGCACATCATACCTGTTTTGGAGTCAATTTTATTCCAAAATTCCACAGTAGATATCGAAATGTGGGGCATCATTACAATGCTGGGGTCGTCTACTTTCAGAATCAGTTGACAAATTTCACGGGGAAAGATCTGACCTCAAGGAAGCAGTCCAAAGTTGGGAACTATTACATCCATTTTATGCAAATTCCCATTTTCTATGTCGATTTTCACAGTAGGTATATCAACTGTCTACTGTGATATTTACTTTATATTTACTGTCAATGTCAAAGTTGCCTAAGTTGGACAGCCCCCTTGAGGTCAGATATGGTTTCCTGTGAAATTTGTTAACTGATTCTGACAGTAGATGACCCCAGCATTGTAATGATATAGGCTATTGTTAAGATAAACATTTCCATCCAGTGGTCAAGATCATGCTTTTTTTTATCATTTTAGGAGAAATTGAAACTTTAGCACAACCGTAGGAGAATGTGGAACCAAATTCAGCATCATTTACCAAAGCAAACCTCTCTGAACCAGATCGAGTATCTTCTGCTTTCCTAATCTTGTGTCACGTATAACACAAAATTCACGCTGCCACTCAAAGTGAAAGTAAGTGAGAATAGGAGCAACTTTGGATGATGATCATTTAAAGTAATAAACACACATACATACCTATAAGAAGAAGCTTTAATGTTGGTGGTGTCATCTATCTGACTCTGCAAAGAAAAGGAAAGTTATTTCCGGGAGTTGGAGTATAAATCTAACGAAAACAGAAGTTCAGAGATCCACACCAGGAAATGACAGGCGGAGTTTAGGGACTGTCTCTAAAGTTCATACAGTTTATTCAGTGAGTTGTTTAGGAAGCTTCAGACCTTTGACTGTTTAGTCCAGAAAAAAAGGATTTAGTGTTTTAGAAACTGGAAAACGGAGAGAAACTGTTTAATTCTTCTTCACTGAGCAAGTTTCTGAAGTGCACTTTAATGAACATAATGCAACAGCTCCCTCTTGTGTTTACTGTCATTATTACACCTTCACAGAACATTTTCTCTGAAGACAAGAAGCTTCAGCTCTTTAAAAACATTTTTAACATTTCAAAATTGCAGGAGTCCTCTTAAACTTTCTGTTTTCCTCCTTTATTTCAACTTCTATAACTTTTAGGTCACTTATTTATTTATTAACCTGTTTGTTAAATTACACTTCTGGGCACAAAAACAGATGTGGAACAGCAGTTAAAAAGGGGGCTGTGGATCTGTCTTGCAATGACCTACTCTGTCCAGCAGGGGCGCAAGGAGGTTGTTGGTTATCTTTTTGCCATTTATTGATTTAATGAAAAAACACATAAAAAAGACAGATACGTCCAAGTTACTATGATTGTGATGTGCGTGATGAGGCTGAGAGTAGTGTCGGAGATTAGCGGTAAAAATGGTGTGCTCGTCCCGTTCCCCAGATCACTGCCTTACCTGTGTCCCTTTGTAGCCTTTACCTGTCCAGTCACCCTGAGTGCCCCTTGTGGTGACTGTGTGGGTAAAACAAAACCCCCAAAAATTATATAGATTAAATGGCTCATACAAGTATCAAATAATTTAAACATGTTTATTTAATTAGTTTGAGGCAAAACAGGAAAGAATTTCAAAATAAAAGCATGAAAAACAACGTGGTTAAACATACAATGAATGTTGACTGTTCATCAGTGAGGTTTGTGTTGCCTGATTGTGTTGTTTTCACTTCAGGTTTTATCACAATAGTATTTCTTTGGTGATAATTTATGGCCACGATAATCGTAAACGGTAAAAACCTGATATTGTGGTTTTTATAGTAAAAGGTCTGCAGCCTGGACCACAAAGTTGGTCTTAAATCTAAGTAAAGGCTTAACTATTCAGCATCACTGCAGAAAACTACTAAACTGTTTTTATCAGACTGTGCTCTGTCTCTACGTATTTACATGAGATCTCTAATTTTGTGTCTTTGCAGGTAAATCAGTCCAAACATCACAACTTTCCTGCATCTAAGAAAATTGAATACAGGTTTAAATCCTCCATGAGATGTAGACATGTTTTTATTTTGACTTCAAGAGGCAAAATTCAAATTCAATGAAAAGAAAGACATCACAGAACTTAATAATGATGGAAAATCTGTATTTGTCAATGTGATCGAAGAAAAAAGAACAAAGCTGGTCTGAGGGTGGAGTTTGTTACTGCCTTCAGTGGAATTCAGCCCTCACAGTGTCTCTCTCTCTCTCCTCTTCTTCCTCCCTCTCTCTCCTCTTCTTCCTCCCTCTCTTGAAGCTGGTCCAAATTATCCAAACAGCTGCAGCTCCACAAAACAGGAACAGAGGAGTCAAACTCAGGAAGAACCAGGACCGAGAGTTTCTGTCACCTGTCAGGAACATTTAGCACCAACATCAGTCAGACACACTTTGCGTTGCTGTTGCTGTTAATTAAAAAAAATGTCTTGGTCTCATATGAAGTTTGAGAAGGTCAGAAATACACAGCATTACTTACTGGATACTGTGAGTTCATGAGATGTCGTGAAGACTCCTCCGTTTTGTGGGGAGGTAATAAAATAAGGACCAGAGTCACTCATCTGCAGGTCTCTGATCATAATGAATCCGGTTTTGTCGTCCAAGAAAATCCTGTCCTTATAAATTTCTTCACTAATCTCAATTTTCCCATTCTTGACCTCAGCAATAAGTTTTCCTTCAAAAGTAAGTCCTCCACTCTGCAGCACGCGGTGGTTCAGAGTGACTGATCCTCCTTCAGCACCTGTCAGCTTCATGTCTGTCTCCAAACCACCAGATAAAGTCACTGCTGTAAAAGGGAAACAAATGCATCTTTTAGTGAGTTAAAGCTGGTTAAACTACGGAAAGAGAACGAAAGAGATTCAACTAAAAATCCTTATGAGAATAAAGTCTTAGTAAGGTTTTAGTAATATGGGGAAAAAGTTGAAGTTTAGTCATAACGCTGTGAGGATGAAGTCTCTGTAATGTTAAAAAAGTTAAAATATGAAAATATCTGAGGAAAATGTTAGTCATAAAATTACTGGAATAGTTGTCATTGTAAGGTCATGATTAATGAGATTAGATTAGATTAGATAAGATTGGATAAATTTAGATATATATGACTGGATTAAATTAGATTAGATAAGAATGGATAAAATTATATCAGATAAAATTTGATTAAATTAGATTAGATGAAATTGGATGAGATGAGCTAAAATCAATATAGATTAGATAAGATTAGATTAGATAAAATTAGATCAAATAAAATTAGATTAGATTATAAATATTAGATTGGATTAAAAAAATTGGGTTGGATCAGTTTAGATTAGATTAGTTAAATTAGAAGTAAAATAAGAACTTTATTGATCTCTAAAGGGAAATTCAATAGATTAAATGAAATTGGATAAGATTAGGTCAGATCATATCAGATTAGTTTAAATTAGATTAGATTGGATCAAATTAGATTAGATTGGATTAAATTAGATTAGATTGATTGGATTAGACCAGATTAGATTAGATTAGATTAGATTTGATTTGATTTGATTAGATTAGATCAGATTAGATTGAAGAAGAAATGCAATACGTATAAAGAATTTTCACAAAACTTTAGATTAATCATTCTTTGTTACATACAAAAAGTAAAATATAAAGGTATACACATTTGCGCATTACTTTTAATTCTCCAACTATGACTGATATTCCTGCTGCTGCTCTTTCTCAACCTCTATCCTCCTGTTACGTTCCTCCTCTACAGAGAGGAGATGTATTTGATTCAATTCAAGATTATTACTGTTAATTTCTGCCCTATGTGAGTACATACACAGGAATTAAAAAAAGAGGTATAAAACAGAGAGACACACAGGGGTTAATGTGTCTGCATCTACCCTCCAGCCTATTGTGTTTATTTATAAATACACTGTGATATTTACACATGCAAACCTAATGACCTGAAAAATGATTCTGCTTTACATATTTACACATGACCTAAAGTGTGGGTGGTGGTTGCATTCTGCAGTATTTCTTTGATGTAAACATTAAGCATTCATATAAACAGTGGAGTTTTAGCGCAAAAAAAAGATTACACAGTGCAAAACACAAAACCAGGTGATTCTTCAAGTAACAAGTCAGACACACTCACTAAGATTTCAGGTTTGGGCTGTAGAAGATAGATAGATATGATATGAAAGAAAATCAACATTAGCTAAAAGAGTTACCTAAGAATAAGATGGTAATCCTCAGGTGTCGCTCCATTGTTGTCTTCTGATGTCTGAAAAGTATGTGAAACCTGCTCTTTGAGACCACAGCACAGACTAAAGTCCTATATAAAGCTAAAGCCCCACTGACACTGAGAACAGTTTCCTGTTTCAGAAGAAACAAAAGTTTAAATTCTGTGTTCAGCTGCTAAACCGACTCGGGGTTTACCACATATGTGATAAGGCTTATTCAGAAAAGAGACATTCATTGTTTTCATCAGGCTGTTAAGAGGTTTATTTCTGAAGTAAAGCAGACATGTTAATTTAGGCCCTTCAGGGCATTCTTTTTTTTTACATGAAGTTTCATTGACCTGCCAGGACCTGCAGTGCGAGCATCACTTATGACTCAGTAGACAGATGATCATGACGCTCCAGATGAACTTCTGACATGGAGTTCGGAAATTCTAAGTACAACTGGATCGTAGCGATAGTTACTGTTTCAGTTCGCAGAGGTCAAGAGTTCATGGACTGGCCGGGTCACAATGAGAGCGCCCTCTGCTGGATCATATGTCAAGCTCTTTCTGGCGGTTCATTTTACTGGTACACTGTATTTGTATGAGTTTCTACAGCTCATTGCAGTTCCACTATGAACTTTTCCCCAGAGTTTGAATGAAAGTTCGACTTTTGGATTGAAAGGGTTAGTGTTCATAAAGACTGATCTTACATAACCAATAATTAAGCATCTCAGCGTCTTTTGTGGGTGGACAGATCTCTGTTCGAGTCTGAGCTTGTCTCTCTCCTCTCCCTTCTTGGTTCTTTTACATTTCAAGCTGGTGTCGTGGTTTCGCCAACAATTACATTTAAAATCTTTGAATGCAAAACACACAACTTTAGTATGTATTTATCCTGGCACGGTCTGCAGCTAAAACAGTCATTGTCAGTACATAGGTCAGAGTCCTCCAGATTGCCACAAAAGCAGCTGATGTAGATGTATTATCAGTGCAGTTGTGCGACCCAGAGTTGAGGTGTCTTTTTTTCTACAGCCCAGCAGGGAGAGCCAGAGAGCATCAGACTTCTGAGACTGCACAGAATTCATCTGATCTCATCTGAAGTTTATCTGTCTCATGATGCACTCACATCAGGCCCAGCTGAAGTAAGTTGCTCTTATTCAAACTCTTACTTGCTTTTTTGTTTTTTTTAATCATGTAATGCCCTAAATCTATAAGACAGACAACTACACAGAGAACTGGACTGAAACTTTACTGACTGTGTAAATTTCTCTCTACTTCATCCTGATCAGCTCCTTGGAGACTAAGAAAGGGGGAGTCCAGGGCTGAAGAAGCACAGCACAGAGCACTCACACTGGCCAAACAAACTGGACTTTGGGGGTCATTAGAGGTCAAACATCATTGAGGATGATACAAGTTCCCTAGTGTGAGAGCGCCTTCAATCTACAACCTATCAGCAACTGATTCCCTAACTGATCGAAACGTGAAATTCATGCAGTCATTGAGTTATGACCATGTGAGTGGAGCAACATGCGGCGCAGGTCCTAAAGTAAGATGACTGAAAGGCAGATTTCAGACAAAATTCTCAAAACTGAGAGCTGCTGTTGTTGAAGGTATTCAAAGAAAAGATAATCTGATCAAGTGAACGTGCAAATATCATAATCACTTCTATTCTACTGCAGGTCAGGCCTTATAACTGAGACCCTTCACAATGTCTGAGGTCCCCACTGGACTTTCAGTCGAACAATGAGCCTCATTCATGAACTATTGTTATGAAGAAATGTATCCTTAAAACCCACGCGTGCAATTTTTAAGACGATTTTGGCATTCAACAAAGATTTATCTGGGATAAACTTCTTCCAGGAGTGAGTCAGTCACTCTTAAATTCCCAATAGAGCAGAATTAATCCTTTTTATAACCTGATACAAAATAAAATCAGTCAAGTCACAGTCCATTTCTGTATTCACAACAGCTGCTTAGAGGAAACATGCTCATATAAGTAACCCATTTACAATATGTTAAGACCATTGACTGTATATAGAATGGATGCTGTCTGCCTCCACACTGGGTGAAGTCATCATGAGAACAGCACCCTCTAGTGATGGGCTGCAGTATAGGTCATAAATCCTGTCTCCTCCAGCAATCCTTATGGGGCTGTGGACAAACTTTAGAAATCAATTACACAGAATATACATTTTTCTCCCCCCTGGCTGCGATGTTGACATATAGTTACTGTCAGACTGGTTTGTGCTCTAGTCCTCTTTTTCAGTACAGCTCCGTTTTTAAAGTTATAACGGGTTCATGTTTTCTATGATTGACACTTGATACAGTGTATGGGCGTACGAAAATTGCGTAGCTCACCCAGGGATACTCTGTTTGAGCTGAGCGTCATCACAGCTACTCTCCCTCTGAATGCGTACAATGCTACTGCACAGTGTTGGTTTCATAAAGTGGAGAAAAACTCAGAAACACAGAGAGTTTTTTGGCTTCAAATCTGTATACTGGCAGAAAGCGGAACCAAGTTGTCCGTAGTATATAAGGTCTATGATTAAGACTTAAAGACATTTAGGAGCCACGAACAAAGTCAGCCACAGGACTGAACCTCTCTGCTCTGTTCGTGCTGAATGTTGGCTTTTAATAGTTCAAAGCAAATATTTGACTAGCTTGATGGTTAACTGTTTTAAAACTGTGTAAACAGACCCTCTAAGAGCAGAGACATCTTCAGTTTGCATACCTGGTGTTGGGGGGGGGGGGGGGGGGGGCGCAGCGCTCCAGATGAATTTCTGACATGGAGCTCGGAAATTCCGACTTCCGAGTACAGCTGGAATGCAGCATTAGAGTTACAACAATCACACACCTCACACCTTCTTCTTATCTTATCGTAGAGCTTGTGTGTTAATGTTGAGTGTTAAGGCTGGCCTCCATCTTTGAGTAAATCCTGTTGTCGCCATATTGGCTGATATGTCTGTCTCTGTTTGCTCATTAAGCTTAAGCATACTTTTAATAAAAGACATTCAGTGGGGTGTGAGCCTTAAGGACAGGCAGTATTAATTGATTTTGTGACTCAGGCGACTTTTGGACAGAAACGGCCTCCATAGAAAACGGAAAAGTGCTGTTTTGTTTTCAGTTTTTATGCTGAGTTTACACAAAAACGTAATGTGGTTGAAAAGGCCGTAATGTGCATGCCAGGTCGCTTGGTGGCGCGTGTCGGTGTGACCGTGCTCCCATATAGACCAACAATGCATACGTAGAACAACTTCCGTTCTACATTAATTATTTGATGCAAATAATTCAGACGCCTCCTCTGCTGAGCGGTATGATCCGTGAGGATTCTATACAGGTCGAAATTGAGCTCCTGCCCGTTCAATAATAACGACAGCGCGACCCGAATTTCTAGCATGGTTGTTGTTGTAATTTTCAAGGAAGCTGCGTATGGCTGATGTCATAAACATGCGCCGACGTGAACCATGACATCACAGGTTTGACCGTTTTCAGGGTTTTTGTACTTTAGACGAAAGCGGGACTAGCAGAGCGTTTACATTTCCACTCTGGAGGGGGTTTTCACTTTGTTACGTTTTCATCTCCTGAAAAAGCAGTTGCCGTCTAAACGGACCCCCCAAACGAAACTGAATTTTTCTGTTTTCGATGGAGACCGTTTCCGTCTAAAAGTGGCCTCATTTCTGCTCTGCCATCTTTGTCGTGACCATTTCTACAGCGGTTACCCAGTCTGCAGTGATCTACTTCTCCTGTGACTCAAATACAGTTTTTCTCTGAGTCAACAGGTTCAGAATTTCCTACATCCAAAAGCATCAACAGAAGTAACCAGAAGTGCTTCAGTATTTTTGATCAGTACATCTATTTAACTTCCTTTTTCCGTAAGTTATTTTGATGTGCCTTAATCTTATTTCACCACAAATGCTCCTCTCAGAGCGTTTATGTTTCGCTGACGGGCACTCACAGCTACTTTTAGAGTCTGACAACATCACGGAAAGTATTCCTGTGTTTATACAAGATGGGCCATGTATGGAGCTCATCAAGGACCCTCTAAATCCATGTGAGGCCTGAGCCCAACTTTGATTCAAAACAAAAGTTAGCGTGGTTGGCCAATCGTTGCATAAATACATGATTAATTAACAGCGCCATATGGAAAATACACAGCAGAAAGTTACAAGCTGCCCTAAATTTTTCCATGTATATTTTACAGGTAACATGAGATGACTCATGTAGGGCTGCCCCCTGTATTGATGGTAATCACCTTTTGTTTTTTGCTTGGCTCAGAGTCAATGGGAACGGAAGCAGGTGTTTGCCCACACATCTGTTCCAACCTCCCACCGGGTCCTCCTGTCCCAACACCAACAGTCGTTTTAATCACAAACTTGAATACATGTTTCTCCATCCACTTTACGCGCATCTTTATTTTAAATTTAGATATTATACAAATCAAGGTCATGATGATGCCATCGGTGATGTTTTACATAGAAACACTAAATATGTCTGATGTGTTTTCACAACACAGTTAAACCTGTAAACCGGACTCAGCTTTGCCAAGGTGAATAGATTAACACCTGCCGGTCAGTTAGGGTTATAAAAAAAGATATCAGTCAGCGACAGATGGTGTTCTTTACAACAGGTCCTTTCCACAGGACAATGATCCTTTTGTGGAGTGTAGAGAGAAGGGGAACACAATGCAACTTAAGGGTCATGCCTGGGAGTCAAACCAGCTACCACTGCGACAAGGACTCAAGGCTGACGGCCATCTTTAAATGTCTCATTGCCATCAGCATCCACTGTCCTTTTTACATACTGTACCTTCTTAAGATTTTGAAGAGCTAACTCTGAGGCTATTGCTCTGTACCTCTATTCTAATCAAATCAAACTCTACAGCTGTCTTTCAGTCTTTGAACACTGTTTCAATTATTATTCACACTAAAGTGATTAATAAAATGAACCCCCCCCCCCTTCTGTTTTTGACATCTGTATAAAACACATGACTGACAACTGCTACTGTCCCTACCGATTTCCTTTTAAATATCAATGAGCTCTGTGGGGAACTCCAGTCTGGTTTTAGGGCACACCGCAGCATGGAGACTGCACTACTTCAAGTGTAAAATTATTTGCTTATTGCTGCTGATGCTGGAAAATCTTCTGTTTTAGTTCTTTTACCGTCTCCACTCACCAAGTGCCAGTAAAATCACTCGCGCGAATAAATTACATGTTAACTCAATGCAAAGATGCGATTAGTGTCACGAGTACAAAAGGCCAGGACCGGATATTGCGGAGACAAAAATCACCAAAAGTTTATTAACAAAAATATCAACAAGAAAAAAACATAAAATCACCACACAGGGTAAAAGGGCTCGGGAGGCTCGGACAGCTACTGAAAACGAAGAAAAACAAGTGTCAGGAAAAATTACAGAAAAACTCAAACAACCTCTGACACTTAAAGTACAACTCAAATACACCACGCGAGGCAAGTAACAAAGGAATATTAAGTCAACTAGAAAGTTCAACGGAAAACAAAAGACAAACTGAAAATCATCTCAGAAAAATGCAAGGGAAAAAACTAGAACTGTAAAGTACAAAACAACTGAAACAAAGTGACAAACAAACTTACAAAAGATGCAAAGGCAGACTGGAGGCACAAACAGGAGGACATAAGAGGACAGAGTGATTCAGCTCGAGAGGAAGACTGAGATAATCATCCAGCAAAGAGCAGGATAGGAATCTGGTTTTTAAAGGCCAGCTGATGAGCGTAATGAGGTGCAGGTGTGTTCCTGATTGGCCGAGCCAGCTCCGCCCCCTGCCATGCTCCAGTGCTGCAGGAAGAAAAAGAGAGAGAGCACATAGACAACCAAAACACAAGGAAACAGCCCAGGATCATGACAATTAGATGCTCGTAATACTCTGGTGGCACGAATGACGCGAATTGGGTGGGAGCTAAAAATGTCTCAACTTGAACTGATATTCGCGTCTCAATAACTAATCAGCACCAAGGTTGCCACGAAAATGGATGGTTGTTCACTGGTATCTAAACTGGAGGACGAACTGATCGTGTCAGTGTGTGGGTGCCCTGAATTATATGATACCTTTTCTTTTAATTACCGAAACCGGAATAAAAAGGAGCTCGCCTGGAGGCAAGTGAGTGAGGAGGTCGAATCACCTGGTAAATTGTAAAAAACTTTTGTCTATCACTTGGTTCAGCCAGTTGAATTGGCAGAGATTACTGTTGACGCGCAAATGAATTGAGTAACTCTATTCATTCACGCGTCTAGATTTGCATGAATTAAGTGAGTTGATGACTTTACTCATGCTTGATGTGATCATCCCATCAGGGCATTGCACAAAATTCAAATGTACATGTTCTGTCCTGTACCTCTACTCTTTTGTATTCTACTCAAACCAAACTCTTTCTTTTAAAACTACAGCTGTCTTTCAGTCTTTGAACACTGTTTCAATTATTACCCTCACTGAAGTGATGAATAAAATGAAACCCCCCTCCTGTGCTCTTGACACCCTCATAAACACATCACTGATGACTGGTTCTGTTCCTACTGATTTGGAAAAAAAAAGAAAATAATTTAACCACAACTGAAGAAGTAACTTCCTTCTAACTATCAATGAGCTCTGTGGGGAACTCCAGTCTGCTTTTAGGGCACACCACAGCACGGAGACTGCACTCCTACAAGTATAAAATGATTTGCTGATTGTTGCTGATGGAAAATCTTCTGTTTTAGTTCTTTCAGATTTGATTTTGATACAGTAGATCATTTTATTTTACTGGGACGCCTGAAACACTGTGACAACATGTCTGGTTTATTTCTAAACTGTTGTTTTCTGCAGGACAGATCTGCAGATCACAATCATTCAGTGTGAGTCTGACATGTGGGGTCCCCCAGGGTTCTGTCCTTGGACCACTCCTCTTTTGATTCCCCTCTACATGCTACCCCAGCAGAATCAAAAGAACTTGAGACTGTCATTCATGCTTTTATCTCCTCCTGTTTGGACAACTGAAACTCTTTATAGACGTGTCTGAGTGATGTCTGAGGTCGCACAAGTTACAGCTTGTCCAAAATTCCTTATTAGGTCCAAAAAGAGAGATCATATAACTCTGTAGCTTCACTCTGTTGGCTCCCAGTAAGAGTTAGAATAGATTTGAAAATTTTATTGTTATCTTTAAAAATTGCATTCATCTTGGACCAAAACACATCTCTGATTTTCCCGGTTATAACCTAAGGTCCTCTGTCAAGACTTTGCTCACCATTCCTCAGTCAAGGCTGAGGTCCATGTCTATGTATGTTTGTATTTATAGATATTTGTATATATTTGTGCATGCATGTGCGCTTCACACCACCCCTGCAGAATCAGTGTCACAGTTTAGCCATTCCAGTCAGAACGGAAGCAGGTGTTTCCCATCTGTAAACCTATCATGCCATCCATGTCCTGGTAGGAAGTGTCTGCTTTTATTATGTTCCTGCACACAGTTTAGTTGGAACTATTGGCCTGAAAGCAGTACTTTGAGCTGCACGTGTTGCAAGATGCTTACAAGTGGAATAATGGAGCTGTGGGGGTTAAAACGTACATTATACATAGATGTTCATGTTGTGTGAGAAACAGGGAGGGAACTCTTTTCTGTGGTTCATTTTATAGAAATGGGGAACCAGCTAGGTTTTCGTTGACCTGGGTTGCTGGGGGCTCTGGTGTGTTTTGCTTATATATGTCAGCCTGTGGTTGACCAGATGGCTCCATTGTCTCCTCAGAAGCACTGTTGAGTTAAAACGTGACAGGAAGCAGTGTCTGGTTTTCATTTAAGGGAAACTTCAACCGAGAGAACAGAAAACGTTGGGGGTAGAGAAGAAAATAAGCCTGACGAAAGCCTCACTGGTCACAGTGACACAAATGAAGTCACGAACCAGAAACTGATGTTATAAATCACAAAGACGACGAACAACAGGAGGAATCGAAGTTGTTTTTTTTATTTCTTTAACATTGTTTTGAAAGACAAATTTTCTTCCAGGAGAAAACCCAGACACTTATGTACTGGGAAACATTCACCCATTTTTTTGCTCAAAGTGTCAGCCCGATATTCATTTCTCACTGTCCTCACAAATATCACATTAGTCTTATTTGCATCTAGAACCAGATCTAATTTACAAAGATCTGTGTGGACAACGTTAAAAGCAGCTTAAAAGTCTCAGAAGGGAAAAGTTGTATATAACCACATCATCTGCGTAGAAATGAAACTGCATTTGTGACGTTTTTGTCTAAATTACTGATATACACAAAGAATAAAATTTTGTGTTGTCTTCTGTTGGTTTCATCCAAGCTGATAGCAGCGTATAGGAATTTTGGGATCTATGGTAACTTGGTAGTCTGCGTATAACAAGAAAGCCATATCATTAAATGGCTATTAAGAGCCCAACTTAAGTAGCCAGTAAGATAAATTCACATCCACAACGCTGGATGATATTGCTTTCGCGGATGGCAGTACTCCTTTCACACACACAAACACAAATGCAAGAGAAGACAGACAGACTCTCACAAACTGCAATAAAACTCGGCCTCACTCCCAATACAGCAAAGACACAGGTGATCAAGATCCACGCCAAAACCATCAACCCTATCCTGATGAACAACACTGCCCTAGAGGAAGTAGAAGCTTTTACTTACCTTGGCAGCATTGTGGACACCACTGGAGGGACAGATGCTGACATAAAGAACAGAATTAACAAGGCTAGAGTTGTATTTAACATGCTCAGGAAGATATGGAGCTCAAAGAACATCTCCATAAACACCAAAATGCGCATCTTCAACTCCAGTGTGAAGCAGGTGATGTTGTATGGATCGGAGACCTGGAGGACAACAAAACACACAACACACAGGCTGCAATCATTCACCAACACCTGCCTCAGGAGAATCTTACACATCTGGTGGAGAGCCAAAGTAAGTAATGTGGACCTGTGGAAAAGAACAAGCCAGGAGCCCATTGACTTACAAATACGAAAGCGCAAGTGGAGCTGGATAGGCCACACCCTCAGAAAACCTGCAACAAACATCACCTGACAAGCCCTGAAATGGAACCCTCAAGGAAAAAGGAAACAAGGTTGCCACAGGGACAACTGGAGAAGACGAGTCTAGACAGAGATGTCAGAGAATGGGCTCAACTGGGGAGATCTCGAAAGAACCGCTAAAGACAGAGTGAAATGGAGCACGTTTGTCAACAGCCTATGCACCCCTGAGGAGCAAAGGGCTTAAGTCAAGTAAGTCAAGATAAACACATAAATCATTGCTTTTTTTAATCAGTGAACGGCCATCAGGAGTCAAATAGCATAGCTTCACTCAAGTCCCACTCCAATTGTATTTTTTTATTATTTAAAGTGTTGTCAGTGGTCTTGTGATCATGAAGTTTTTAGCTAAAATCATGTTACCTGTGTCATTTTCAAGGGCTTTTCCTCTGCAGAGCTCCAGTAGATCATTAGCGATTCACCTCTGAGTCCTGGGTGGAGACAGTGCTGTTCTGCACACTCCACTTCATGCTAGCCTGCACCCTAACATTGTACTAGAAGTGGCAGATGACATAGAAGCTATTCAGCTCTCGGACACTAATGTCTTTGGGGACATGATGAGAGTTAATATCATTAGTTTTCGTACAAGCATTGCAATCCGCTAACGCACACACTTGTTCCTCGATCATCCTCTCTACTTCTCCGAGTCTGGTGAAGTAGAGAGCATAGCAGGGCACAGGGGGCGGAGCTTGGATTTGTGACATAGAAACTTTTATTTTTCTCATGATGTGTTCTGTAGCATCAGAAAAATGTCATATGAACATGTAGACAAGAAAAACATGATTTTCATCAGAGTGGGTCTTTAAAGGGTTAAATTTTGGCTGGGTGGAGTTGCTGTAGAGAGCAAAAGGGATACATCCTTGTCTCACCTCCTCATTACTATTCACTGCCACTAGAAGAACTGGTAAACATTTTTTTTTTTTTGCTTCACTGGAAGTACCAGTAAACATTTTTTGGTCTACTTGAAATACTAGTGAACATTTTTAAGGCTACTTGTAGTACCAGTAGACTGAAAAACTGAAAAACTCTTCTATCGGCTCTCAACGAAGGCGGTCGCATTTCGATCCTCTCCCTTATCTCCCTGCTCCCTGCTTTGCCTCTTCGTCTCGTCCCGTTTTGTCTGAAACTCTCAGAGCTTCTCACTGCCTGATCTCCGAAACCAACCATGGAATTGATCAACTGGTCTCTCAACGCAACTGACAAGATTGTCTCTACGAGACATGGAGTTTCAGGGGAACCTGCCTGCCCCGACGGAACATTCGCCGCGGGCTACGTGACGGACGGCTTGGGGAAGTGGCGTGTCGCATGTCTGTCGGTCCTTTCCATGGAGGATGTGGAAGATGTCTACCTTTTCGGAACCATGATAACAGGTCTGTTGCTGTTTGGCTTTTGCTTCGCCCTGATTTATCTACAAAACAAGGAGATGTTGGCAGCAGTCAAGAGCCCCCAAAGGCTGCCTGTCATGATTTTTGAGGTGGGCAAGGCCGTAGGAACTCCTTCTGGGGCGGTCTCCAATCTTCGACATCAAGTCATGATTGGGGATCACAAGGGAGATGTCATCTTGGAGAGACTTTCGACTTTGCGGAAGACAATGGATCGATATAGAGACCAGGACGGACAATCAGAGTAGCCTAAGTCTATTGGAATGTGGCTACTCGCTCTAACCCAAATATTCTAATCTACTATTCGGCTCCCTCGGTATCGGCCTTGGCCAAGGTCAATGCTGGCGCAACTCCTCCAGGAGATCTCACCAATTCGATGCTCTGAACTTTCCTCCCCAACCCCCTCCTCCACGGACACCTGCGGATTGTTGACTTCATCTGGAACTCAACCAAGGTCATCACCACAGCAACCGCTGTGATATCACGCTGACACCCTGCGGCACCAAGATTGTGGTGATGGAAGGAGTGACCTCCTGGGCCTACGCACACACGCATCCATGAACCTTCACACACATGCACATACGCACACACTCCCCTCTCCCCCACCCAATGCCTTCGACGCTTCACCCCTCAGTACGGTGGGTGGTACCCTGACTGGCAGCACCCGTGGGCAGCGGCTGCGGGCTTCCCACCATCACTGATGACCAGTTCCACTACCCCGGGTGAAGCCACTCTGAGAACAGCCCCATCTGTTGACGGACTGCAGTATAGGTCATAAATACCTCCTCCGCCAGCAAAGCTTATGGAGCTGTGGACAAACTTAAATTTATTACACAGAATATAAACTTTTCTCCCCCCTGCTTGTGATGTTGACATGTAGTTACTGTCAGACTGATTTGTGCTCAAGTCCTCTTTTTTCTGTGAAGCTCCGTTTTTAAAAGTTATCAGGGGGTTTATGTTTTCTATGATTGACACCTGATACAGCCTATGGGCATTTAGGATTGCGTAGCTCACCAGGGGATACGCTGTTTGATCCGAATGTCATCACAGCAACTCTCGGCGACTGCGCGCCCGAATGTGCACATCACTACTGCACAGCGCTGGTTTCAGGAAATGAAGAAAAATTGCGGAAATACCGAGAGCTATTTGGCTTCAAATCCGTATACAGTCGGTAGGCGGAACCAAGTTGTCCATAGTATATACAGTCTATGGGCTTCACCCAGCAAGGAGGCAGACTCTGTCCATTCTTTATACAGTCTATCAGCAGAGCACTGCTAATAGCGCTGATAAAAAATTTATACTCAAACGGCTTTCCATACCTAACTGAACGTGACGGAAGGGGAGGGGGAGAAGAGAGACGGAAAACAGCCTGCGTCCTAGTGTGGTTTGTGTGCAGTTGTTGCTGCTTTTGAAAAGTCTTCTGCAGCTTTTTTTTTATGAAGTATTTATAATTCAATAATTCAAGAGAAGTAGGATATTAACGGGGATATGATATATGACAACTTCTGGAAAAACGTTTATGGACTCGAGGCCAAATGGAGCAGATGAGAGTTGTCTTCATCTTCATGTGTAAGTCTTTGTTTAAATGCACTTCTTGTTTTAATTGATCATTTGAGCTGAAATCTTATTTTTGTGTAACAGGGATTCACATTTGTCTGAAAACACTTTATTTCACGGAAAGCAAACGGGGGTTGCACGGGTTTGGTCGTCCCTCTGGCTGTTAGGGTTTGCTGGGTTTTGCTACATCCAGAAAAATGAAGGTTTTTACTGTTGAAAATTAAAAGTGGATGATGTTTTCGATCTTTTTAATGGTTCTACTTTTCATCTGAGGCAGTCCTCTGAAAAAACACCTTTAGAGAAGGTTAACCAACTTTGTTATACTGAATACAATTCTAAGAATCGTATGGATCAACAGCTTTAAATGTAAAAGCAAAATAATAGACTGAGTGCAAAGATTTGAGGGTGGAGGAGCACATCCATAGATAATATCACCATAATCTAGAACTGAAGAAAACAAGTAGGAATAAAGTTGGATCCGTTTTTATTGAAAACTTAGTTTCTGCCAAAGTTTGCTGATGAGTTTTTCAATATGAGCTTTAAATGTAAAATCATCAAGTCAGGTACCATGATATTTTAATGCTGGGGCGGGACCCTTTCAATATTTTTACCATCTAGTGTTATTTAAACCTTTACATTTTTTTTTTCACATTTAGAGCTGAAATGCTTTGAGGAAAACCTTTATCTTTACAAGGAGCTTGACTGAATTTTCATGGAAAAAAATCTATAAAAAAAAACTTCATGATCTCATTCATGGAATTTCAGAAAGCAATTCTTAATCTGGATAAAGGATTCCAGGAAGGTTGGATCTGGATCAACACTTTAATATAGAAATTAAGTAAATTTTTCCGTCAGTGGCCAGAAACATCCTCTAAACTTTGCTCACTAAGAGAGTCAAAACAGACCCTTTAATTTAAGTCTGTTTATATGATGCATATGCAGCAAACTAAACACGGCCTGTCCCTGTTTAGCTTCACAGAAGATCAGGGTCTTGGTTCTGCTGCAGCTTGACAGAAAGAACGGTTCAACAGAAACAATTTCTAAGAACAAGTGTGTGAAAAACGTTCACACCTAGTTGGTGGTCACCTTCATTTCACAGGTTTCTTAATGTAGATATTAACACCTAGATGTGAACCGACGGCTGCAGTTTTGGAGACCTTTTTTTAAGACAGTGCTACAGCAGTAAAATCTAAAAATATGTGCATGCAAAGCTTTTAACTTCAGTTTGTGGTGGCCTTTTCTACATGCATCTCAATGCAACTATTAAGAATTTTCTGATGTTAATTGCATGAACCTGCAATGAATATTTCAAGAATTTTAAGACTTTTTTTTACTTAATATTGGAGCTTTTATGCTCTTCTGTATTTTGTCTTCGAATTCAATATGCAATTTATTCAGAAAACCTCAAAAATTTGGTGATCATAGGGTAAAAATGTTTATAAACCATTTGGTAGTTAGATTAAAGGCATGTGCATCACGTTGTATGACTAAATTTCTGAAAGGCCATGCATCTATACATTTACATTTTCTCAATTTTCCTATAATAATGAGCTATTTGAAGATGGTTTCTCCAGATAATTGATCTCCAGGGTTACTTAAAGCAAACGCGAAATAGGATTAACAGGTGTGTCGATGGCAAACTGTAGTTTTGAGCTTTTATATTGACAAAATATGAGTGTCATGTGAGATAAAAGCAATGAAATAAATAGATACATGATTCTGGAGTTTGATGATTATTTTAGTCTGCTTTTACTGTTTTTCTCCTCTGTAAATATTAGGGCTGTAACCAACCAAGGAAATTCTCTGAAAACCCCTGAAATTTTCGAACAAAAGTCGGGTAATAAGGGGATGGGGTGCGGCTCCCTCCCCCACGCACACACACACACACACACACACACACACACACACACAAATAACAAACAAACATTATATTCAGCAAACCACCGGATGTTGATTAAGGTGGACGCCCTTCAATCTTCCTGTCTCCAGCTGGTCTCTAGTGGGTTGGGCAAATCCAATATACAAGGGAGGTGTTCTGAGAGACCTGTGAAATTAACCATAGACTGTAAATTGACACGGAAAAAATTGAGTCGACCAATCAGAATTTTGATTGACTCAGCCCGTATCCACCAATAAGTCGACCAGTCAGCTCGGACTTTACAGCCCTAATTAATATATAGTCATGTTTCCATGGTAACATATTGGTATCTGCTTCCCTGCAGCATAAATAAACATCAAACTGAACATCTCTATTCAAGGATAAGTTAAGAACATTAGCCTGTTTATTTGTACTAACCATTCCAAACTGAACACTTCCATTAAAGGTAAGATTAGAAAATAAGGGACTCTTCCTCATAGTCCACCGTTCTGTGAAGCTGAATTATAGATCCTGACATGTCATAAAGACAAAGGATGCTTTAAAGACGAGGTCACATAGTGCAGGCCTGCAGATTTAATGATGTATATATGTTTTAAACTCTAAATCATTCAGCTCTTCTTCTTCTTCTTCTTCTTCTTCTTCTTCTTCTTCTTCTTCTTCTTCTTCTTCTTCTCAGAGCTTCACAGCTAATTGGTGTTATTTCCACCTCTCACAAAGCCTGAAACAAACACTTTTTACCACAGTATCAACAGGCAGAGGGAAAAGTGCTGGACTTCTTCACACTAATTGGTTTGGCACGTCTGATGTGGTGATGGCTGGCGTCACTTTTCTTGTTGTTGTGATGAATCAACATTTTAGGGGGTTTTTGTTCCCATCGGCTGTGTCCGAAATAGATCCCTAACCCCTTTATAGGCGACTATATGGGGGTTAGCGCCATTTTGAGGGGTGTCCAAAACCTGAGTGATCAATTCTAGTGCCCCATATAGGCGACTCAAAATTTCCCATAAAGCATTGCAAAATGTAGTGACCATCCGATGGTCACTCACCGGTGGTGGGCATCCCGTCATGCATTGTGTCTTGCCATGTAGTGTCCGAAACCTCCGGTGATTGAGCTCACTACAAAGTCAGCTATATAGTGAAACCGCATATGGGGGTTAGGGGTTAGGGATTGAGTGATTCATTTCGGACACAGCCTAGAATTTAACAAAGCCTGGAAGTAAACAGGAAAGCTGAGCGATGACATCACATCAGGATCATCAGGATTTTCCCAGTGAAGGCAGAGCTCCTGTTTAGACTGCCTGAAGTAGTTAGATTAGTCATTAGTCTAGAAAATATGATCAAATCCTCTCTGTTGAGACGAGATGCTAACTCATGATGACTTACAATAAAGTAAATTGTATTGACAGAATCTCGCTGCATCTCTGTTGCTATGGTCACACTGTTTTACATGCTTATGTATAGAACAGTTCATGTCAAAAACTCAATGCAGAGACAAAGCAGGTGTCCATAATTAGAAATTAATAAACACGCTGCAGCCAATCAGAACAGAGTATTCACTGGACCTTAATATAACTGAAGATTATACCTCTGTTCGTCCAAAAGGAAATGTGATGTAAACTGTTTATTCCTCTTTCCTTATTGACTCTTTTCATATAAATGAATTAAAAATATCATACAAACACTGTTGTCTTCAAAGCAGCATTGTCCAGTTTTTTCCTGACTCAAAATTTTACGTCCAGATTTTTGGTAATTTCACTGTAAAACTCAGTGGAAGTGCTGCATCAGCTGCATTTTTCTGTGTGTTGGGGTTAGGGGTGTGCACTTATTCAGTCTTACCTCTGGAGAATGGATTAAAGAGAATGATCCCCTCCTTAAATACAATGTTTATTCAGTTCAGACAGATACTGTTAAATCTGTATTGACTGTTTGATCTCTCTGTGTCACACAGTGATGGTCTCATCTGCTGCTGTGGAGGAGAAGAGTGAGCTGACTGGTGTTCAAGGAGAATCTGTCACTTTTCCTGATCCTGTGCTGCAGACTGGATTTATTATCTTTGGAGGAAACCTTGCTATGGTGGATGACAGAAAATTCAAGATATTAGAGGAAATTTACAAAGATAGACTTTCCTGGAACGACATAACTGGACTCTTTACACTGAGAGGACTGCAGAAGGATGACTCTGGGGATTATACTATTGAATCCAAAACGGGGAACGTTTTTAAACATCATCATAAACTCACAGTTTACGGTAAGTTACATTTACTTTGCTAGTTAACAGTCCAGTTTGTTGGTGGCACTATTTTATCAGCATCTTAAGACTGTTTGGTACCATAAAATTCATATTTTACTCCATAATTTCATTCAGCATGAAACTCAGTTATTTGAAACTCATTCAGATCAAAACAGAATTTATAGTTATTTATTGATTTATTACTTTGATAGATTGTTTCTGGTAACTGCTGCTGTTCCATGGGTGTAAAATAAACTTTTGAATTCATTTTTTTAACAGGAGCGAATCTTGGTTTTAATTGTGGCGGTCATGCATTAAAAAGTTGGTCTGCAGAGACAAACAGCATGATTGTTTTATGATGGTTTGACATTGAAAACTGAAGCAGTTCACAGCCTGTTTGCAGAAAGTGGCTTTTGAAGGCTTGAAATGTCTTTACAAGTACATTTGTCAGCATCAGTATAGAGACAGGATGGTTTTAAAAAGTTTTATAGAAACCCTAATGCTGTGCAAAATGTTTTTTCTGGAAGAGTTCAACTTTTTAAAGTGCCTTTAATATGATAATCCATGCTTTCCTCTTGATTTCTGTGAGATCCCTTAAAACAGGCCCATTGACTCAGGATTTCCTTCTTCTGGGACATCCTGAGCCCACTGTAACCGATACCCTGATGTACCAAAGACCTAAGACTAGGTCCAGACTATAGGGGTTTAGAAAGATTTTGAGTATAAAGACAAATATAAGGAGAAACTTTATATATTCTAATGCCAGAGGGAGGCTGAGTTGAAACTTGACTTCATGTCCTGGATGAACCATCTGTTCAGAGTTTCAAATTTATCATGAATCAGGCCAAAACAGTTCAGACAGTTTTTATGCAAACTGCTGCTGCTGCATATTTGCACAACTAACAGTTCTGGTCTTATTTAAAGACACAAAGAGGAGAATTCAGCTAATTTCAACATAGTGATTTATGCAAATAGTTTTAACAGATCTCTAAATTTGATCCCCATGTAAACATCTTTGAACTGTAGAAGATTAACTATGTCCTGACCAGTCTTTGTTAGGGTTAATTACAGACACATTTAAGGTTTTCTGGTGAATCTGTGAAGTTTTTAGGGGATGATATAGACACCAGCAGATCTGACACCAGTTTCCCAACCTCGATCTCTTACTTCTCTCCTGAAGTTTAACGCTCCGTTTGACTTCCTCATTTTTAGCTGTCAACCACCATGATAGACTGATGGTGTGAAAAGATAAGTGGTCGATAGAGAGATAATTTAAAGAGGAAACGAGTGTAAAACGGCTCAGACTGTAAAAGTCTTTATTTTCTCATCACCTTGAGCAGAAACAGGAACATAAGAAAGGCCAGCATGACAACATGGTCTGTGTAGAGCTCCTGTGGGTTTCATATCTTGTCATTTTAATTTTTCTAATACTTGATGACTTTGAATAAGAACACTGTCTTTAATTTAAAGAAATCAAGAAAGAAATCAATGACTTGTTTAATACAAAGACTGTGAAAGAAAGTGGTATTAGGGCTGCACGATTTTGGCCAAAAATAAAATACAGATTTTTTTCTATGAAAAGACGATTTTTGATTTTGATTTTTTTTTTCAGTGACAACTTCACCAAACTTCACTTTTATAATAAGTTTTTCTTTCATTTCCTTTAAACGAAACCACTAAAAGCGATGTAGTGCATATGTCGAATCAGTAAGTGGCGCTGTAACGCTGCACAGGAAATACACAAAAGAAAGAAGAAGAGTACAGAGCAAGTGTATAAAGGTTGTTTTGACCGAATACGGAGTTGAAATGGTAGTTGTTTACGGATTTATGCACTCTCTGACCCGTTTTTAAAAAGTAACTATTTACCATTGACAGACTTTGCAGCAGCGAGTGGTTTGTGAAGTGGTCTGTGTCTGTGAAGCCGTAGTAATTCCACATGACTGACTTGTTCTTGTCCTCTTTAGCCACAAAATTATGGCCCTTTTTTCTGCAAACTCCATGACTTTTTACATTTGTTTGTGTGGAAACTGTAGAGTGCTCCATCAGGATGGGGGGAGCCTACGGTGGCCTGGAGGCGCGAGACACGGTAGAGAGGAAAATCGATTTGATGATTTTAATTTTTTTAACATCATCATAATCAAATAATCAGATTAAGATTTAAAATCAACTAATCGTGCTGTCCTTGGAGGTATATATATAAATATAAATTTTAGTTTATTCATTACCTGCTGCGTCACATGTTTAATAATTTGGTAGACAAACAAAAGTTCAGCCTCACTTCCCCTCTCGATATTGTTTACTTCACTTATCTGTTGTTACCGTTGATACATTTAACTACTTCTCACATTGATGGAAAAACTAATAAACTGTTTATGGCCTATGCGTCCGTTTCTGCTAAAGTCAGGTTTATTTATGGGTCAGAGCTTCAGTGTGAGAATAATCCTCAATTTATCTTCTGTGGACATCTTATCTTTGATCTGTTGTTTATTGTGTTCTTTGTTTTGTAAATAGTCTATCTGTCAAAAACAATGTTGATTATTAAAAAAGAAACATGGGAATTTCACGAGGAAGAGAAGTTGATAAGATCCTGGACACAAAGTGAATTTACAGATTTGTACGTCTTTATCATGTTACACCGGGTCAGAAAATCAGTATCAGTGCAGACCTGCGCTTATAAGGTCCAGTAACGCACCACGCTTAGAGACTTTATATCCCATTTACAAGGGACGACCTTAAAATGAAATGCAAACCAAGTGTGTACAGAGAGGATGTGGGAGGCTCTGGAAATAAAATAAAAAAAAAAACTGAAACTATGCTGCTCTGAAAGTGATGGATGAAGGGGAGGCGAGCATACGAGGGCAGTTCGCTGTCCGGCTGATTAGATATGGAATGGGAAACAAGGGGAAGTCCAAGGCCTCGGAAAATGATCCGACAACCTCCTCACTTAAAAATCTGCCTCTTTTTGTTGCTTTCTCACCTCTGGGGCTCATTACACAGTGTAACCATGAGGTATTCATTTTGATTAGTGACAATATTTTTTTTGCTCATTCACTGAAAGTACTTTAACCTGTTTGATACAAAAAACAAAAAAAAAAGGTTGAACTGATAAACAAAACGAAATCAACGATCCCTGCACCTGTTTAAACAACATGTTTTACAGCAGTAGTCATAAAAGATCCATCTACCTGTGACGGCAGGTGGTACTCATCCATTATCTTCACACAGATACACATTTCTTGATTGTTAAAGGGTGTGTTATTTTTAGCCTCAAGCAGCTTTTTAGAAAAAAAAAATACTTTGATAGTTTTAATAAAAAAGTGTTTTCAAAGACTAAAAGTGACATCAGTCAGCTCTCTAACAAGTATCTCAGAACCAGAATCAGAATCAGCTTTACTGACCAAGTATGTGTACACATACAAGGAATTTGACTCCGGTGAACTTTACTCTCTATCTACAAACATGAAACATGAAATACTGCAAAAATTAAAAATATGTACAACATAAACAAGACATTTAACTTATGTATACAAAACAGGAGTGCAACAGTGCAATGATGAGGAGTGCAGTGGAGTGGGGGGTGGTTATGATGGTCCGGGTGCTGGACGTGAACCCCGGTGATCATCGACCGGCACCATGAGCAGGGCCAGTTTGTGTTGTTTGGATTTGTGTGTAGGTCAGTGCAGTGTCGAGGTGTAGCAGGATTAGTGCAGTCTCATGTTTACTGCATCATCCACCAACCTGTTTGCATAATAGGCAAAGTGCATGATAGGCCTGTGATGTCCTTCAGGCGGCTCGATACCAGTCTCTTAAAGGTTTTCATAAGCACAGACGTCAGGACGACAGGCCTGTGATCAATTTACCTTATGATGGAGGTTTGACGGTGGAGTGTTTAAAGCAGGAGAGGACTTTGCACTGCTCCAGAGATCTGTTAAGGATCTGAGTAAAGACGAGGCCAGCTGGTCAGCACAGACTCTCAGGCAAGAGCTGCCTGACTCTGAAAGAGCTGACACAACTCCTCTTCATCTATCCTTAAGGCTGGTGGGGGGGAGTCTTTAAAGTTAAAGTTCTTTAAAGGACTTTGGTCACTAAAATAAAGAACAGTTGTCAACTTTCTGACATGTGACAAAAAGCTGAAAATGTTGAGGCTTCATAAAAGGAGGATTTATGGCAGAGCAACAGTACAGGAGAGGATAATGTGATATATGATCTGCGTACAATTGTCAACATACCAAATGATACTGTGGAGATTTTAGAAACCACCAGCTGTTGTGGTCTGGCACAGTCAGTGGAAAAGAGCCCTGGAGTTGAGGAATAAGCTCATGATTTCATCTTGTAAGACTAAGCTGGTAAAATTCCTAACATGACTAAATCACTCTGACCAGTTTGGAGTGGCCTATTGGGCAACGATTGACGCTCGGCCCCTGGAGGGACTGGAGGTTGACCTGCTGTCAGAAGTTGAAACACCCATCTGTTCTCTTCCTTCTGCACTGGAAAGAGGCTCTGAGTTCACTGGAGGGACTTTATGTCGAGGTCAAGGGACACCAGAGGGGTCTAATAAAAAGGGGGAGATATCTGGGTCACAGAGTGTTGAGGGGAGAAGTTGCATCAAACTTTATTTCAAAATCATGATGGAAAATAAGAAGCTCATGACATGTTTTACGTCACACTTCCTGTAATGTAACCACTGCACATGCTCATGTCACAGAGACAATAGGGCGTATTTAGTTCTTGCAGAAACATTTTGGTTTGATCCATGAACCTAAAATTAGGACACAGCATCATCAGATCTGAACAACATGCACGCACATGCTTCACTTTTGCACAAAGATTACTTGCAGATTATTTGGTCACACCTCTGTTTCAACAGCAGCTAATAATAATTTGTGGAGTGATTCAGCTGAGGAAAAGCTAGGGAATAGACTGACTAAACAACGAAGCCAATCCAATGAAATATGTGACACGTCTCTGTGAAATAGAAACCAAATATCTCTGCATTTGATGGCACACCAAAGAGGTTCATGATGTTGATCCAGCCAACAGTGTTTTCTCTTTGACTCATATTTTAAGGCTGGAAAGTGATGCTCCGATTGGTGCATGTAAATGTTGATTCAATGGTTTAATTTTGTTTTCTTGTCTCCCTTTTTCAGAGCCTGTATCAACCCCAGTTGTGACATGGCTGAACGTGAGCACCAAGAACTGCACCTTCCTTTGTTCTGTGAATAAAACTGATGATACAACTCTGCTGTGGTACAAAGACCAGAAAATATTGAACAACAGCAGCTCAGAATTCTCTCTGTCAATCACTGTTGATATTACTTCATCATATAAGTGTGTGGCAAAAAGCCCTGCTGAAATAAAAACAGCTGATGTTGATCCTAAGAAATACTGCATACAACCAGAAGAGAAAGATTCTTCAGGTGGCAGACACTGTAAGACTTAATTTAACCCTTAATTTTGAACACATTTCTCATGTACTCACATTCTCGTTTTCTGTCGTTTTTTTTGTAGTTTCCTAAAAATGTCTGTTTTATTTCCACAGATATATGGCCCATCATTCTTACGGTTGTTGTGCTCGTCTCAATCATTGCATGTTGGCTTTTCTGCAAACAAAGGGCAGCCAGAGAGACACAAGGCAGGTATTTATCTTATTAATCTGAATCCTGAAAACATGTTTAAATAAGGACTTAAGTTCTGCAATATGTATCATTGTAAATGTAGCCAAGAGAACTAATACGGTGATCTAAGTGAATATTTCATTCTTACTGGCTGCAGAGTATCTGTAACCTGATGATGGACCATTTTAAACCTGCAGTGAAAAGCATTTCCATTACATTTTAATCTGTCGCCACGCATTAATTCAGCGCACAAGGCCTCCTTTGCAAATAAGCCTCTTTGTAAACTTGGACATCCTGCTCCAGCGTCATAGACCGCTCAAAGCCAAAGGGATGTCATGCATTTGTTTCTGAAGCAGACCTTTGACGCCCATTGGTGGCAGTCGCCATACTGGAAAATGCTGACTTAACTTTCCCTAAACCTACTCAGGCGAGCCAAACTCCGACCAGCAACATCTCATTGGGAAAAAAGTTAACACAAATTCCTTCCCTGGACTGTGTGTGTTGTTGAAAATTCATAACCAGACTTTAAATATGTTTACTTTTCCTGCAAAGATGGGCTTTTTTGAATGAAGTGTGTGTGTGGTTTTTGGGGCTTCTTCAGCCAGCCTCTAGTGGGCATTTTAGGAACTGCAGGTTTTTCTGTGCACTTCGGCAGCATCTACATTTCTCAGGCCAGAGAAACTTGTGTTTAGTTTAGTTTTGTTTGTTTGTCTGCTGTTAATACGTTTTTGATCGGGGGCAGGGAGAGGTGAACGGTATAAAGGAATCAAAGTTGTGGTCGTAGTGCTGGCAAGAATTTTAAACTACTTCTCACCCCTGGATGCCGTGCAGGAGGTGAAATTACATCACTTATAATCTGATCAGAATCAGGGAAATGGTCAAGTGAGAGTAAAAATGGCTCATAAGCTTTCTGATCCAAATAAAACCATCAATCTCCTTGGAGGTTTGAGTTGGAGGTGGTTAACTCCCTGGGAGCGCAAAAAGAGAGCCCTTTGGGAGGTTTGTTATATGAAAAACAAGATCACGTAAGCTGCCATCCACATGACTGATGCTTTACCTCAAACTCATTTTTTGTTTTCTGCTGCAGTGAAGCTGCACCACAGTATACAGTCAGCATCTTGATCATATAAACACAAAATCAGGATAGATCATACTCCTCTCTGAGAAATTTTAACCAAACAGCAAAAGGTTATCACACAAAATCCACCTTTTCGTGTTTGTAGAAATGCTGAAGCGGTCATGTTATTGGAAATGCTGACTCAGCTTATGTTAATGGAAAGAGGGTTTGCAAAATAAAGGTCTCTTTGAAGCTCTGTAAATGATGAGATTTTATCCTACCTATACCTGCATCAATGCCTGCAGTCATGCTCATAGGATAAAAAGACACCTGAGTCATGCAGCCTCAGGGTCTGACAGGCAAATAGATGGAAATGTTTGTGGTTGTTGATGTAAATGGACCTCATAGATCACATGACATCATTTGGTTGACTGAAGGTCATTAAAATAGCTTCTAGGTGTTGTCAGGTACTTTCTGAGTACATTAGCTCTATGGGGTATCGATTTACCTTTGGGATTCTAGTCAGGCAAAACAAAGAGAGACAATCTTTTATTCATCAATCAATCTCTCCTCATTGCATTTAGAAAATGGAGGACTGAGTTTTTTGAAAAGACGCAGGTGTGGCCGACAAAGGCGAACGATCCGCAGCGACCAGAACGATCTTCATGAGGAGAAATGCACTTCCACTGCAGCAATGACACGACTTCAAAAACACATGCAACAGTACAAAACAAAAGCAACGCTGAAAATATTAAGTTACCTAGAGAGTGGAAAGGGCTGCTATTACGGCTCATTTATGCTCACCATACACATGAAAATATAGGCGTCTGTTTCACTGCCCACATACTTCCATGTGTCCTTTATGTTGGCATGGATGTTAACCATTACATCCACCAGGGGGCAGGCCAGAGTCAAATGTTTCTGACAACAACAAACGAAAAGAAACACGGCAGCTGTGGAGGAGCTAGTGATAATTTGTATTTTGCATAGGGTACAGAAACAGAGGCAGCGTTGGGGGATGGGGTACTCGGTCATGCCACTGAACGCGGTTGGAGGATGGAGAATTCTTTTCTCTAGTCGTACCGATGAGAGAAATTGAAGGCCATCCTCAAAAAGCCCCGCCATTGTCTTCTTCGTTTCTCTGTAGAGATGCATATCTGGTAGTAACAGCAGCAACACTGCCCCCCATGGTTTCTGGTGATACTGCTCCGTCTGGCCTGTATCCAAACTTCAAGGATACGAGCAGAAATACTGAGGAAAAGAACGCGAAGCACGGATGGAAAGCACCGTCTGTGTGCAGATCCGTATGTAACGTTGACCATAAATGAGCCTATTTCATAAATGATACCAATGAGGTAGGAAACCCCTTAAACCCCCAACTAAACTAAACTATGAAACGGCCTTTAGAGAGTTGAAAAGAGTGTCGACTCCACAGCCATTGCACAGGCTACTTTACATTTATAATCTTTACAGCTCTTGAAATGTGACCACATGAAAGAGGCGAACAGTGTTGAGCAGCTGTTCTATCGAAAAAAATTGCAAGACACGCTCTTCATAGACTCCAGTCAAGCTTTGATATGCAACCAGTGAAGCCATAAACTGAGAGAGAACTAAGAAACTGAAAGTCAAAATGGTTTTTAATTAGACATACTTACAGGAGTGGAAGTCTGATTCGTGTGTTCTGCATGTGCAAAAATAAGGTTTTAGCAGTTCCTGCAGTTTTCCTGTTGCATCATCAATATCATTCTCTCCAATCAGCTTCATCACAAGAGTTATGAAACTTCTCCATTTGCAGATTTCTCTTGCATGAGTTAATAAACTGTGAGCTTGATGTGTTCAGGCTTGTTCTCCATCGGTTGTATGAGCGGGATGAATAGGCCCTGCAAGCAGTTCATTTAAACAAGGTTCAAAGTGAATGAACTGTGTGCACACCTGGAGATGGTAGAAAATCAAAAACAAAGGTCTGACTCTCCCCCCTGACAAAAGAACATTGAAATCCTCACACAGAATAGATTGATTGATTGTTTAATTTTCAAATGGGGTTGTATGAGGGAGTGGTCAATAGTAGGAGTAATATTGTCCTGCAAGTGTGTTATTTTACCTTTCTACTCATCAGAGCAGCTCACATATCACTGAAACATATTTCTTGCGATGAGAAGGGGCCCTGTTGGGGTTTTAGGTTTTACACATGAACCGGTATGAGCTGTCAGTGAGAACAGGATGTACACACTGAGATGTTGGCTTTGTGGTTCTTCACACAGGGTTTTTTAAGCACGTACAGCAGCCTCTGAAAGATTATACGAGGTAGATGTAAACCAAGAGCTGTACTTTATTGTCTCACGACAATCTAAAATAAACAGAGGCAGCTGCACAACAGCTTCTTGTTTCTCCAGAATGAAAACGGGAAGTTAGACAAATATTTATCATGTAGGAAGTCACGTATGACGTCCAATAAAAATAAAAAAAACAATGTTAAAAAACTGTTTCCTTCTCCTTTTGATGGCAGACGTGACAGAGCCTGACGTTTGTCCTATAAAAATCACGCTTTTATTATCGGGAACTTAAGACCTGCATGATGGGAGAAAAACATAAAACCGTCAACTAGCCCCGAGGTGTCAATAATGAGCGGATAGACATTGCCGCACTTAGAGGCTCGGTATGTAAAATCTGTTTGTCTTTCTGCTTAGATGAAAACATTGTTAGAGACAGAACAAGTGTGTCTACAACTGTGGAAAAAAAATCATGCATGTGGAGTGTAAATTGTGGCCTGGAGGATTGGGAAACAGAACATTTTCAGACAATTTGGTTCAACTTCTACCACTCTAGCCGATGATGTGATCCACTCTCAAAATTTCTCCAAAAACGATCATGGACATTAAAAAGTGATTAATCAAAAACAACATAACGTATCAAAATGTTGATTAATACACCAATAGACAAGACCCGTGTCTACATTTTAACATTTAATTGGAGTCTCTAGGTGAAAGTATGCCAGAGCAGTAGACACTTGAAAAACGACAGTAATTGCTCCTTTTTTGGCTTTTCTCGTTGACTTCAGTGCAAAATCTTCCCCATGTGTCAGCTGATGGTCTGATGTTGGCAGACAGGGCACCAAGGCCACTCTTGATCAGATGGTCTATATTTTGAAAGTTGTTGTTCTGTATCAGGCCAAGTGGAAGCATGTGACTCAAAAATAAAACGGGCCCTAAAGCTAAATCTTGTGACACACCACAGGAAACGTTTGATGTTGAGAGTTTATTTTGGAGTTTCCTCTGTTTCTAATGCAAGGAAATGTTGAAATCTCTTCTTTTTTTTTCATTAAAACACCAAACGGAGAAACAAGAGTGGAAATGACAAAGTTAATAGTCTTCATTCACACTTGCTTTCACTCTTTTTTGGTCAAACTATGTTGTACAAGCTGCACTCTTGTCAAGGTCGGGGCAGTTTGATTTGGGTGTAACTGCAGAGATATAAACACGGCCTGACAGGAATTCGATTTTGTCGGGGAAATGAGAGGAAACAGAACTTCTTGTTTACCAGAGTGGACTGCTCGCTCATCAAAATGGAATTCTGTGTAGTTTCCTGTAAAAGCTCTTAGACACTTAGTCGACTGTGGGGGATGGTAAGCTCGAGGCCTCAGCTTTGAAAACCGATCGGACTCACTGTTTGAGTCTAGATATGATTACAGTCATCGCCTCCTGACTCTGAGAGGAGTGTATGATGGATGCAGATGAAGTCACCATTCAGATATCTATTACACACGAACAAAAGCGTATCAAATCACGCCTTGTTTTTTTTCTTTCTCAGTTTTTGCCGATCTGCTTTGAAAATTTTTTGGGGATTTTTGTCTTTTTTGTGTCCTTACCTCCCTGATTTTGTACAGATGGAAACAATTAAACTGTTCGATTTTCAGTCCTGATCCTACATCACATCTCTAATTTTGTGTATCTCTGCAGGTTCAGAGAGCAGAGACTCTGATGTCATCTACACAGATGTGCGTATAGCTGAAGACATACGTGCTCAGGTTGGTATGATACCTCACATTCACCCTGGGTAATCATTGACTGTAAGCTGCCGTTTCTAAGTAATGCAACAAAAGCCCCAGTGTTCAGTTGAACCTCCCACTAAGTACATACGCCATTTACACTGTACTCACTTAGGCTTTTCCACTGGCGCCAAGCATCCCCCTTAATGTGTCTGTTGTTATCTGGTTGACTGGAAACCAGCTGCATGCAAACCATGTAATCAGCCTACTAAGTAACCAGACACAGCAATAAAATCAAATACACATTAATCCGAAGGTCATGGATGAAAACAGACATCCCAGGAAAGAAAGAGGCTCTGAACATGTCCAAAACTTTGCAGAGAATCAGCACATTAAGAGTTTATTGTAAAATCAAAGTATATTTTTGTGCTTTTAAAATGCAATGTGAACAGGAGCTGCTAAGAGCTTGCACACCATGACTCTATCAGGTTAAATTCGCCAAACTGTTGGACGAAAAATCTTCTAAGTTGTGTTTTATTGAGGAGTGAGATGGTGTTTGCATTATTCATTTTGATTTTTTTTTTCTTACTGGTACAACAAGTGTCAACATTATGCCAACCTGAACCTCAACAAAAATCATTGCATCCAACTGCTATCCAAAACCTTGCTCTCTGACAGGCAAAACTCTGTTCATTATTTTCACTGAGATCTGGATCTACTTAGCGCCCCCTGCAGGGATGGAGACTTATGATGACTGCATTTGTGGCTTTTTTCTGTTGCATTGTTCGTCTTTGAGTTTGTGTTTGCAACATGTTTGGTGTTAATGCATATTCCTGCTTTTTTCAGTGATTTTTTGTTTTGTATTGTTTTGTTTTTTTGGAGCATGTTTCCAATGATTTTTTTTTTGTCTTTCTGGTGGTGCAACTTCTGCGGCTGCGTTTCTAAACTTGCAGCAGCAATCTCCCTGTAATTTCGTTGTAAATTTTGGTATTTTTTCATGCTCACCACATGCTCAGGGAAATATGCAGAGACTCAAGGATGCCAAATGGGGTTAGGCAGGGACACAGGGATCAGGAAAACGAAGCAGAAATCAGGTTATCGGTCAGCATGAAATGAGGTTAATGGAAACCATCCAGAATGACAGGAAGCTGTCATGCTGTAGGCAATGCGGTAATGAGATAAGTAGACTGATGCAGGAAATGAGACACAGATGGAAGATAATAAGAGGAAGAGTCAGGATGGAGATAATGACAGAGCTAAGTATATTACAGGAAGAGTCAGAGCAAGAACACACCCACATCGATTAGCTGCAGCAATCATGAAATCACAGTTTCGCAACAAACACACATTTCTCTTTTTTTCCTGTAAAGTCTGTAAATAATAGGTGCTCTAAACCTGCATGCCAAAAAGTTATGATGTATGAAAAGTAAATCTTGTAAATCTTCATATTGCAATGTATAAAGATTGATATTTATAACACTGCACTAATTATATGTCAACTTTTATCATTTAGTTCATGATTTTAGGATCTTCCTCTGGAGCTACAGTCTGAGTTTCATCTAAATAAAAATCTCCTTTTCACTATTTTGTTTTTGTTCCTCCAGCAAAGAAACCACCATCAAGAGAGTTCCAGCCTAACTACAGTGTATGACAAGCTTCAGGCACACCGGATCAGTCCTCCAGACGCAGCAGACTGTTAACACCACCAAAAGACACATCGCTTACATGCATGAGCAGCTTATGCAAAAGGACTGCAATATCAGTGCCTTCATGTTACGCTGCAAACTCAAGGACTTTGAGCTTAGGCTAATTATATATATATATATATATATATATATATATATATATATATATATATATATATATATATATATATATGTTGAATATACACTCACCGGCCACTTTATTAAGTACACCTGTCCAACTGCTCGTTAACACTTAATTTCTAATCAGCCAATCACATGGCGGCAACTTAGTGCATTTAGGCATGTAGACATGGTCAAGACAATCTCCTGCAGTTCAAACCGAGCATCAGTATGGGGAAGAAAGGTGATTTGAGTGACTTTGAACGTGGCATGGTTGTTGGTGCCAGAAGGGCTGGTCTGAGTATTTCAGAAACTGCTGATCTACTGGGATTTTCACGCACAACCATCTCTAGGGTTTACAGAGAATGGTCCGAAAAAGAAAAAATATCCAGTGAGCGGCAGTTCTGTGGGCGGAAATGCCTTGTTGATGCCAGAGGTCAGAGGAGAATGGCCAGACTGGTTCGAGCTGATAGAAAGGCAACAGTGACTCAAATAACCACCCGTTACAACCAAGGTAGGCAGAAGAGCATCTCTGAACGCACAGTACGTCGAACTTTGAGGCAGATGGGCTACAGCAGCAGAAGACCACGCCGGGTGCCACTCCTTTCAGCTAAGAACAGGAAACTGAGGCTACAATTTGCACAAGCTCATCGAAATTGGACAATAGAAGATTGGAAAAACGTTGCCTGGTCTGATGAGTCTCGATTTCTGCTGCGACATTCGGATGGTAGGGTCAGAATTTGGCGTCAACAACATGAAAGCATGGATCAATCCTGCCTTGTATCAACGGTTCAGGCTGGTGGTGGTGGTGTCATGGTGTGGGGAATATTTTCTTGGCACTCTTTGGGCCCCTTGGTACCAATCGAGCATCGTTGCAACGCCAAAGCCTACCTGAGTACTGTTGCTGACCATGTCCATCCCTTTATGACCACAATGTACCCAACTTCTGATGGCTACTTTCAGCAGGATAATGCGCCATTTCATAAAGCTGGAATCATCTCAGACTGGTTTCTTGAACATGACAATGAGTTCACTGTACTCAAATGGCCTCCACAGTCACCAGATCTCAATCCAATAGAGCATCTTTGGGATGTGGTGGAACGGGAGATTCGCATCATGGATGTGCAGCCGACAAATCTGCGGCAACTGTGTGATGCCATCATGTCAATATGAACCAAGCTCTCTGAGGAATGCTTCCAGCACCTTGTTGAATCTATGCCACGAATAATTGAGGCAGTTCTGAAGGCAAAAGGGGGTCCAACCCGTTACTAGCATGGTGTATCTAATAAAGTGGCCGGTGAGTGTATATACTGTTACCTATGTTTTTTTACGTTTCATCATGTCCTACATTTCAATGTTTTTTTTGCACTGCTGTAAATTATGTGCTGGTCATGCATTTTGATTATTTAAGGTGTCTGAAATGTCTTTGCCTCATATGAAAAAACATACATTTCATACTGAATGATGAGTAAAATCAAGCAGAAATAAAAGTAAATCTTACTTGAAGTCATTTTCATTTGAATTATATTCATTCATAGCCACTCTCCAGGCATTTCATTTTTTCATTTCTGCTGTTGAATCATGATGTTTATCTTCAGTTGTGGGATACTTTGAAATTAATTCCTTCAAAAGCAACTTCTCACTTTCACTAAAGTTTTGGAACCGCTTCTTTTCCCTTTCTCCATGCTTGATCATTGGTCAAACTCCTGTTACACACACACACACACACACTTCACAGACTGTCGACCAATTTTAGCCTGTTTGAGACTAATCAGAAATCGGCACAACATTGATTTTCCCCGATATTTTCAGAAATAAAATGCGGAGAATAAGATTCGGTTTCACTTCGAAAATGTTCCGCCATTTGAAAAGTTCCCCGACTTATCCTGTAGATGGCGCAGCGACCTCATGACAATGTTCATCCACAAACTTCCTCACAGCACAGCAGAGTGACAGATCTGAAGCAGGCAGCTCAGGAGGAGAGTGGTCCGCCTCAACAGTAAATAAACCAGATTGTGAAATACACAATAAGTCAATAAGTTTCAGTTCAACCCACTTCACCATGTTCCTCGCTGTGCTGGTCTCAGTCACGCCGAGTAAACGGTGAAGCAACATGTAATATGCAAGCTAAAGTTAGAGTTAGCCACCTGCTATTAGCCTTGCTACACTGTTAGCCATGCCAGTAACAGTAGAATAAACAACAGTACACATTAGTGATCGAGCTACTTCTCTTACTGAGGCAGCTGCATGTCTCTAGATGAGACCGGACCGTAAATGAGTAACAGAAATGAGAAATGACTTAAGATGCGGAGGCACCGATCGGCGGGGGGGTGGGGTGTTGACAGGCCTTCCTGTCGATGTGAAGAGCAGTAGCCTTAAGTATATCTACAGTATATATTTATTTTTTTACTTAATAAAAAAAAATTAAAAAATTTGCCGATTAATCGGTAATCAGATTTTTTCCCACCATAATAATCGGTATCGGCATTGGCCCCAAAAAATCCTTATCAGTTGGGCCCTACTTCCAACACATGATCTGACTGGTCCTTGATTACCTCAGTCTGAGACTCTGTAGTCTGGTAACTAGTGAATCTCAAGTCAAGTAACATCTCAGAAAGCAATTTGATTAATGTGGATTAAGTTAAACCAGATTAGTGTAGTCCTGGTTTTATTTAAGCCCTGTATGGGAAACTGGGCCTTAATGTTGACTCTCTGTTGGACAAAGTTGGAGTGGGAGCCGCATTCAGACGGACACTGTGGGCAGTTCTGGTCTCAGCTGAAAACCTGAACCTTTTTCGGCGCAGTGACACATGAAGGAACATCCAGTGTCAGTGACAGCTGTTTAGCATCCTTGTTGCTGTTGGTACACTGTCATAAGTGTCACCTGTACAAACACCCGCACATGAAGAACCAGTTTATGGTGGCCTGCTTAGAGTCATAAAGGTCATCATCTGTTTTCAGACTAATATTTGTATTTTGATTGATTTCAGGAAACACCTTGCACTCAACCTTAAGTTTTTGTATTTTCCCTGTTACTAAACTCTGGTGATGTTTGTGATGTCTGATCTGTTTATCAAAATAATGTCCTTGTGAATCACTCTCAGACTGGCTTTGCCCTGGATATAACAGTTTTTTTTAAAGAGCTTGATTATATAAAGTTTTTTTTATTTTTCTCAGCCCCTCTTTCTGTGACCACAGTGTCACAGTGTCAGCTTGTCACAAGGGGATAGGTGCAGCGAGTTGTGTGAAGTTATGAAAGAGAAAGAAGGGTGGTAAGTCAGTCGAGTCTGTTTTCTCACGGGTCTTGTTTTGTGTCAACCATAGACTGTATATACTAAGGATAACTTGGTTCCACCTTCTGCAAGTATATGGATTTGAAGCCGAAAAGCTCTCGGTAATTCCGCGATTTTTTCTTCACTTCCTAAAAACAACATTGCGCTGTAGCATTGTACGCATTCCGTGAGAGAGTTGTCGAGAGTCGCTGTGATGACGCTCGCCTCAAACAGCGTATCCGGTGGGTGAGCTATGCAATCTTTAAAATCCTATAGGCTGTATCAAGTGTCAATCATAGAGAACATGAACCCCCTAATAACTTTTAGAAATTGAGCTGTACAGAAAAAAGAGGACTTGAGCACAAACCAGTCTGACAATAACTACATGTCAACATCCCAAGCAGGAGGGAGAAAATATATATTCTGTGTAATAAATTTCTAAAGTTTGTCCACAGCTCCATAGGGATTGCTGGAGGAGGCGGGATTTGTGACCTATACTGCAGCCTGTCACTAGAGGGTGCTGTTCTTGTGGTTGCTTCACCCAGTGAGGAGGCAGACAGCGTCTATTCTATATACAGTCAATAGTTCCAGCAGTTTATTTCCTTTTCAGTGTGATTTTAATGTATTTTGTCAAAAATTTCCCCCAATTTTTCTTGTATTCGAAGAAAATGTTGTGTTGCAAATTCAGAAAAAATACAACAGGTTACCCAAAAGCAAAAGAAGAAGTAGAAACATTTATTTGAAATGGACTTAATGGGTAAGACAGTGTAAACCCTTTACTTTATCATAAAGACTTGTCTCTTAATGCAACCAAATTTAATTACTCTGACTAAACAGATGGTAACTTAAACAGGATGAATGATGTTGAAGCCATCAATTATTGCACTCTTTAATGGACAGTTTCTGATCATTTTTTGCTGCCAGTAAGCACAATTCAATTCATTTATTGATGATTTAACATAACACCAAAAAGTGACATGAAAAAAAAGCACAAAAACAAAGACAGTTGTGATAAAATGTGTCTAGAGAAATACAGGTGAAGGAGCAGACATATATATAATTTTGGATGTTAAAAAGAAGAAACCTCTGGTAATGGAAATTCTGGTCAACTTAAACTAAAAACAAACTTTAAGTGTGGCTTTTGTATTATACCCTAATGTTATTTAACATTAAACTACTTTGGTTGTTCTGCTTGCTGAATTATTAAATGTATTTTTGTATTAAATTTCCTGTATTAACATTTTTATTTAGTTCTAATCATTATTGTGTGAATTTAATTACCAAGAGGCCAAGAGGTGGACTAGAGCTTTAGCCTCCTCACAAACATCTACAGTGTGTCCACCTGTCAGTCAAGTCAGGTGTGCCTCTGATTGGCCGAACTTTTAACCTTAATGTCTTCACAATGAAGGGGTTAAAAAAAATCTCTCTCCTGTACACTGTGTGCTAAGAGGGCGATGAGCTAAACTCACTCTCAGCCAAGCAGTACAAGTGTTTATTTTCACAATTTTAAATGATTGTGTATGTGGCCCCTAGTGCGTCTGCATCCAGCCTCAAGTGGACACTTTGGGTATTACAGTTTTTGCACTTCTGCTTCAGCTTTTCCAGACCGCTTCACAGCTTAGTTTGGGTAAGATCATTTAATTTAAAAAGCTTTTAAATTTAATTTTTGGTTATAAAAATGAAAATAGAGTGATGTGGAGAGCATCAAAACAGTGCACCTAATTTGTAATAAATTAAAGAGGAATTTCAACTTTCTTCTCACAAACCCCAGGTAGAGCAGTGTTACAATGTTCATCAGTCCAGGATTTGATAGAACTGAGGTAGATACTAAACTGAAAGCTGTTAAAAGCTGCACATTGCTCAGTCCTTATATAGTGCGTTGGTCGATAATCTTGCCAGAACCTACAAACAGAGACAGAACAGTTCAAAGGGATGATGGATGAAGGAAACTCAGCATGTAAGAAATAGCAATGTCTAAATATTCAATTACTTCCTGGAATTTTTGAACTTTAGTAGAAATTTCCAAAATGTTGGAAATTATTCAAGCTCTGAAAATTACATAAATTCTCTGAAATTTTAATAGAAATTTTTCTCCAGCTGTCAGAGATTTCAATCAAACTCTTAAATAATTCTAAGGAATTTTCAAAACTTTTTACATAAATGAAATAATAACATGAGATTTTAAAGAAAATTTAACAGTAAAATAATCAAGAATTTTTAGTGAAATTTCCAGAACTGTGGATGTTTTCCAGTAAAATGATGAACTGAATTTGTGAGAACCCACGGGAGTTCTGAATTTAAAATTTCCTTGACTTTTTTTTTTTGTTTTAGAATTTTAAAATTCTTATTTTGGATTTTTGAGTATGTCAGTTTAACCTTTTAGAAGATGTGCTTCAAAAAAATTTTAAAAACTGTCGAACTCAAGGCAATTTTTATGAAGATTTTTGGGGAAACTAAGAATTTCAATGATAATTTTGGACAATTTAAACACACCAATTTTCAAGGAAAAGCTCACAGACTCTAATGAGACTTTTTAACAAAAACGTTCAATCAAATTTTATGTAACCTTTGTTATCTTTTTGTTTGAAAATGTCCAACAATTTTTGCTAATTTTTTGTACATTGGATCTCCGTCACTTCAAATCAAGTAGCTCTATTAACAAACTTTTGGGGGAATATTTAAATGTTGAACTTTTTCATGTTTTTTGAGTTTGGATCTTGAACTTTTCGAAGATTTTCAAACACTTACCCAGTTTTCAGTGATGATCCATCAGTCCATCTCCAGCTAGTCAGATGACTCTTACTCAAACCGATCCAGAACTTCAAATGATGTCCAAACTTATTCAGAAACACCTTTTTAACCCTTTCACGTATAACGGTCACTACAGTGGACAAATCTTCAAAGGTCATTTTCTATTATAAAAATAGAGGTTTGATGCTACAAATGCATGTTAGCCACTACAGTAGACCCTGGAAAATGAGTCCAACACTGGTGCCATCTGGCCATGTGTTGCAACTGCAGAAAAAACACGTCAACATTCAAGATGGCTGCCTCTGCTGAGAACAGACCCTCCACCTCTGGGATTTCCACTGCTTCCTTTTATAAAAGCAGAGCCCTGCAGGTAAAAAAAATATTTTGGGATAAAGTAACATCTAATAATTACTATAGTTGCAAAAAATTCCATGCATTGCTTTTATGTTCTGAGGAAATTGGAATTTTCCATTTGTCCACTACGGTGGACAGCATGCATGACTTATACTATTTCTACTACAATACATGCAAATGGTGTAACTCCTTATCTCTGCAAAATGCTTGATTTCAAGCTTACCTTTTCAGTTAAAACCAACCATTTTATGTTATTAAAAGGTAACCTGTATTGTATGTATCAAAAAATTAATGTTGTGCATGTATTTTATATTTTGTGCATGCATAGTATATATTGTATTTTGTGCAGCCTTTGTGCAAGTTTTGCAATGTTTGTAAAACATTTTTTGCAAAAATATATTTTGTGCACGCATTGTAACACACACACACACACACACACACACACACACACACACACACACACACACACACACACACACACACACACACACACATACACACACACACACACACTACAAACAGTGCATGCACAAAATATTATAAAAACAATGGAAAAAATATATATACATATATAAGATAAATAGAAAGAAAGATTGATTGGTTGTGCAATATTTTTCACATTATGTTATTTATTATATGCAGGGTTCACACACAGAGAGGGACCAGAGGAAGTACAGAAATGTAGAGGAACTGCCATCGTCCAGCGATGCAATATCACTGTGTGCCTTCTTTTCAAATGTGAACTAATGTAGTACAGGGCATCGACAACTGAATGTGTTTGGATAGTCACTAAGTCACTATTTCTTTTGTTTATTATTGTAATTATTATTTTCATGAATGATCCAATCTATGGCATTTGTTTTTGCTTTGAGTGTGCTGGCTGAAGTTGTAGCACCTGGCCTGAAGCCTAATTAGGCTCATGGTTCGTTTGACACAGATGACAGTTGTTGTTGCTGTTGTTTGACACAAGCCATGTTTTGTAATGTACATTTAAACAGAATTTAAATGTTTTAAAATGTGAATCTAATTGTTTTGACTCCTTTTTGGGGTGGGGTTCTATTATTTGTATTAATACAATTCATTTTCTGTAATGTCGACCAAATGCATGTTGTCCGCTGTAGTGGACATGTCACTAAAAACTTAGCAGAAACAGGTAAAAAAAAAATTCCAACTGCAATATTATTTATATGCCTTATATTGAATAAAAACACATAGTAAGAATTTTTTAACTCAATATATCATAATTCATGCATGAAAGGGTTAAAGGTAAAAAAAAATCAGTTATGCACAAATTTTAATGTCAAGTTTCAAGAACCAAGTCAGGTCCTCACCATCTCTGTCTGACTTCTGACGATCACCAGATCTGCTCCATAGCTTTGACATTTCCATCTGCTGCTGGACCATGACTGTCTTACCGTGGAAAAGAGGTAACAGCTCAAACCCAACCTCTTCCATCCATCGGGGCACATACCTGAACAAACACAGCAGTGATCATAAGAAACATAAGAGGAAATAAAGTCATGCAGCAGCAGTCAGGAGGAGGAGGAAAGCTCATGATTCATTACACTGATAAAATGTGGTATAACAAATACAACATAGGTAGCTAGCATATGTTAGCATGTAAAAATGCTCTTATTAGGGCTGGACGATATGGGAAAAAGGAATCACAATCCTTTTTTTTCATATCAGTTGATATCACAAAATTTAACAGTGCTTATTGGTAGCATGTCATTCTCAATACAATAATCTACTGCATCTGTGAGGTCTTTGTGTCTTTTGACATTTTGTCATAAGGCGTTGCGTTAGAGAAAGCCGACTGAATAGTCGGCTGTTTCGGCTGCACAGGCTCCATGGGTTCCTTGCTCCGCTCGGGGTTTGTAACCTTTTGCATTGTGCGTGCTCTGCTGTGTGCTCTGCTGTGTGGCACTGCTAGAGGTGGTGAAAAAGATTTGAGGTATTCACCGACTTTGCAAGAACATGTATTCGACATAATTTGCAGTGAGCATGCGTATAGTCTACCAAAACATGGCAGAATGCAGGCTATCGAAAAGCATATTGACCATGTTTTATATCGATATCGAGGGAAATTAATTTTCTATATATCTCATTATCGTTTTATCGCTCAGCCCTAGTTCTCATCAAAACTGATCACAAAGAACAGCTGAAGCAAATAGGAGTAATAATAGCAATATTTGGTCAAAAACTGATGAAGTTTATGAACAGATGATAAATCTGTACAAGTTTAATGATCATAAATCAAATGTATGCAAGTCCCTTCACTTTAGAGTTGTGGTGCAGAAATCATTAGTTTTTTCAGCTGTGCATCAACATGTATCTCATGCTAACTATTTCATAGCACGTCTACAGCAGCAGGACATCTGCAGCGACGATATGAGGGAGCTCAGGGACAAAAAGGAGCTCCTTACTAGTACCCCTGGTTGTCTAACCCTCTATAGCAGAAAATTAAAGAGACAAAAAGCAACTGGAACTCAAGCTGTTGAAAAAAAATTTGGTGGTGATTATAAAAAAGGATCAGACTGCACGATGCATGGCATTTTGTTGGTTATAGAGCTGCACAGAGCACCACTATAAAGGCTGTAGTTTTTGTCATAGTAGAAGCTGGTCACAGGCCCACAACCCTTTGCTTCATGGCTTCCCCCACTCTGTATCTGTATCACCAAAAATGGTTTTAAAACTTTTTAAATGAAGTTTGTGATAGTCTGCACAGTCACACCATGTCAGATTAACCATATTTGATGTTTGGTGTTACATAATCACACACAGCAGCATGTGTGTGTGTGTGTGTGTGTGTGTGTGGTCCCCTATTCAAGAGAAAAAAGCTGTGTGACGTCGACCACCAACACCTGTCTCCTCTGCAGTATAAATCCTCACCCACAGCCTTGGTCAGGTTGCTAAATTTGATTTGCAACTGGTCTCTCTCCTCAGTCAGGTTCTGGTTCTGGGCCAGGAGCTGATACTTCTCTGCGGTGCGATTGGCCAAGTCTGTAGACAGCTGGGAAAAGTCTCTGTTATCTGAAAATAGAGAAGAGAAATAGTCAAGTACAAAACCCCAAATGTTACCTCATCTGATTTTCTCATCCTCCTTTCTGGTCTCTCTGTTTCCCCTTTGGCTTTTCTCAAGAAATACTCACAGAGCACACCGACGGTGATGACTGCGGTCAGAAGGAGGAAGCTCAGGAGGCCCAGACAGACCGTGGAGGATTTAAAAAGTGTCCATGTGTCATCAGTTGTCACAGGTTTGGTGTCTGCAGGTGTGCAGTGTTCAGGGCTCAGGGGGGGCCTTCCTGTTTGGAGACGTTACATAATAAAGTAATAAAGCAGATCATAAATTTGCACCATGAGAAGTTTTTACAAGTGCTGTAAAAGGATTAAAATTTCAGCTATAGTGTGTGTGAACTGACATTTAAACTGAGGGTTTGATCAAAGTCTGTCTTATGTGAATAATCCTGCAGACATTTTTTTGGCCCCTGTGCATTAATATTTTTTATAATAACAATTTCTAAAAGTTTTCTTTTTTAATAATAAGTAAATAGATATAAACTATTAAGTGATCAAATCATCTACTGACAATACAAATGACAAAATTATTTGTCTTTTTGGTTGTTTTCTTTCTTTTTTTTAAATGTTTTTTGTGTGTGTTTATGTCTTTAATTTGTACTATATTTAGCTGTTGTTTATGTTTGAATAAATTCTAGTATAAAAATAATTAATAAAAATTCAGCAAATATTTATTTACCTTTAAATCAGAAATCTATGGAAGCCCAGAAAGGCAAGAGAACAACAACAACAAAAAACTTTGTGCCAAGTGTTTTTTTTTTAACACCCGATCATCTATAAATCTGAACTAGACTCTTATTTTCCATTTGTTTGAGGCCATGAATGAAGTCAAAAACTTAGTACGATACTTTTATAAATGAAAAGAAAGAAAACGCTTCAAAAAAAGGAACAATGTACAGGAACTAGACTTGACTGTCTCGTGTGTCGATTGTATTTCCTTTGTTTGTTATATTTTGAAATAAAAAAGACCTTGATCAATCAAAACTTCCTTTCAGTGCTAACTTTTTTCCAGTAAGAGGACTGCATTTTTGTTATTCACAGTATTTTTGTCTAACTTGGGCTTCCGTATCAAGAACAGTTAAACAAAATGATGTGACAGGATCAACATGAAAACAATATAACAGAAAATAATTTAAGAAAAGAAACATCCACAATCCCTCAAAGCTACAATAATTAGTTAAATTTGTCCTCTTTTGTTCCTGTAATTAAAATTCTGTTTTTCTTTTCCATTAATTCTCCAGTTTTCTTCTCCCTCTGCTTCCTAACCTTCTGCACTCGGTTAACACCCTGAACTGATTTAACTCGCAGGCTTACCTGTTCCCTCAGGTCTGTGACATTTAAGGCCGTCTGTGTCTCCCTGCAGCTCCTCTAAATTGACATAAATCTGATCTTCAGGCTCCATCAGATCAGCTCATCAGATCTCTGCTGTCCCCAAATGTGGTCGGTGTTTCTGTCTGTCTCGACATCGACAGTCAACATAAAAGCAGTTTAAGGTTTCTGTTCCCTTTGTTCAGGTGATTCCTGATATTTATAGAGTACATGTGAATCTGTGTAGGATACAGATAGAGCTTAAAAAGGTAGAGCCTGTTTTTGTAACTCATAAAATTACACCATCCTTATTCACTGGTCTGGTCATGAATGAATTTCCATGTTTGATTTTTGTGGTTTTCTTGTAATAGATTATGGATGCTGTGGAAAAAAAGAGATTTTTTTTCATACATGGCCAATCATTAAAAGTGTGTATTTATTGATAAAGTGCAAAAACAACATATAAGAAGTTGAAAGAGATTTTTTGTTTGTTTGTTTTAAGAAAAGATATTCCTTTATTAGTCCCACAAAATACAAAAAGAGAAATTAAAGGATGATAACAAGAGATAGATGGTAGTAAGAGACAGATTACAAGTGTCATATGTTTATTTATGTACATTTTTTCCTGGCAAAAAAATTGATATTCACACAAACATTCTGTAAAAGTTGTGTTTTTATGGCAACTCTTGTGCTCCTGTTACATTTAACTCAATGCTGCCTCCTGCTGGCTACAGACTGCAGTTCATCAGCATCATCTGTTGTTAATTTTATAGCTAAATATACAACAATCGATTTTCCTCAACGACATTTTGACTTTTTTTCTCCCTCAGGAGGAGATGTTGATAAACTAGAAATACATCATTTGGGGCGGCTGTGACTCAGTGAGGAGTCAGACATCTTCCAATTAGAGGGTCGAGGGTTCGATCCCAGAGCTGTCCACATGTCAAAGTGCTCTTGGGCAAGACAATTTTGACCCCACAGCCCCCATTGGCCGTACCCAGTGGTGTGTGAACGGAATTAGTCTCTGCCATCAGTGTGTGAATGTGATATGAGATGTAAAAGCTCTTCGATTGGTCAGAAGACAAGAGAAAGAGAAATATAAACACGGTCAATTTACTGTTTATCATCATACAAATTTTATTTTCAATTTTAACATTTTAGACAAAAAAAATCAATTAACAAACATGCCAATACATAAAAAAGACAGATCCCCCACACACTTCACAGCCCTGAACCCTCACAGACTTAGCAGGAGTGTGCCTCAAAGTGTGTGAGTGGATATTGAGATCAGGTTCACGAGCGTGTGTCAGTCCTGTGATTGTGCATCCACTCGCCTCATGTGTACACACCTCTCACCCAGTGACAGCTGAGTCCAGCTTTGGCTCACCACAACCCCAAAAACAGGATAAGTTGTACAAATGGATGGATAAGTCTGGTTGAAAATCACTCCACCCTCTAACCTCCAACCTTGTAAATCTGTGCTATATTGATTATGTCAAACTCGAATACTGCATGGTTTCAGTCTGACTATTTCATCATTATCAAAAGTTCAAAGCGTGATCACCTTTATGTAGATCAAAAGTTTAAGATTTTGGTCATTGAAATATAATTACTGTTTGGCTTTCACAATTCAAAGAATCTGGTCCCATAAATGTGTCAGTTTTTGTAAATATCATTAAGAAGTGTCCTAAAAACACAGGCTATGATTTCATCCGTAGAAACAATACATGTCTTTCCAGTATGGAAAATAGAGTGAAACAGTGCTGTCTACATATTCAATGTTGGCAGTGCATTTATATCATATCATTAACTAGCAAACAGCATGTTTATGGTATTTCACAGGATAAATGTAGAGATAATATGTTAAAAAAATTCATCCATATAAAAATCTAGAACACATAATCCAACATTACATGTGTGTTCCTGAAGCTCAGAGGTATTCTCGGCGTCCTAGATATCCTGGAGATGCTCTTGGAGATGTTTTCATCGACCTCCAGGCAGCTCCCCAGCCAGCTGAAACATTTAACGGCCAGCAGCAGCGCCCCAGCACCGAGGAGGATCTTGATGATGTCGCTGCCTCTGCTGCCTCCCTTATCTTCTTTATCATAACCTGCAGACAGAAATTCAGAAATCATGCATTATGATCTGACCCGTCATAATAACATGGATTCAAGCAGCAAGAAAACCGCATCTCCAGTTTGAGCTAACAGCATTAAAATTCATGTTTGAGGTGTTTTTGCAGGTACAATGACCCACTGCACAATCAGCACTCTAAGCTGTCAGTTTTACCTATTTTATAAGAGGAAGAAAAATCACAGATAAACAAATTGGAATATTTTTGGACTTTTCATCTTTTATATGTGAATTTGGAGACATGAAAGCTTTTGAAATATCTTAACAAGTATGTTCTAACTGAATGCATTCACACCTGTAGACAAGGCTGATCAAATCCTGTCAATAGCCATGTTTACATGTGCAAAATTTCTTGATCCAATTAAAAATTTGAGGGATCAGATGATCTGAATCCATTGTTTATATGGGCGCAAAATCAAGTAATCTGATCATGACGTGCGTATACATGCACCAGGTTTTATTCAGGTTAGAAGCAGTTGGACATGCCCAGAGTTGTGTGATTTCGCTAAATCAACCACAGACGAAAAAGAGTTGTATTTACGCCTGTGCTGTCAACAAACCGACAAACGCGGTAGTGGCTCACTTCATCTGATTCAGGATTTTTCCCCTTTGTTAAATGATGTCACTAGATGGCGCCATTGCTTACGAATTTTACAGTTCTGTCAAAGGTTGTAGGCACGGCAACTGCGGTTGTGTTTTATGCTTCTGTACTGACCTAAATAAATAAACCGAAAGCTAAAGAGTGAAGAGCGAGTCAGGTTAGAGAGTCAAGATCAGAATAAGTGTTTACATAGATGCGTTTCAGAATATCGATCAGCATAAACCACCCCTCTTGATCGGAATACAATTCCTTTCCGATTGAACTGAATTGGATCAGAATCTTCCAATCAACATGTTTACATGACACATTTTTATTCTGATCGGGCCTTTATTCCCATTACTTGTGTAAACGCAGCTACTGAAACCTTGTATGAATACCAGGTGAAGCGTCATTATCAAGGTTCGAACAAATGTGTGTAACTCTGGGTGAATAAATACTTACGTCTGTACAGCCCCTCCAACTCAGACATGGAATAACTTGGCCACACAGCTCTTGGTGTCTTGCTTGCCTTAGGCCTCCTGTAGTTGTGTTGCACTCCACTGTAGTACGCTGGTTTGTTGAAAGTAATTTTTCTGTTGTTCACGGTTACATTGCCGCCACCGCACACTGACACTGAGTAATGTCCAGAGGCATCTCTATGCTCTATTCGTACTGTAGAGCAGCTGTAGTTGTTAAAAGTAGAAACTATTTGCTCACTTTGGTAGTTTGTGTTCTCATTGTCACACCATTTCACCACAGCTCTTGGTGTCTTGCTTGCCTTAGGCCTCCTGTAGTTGTATTGCACTCCACTGTAGTACGCTGGTTCGTTGAAAGTAATTTCTCTGTTGTTCACGGTTACATTGCCGCACACTGCCACTGAGTAATGTCCAGAGGCATTGCTATGCTCTATTTGTACTGTAGAGCAGCTGTAGTTGTTAAAAGTAGAAATTTGCTCACTTTGGTAGTTTGTGTACTCATTATCACACGATCCCACCACCGGGATATCTCCATAATAGCCCATCTGGGTGAGAAAGGAGGTGACTTCCATGTACGGACTCTGCAGGGCCTGGATCAGTTCAGAGCTGATCTCGTAAGTGTCATTGGGACTGAAGCGTCCAGAGAAAGCTCTGTCATGCTGGGTGACGTAGACCTTGTCCACCACCCTGCTTCTCACTTTGTAACTGATGATAAGGCGGTCTGTATTGTCTTCACCCTCAAACCCAAAGTTTTGTGTCACATAATTCGGGAGGTTCTCAGACCCAAGGTAGGTTTCTGCATTCAGGTTGCCGACTTCATAATACACAACCTTTAGGGAGAGAGGGAGAAAAAGAAACCTGAGAGAGAGAAAGGGAGGGAAACAGCCTCAAACAAGACCATCATTTCTTCAAGAGCTCATAATACTTTCTGCATTAGAGATGATTTAAACTGCTTTCAATATGCAAAAAATTAAAAGTTCTTTTCTTCTCCTCAGAATTTGGCAAACCTGGACTTTGAATGATTGAGCACCTGCACCATGAGGCATTTGTTCGCCTAGAGGTTTGCACCATGTTTACAGAGGACATATGGATCTGGATAATAATAATATGGACCAAATCTTACTAGTAACAACAACAACAACAAAAACACTGAAAATGTCACAAACCCGCTTCTTCCTCTTTCGTGGTGGGTCCAGAACAGGAAGAAGTTCCTCATTATTCCCAAACTGGTGGAAGCCGTAACAACCATTTTCTGGATCACAACCCAACACCATCTGTTGGCAGAGACTCAGGTCACTTCACATAAACGTATATGATCTTATTCAAGCAGCAGCATTACCAATTTCTTATTAAGAATGTACATTACTCTTTCGTTGATGGAGAGCTGAATATATAGGGCTTGATTATGGTTGATGATTGGTTAGAATGACAATAATGAACATTTATTTGTATTACATCAAATTAAATGTGTCATCATACCTTCATGATTAAGACACAACTAATGACTTCACAGGTCACACAGTCTTTGGCAAACCAGAGCAGGAGCTGAAGGCCATGACGAGGGAAAGGACGGCCAAACCCTGAGTTTATTAGATGGTCTAAAGTGCAGAGCTGCACCTGGACCATGGTGGGGCTGAAACTGGCGCACACCCCTGAATACAAACAAACCCATGGAAACACACACACACAAAAGCATTATTGAAAGCAAGTAAAGAGCAAAAAAAGTAAGTGCACACTCAAAAATCTTAGTATATTTATTAAAGACAAAAATGGAGGTCATGTGACGACCTGTTTGCAAAAATCTAGGCAAAACTCAAGTTTGGTGCAAAAATTTCGATTTGTCTTAATAAGATTAGGATTCCTTGATATTATTTCAGTCACTGTAGTCACTGAACAAACAAACAGTGAGATGTTCGTGTCGTGTAATGCTCACCGTTTGCGCCACTGTCTGAACTATCATCGGTTGTTCAGTCCTTCCGTGTTGAATCAGTGCGAAATTCGCAAAACCGCAATAAACGCAACAGAACGACAACAGTAGGCAACGCCGCTCATAGATATATGAAAGGCTAGATGACTCTGTGAGGCGGAGTCACCGGCGTCCCTCCGCGGCCGCCATCTTACCCCAGTATACCATCCTGCTACACTCTATGGTAGCTGATGGGAGGTGAGTAAGCTGTATGATCAAAAGTACTCCTAAATCACTTTAAATCTTGACAGATTCACAAATAGTTTCGTTTATTACAGACCTTAATAAGGCGGCTATGAGTTGGGATGCTTGGACATTTATTTATCTAGTCTAAGTGACAGTCTTTGCTTTGTGGATGTGTTTGTTTATCAACTGTCTGACATCGCGAACAGGCTCATTGTGAGTGAGACCAAGTACGTATTACAAAGTTGACCCAGCAATATTACATCAGTTATAGTTATCCCTATAATAGAAATATTGCTAATATAACAAACATGGAATGATTTAATGTTTTATATATAAATGATTTTTAATAACTGCCTTGTGTGTGTAGGCCTATAGCTATTGCTCTACCTATCTGCTAAATGTTTATTTATGAAAATCCATGGACATGTTGGGTTTGCATTATTATTATTAGTTTTTTTTCATGATTATTAGCTTATTTTATTTTTACTTCTTTGCTTTGATCATTGTTATTGTTGTTTTGAATATTCTCACTGGTTATGTTTGTTTGTTTTCAGTTTACTCTGGGTGTTGCATGCACATGTTTGAAAAAATAATAAAATAAAATGAAAATGAATGAAAACTATTCTTGAGTATGCAGGAACATAACTTAAACTCTGAGGTTTGTTACAAACCAAACCGTTTGAAAATCGGTTTAAAATTGAGCAATTTATGGTTATTTAAATGCTACATTCACCGTAGACTGTAATGTTATTAGTGGGCATATAAATATATATATATATATATATATATATATATATATATATATATATATATATATATAAAGTATGAAGTGTTATGAGTGGGCGAGTCTCCCGTAGCAAAATGGCCGCCATACGCGTACGTGGGTCTCCATTGGCTGACAGCGTGCGTATGCCATCTAGCGTTTTTATATTTATCTATGGCGCCGCTCCCGTACGTGCCTAATTACGTGCTCGTTCACGTTCTTACGTGACAAGCGTTGAATTGGACGTCCCTGCTGCGTCATTTGAGCGCCTCGCTCCCGATGCACCTCTTTTCCCGAAAGCCTAAAGATAGATGTTTCGATTTCAGGTGAGTAAAACACCTTCAAAATCCCGGGTAACACCTTCCTGAATTTGATAATATGCGCTACAGCGAGAAGCGGGTGAAATTCTGAGCTGTGTGTGATTTTAGTAGAGAGTGTCTGCCATTGTTTATGCGATTGCCACAGTCAGAGCGGTCTGCGGCCTGTGAGCAGCCCAGTGTCCTGCTGACATGAGCCGGGGCTGAGGTGAGCTGCAGCCCGCTGGTGATCAGAATCAGCGTGCTGGTAGATAAATCCCTCGCACATAAAAACCCGATTTGTGATGGTTATAAAACCCGTCCTGACATGGTTTTAGTGTCCAGCACCAGAGCAGTAGTTTTCCATCGACGTGGGTCCTGCATGATGTAACTAACGTCAGCGTTAGCATTGTTGCTAACAGGTTATGCTGTTTGGTTCTGTGTGCCAAAGGCACCTGGTGAAAAACGAAGTTTGGGTTTCAGTTATTTCCCGCTGATGTGGATCGGTGTTTCAGAATTTTGTCTGAAAAAAAGGCTGTTTTTACAGATGATTAGATGCTAAAGGCTGGTCTTACTTATCAGCTACACTGTAAGACACCATGCTGTGCTGCCTGTGACTAAGCTAACCAAAGTATTTACCGCTAATTTGTGCTGATCAAACTGGGTTTGGATCAACAAGAGTTCACACCCAATTCACGTGGTTATCTTTGAGTCTAGAGAAGTCCACACTCTTTGTAAAACCCTCGACGTTTCTATTTAATAGTGATATAACCAGACAGTCTAAAGACGCACAACGTGGAGCTAATATCGACCAAGAATGACCTCCTGACGGCCAAACACTGATTTAAAAAAACAACTCAGAAGAAAATGTCTGGTACTTAAAGAGATATTCCGGCGTGAAATGAAGCCCCTTGAGAGCTGAATGTTGCCGACTGCTTGCTTCTCTAGTTTTACCAATTTTAGTAACGACCGCACGATAGCAATACACGGTTGTCTAGGTCTCCACGCGCAAACCTCAATCAAAACGCCACTCTATAGCCACAAATAATGCTCAAAACAGCACCTAACTTCATCAACAGTACATATAGGGTCCCAGATAATCACCATATTCATCATTTTGCACTGCAAACTCTGTAGTTCGTCTACCTTTGCGTCTCAGTCTGATTGCATTTCCCTGAAGTAATGATCATAAATGTTCTTCCTTGAGCTGCGAAACTCTGCTGCAGTCTGTAATGGACTGGCCTGGGGTTTTGCTACAAAAAAGCAGCTGCTGGAAGAGAGTAGTTGAGTTGTGTTTAGTCTCTTTGCGAATGAAATCAGTCAAAGCTAAAAAGATGTTTGGCGGCTGGTACTATGACTGGGACCCTATATGTCCTGTTGATGAAGTTAGGTGCTCTTCTGAGCATTATTTGTGGCGTTTTGGTTGAGGTTTGTGCATGGAGACGTAGACAGCTGTGTATTGCTATCATGCGGGCATTACTAAAGTTGGTATAACTACAGAAGCAAGCGGTCGGCAACATTCATCTCTTGAGGGGGTGTCTAACTTGGTGTTACAGTGTGTTTGAACCTAAATTAGTTTTACGTCGAAATATCCCTTTAAATTCACACCTTTAATTGCATGGGAGGATTTGCATTGATTTTTTTCATGAAGTTATATCATTTTGCAGTCTTTTATTAGTCTTCATTGGACAAAGGTTTTTGAGAATGAATCGTTTATGATCGAATCATTCAGCTGCAAAGATGTGTGATTTGACAAGCAGAGTTTGCAGTGTGTCTTTAGAGACTGTGTATATTTGGTCGGTAGTTACCAAAAACCTTGACTTATATGCATGTTTTATTTCCAATCTTGACAAAAAAGATTGATGCTTTTCAGATAACTTGAATTTTATGTTTCATTTAAACAATGCAAAGATATCTCAAGTCGCGACACTGCTGCCTTCAGTGATATGATTTGTTCATTTTTTAAAATCAGCCTCATGTGCAGTATCGACCGCTGCCATCGGATTATTTTGAGATTCCAGAAATCGCCTTCATTAATCGGCCTTTCTGTTGTTAAAATTGAACCATGCTAAGAGAAAACCATATAGGAACACAATTTATTCAAAAATACTGGAGACTTCTCTGGGCTTGAGTTGATTACAGATGGAAAGTTAAAAACCAAACACCTGTGATGATCCGGTAATGCACAAATGCCCACATGCCATGTGTAGATCACACATCTGAGAAGCTTCCACTAATACTGAACAATACCTACATGTTTTGGAGCAGCAAATATCTCCACCCAGAAAATGACTGTTTCATAGGAAAACTTGCATATTTCAGTAAGACGATGCCAAACACATTCGGCAAATATATAACTGCATGATGCTGCAGTTTAGAGTCAAATACTAAACTGGCCTGCCTGCAGTCCTGACGTATCGCCCACTGAGAACAAAATGAAGAAAAATCATTAAAGGAAAATATGGTGTTTTAAGGTGTATCAAGCATTTGTGAATAAGGTCGCTGTATGAAATACTTTATATTGTTCTCTGTAGGTGATATTTTTTTGCTACTACGATATTTTTCCTTGTTTTTCGTTGTCTATCTGTTTTTATGTGTATAGTTTAATTAGTATTTGTTTCTGCTTGATGTTCATTTTTTGTGGACTTTGTATCCCACTATTATGATTTAATTCAATTAATAAAAATAAAGAAGTGGATTTAAAAAAAGGAAAATAGGACTAAAACGACCTGAACTGTTGGGCAGCTGAAATCCCAAATCAGACAAGAATGGGACCACATTTCACCATCAGAGCTTTAACAAACAGTCAAACATATCATGCTGTTGTGGGATCAGTGTGAAGGTAGAAACTATAGAGGTGTGTTCTGGTGCGTTTGCAGATTAGTTATTCATTAGTGGCGGTTATTTCCTCTTCCTCTTTCTACCTTCCAGTGTTTCTCCTTAGACGTTTTTTTTTTCTTCTTCTCTCCACTCCCTCTAACCCCGTCACTTTATTTTCCAAAACCCTGATTCAGGTAACTTTTCTTGTTACCTCTCAACCCTCATCTCTTTTGGTCCTTGTCTGTTTGTGTCGTCACAGTCCCTGGATGAAGACTGTACATTGGAGGAGGAAGATGAGGGACTGATTGAGGAGGAGGATGAAATCGATCAGTTCAATGATGACACCTTTGGGGCTGGTGCCATCGGTAAGCTGTGTGCAAATTTAGCTTTAAGTGTGTTTTAAAGGAAGTTTGAAAAAAGACAATTTAGAGGAACACATATCTTAAAAAGTAATCTTCTTGATAGATTAAATGAAGGATGTAAAAACAAGATCTATCTCTTTAATCAGGAGTAAGTTTGCTGTAGAAATGATCAAAACAAAAACTCTGTTTCAGATGACGACTGGCAGGAGGAACACAAACGCCTCGCCGAGCTCGATGAGAGGGATGGGCTCGGAGCAGGGCTGGGGTTCGGAGGAGGCGGGATGGGAGGAGAACCCGATTTAGGAGGAGCTGGGGACTCTTCCTCTGCCCGTCTCCCGCCTACTGCCAGCCACCTCCCTCTTCCATCGTCCCTCCCTCCACTCAAGTTCTCCTCGTCCTCCCCTGGACTCCCTCAGCCAGGTCAGTGATGACATGAAAGGATGCTTATCATAGGGCTGGGCGATACGGCCTCAAATCAATATTAGGATATACAGTTCACCTCAATAACTATAAATGGACGATAACCACTCCACAAGCTGCTCAACCCCTCCCACATTATGGTACTGGATGGGGTGGAGTCACGTCTCTGATGAAGGACAGCATCGTAAAGGGACATGAGGCTATAGCCTACCTACACACATCCAAAACCAACTAGGAGTTATTTATTTTTTGACACCAAATATACCAATATGGCAAAATGACGTCAGTTATTGTCGTAAATTTTAGTATCGGTAAATTTTTGGATTATCGCCCAGCCCTAGCTGCTCACATCAGTTTTTTACTTTGTTAATTTGATAGTAATTGCTTAAAGAAAACAAAGACAGTAATGCAACAGCTGTTCATGAAAAATCAAAACCTCTTACTCTACTCTTAATTCAATCATTCTTCAGGCTCTTGCATCAACAATAACTCTCATTCCTCTTTTGGGAACTCCCCCACACTCTTTTGTTTCAGATGTGGAGGATCGAGCAGGCGGAGGCGGTCTGGCTGAGTCTTTGGCCAGGCTCATCCTGGATGCAGATCCGGCCATCGCTGGGGTCGGGGCGGCTGAGAGACCCGGTCCATCCCCCAGCTCTTCAGGATCCAGCTTGTCCGCTCTGCAGGGGCTGGACCGATCCAGAGTCCTGCCTCAGCCTTCCTCTATCCCACACCAGCATCCCCATCACCCCCAGCACCAGCTGCCTCCCGGGCCCTCCACGTCAGGTAAGAAGGAATTCAAAAGACCACCTGAACTTTTCGTCTGTTATCAGCTCCAGGGTCAAACACAGTAACACAGAGTGAGACACCCCCTCGAGAGATTGATGTTGCCAACTGCTTCCTTCTCTAGTTATACCAACTTTAGTAACGAAGCTACTATTATAAAAAAGATGTATCCACCACCAACAACAGTTTTACGCGCGCAACTGTATCAAAAGTTTGTCTGCCCAGAATAAGGCGATGTTTTATTTGGAAAATGCCTCTAGTTACAGGAGCGTATTTTTCAGATATTTTTATCAACATATTTCAGCTCTTCTCTGTGAATTGTCACTTTTACTAACCTTAATTTCTCTGCTCTGCTCCAGGCCTTCCTCCCGGTCCTCCTCCCTCGTCCATGCTCAGTTACCAGCAGCAGCAGCAGCAGCACCTGCTGCGCAGAGGGCCAGCTCCTATGGGCCAGGTAAGATTTTTAAGTTTTACAGTGTCTTCGTGAGTGCACAAGCTATGAGTCGTGAAATAGGACTTTTAAGTGAACGTGTGGTCTGATTATCTCTCTAGATTTTTTATTGTTCTGTGTCTTTGTGGCTGTTTATCAATCAGAATGCGATGATATGATAACAGTATTTCAGATTGTTGATGTTTATGTGACTAAACACCTGGAACACGATAGTAAGAGATGATAACGTTATCTGAGCGTCTCTCCCTGAGTGTCACACAGACAGAAAGATATTTGCTGTAGGAATGAGGTCTAGTGAGGAATCAGTGTGTTTACTGTTCACTTCGGAGGGTCAGTGTAGATTTTTTTTTTCCTCTCATGGTAGAATAAAGAAAGCTTTTTTAAAAAAACATGTTTTTACTTAATCTGTGCAACATCTTTTTGATTTCTGGGCCCTTTATTAAAACGTTTCCCTCTTCTCTGTTCATTATATCACCTCTTCAGATGAACTCTCACAGTATTTGGGAGAACAGCATGGGTTTCGGGCCTGTCAGTGTCGCCCCTGGACTCGTCACACACATGGAGGTAAGGGACTCTCTCTTTTCTGTCTGTGGTTTCTTTCAGTTAAATGGTCTGGTGCGGTTCAGCTCAGTTTGGTCCAGTTCAGTAAACCCTGATCCTCTTGGGCACACTGTGAAGGAAGCCTCATGAAAACGATAAAATGGTTTAATTTTAGGTTTGGTGTGTGTGTTTACGGATTAGTCGATTGAGCATGAGCGCCACATTTCACACACTGAGAATCCAAAAAAAGAAACGTCTACCCGAGTATTTTCTGTATGCAGACGTCCAAAACCGACAGAAATACGATCTTCTGAGGCTTTTTACTTCTAGAACGCTTTTCATTCTTTTTCCCGTGGCGAGACTCCGCTTGTTTTTACGCTTTGAGTCTTATTCATAAAATGTCAGCAAATTAGTGTGTAGATTTACACATAAAAGTCTTTGGTACCAAAAATTAAACAAGATTCATGAATGTAAAAAAAAAAAAAAAAAATGGTATCCAGGGCTCGATTGTGCGACTGTTTCACTTGCATGTGCGAATTGTAAACTGTATTTAGGGGCACATGTGCGCATACAAAAAAAATGTGTAACGGATGTTAATTTTGCTCGCCTCGTCTTTATCCTCTCTCGTTTCCCTCTCCTCTCAGGATAGTCCGCTCATGTCCATTATCAAGGAGGTGGGGCTTCCTAAACGACCCCCTCAGGGGAGAAATGATGAGGGACGGGATTTGTCGGAAAGAGTCCCGCCTCCACGCTCGTCTTCTCCTGTGATTGGCTCCCCTCCCGTGAGGGCGGTGCCTATCGGGACGCCACCCAAACAGCCGATGAGCCACGGACTGAACCACCAGGTAAATATTACACGAGTTTTTTTATTCTTTTATCTTTAACTTAAAGTCCAAAAAAATCACTTCCTCTCAGGAAAGGTTTGTGTGGCTCTTACCGACGTCACGATTCTGCTCTGTAAGAACTACAATTTCCCACAGATGGACTCCAAAAAAAAACAAGTGTGCTCCTACCGTGTTGATTCATGTAGCCACATAAAGTGAAAATTGGAGACATGTTTTGTCAGGTTAAGAGGCAGAGCTGCTGAGACAGTCTGAAGGTCTCAGAAAACATTTGTAAGCTTTCATATTTCTAGAGTTAAAGCTCTTTTAAGTGTGTAAATGTCCTGTTTTAAGTTCTTTTTTATTCCTACAAGCTCAAAGTTGTTTGTTCGCTTCTCTTATTATTAGTCATCAAAGGATGACAGCAAAGCACCAAAGATATATTTTTTTTATTATAAGCATCAGCGTTCATTAATTGATGCTGAATCGTCACGTGAAGAATCGCGATGCATCGACACAGCGATGAATCCGACCCTTCTCTACTGTATGTGTGTGTTTGTGTGTGTTTGTGTAGATCCACCACCCTACAGCGGTTCATGTGAGAGCCCCGGTCCAGCACAGATATCCTCCTCCTTTCCCTGAGCGCCTCTCACCCAACACCCTCCTCAATATAGCAGTGAGTTTCTCCTAGTGAGAGAGTAAATGTGTCAAAGTGATTTACAAAGAGCTTCAGGTTTTTATGAATGTTCGGTGTTTTTGTTTCAGAACTCCCCGCTTTGTCGCGGTCCGTTCCCGCCCGGAGTCGGTCCTGTCCTGTCTCAGATTCAGCGGGCTCAGCTGCTCAACTCTCAGGTAGATACAAGTAAAGAGTTGCCGACAACCTCACAGTATTTTAAAGAAAGAGCTCCTCCCTCTGACTCTTTTTTTCTCTCCCTGCAGGTGGCTGGGTTTCCTCGCGGTGGTCCAGCTCCTCCGTTGCTACCTGGCGGTGGCGGTTTCAGGCCGTTCTTCGGACCCCCTCCTCCACACGGTCACAGAATGGGACCGCCGCCTCCTCACGGCCCGCCGAACCACACCCCACCCATCCGGCATAACACCACCCACCTCCACCCTCAGCACCGTCGTATGCTCACACAGCGCATGCAGAACCGAGGAGGGTGAGGACGGGTTCTAATGAAGACAGACAACATTAGTTACCTGATTGAACCTCCTCATGATTGTCTCTTCACCTCCATGCAGGGACAGGAGTCGGACTGGAGGGGACAGGCGCAGCAGAGACCCCTACAGTAACCTGATGACTCAGAAAGAGAAGGAGTGGGTCACTAAGATCCAGATGATGCAGCTGCAAAGCACTGACCCATATCTGGATGACTACTACTACCAGGTCGGTACTTTGAAATATTACAGAACCTGAAAATTACAGAGATTTGTGTCACGTGATCTGAACAAGTCTCCCACTTTTAGAAAGATTTGGTGTTTTTGCTGAACGTCAGCCCCTGGTAATGACAAAACGAGGAGTTTAGGGTAGGACTGGACGTTTATATGATTGTGATTAAATTCAGTATGATCACGGTGATCAGCTGTGAGCATATTTACTCGATCAAACATGGCAGAAATGTGCGTGACAACAACCAATCAGGGTCAAGCTTTCTAAACAGAATGACCGAATGTGGAGCTGAGGACAGCAAAAAAGATGTCAGCCGTGACTTTGAGTCATCCTCTGAAGATGCCATTGTTGAGAAGAAAAGTTATTCAACGTCGGTTGTTGTGGCGGTGGTTCGGGTATTTCCAAAGTGACGTTGAGCAATTAAGCCGATGTGTAAGGTATGTCGGCGGTCCAGAGTGTTTATGCGGAAAGCATGAAATTAAGAGCGAAGTCTGCGCAGCCTGGCATTAGCAGGTTAGACACAACTGGCGGTGCAGCCACCAAACCAAAGCAGCAGTCAATCATTCTACTACATTTATATCACTTAATGCTAACATTTTAAGGTGTTATAGGGTTGGGCGATATGGCCTCAAATCAATATCACGATGTATTGATCAGTTCACCTGGATAACGATAAATGGATGATAACTACTCCACAAGCTGCTCACCCCCTCCCTTATTAACCCAGTTTACTTCAGCCGCTCCAACTTTTGAACCGTCCTTCATCTCCTCACCTGTCTTTCCCTCTTTATTACGGACTGGATGGGTTGGAGTCAGGTCTCTGACGTAGGACAGCGTCTTAAAGGGACATGAGACCATAGCCTACCTACACACATCCAAAACCAACATTTGTTTATTTATCTTTTTGACCCCAAATATACTGATATGGGCAAAATGATGTTGGTTATTGTCGTAAATTTCGGTATCGGTAAATTTTCAGTTTATTGCCCAGCCCTACATCATCATTATCCCTGAGGGGGCCATTTGTTTATTTTGGGTCTTACATACCTTTAATAACACTAAGGACTCTAAACTAATTCACTGTATTATTTAGTATTTATCTACTTTTCTTGTACTGTTGACTTGAAATGTTTTTTTAAATGTTTTTCTAAGTTTATCTGATTTAATTTGCTTTGTTATTTACTTTGTATGTTAATAAAATGTTGAACTTATCTCTAGTTTCTTTAGTTTTTAGTACAGAGGCTTTAAAACTGGCAGTTTAAAAAATAAGAAAATATCATGATAATAATCAAGATCAGACAATATGACAAAATATATCATAATCATTTTTTTTTTTTGCCAAATTGCCCAGTCCTAGTTTAGTGTCTTTATTTTTTTTTCAAAGCTAGCAGACATCAGTTTGAGTTCAAATGAGGATCAGTGACGGTGTCGGTTCTTGTGTCCACTCCTGTAGAACTACTATGAAAAGATGGAGAAACGTCAAGAAAGAGAGAGAGACAGCAGCAAGAAGGAGCACACCACCAAACTGATCACTCCACAGGTGGCCAAGGTCGAACACACCTACAGACCAGGTAAAGAACAGCTCAGGTTTACTATTTAATGGGACGTTTGTTTTGTTCATGTGATAAACACGGTTCTGGTTCTGGTTGTCAACAGTCCAGTTCGCGGGCTCTCTGGGGAAACTGACCGTCTCCAGTGTGAACAACCCCCGGAAGATGATTGACGCCGTGGTGACGACTCGCACAGACGATGAGGTTTGTTCTCACGCTTGATAGAAATGAACATTACCTAACATTTCCTCCCAGATGGAGATGAGATCATGCGTTTATTACATCAGCTCTGAGGTGTATTTGCCATCGATATTGATCTGAAGTTTGCTCTGAAGTCTCATGTTTTTTTTTCTGCGTCTGTTTTTCTGTTTATCTCCAGGAGAAACGAGAGAAGCAGGTCTGGAATAAGAGGCGACAGATCCTCTACACAGTGGAGAAGGTAAGATAAGGATGGTTTAAAGTTTCCCCTCTCAGGATTTAAGGAAATGACTTCTTTAAGCCCACCGTCTGTTCCTCTGTTCGTCTTCAGATGTACAGTTTGCTGCTTGAGGTTCAAGACTTTGAGAAACGATTCATGCAGACGCCGGAGGAGGACCGGGAAGCTCTGCTGGAGCAGCACAAAACCAACACGGTGCAGCTGTGCAACTCTCTGCGGGAGAAGGAGTGGGACGACAGGTAGGAGGAGAGGAAACGAGAAAAACCTGAACATGTGGAGATGATGGAGTTCGTCCAGCTCCTCTACAAACACTGATTTCTGTCTGTCTTTAAAGAGTGAGCGATGAGCAGTGCGTGATGATCATGTCTGTGAGGAAGGGCAAGAGGCTCATCTCCAGGCTCCTCCCCTTCCTGCCGTCACCCCAGGCTGCCGCCATTGTCATGGCGATCGCCCGTAATCTTCCTGCCCTGGCGAAGAAGGATAAGCAGGACCAGGTAAGTGTTTCAGGTTTTTACGTCAATTCAACATCGTAGCAGGACAGAACAAAAACCTGATATTATAAAAAAAAATCCTGTTCAGGTCCTGTGCTGGTTGGTGGAGCCGGTTTCTGCTGTGATCCAGTCTTTGTCGAGCTCCGCCCTCACAGACCTGCTCCAAGAGCTTCAGGGCAACGAGGGGCAGCTGGCCACAGTACTGCACAACAAGGTACGAACAAGACAGAAACTGAAACGCTCAAATTTGTCTTTCTGTTTTTCTCATAATTTTTTTATATTTTTCTACTATATTTTTTCCTCTATATTATATGTAATTTTTCCCCCATATTTTTTTTTTATTTCTATTTTTTTTTCTCTTTATTTTTTTTTTCTGTATTTTTTTTCTCCTTATTTTTTCCCTCATTGAGTTTCCCATCAGGGATTAAATTGTTATTCTTATTCTTAGGTTATTCTTATTGTTGTCAGTCAGTATTATTTTTATTATTTTTTCATGTTATCTTGTGCTTTTGTACATTAAATTGTAATATTGTAATATAGAAATGTTCATAGAATAACCCTGAATAAATATTTTAGTTCTTGACTTTTAGAAAAATGAAGAACAGGTTGAGTTGTGAAGCACTGAACACTCGCTCACCTTTGTTTGTGTGTGTTTTTGTCCAGTTTGGTGTGACACTGCTATACCTGATCCTGAGTGAAGGAGAGAGGATGCAGAGCTCCGACCCCAACTGTCAACTCATGGACGACAATCGATGGTGAGAGACTAAACACCGACTGTTTATCTGAGGATCAGAGCTGCTCGAGTCTCAGAGTTTCCTTTAAGTCAGGATATGGTCTGAACTTTTTATATGTTCAGTTTTATAAAAAGTACAAAAATACACTTTTATTATGATAATAATAATAATAATAATTGTTATTATTGTTATTATAATAATAATAATTATTATTATTATTATTATTATTATTATTGTTGTTGTTGTTGTTGTTGTTATTACAATATTGCCAAAACAGAACATCACAATAATAACAACAACAATAGTAAGAATGATAAAAATATGAAACATAATAAACATAATAATATAATATGAAAATGTAATAATATCAAATATAAAATCTCTCTCTCTCTCTCTCCACCTCCTCCAGGACTGAGTTGGTGTTTTCAGTGACAAGGGAGCTGCTCAGCATCCCCACCTCCTCCCTCTCCCCTCCACTCTTCACCCCTCCTAACCTCCTCTCCCTCCTGTCCCGTTACGTCGATCGGCAGAGGCTGGAGCTGCTGCAGGACAAGCTACAGTGAGTGACTCCAACCCCCTAACACACACACACACACACACACCTTAAATAAAAAATCTCTGTTGTCGTACTTGATGTTAAAAAATAAAAATAATATATTTTCTTTCTTTCTGTCTTCAGGATTTCTGCTCTGTCCAGGTAGAAGTTACAACAGACATCAACTCCCCCCTCACCCCTTCCCTTCCCCTCACACTCGATGCAGACCTTTTGTTTTTGTGTGTTTCAGAGGAGTGTGTATGTGTGAGTGTGAGTGTGTGTGCTCTGAGGTGAATCCATGGTGGATCATTTTAATCCAGCAGAATCTAGTCACTTTTGTTTTCTTTGTGTTGAGTCTCAATTGTGAATGTGTGAGTGTGTGAGAGAGAGAGAGGGTGAGAGAGTCTGAATGACGATAAAAATGAAATCTGCATTTTTAAATATCTTGTTTACGATTATGCCTGTGATGAACCTTCAAATTAAAAGTATTTCTATTATATAAAACTGTGCTTTCATGTCAATTTTTTACACATTCACTAAAAAAACTAGGAGTCAAAAACTTGTTTCAGTCCATTTCAGTAAACGTCAAAAACAGAGCAGCCTTCTAATGTTTACTCATACAGAAGATTTAGGAACAAAATAAACGTTTAACAGAATCAGATAAGTGTGGCATTAAAGTAGGGCTGGGCGATATGGCCTCAAATCAATATCACAATATATTGAGCAATTCACCTCCTCTCGTGTTAACATCGTCTTCGTCTACTTCAGCCACTATAACTTTTGAACCGTCCTCCATCCTCTCACCTGTCTTTCCCTCTTTGTTACAGACTGGATGGGGTGGAGTCACGTCTCTGATGTAGGACAGTGTCTTAAAGGGACATGAGACTATAGCCTACCCAGACACATCCAAAACCAACTTTTATTTATTTATTTATTCTGGTAAATTTCGGTGTCTGTAAATTTTCAGTTTATGGCCCAGCCCTAATTTAAAGTCAGTATTACAGATAATACTCTTGGCTGCCTTTTACGTTTATTACTCAACTTTTTGAGTTGAATATAAAAGAGTCTGTGAACCTTAAGTGAGAGCAGACAAACGCCGAGCAAAATACGACTGAAACACAACCTCTTTTTAAGGATTTCTTTTATTCCCAAATCATTTTTCCACCTTATTATACTGATGATTTTTCTGTTTAACCCAACACATACGATAAAAAGTGTCATGAAACAGTGACATGGTTTCTAGCTGCATCTTTTCTAGTCTGCACGATGCATTCAAGGACCGCTGAGGCTTTCCTGTTCCTCCTTCACGTCCTCAGTTTTTCCAGCTCCTGATTATGACCTGAAGGAGCAGAGACAAAAAGAAATAAGGACAGTTGTTGCAGCTCGATTCGTGGGTTCAACGGGACGATTGTTCTTGTCCCAGTTCACAAAATCAGTCCATCATCACAAATATGCCCGTCTCCTCTACTTCTTAACAACCTCTTCTACGATTTTGTTTACATTTCCCTTCTCTGGACAGCCACTCATGTAGCCCCACCTTCATAGATACACCAATCATCTAACCCCGCCTCAAACTCTGAGCTCTTTACTGTCTCACCTGTGCAGACCACCTCCACAGCAGTCGACGAGAACCACGGCAGCACCGTCCCACAGTCCAGCAGCGCAGACTCAGATCCATCGCAGTCAGAGTAAAGACGGGCCATTAAAACTTTTTTGGGGAGTTTAACCCCCGTGGTTGACACCGCAGAGCCGCAGCCGAGCTGTCTGCACACCACGGAGGCGTGTTTCAGGTCCCACGCTGTGAACTCAGCGCTCAGCGGCATTTGCTTGTTGTCATGGTACACAAACAGTCGGCCGGCGCAGGGCTCGCTGTCGTCCTCTCTCAACACCCCGTCATTCAACATCACGTCTATGTGATCTGTGAAAAGATCAGCAGGAAATACGTAAATTAGCATCAAATAAAGGTGCAACAGACTTTCTAAAAGATGAGTCAGTCAGTCTATCGTACGGACTCTGACTTCATGATTCAGGTGACCACGTGTTATTCTACCTTCAAGATCAACAGAGAAGCTCAGGCTCTCGGAGGAGAAGTTGTGATTGAAGATGTAGTTTTGGTAGACGCAGCTGTAGTTTCCTCTGTGGGTCTTGTCTGCAACATCAAAGGTGAAGTGTGCGGAGTGATTGACGGCCGGTTTGGTGATCTTGGTTGTTTGGTTGGAGCTGGTAAAGACAAGAGTGAAGTGACCTCCAGGGTACTGTGGCTTTACAGAGCAGGTGAAGGTGAAGCTGTAACCTCTGTAGAGCGAAGCCGTCTGCTGCTGCTGCTGCTGCTGCTGCTGCTGGTTGTCGGAGCGTTTACTCATCATGGAGAAGAAAGAAATGTTGGGTAGAAGGAGGACGTCTGCAGCAGAGACAGAATTCAGAGATGTGATCATGAGTCGATGAAGTGGCATTTACAAATCGAACATTTACAGTGCCAGGTTTGAGTGGATATGCAGATCAGAACCCCAACAAGGTGAGCAGAAATCGATTTACGATTGTGTTGAATCGTCTCACCTGAGCAGAGGACTTCAACTGTGGAGAAAGAGGGCCACTCCCTCACCGTCCCACAGTCCATCAGAGCACGTTCAGAGCCGTCACAGTCAGAATAAAAGCGCCACGCTGGGACGATTTCAGTGGATTCATTTTTTCGAGTGGACACGGCGGAGCCACATTTGAGCTGTCTGCACACCACGTTCGCTTCCTTCAGACTCCATGATTGACGGTGACTCACAGGCCTCGACTCTCCCTGAAAGGTCAGCTCCAGTCGACCGACACAGCGAGAGTTCTCACTCAGCAGCCTCAAATAATTGTTATCTGGAAATGAATCAGACACGTGGGACAGAAAGAAACAGAATCTGCTGACCAGACTTCATAAACAGTAATTATTACATCTTTTAAATAGCTGACATCTGTCTTTGTATTAACCCAAACCCCCAATTTCCACCGCATCCGGAACGGCTACAAAAAGGCCGTATCCGCCGGTCGTAGCTGATCGTAACCATTCAAGTTAACGTGTTAATTTCCACCAATTTCTTTCCAATCCACTTTGGATCGCCGGACTCCACAGCTGATCGCAAGAGATCTACTTTTTCCAAATGTCGGAGAATGCCGGATAAATTCAGCACAGATGAACCCGTGCTGGAAAGGAAGTTGGGAAAAATGCGACTGCGAAAAATGGCCGCCATTCCGGATTCGAGCCGTTCCAGATGCGGTGGAAATTCAGGGTAAGTTTATGTCTTGACACGCTAATTACTGATGGTCACTGCAGTTCTTTTAGATGGACTGAATCACTAGAATCGGTTCACTAAAAAGATTCGTTCACAGAATCATTCAGCACTTGGTGGGAAGAAGTGATTCAGTTCAGTACGTTCACTTAAAAGATTTGGTTCTTTTGAACGAATCATTTGCAAACGACACAACACTTACGGTAATGCACTGACAAATTCAGGTCTACCTTTGACGAAGACCGTGAAGTCCTTCATCCGTGAGAATACGTTTGGACGTAAGACCAGGTCGTAGTCACACTGGTATGTCCCCGAGTCTATGTCTTCTGCAGTAGAAAAGAAGATTGCTTCCCCGTCAACAGGCGTCTGACTCTGCTCAGACGGCTCTTCAGAGTATATCCGAGATTTTAAACGGAAGGAGAGGATACTGTAGATGATAGACGAGGAGCAGGAGATGGCAAAACGATGACCTCGGAAAATGTGTGGAGTATTTTTGGAGTCATCGTCTGGCAGGGTGTAAACTTTGATGACAGGAGGAGGTAGACGAGCTGTAAAAAAGAAGACATTTGAGATTCTTAGTATGCTGTGAACACAGCCATGCAGCACAATGTGAATTTGCCTCATTGGCAAATCCTGGAGGTATTTAGTTACCCATGCAGATCACATGGGTGTTGGAGCATCTACTCAGCTCCTCCTTTGTGGCATTAATCGCAGTGGAGGGACAATCTGTCAGCTGCTCCTCTGTTCCTGCACAGTTGAAGACCGGACTCAAGGGCGAGGCTGTGTTTTCTAAGGAGAAGTCCGAACCATTCCCAATGAAACCTTTAGCGAAACCGCAGCTCAGATCTCTACAGGTGACCAGTGCATCCTCCAGGGTGAAGTAGGAATCACACACAGGAACCCACGACTGTCCGGACCTTACTTCTAGTTTTCCTGAACATGTTTCACGTCCTTTTACAAGTCTGAACTTGTCTACAGGCAGAAACAGAGAGAGATGGAGATGTTCCCAGAGCAGCCCTTAATTTACTCATCAGAATAACCAGCGAGCTTCAACTATTTCTATTTATTATAATCTTCTAAATATCACACATTAAAGTCATGGCGAGGTTTAAAGCTGAATAAAAAAAATGGAATTAAGAAAACAGAAACTAAACAAACTAAAATCTGCTTTTGTGCAGATGATGCAAAGCAAGGTGAAGGTGAACTTAAAGGGTGGGCTATCCTTTAATACTCTAACAAACTCTAACATTTACGTGCACAAATAAGTGAAAGTACAGTTAAAGGTTTAGGTGCTCACGCTCTTACACTTTCCTCTCCTCTGTTTCTTACGCTCTCACTTCTCATCTTCTTTCCTGCTTTCCTTCACATCCTACTAAATAATCTAGAATAAATAAAACTGACGCAGATGTACATTTTAGACTTACCTGAGCAAGTCACAGTAATGAGATGCTGTGAACTAGACGAATCCCATCTTGAACATGATGAACTCCAGGACCTGCATCTGCGATTCAGCTCCCAAACGGACCGCCTCTGCAGGACCTGAAAGTTCTTGGTTGAGATTAAATTTCCGCATTTCAGTTTCTCACAGGCCTCATCAATAAAGTTATTATCTATGTATCCCCACGGATTATACAAAGGCCGCCACTCTCCATCGTTTTTTCCCTCCAGGGTGCCCGTACAGGTGTTCTCTCCTCCGGTAAGCCTTATGTCATTCTTTTCTGGATAGAGAGGAGAAAGTAGCTGCACACCTCTTCAAGCAAGCTTTCACACTATGGGTTTGAGTTATTATGATTGCATACATACCATGGCATACAATGTTAACTGGTCTGCAGGCGCTGCGGACTGAACTGGGACACTCCTCCAGTCGAGACTCGTTGCCTTTGCACTGGAAAGATTTGGATAAGAGGGTCGGTGCTTGACGAGGATTCTTCCGCATCGTCTCGGGAGGCTCACAGCCGAGCTCCCTGCAGAGAATCTTCTGAGTCTCCAAGTTAAAGCCCTCCTCGCAAACTGGGATCCAACCCTCATGAGACCTCACCTTTATTCTGCCTGAGCAGAAATAGTTCGGAGTATGCCTCACAGATTCTAAAAATAGAGAGGCAGAGAGGTAAGTGTGTGTGGCTTTAAAAAACAGACGGAGATGCTCTACTGAAAGAGTTTGGGAGATTTTATTTGTTGCATACGTTCTTTCATGAAAAACAGCAAAACTTGGAACAAAAATCTACTCGATGTCCTGTAGAGTATGACAACTGGAGCATGCAGACTGACAATATCTGGGGGCAGGATATAAAAATGCCACATAATGATAGTTAAGTACTTTTTCTGTCTTACCTGAGCAGACCACCTGCAAACTGAAGGCTGAAGCTTCTTTCTTCGCCACATCAGTGTCCTTTGATCTGCAGTCTTTCAGGGTGGGCTCTGAGCCGCGACAAGCAAAGGAAGCCTCCCATACTGGTCGCTTTGTATCGTTGATGATTTGCGTTATGGAAACTGCAGAGCCGCAACCCATCTGCCTGCAAGCCACTTCCCCATACATGATATTGAACTCTCCTTCCAAAAACCTGATGGTCAGAGGTCTCCACTCCCCCTCATTCATCATCTCCAGCCTGCCGGAGCAGGAACTGTCTCCATCCACGAGCCTGGCATCAATGGGCTCTGAATGATGATAAAAAGGCATGTTTAAATAGAAAAAAACACATAGGGAGCATACAGACGGAAAACATCAGGGGACCCACAATGTAACCCTGCGGAACTCCATGAGTGAAAAATCAGATGAGATATATGAGCAAAGTTTTCTGCATGAAGACGACTTTCAAAGTTATTTACCATTTACAAAAGTTGCCAGAGTGGGCATTCACTAATGCTGGATTCCAGTTATAATAATAATAAATAATAGTTCATTTTATTTACATCTGCGAAAACAGATCTCAAAGTGCATACAAGGCAACTGTAAAAAAAAAAACAAAAATAACAATGAAAGGAAATAGTAAATAAAAAGACCAATAAAAAGAACAGCAGTCCAAAAATATAATCAGACCGGAAAGCTTTTCTAAAAAAAAAAAGGTCTTAAGTCTTTTTTTAAAAGCATCCACCATCTGTGGAGCACTGAGGTGGTCAGGAAGAGCTTTCCACAAATGGGGAGCAGCAGCCTCAAAGGTCTCGTCACCCATAGGTGACAATTGTACCCGGAAGTCGGAATTTCTTCAAGTCGGGATTTCCGAGCTTCGAGTTGGAAATTCATCTGGAACGCCCCCCTGAAGTTGGATTTCTGACTCAGAAAGTCAGACGATCTTCACCAACCCCGACTTGATGACAACGTCATAATCCAAGATGGCAGTGTAGTGCATCAACAGTAAAGACTAACAGCTTTGGTGATTTATTATTTATTGTCACTTCTGTTTTGTTTAACTGTGAACACAGTGCTAAGGTGTTTGTAAGGGTAAAATACTGCGTTATGCATTGTTTACAATTGGTATAGCTAACAACAATCAACAAAAGCTGACAATGGCTAACGACAGCTGACAATTGTTAACAGCGGCTAACAGTTGGCGTCCATCTTGGTTTTCCAACTTGTTTACTGAAACGCCATCAACTCTGGTGTAACATCATTCCCAACTCCAACTTCCAAGGTAATTGGAATGCAGTACAAATCTAGGTGTGATCAAAACCTCCTTCAATTTATTATCTCTATTTTTTCCTTATGAAACAAACTCGAATTAACCCTGAAAAAAACAAACAACAGTGAGACAGTGGTTCAAAACAGATTTTGCATGCCCGTGCAAAACTCTGTGAGGATTAACACACTAAAGAAACAAAATAGTTTTGCAGTTTAGTGATGTTTGACTCCTCACAGCCCACAAAAGGAGATATTTGATCAAAACCACAACTTCTGCATGTCGGAGACAAGGTTAGTAAAGATAAAAGGTAAAATTTGGTCTTTAAGTTGTTACCAAGATTGATTTAAGCAGCAGCAGAATCACAGTGTTTGTGTGGTGATCTCAAACCTCTCCACCTTCACATATATTTGTCAGTTTTATCCACAGAAAGAGCACAGTGTGTCAACAGCAGTTTCTTTTCAATACTCAGTTTTTGTTTGCAAATATTGATTGGTATGTACAGCAGCCTTTGGTCTGAAGGTCATTTACTTCTCTGCCAAATCCTCTCACTTTTCATCCCTTATAACTAAATCAACTTTCTGACAGGACTGTAAAATGTGTCTCTTTTGTAAAAACTAAAACTTAATTGTCACCGTTAAAAACCACAGTGATACATTTATTCATAAGCAAACACAATATCCTACAGTCTACAAGCTCATCCATTCATTTAGGAATCTAAATTCAATCATGCAGCTACTTATGCATTAATTTTTGACAAAAAGAGCTTTGCAGACTAAATGACCTAAAAAAACAACAACATATATAAACTACAAACTGTATCAGCAGTTAAATGTACTCACCTGCAGACTGGGTTGGTGCTATTTCATCTGATTGTGCGCCAGAGATCTCTATCATCACAACAAAACACCAAACTACAGCTAAAGAGCATTTCAAAAATATACAATGCTGTATTGAGATCATTTTTCCCTTTTCTATGATGTCCTGTCAGTAAAAAAAATTTAAAAACATGCACTTCTGGTAGGTCACTCTGCAGGCAGCGGGGCTGCACTCTGCACTCTTTATGCACCTCTTTGTTTGCAGCGGTATGCATATTGTTCCCACATATTGCTGCAGGGTGGACCTGCAGCAACATGTTAGCTAATCAGTTCCACCCTGTACTAGTTCAAAAAAAAGTTAGAGTTGAGTTCCAGTCAGGAAAGCTTGTGTGTGCATAGAGCTGGATATAGACAAGGTCAAAGGTTCTCCCTCTGTATTTATGGGGCCACAAAGAGTGTTGTGTTTGTGTTTATGCGTTACATACTACTTCAATGTAGTGAACATCATAAAATCTTTTCTCATTGAATGATCAAATTATTCTGAATCCAATAACATCATGAGATTTTTATGAGAGCCAGTACTTTCAAAAAGGAAAAGTTCAGTGTTATTCTAGCTGTAAATACAGTGTTGTGATTGGAAATGATGATAGACTCCTCTGAAATTAAAGAGGAGCTGAAGCCGCTATTGAAGGAACCCAGCCTTCAATATCACCTCAGCTTATTGTTGGACATTTTTGTGTTTTAATTCCTTATTTTGGACACATCTTGGGAAATTTTTTTTACAATTTAGAAAACTGGATTTCTAATTTTGCAGTCACTTGTCCAACAGTGAGCACTGCTTGTAGGCTATGTACATTTTTAAATGCTTGCTTTAACATAAAGAAAACATTTTGTATTTGTTCATCTGTCTAATTCAGACAAGACCAGGAACAATAAATTCCTCCCAGCATGGTATTTAACCACCTTTTACTTACTCAGGGTGGAGAGTGCTGAACTCAGGTAGCAACAGCCTTCTGATTGGTCGAAATACTGTGATTTCAGGCTGGAGACTTTTTCAATTGGTCAGAGGTGGGCTCTGCTCGGGACTACAGGGTGACTTTTTTTTAAAACTGTTAAAAAAGGAAGTGCAAAAAGGTGAGGTATCTAAATGATGAAGACAACCTCCAAGGTGCGAGCAGATTCTTTATGAATCTTCCTTCACTTTCATAAGGTTTAAATTTCATGCGTGTATATCAGTGTGAAATGAGGAAGAGAGCAGACTGCTTGAAATAACATTATAAGGATTGCTTCAGTGTGGGCAGTACCGTGCTGAGTTAAACGGACATGATTGTATACATAGATTGTATATTGATATATTGAAGATTGTGTAGCTCACCAAGGGAGATACACTGTTTGAGCCAAGCGTCATTACAGCTACTCTCTGCAACTCTCCAGCTGAAAGTGTACAACGCTACTGTGCAATGTTGGTTTCAGGAAGTGGACAAGAATCATGTAAATACCGAGCTTTTTGGCTTCAAATACATGTACTGGCGGAAGGCAGATCCAAGTTGTCCATAGTGTATACAGTTCATGATTGTATTTCAATCTTGTGACATTGCAATTATGCGCAAAAGCACTACCGCCCGAACAGGGACTTGAACCCTGGACCCTCAGATTAAAAGTCTGATGCTCTACCGACTGAGCTATCCGGGCTCTGACACTGTGAGGAATATACAACGATTTTGATCACACCAGAGTTTTGTGTCAAGACTTAGTAATATAAAGTGCGATCACTCACATTAACGTATCCACCTCTATGATTTGCAGCAGGATTCTCTTAACGGCAGCTGTAAGAGAGGCAATGGTTTAACTCGACTCCATACTGACCTCAATAGAACTGAATACAGTCAGACCAGGTAGTCCGGTCAGAACAATGACTGATGGCAAACAGAAAACACTCTCTTCCAATTTCCACTCTTCGTTGTTTGTGTGTGGTTTCTGCAATAAAATAAAAAAGGTGAATAAATATGATATGTATACATTAATGTAACACTGATTAATCACTCTGTATAAACCTGAAATAAATGTCAAACGATAGAAAACAGAGAAATGTAACAATGAACAGGAAAACAGAGAAAAAAAAACACTGAAATAACTCTTTAGCACTTAGTGAGTGTTAACAAATGCCAGTCACTTCTCTGCCGCACAGACACGTTCCTGCAGGCAGTGTCTGGGAAATTGACGTCGGTCCCTAAGTGGAGCCTGCATGCTCCATGTAAAGCGATGCGAAACTTAAATAACGACATATAAACACGGTATAAAACAACAATAAATATTACGAATATTAATGTATGGAGCATGTAGAGAAAACTGAGGGTACTGCAAAAGGAGAGTTTGATAATGAAGAATGCTGTGAATAAATAAACCTGATGAATTGTTAAATATGTGATAACAGAACTACTTACAGTCTTATATGGACGCACAGGTGAAAGGATTATAATGAAAGAGGGATAATAATACTGCAAGGATAATGGGGAGATGGGAGAGAGTGAAACAAAGAAGCTGGTCCAAATTTGTGTCTTCAATCTGAACAGGGAGGTGGGGGCATGATTGACAGGGATGTTCGAGGTTGGTGATAGGTGAAGAAGGGGGGTGTGATAATTAGCATACCAGACAACCAGACTCCAGTAGACTGAACATAGAGATGCTCAAGTCTCCATTATAAGATGGGGAAAGAGTTGTCTTTGTGAACAGCAGCAGAGGAAAGTATTATGTGAAGGCTTTACGTGTAACTGCAACTAACAAACACAGATAGACACAAAATTAGAGGTGCATGAATAAGAGCATAATAATAGTAATAATTAAAATTCTTGCAATGAAAAAATTCCATCGAGCACATTTAGCTTTGAGTCAATACCCTGCATTAGCCAATATAACGAGTAAAACTTCCGCTTTATTTCAGAATAAAAGCACAATGTTTTGTCATTCAACGTTAATTTACAGGGATAATCCAGCGTAAAATTAATTGAGGGTCAAACACAATAACACCAAGTTAGACACTCCCTCGAGAGAGAAATGTTACCAACCACTTGCTTCTCAAGTTATACCAACTTTAGACACGATAGCAATACAGAGAGCCCCGCGCTCAACCGAAACGGTGAGTTATTTAAATGTCATATGCTGTAATGCAGGAATACGGACGGCAGAGGGCGCTGTATGATAGCGCCTAATTTAGACATACATTTATCATGTCAATGGTACTTACACTCATTTAGGAACTACGACCATTTTACAGACGCTGGTTCGAATCAAACTTAGTGCTCCCTGTCTCTACTTCACGACTTTCCTTAGGATTTTCCCTGAAGTAGGGATTAAATGGGCTGATAGTTGAGGAAAATTTGGGTGGTTTGGCGGTTATCGCGTCCGTCCGTTTATTTTGAAGGGTTACAGGAAGTCATGTCCGTCTGCTATCTGCGCGTTCAGGCTACAGATGAAATCGTGATGGCGAGCAAACGTCTATCATCATGGGCCAGAAATACCAGAAAAATACGCTTCAAATTTCACGTGAAAGACAAATACTGCAGCAGACTAGATGCTTTGGAGCTACAGTCTGTCAGAAAAGCAAGAAGAAGAAAGTGTCCCAACATTGCAAAGCGTTTTCGATGTAATGAAGCTGCACAGGGCAACAAAAATGACGAGACTGGTCAGTGGAGATTTAATGAGTCGGTAATGTTGCTCAGGCGTCGGTTGTTTGACTCTCATCAGAATATTTCCCATTATTCTGAGGTTTCGATGTCGTGTCTACTAAGATTCACTGACTGTTACGAAGCGCGTGATGAAGGTGGCATGTTTACTTTATCAACGTAATGCGCGTTCACGATCAACAGGTGGCTCCGTGGCGCAATGGATAGCGCATTGGACTTCTAGTCAAGCACTTGAGGAGTGATTCAAAGGTTGTGGGTTCGAGTCCCACCGGAGTCGCACTTTTCGTCCTGGTAAGCGGGTCCTACTCGAACTGTATAGACTTAAAGGAGGGACAGCGAAGAGTGACCCTGCTGAAATATAAACACCATAACCCTTATATTACTTTCAATGTGTGAAGTGTGGATCAACAGTATTTTTTAATTTTGTCATCACAAATGAATTAACATATGATATCCAACAATCAACAAGAATAATATTGATAACAAAATAAAAGCAGTAACTTAAAAATCTGCTGCGTTTGATTCAACCATATTCTTTAAACTAAACTAAAGTTGCATTTTCATCTTACATGATATCAGGGTCCATCAAGTGAAATAGAAACTAAAAGAAACTACACAGAGCTGTAGTTTCACTTTCATATACAAGGATTTACGCTCATTAAATTTTCTCAGAATCTAAACATGATAAAAAGTAATGTTCTATAGGGTAATTTCAACAACTCAATTATGTCAATTGAGAGCTTTTTCAGTTATGTACAGCACAGCCCATGATAAATGTGAATGTTTGTTGACTTATTTAAAAGACTATTTTCTTAATTACTCGGGAGTGGCATGTCCTCAAAGGCCACCATCATTTCAGTAAAAGGAGAGGTGAGCCGGGTAGTGTTTTAGTGTACAATCTGACTGCTAGATATTGCTTCATATTCCTGTTTTTAATATTCATTCATGACTGACTGAGTTCTCCCACCACTAGATGGAGGCTACGTTACAAATGAACAGTCCCTTCACAGCCTCATCAGGGTCAGATAGAGCTGGGTCACAGACAGAAAAGCAGGTACATGAAGGCTGTATAGATTCAAACAGGCAGCCAGAGCTGAGGAGTGAAGAGAGGACACAGAGAGAGAGAGCGTACAGACACAGTTTGATTCAGTCTCTGCAGATCTTAAACCATGGGAGTGCTGAGGACATCGGTCACCCTTTTACTCCACCTGGCTGTCTCTCTGGCGGTAAGACCCTCCAGATAACCTCTCACTTTTTAATTTACTTTTACCTCTGATCAGTCAGTGAAGTATCCCGACTGAATATTAGGAAGACTGGAAACAAAAAGTAAGGGAAATGGACATGGACCATGAAAATATATTTAAAAAAAAACAACAACAGGGATGATTTTATTCTAATCGGACATGTTGCATCCATGTATTTATGAATTAGGTTAATAATTTGACTTATTGCAATAATAAAAAAGTTCTGACTGTTTCATATCAATATTAACAATTTTAGCATGGATGAGGTTGGAAAAAAAACTTTTAATAAAAAGAAAGTATCAAAACTTAAGTCAACAAAGTGCTAACCACATTATGACAACCCTTAAATGAGACTGAAAGGTCAGATACTGGCTAAACTGAACCATTAAAATAAATCAAAATATTGCAAAAACACTGTCAGCATGAAGTAGAAACTGCCTCTACTTTATTTATGATGTCTTCTTTCTTTCCGTCCAGGCTCCTGTGCCGTGTGAGGAGAAGGTGGTCCGCCTTGAGGCAGAGATCCAGGGCCTGAGAGACGTCATCAACGACCAGCATAACTACATCCAAGAGCTCCATCACAGCCAGGCCAAGCAGCTGGAGCTCATCCCGAACTCTCACCTTGGCTCTGACAACCTGTACAGAGGTAAGACAAGACCCCCAAACAGGAGATAGAAAAGTGATGATTCTGCTGCTGCGGCTTCATACGGACATGACTGACGGTGGCAGCAGCGTCTTTTGGTTCAAATATAAACAAGAAATATCTGAAGTGGATCAATTATGATAAACACAAAGCTAAAATTACCCATAATCCTCAGTGAGAGTCTTGCAGAGACATAACGCTCATGTGTATCTGTGTATGTGTGTGTTCAGACTGCTCCGAGGTGTTTGAAGACGGTAATGTTGCGAGTGGACTGTATGTGATCCGTCCAGACGGCTCTCCGACAGCTCTGAGTGTCTTCTGTGACATGAACAACGGAGGAGGGTGGACCGTCTTCCAGAGGAGGAAAGACGGCAAGGAGAGCTTCGACAGGTGTGTGTGTCTTTGTGTGTGTGTATCAGTCATGGTTAATGCTGTACATGCTGTTTGATCGTGTGTGTTTTTGTGTATTTGCAGAGCTTGGGTGGAGTATAAACACGGGTTTGGAGACCTTTTCTCACCGAACGGAGAGTTCTGGTTGGGCAATGACGCTCTGCACCGTCTCACCTCACAAGGTGTGCATGTGTGTGTGTGTGTATCTGAGTGTTTGTGTGCTCTGATGGTCTCTCATACATTTTAGGTTGTATGTGTGTAACTCTGCGTCTTTTTAGGAAACTACGACCTGCGGATCGACTTGGAGGACTTTGAGGGGAATCAGCGCTTCGCAGAGTACAAGAACTTCAAAGTGGACGATGAAAAGGTACAGACATCCTTCAGCTCGCTCAGGGGAGGGGATCCTGGGGTGTTTTCAGGTCCTCTGAACTCTTGGTCTGCCCCAAGCCAGGGTCGAAGAGCTGAAAGTTTGCGTCCTCTCGCTCCACTGCATCCTCTCAGTCCCCCACAGCAGTTGGGTTTGTCTTCTTCTTTGCTGGATGCTGAAGCACAATCATTTGGTCCAAATCTCTTTTCAGTTCCCAAACGGTCCTGGTCTTATTTAGACTACTGTGTGGAAACTTCATCAAGGACGTCTGGCTCCAGGTCTGAGAGCTGTCCTCCATCTTTCTTCTTCTGTTGTGTCTATCATCCTCCATCTTTCCCACCCTTGTCCTGAAGTTTGTCTCTTCTCAGATCCAAAACTTTGAGGCTCAGTAAAATCTCCCAGATTTAGAGTTGAAATTGTTTTTGTTCGCATAAATGAAACAAAACCTTGACTGGACCAAAGCTGATTTTAAATGAGTTCTGTTGCTTTCTTTTCCTCTTCTAGGACAAGTATCAGTTACACCTGGGAGAGTTCACTGGAAATGCAGGAGACGCCTTTTCTGACATCAGCGGCACCCCCTCTCCTGAGCAGCAGTGGTCCAATCCAGACTCCAATGGTTCGAATGTGATCAAATTCAGCACCTTTGACCACATGAGCGATGCTGCTGGAGACGAAGAAGACGAGGACGCCAAGTGTATCAGACACAGCAAGTCAGGCTGGTGGTTCAGCAGGTAACGGACTCACAGAGGAGGAAAAACCATAAAGCAGAGTTTTTCGCATTTAGATAATGTTTATTTAATTAGTTTGAGGTCTTTGTTGAGCCTCCTGACATAAAAAAAAAGATGTTGGCTCACACACATCATTTATCGATTCTAATTCGGATTCAATTAGACAAACCTTATATAAACAGAAGAGGATTTGGGGCACTGGAAAGAAAAAAAACTCCAGTATAATAATTTTAAAAATTATTTTTATGCAATCAAAGTCAAAATTCCAACTTTATTGTCAGATAAAATTATGAAAAATAAAAATAATAAAAAAAGGAAATATTGGACCTTTTTTTCCCAGTGGCCCTTATCCTCTTCCATAGATAGATAGAAAAATAGTAAGATTGTCACTTCTTCTACTGAAGTTAGATTAAAAGATATTCTGGGGCGTGTCTCCTGCCCCCTGGTGGACTATAAGTGCACTGCATGATGTCCCTGTCTGGTTCTCACACTGGTGATACCTTTGGCTGTACATAGTCTAAATGTCTTCATCTCTTTGACTTCCTGCTCACAGGTGTGATTCAGGAAACCTGAACGGACATTACTACAACGGGCCGTACAAAGCCATGGCTGATGACGGGGTCGTGTGGTACACCTGGCATGGTTGGTGGTACTCCATCAAATCTGTGGTCATGATGGTGCGAGCCTCCGACCTGGAGAGCCAGACGACGGTCAGCCCCTCAGTACCCGGGCAGCTCGACCCCGACAAAGCAGCAGGCAACGAGGTAGATGTTTTTTATGAGGGCCAATGAAAGTGTGGAGCCGCTCACTCGAAGGTTTTTCTTTTTTGTGTGTGTGTCGTCTTTTTAAATATTTCTCTAAAAGGGTTATTTGTTTATTTTTTTTAAACATTGGCTCCATATGGAAACGCTCCTGCAGATTAATCTAACCTGCTGCATTGAAACCACCTGTGAATTCCTAGAAATGTACCAATCAAAGCGGACCACTGCAAAGACTGTTCATGAAAAACTCTAAAAGAATATTTGAGTTCAAACTTGTTTCTTTGAACATTTTGTTAAAGGTCTGAATGAGAAATGTCTCCAAACAATGAAAGATGTCTTTGTATTAAATCTGTGATAATAAAGGAAGTAGTCTCTGAGTTCAACAGAATCATTTAAAAAATTATAAATTATGATACTTAACAAAGGTTGGAAATGACATGTTAATCTTGAACACAAGCCCAGACACATGGTCTGTGATAACAACCCTACACACTGATTCACATCAAGTCATCAGAGCAAGATTGAACGACTATATTTTTCCCCAGCAGATGAAGTCGAGGATTTACAAGTGATTTCAGTGCCACCACAAAGTGTCACAAAGCAAAAAAGAATATTTTACTTCAGTTATTAAAGAAAGTGAAAATTCGATTCGCTCTAGACTCTTTACATTTAATCGTTTACATGATTTTTCTGTTTTTAATTTGACGATTTTGGCCAACAGCTAAAAAAAATCATCTCAAAATAGTAGGTACAATTATTACGAAAGCGTATTGCATTCACTTACAAAAAAGAAACTTTGAGTATTCTTTTGTCTTTGCTATTTTTGTACTAATATTTTTCTTCTGTTTTGTGTACTAATAATTTTCCCCTCTTTGTGTTTTTTGGACCAATTTTTATTCTGTTTTTCGTATTTTATTTTATTTTTTCTGTTTTCTGAAAAAACAGTGAAAAACAGAAAAAAAATTGTCATAAAAAGAGGGGGAAAAATATTCCGACAAACAAAAAATAGTCAGAAAAACTGAAACAGGGTTCCTACGCAAGTATGAAAAGTATGGAAGTAATTTAACCAATTTCCAGGTCTGAAAAGTATGGGAAATGAAAATAAAGTATGGGAAAATATTGAGATTTCCAGACTATTACAACAGTAAAAAAAACTGTTTTCTAATTATAGAAAAGTAGGTATTTCCAGAAGTAATTTTAAAAAGAAGTGAATGGAAAAGTATGGAAGTTCCAAGTGACGGAAAAGAAAAAAATATAGTTCGAAAAAACAGAATAAAAAAAAAAATACTTTGAAAACCACTTTTTTTTTTGTGGGGGTGAATTCAATACGCTTCCATAAATTATAACAAAAAGCTACAATCTTTATCTTACGACTCTAATTTCTGACAGCACCATTTTTCAAATGTTGAGAAGATGGTGTGAATTTTATTTTAATGTTTTCTCCTGTTTCGTCTTCTGTAATCCTGTCTGTGATGTTGTTGCAAAAATCCCAAGATAATGTCAAATGATTGTAATACAGTTTAACCTGGACTTGATAAGTTTAAAGAAGCTGAAAGACAAAATAAAGATCTTCTAGTGAATCTCCTTTGATGGGGATCATGTCACAGCCTTCACAGCCTGTCTGTAGAGTTTGTTTTGTTTTCTTACAGTTATTGAGAAGCAGAATTATGTAAATTCATGACAGGAGTGAACTGAAAATCATCTCACCCACCTCTGTGTAACATCTAAAATAAAAATAATCATTTATTTCATACTGTTTTTTATTCTGTGTCCAAAATAAAGCAGAACATGGTACACTGAGGCAATCCGGGTACATCTGAGGTTTTTCAGGACAAACACCAGACACACACACACACACACAAAGTTTCTTTTTGGATTCAGTAAAACCAGTCTGTCGGTTAGAGGAGATGATCACTGGTGGTTTTATATGCAACCCAAAGCAAAGACGGATCATCTCTGCTCAGTCGATGGTTCAGCTTTGCCTTGACTCTCTTTGGGCACGAGGTGATTTCAGAGGATGGGGAGAAAAGGGGTGATATCTCTTTATTTCATGAGAGACGGGAGGAGGAAAGGTTCAACACTTCGATAAACTGCATATTTTGCTCTGAGGAGGTGTGTGTGTCTGCACTGGCCAGCTCAGATTTAACATCCAAGGGTGATTACATTCCACAAAGTAGATTAAGGTAGAGGTTGTGAGGAGCTCACAGGAGGAACAGACATCCACTCGATCAAAGGTTCATGTCAGTAATTCAGGTGAGTTCCTCAAATGAGCGTAACGTCCGTCCGCTTCGTCCGAAAGGTCCGAAGCAGATCTGTGATTGAGCCTCGCTCTTTGGGAGGAGGGGGGGAAAAAAAACGTCCTCTTTAAAAGAAGGAAAAAAGGCAAAAGAATCCATGCTAATCCACCGAGAAGTACCCGTCTTTGTGATTCGCCAAACCCAAACAACTCAGAGTCTGCTCCCACCAAAACGCCGCAAATCTCCAAGGTTTTTCCCACCCTGTGACTTTTAAAAAAAAGAGGCTGTGAGAAAAAAGGATTTCACCACAAAAAAAAGGGAAGAAAAGGTTTCAGGATAGTCAAAACGAGAGAGAGAGAGAGAGAGAGAGAGAGAGAGAGAGAGAGAGAGAGAGAGAGAGAGAGAGAGAGAGAGAGAGAGAGAGAGAGAGAGAGAGAGAGAGAGGCGATATGTACAGACCCTGAGGTGTGCCTGATGTTTAGGTTTTCTTCAGAAAAGGAAGAAAAGTCTGTCAGAGAACAGGCGTAATAGAGGGCAAGGCCAGTCCCACGCTCCCTCTTAAGTGCATCGGTGCCACTGCAATGTCTTTGCTCTTTCAAAATAAGAGTCTTTAATACGATTTAATGCAAATGTACAAGTTCAGCAACGTCAGTGCTGCGACTGAAGCCTCCCTTCAGCACATGGAGAGAGAGAGAGAGACAGGTCGCTGTCTGTCGTTATGGGGGTGTTATCTCGGGGATATGGGTGCAGCTGTGGGAAAGGAGGCGGAGTTTCGGGGCGATCCGAAGGGCGAGGTGGGTGAGAGGCGGCGGCTGGGGCTGGCCAGCAGGTCTCCGTTGTGCAGCTTCCACAGGAGCTCCTCGTTCTCCATGGACAGACGCTTGTTGACCTTGGACTCCTTCTGCAGCGTCTGCTGGAGGATGGCCTGCTCTGTGGACAGCTGCCTGCAGGGGGAGACAGAGAGCAGTGAGAGGGCTGCAGGGAGGGAGGGTGCGCAGAGTCTGATACTGACTTTAACCCTTTCAGTGAATGCATTTTTGTACTTTATTATGTCCTCGATCATTTTAATCTTTCCAACCCAGGCGAGAAAGTTAAGGTTAACTTTGGCGCCCCCCTGTGGACAAAGCAATCTTTGCTACGAGGATGAGTTTCTAACAGTTACCGTAAGTATATGTTATTGTTGATATTGGTATCAGACAAACTTGTGAGAGTATGTGAGGAGAATTTGTCTTTGACCATCATGTAGAGCGCCCTGTTGATGATTTCAATATATTTGTGAAAATAGTACTAGTATATAAATATGAAATATTTCTAACTTTTTATAATGGTATATTTTTTTGTCTTTTGATTTTATGATATCTTTCTCTGACTTGAACTTTCAGTATTTCATTTAATTGATGAGTTCTGCTTCGGTAACACTGTCCCTGTGCAGCAAAGTTTTAAAGTTGAACTGAGGCAGTTGTTGTGTGTTTTCAGAGTTTCTTTTCTAATTAAAAGTTTATTTTTGTGAGATTAAATAGCACTATAAAAGTATGAAAAAGGTTCATGTTGGTTTTAAGTATTTGCCTGATATGTTGTAACGTCTAAAGTCTCTCTCTCACACACACACACACACACACACACACACACACACACACACACACACACACACACACACTGTGTTCTTTCTTCAGGATTACGAGTAACAGGTGAGGTCAGGTGTGAGATAAAACCACTCGATCACATGACTGATCCACCTTTTGGTCCCTCTGACACAGTCTGAAGTCCACAGACAGTGAGCTGAATCTGCACAAACATCAAACATCTGATCTGAACTGATCTGATTTGAACTATTTACTATAAATGTGTGACAGTAAAAAAATGAAGTAAATTTTAGTGCTGAGGAAACACTGAGTTTATATATCAGGTGTTTTTTATTTTTTTAAACCAAACTGAAGCACTTTTAAAAATCTGATTTATCAGTGTCTCTAATTCAATTGAATATTACGATTATTATGATTTCATTCAATTGATAAAAATAAATAAACAATGATTTAAAAAAAAAAACAGCGGTCAAAATCTGTCTGTTCGTGGATTTTGCCGCCCCCCTGTGGACAAAGTTTGATGTACAAAACCCCTCTCAGAGTGTCCATATCAAACATATCTGTATGTGAATGTGAATAAGGTTCATCTAATGCTATTTTTAGTTGAAACTCAGTTTACCAAAGTGTTGGATTATCTGATCCTGAAAAGAGAAAAGAAGTTGATGTCCAAATCTGGGTAATTATTCTGATTCAACCCTTTGAAAAACTCTTTAGAGGAGAAAAACTACAGTCCCTGGAAAGTCTGCATGTCATTTTTCCACTTTTAGATTAAATTCTGGAACTTAAGGCTTTTGTTTCAACTGATCAAGACCCAAAACAGAGTGCTGCAATTGTGGAGAAAAAACAGAGGAGAGGTAAAAACACAAACACAGCAGCAGCAGCAGCAGCAGCAGCAGCAGCAGGAGTACGTACTTAGAGAGCGCTGCGTGTTTGTCCATCCTGGCCTTGTAGTCCTCGTTCTCCTGCTGGACTTTGTTCAAACACTCCTCCAGCTTCACGTTCGAGTCCACCTGTGACACACACACTTTGATTTTAGTGCTATAAATTCATAAATGATAGTCGACTGTAGTCTGCTCCTCATTCTCTGTCGACATTTCATTCCACTCTTCACTTTTATTTAATGATTGTGTTACACGCTGGTTTTCATTGTTATAAAATGAGCTTCATTTTCATATCAAAGTCTTATTTCTGTTTCTGGACCAGTTTTCAGATTCACCACAGATTGATGCTCACCAGTTTCTCCATCTCCATCAGCTTCTTCTCCTTCTGGTGCAGCTGGTTGTTCTTGATTTCCAGCACCACCTTCAGACTCTCCAGCTCCTGCTCCAGGTACAGCGTGTGTGAGTCCTTCTGGAGAGCAAACAAACACACACACAGACACACAAAGATAAGAGCAGGGCACCTCACACTGGAATAAAACACCCCACCGCACTGCGACACGAGTGCTTGAGAAGACCTAAAATCTGTTTCCTCGCTGAACCTCGTCATGTCAAATGCAGGAATGCTGCATTTCTGCTGGTTTATCTTGAGAAACGTGTTGTGAAATTTACGATTACAGAGAGAGAAAAAACTGGTCTGATGACCCCGCTTAATCCCCGCTTTGACTAACAGTTTTCAATCTGTGGTGGGAATTATCTTCGCTTGAGGGAGGAATTTCACTCGTTTGGTTTGTCTGTTAATCTCAACATTTCAGCTTTCTTTTTTTTAAAACAAATTTCTCTTCGTGTGTCTGAGAAAAAAATAAAAATAAAACAGTGTTTACCAGGTTTTTGTCACTGAGTATGTTTTTCCTCCTCTCCTCCTCGGCTCTCAGCTTCTCGATCAGAGCCTCGTTCTCAGCTGACAGCTTGGAAACTTTCTCCTGCGGGGACACAAACAGGAGACATTACCAGGGGCACAAAAGTTTAGGAACAGAAAACTTACATTTCTCCAAGCAAATACAGAGAGCACAGGTAACACACAAACACATAATAAACTGAAGATTAGGTCAGGCAGCAAATTCAGGGATTTAAAGAATCAAATTTTTTTCGTTACCAAGCTGATTCATTTCTCCACAAGAACGACATTTAAGAAGCTGAAGTTTCGATGAATTTTACAGCAAAAGCTTCCCAGATTTATAGATCTGTAACATGAACACAAAACCAGTACGTGTCATTTCACTCAGGGTTAATAAATCAAAGTTTCTTACAGAGAGAGACTCTTCAGTCTCCTGCAGAGTTTTCTGCAGATTCTCCAGGTCTGTCTGCTGGATCCTCTTCAGCTCTAAACAGATTAAAAAAAACTCCAGAATCAAAGACAGTCAATTAAAACATCAACATATCAAACTTTTTATTGTATTTAACTCAAGAAATAGAGAATTAAATTTGATTATGGCAACAACAAAATGAACAAATTCATCTAAATAAGAGAAATAATCAAAGATATAATAATCACCAAGATAAATCTGTATGTCAGGCTTTTTAAAATTAAATTATTGCTAAACTGGTTCTTATGTAAAGCATAAAAAAAATAATGAAAATACTGAAAGTCATTACAAATCATAAACACGACACGAAGGACTGATCAATAAATAACTGGATGGAAATATATTAAAATAGAAAATTTATAAAATTACAAAAATTAAAAAGAGACAAAATAATAGTCCAAAAATGAGATATTTTCTCTGAAACAAAAACTGTTGACATCTAATATTCTGGATTCAACTAAAAGTACAGATAACAAGAAAGAGGTTCAAACTTTTCAAACAACATTTAAGATTTCCTCTTTTTAAGTGACATAATAAGTAAAATATACCTTTAAAAAATGAGCAGTTACAGGTTTGTTTTTGTCGAAAACTCACCTTCTACAGACGCCTCATACTCCAGTTTGAGAGACTCGATTTTCTGGCTGTGACTCGCTTCCTGGTTCTTCCTCTCTGCTTCCTGTCGGCTCCTCAGCTCCTCCACCTACGCGATGAAATGAAAAGGAAACATGGCGTCATGACAATCCTTCTCTCTGGGTTTTAATCTGAGTTTCAGGTCATCTGGATTAAATCTTCAGATTACGCAGAGAGGAGATGTTTTTGAGTTGTTTTATATTTAAAGCTCCTGAGAGGAACTTTCAGATTTCTCCTACATGTGCGAGTTCTCACAGAAAATATCCTCCTGTGACCGTGTTTTATTGTAAACACAGCCTCAGACTTTTCAAACACACGCTGGCAGCACCTCAAACTGCTTCCAGCTAGACAGTAATTACAAATCAGCCTGTCAAACCATCAAATAAAAGTCTCATCGGGTTGAGAGAGCGCCGTCTTCGTCACCTGTTGTGTAACGATTTCAAAATAAAACCGGATTTTACGGGCGACGCAAGACTGAGGAACATTTTTTATGAGGCTAACAGGCACAAACCTGTAAGAGTGAACTCAAAACAGAGCAACTGAGATGGCGTGTGTGTGTTTGTGTGTGTGTGCTCGCACCTGCTGCTCCATCAACAGGCGGCATTTATCAGCCTCCTCCTGGTACGTCTGGTGGACTTTATCCCACTCTGTTTGGTAAAAGCTCCTCAGTCTGACACAAAGAGAAGATGAATCAGTGTTATCGGTTATGTATTTATGAAACGGAGCCGTAAAGAGGTAAAGGTGTCCATGAGCGTCTCACCTGTCCTCCAGCTGCACCAGCTCCTCCTTGTGCTGCTCCTCCAGCCTCTTCAGGGCCTCCTCCAGGCTGGCACGCACCTCCTCTTTCTCCTTCTGTAGATGTTTGCAGCTCTGCGACGACGTGACTGGAAGAGAGGAGAAGAGCAGGAGGAGAAGTTAGAAAACACTCAGAGGACCTGGACCTGGACCTGGACCTGGATAGAATTAACTGTGTCTGCATGCAGGAGCCAAAATCTCAAACAGTTATAAAATTTACTGTTTATGTCTCACAAACTATAAAAATGCTTCTCCACACTCGTGCATGGATTTATTCATGTCCCAGTAATTCTGTTTACTAACCGCTCTTACTCAGGATTTTAGCTGCACCTGCTCCCTGACGACTAAACCTCCACACCGGTCTAAACAAAGGTCCTCCTTCAATGTGGATTTTATTAAACAGTTCATGATGACTCACACAAATACGCGATCATTCAAAGTCTGATTGTTGACTTTCACTGTTATGTACCCTTGAATTATAAGTTTGAGAAGAAGATGAAGAAGTGAAGAAACTGTGACAGAAATCATAAAAACTCAGCTCAGAGGAAACTCATCATGACTTTAACCCGAATCCTTTAACAGCCAGAGCAGTTTGACTTAGAAACCACATTTTACTCTGATTTATGTCAGAACTTGACAAGACAGTCTGGCTGCAGACCTCCACTGTCAGGACCTACTACATAGAGCCTTTCAAAATAAAAGAAAATACACCAGGGGTACTTTTTTTTTCTTCTCACAATGGAAATAGATTGGAAGCCTTTCAAAATAAGAGCAAACGTACCAGGAATACGTTCCTTTTTTTTACGTTGAAGCCTTTTTAAAGCAAATAAACCAAGAGTATGTTTTTTTCTTTTTACAAAGGAAGTTGGTCGAAGCCTTTCAAATTAAAAGCAAGTATAACGAGATTACGTATTTTTTATGTTGGAAGTTGATTTGAAGCCTTTCAAAATAAAAGCAAATATATCAAGAGTATGTTTTTTTTTTGTGTGTGTTGGAAGTTGATTCAAAGCCTTTCAAACTAAAGCGATTAGATCAAAAAGTATGTCTATTTTTTTCGTCGTGTGTGGATATACTTTATTTCTTGGAGCTTTATTTTATGTATAAAATGTTGATATAATTTTTTTTGTGATAAACAAAGAGGAAAAACAAAATGGGATGACCATTTGACCAAAAACAAACTGAAGTGCGTGAGAAAAACTGTCACCTCAGGTCCTCTCAGTGGAAGCCTGCAGTCAGACCCCTCTTGAACTTGTCGGATAAATGAAATTTGTAATGGGATATTTCACCCCCTGTGGACAAACCAGTCTGTGCTCACCTCGTCCTCTATAGAAGATCTTAAAGTAAAACTTTTGAAACTGAATATTTCAATGACAGAGTTTTTCCTTTTGCTGTTTAATTAAACACATTGATGAAAAGGCACCAAAATGTATTTCAGTCCATTTCACAAACACCAAAAAAATAATGAAAAAAACTCCTTATGGGAGCTTTAAGGCAAATATGCTTTCGATCATTTAAAAATAAAAAAATGTGTTTTTTTAGACGGCAGAAAAAACAGTTTAAAATCAGAGCAAAGGCAGACAGCAGGCGTTTTATTTGAGTTTCTATTTTGACCATTTTTTGCAAACTATCACATAAGTCAGCGCTGACATGCCAGGAACAGTCAGTGTCTGAACAGGTAATGAAGAGCAGACCTTTCTGTGTGTGTGTGTGTGTGTGTGTGTGTGTGTGTGTGTGTGTGTGTGTGTGTGTGTGTGTGTGTGTGTAAGCCACATTCCAGTTCGACTACTCTCTCTGCAGACTGGAGCTCCAGCCCTGAAAAACATCTGCATGTCAGCTCAAAAATATGCAGAGGACTCATTCCTGTCATGATTAATTCAAACCTTCACAAGCACATGCACGCCGCCTCCATCACTCCCCGTCATCACAGGGGTACTCTTGATTTATGTCCGCTTCACCTCGGACATATCTGAGGAGACATCCAGGTGAGGAGAGAGCACCTGAGCAAACAGAAGTCTCTGAATGATCTAAACTCAGCTCTGTAAACTCAAACTGATCAGCTTTATTTTTTTATATGAATATTCCGTCTTACATAAACGAGAGCTGACAGCCGGCTGGAGTAAACAGGTGATGTTTCCCTCTGGATGAATGGAGCTCTACAGAGCGAGTGTGAGCGCCTGTCGCCGTGGTGACGGACACAGAAAGCCAGGGACAGCTGAGAGCAGCTGAGGCACAAACTTGTCCTCTGTGAGTCTCCGTACAGCACACACTGACCCAGCAGGTGGATGGCAGGTGGTGCAGCGTGAAATTATGACATCATTTCCTTTTCCTCATTTTGCACAGTTTGAAAAAAATGTCTCAGGGTCACTTTAGGTTGCCTCCTCTTGTACTTAGATTAGCTGTTTAGATTGACCATACGTCCTCTTTTACCCAGACATGTCCTCTTTTTGGGGGGCTGTCCGGCCTTGTCCAGGGGGGGTTACTACTATAATTGTTTTTATTTTTTCTGTAGATTAATTCTATTTTGGAGAAAGACGAACGACTTAGCTGATGCCGATACAATGCAAAATATTATTATTATTATATTTTAATTTATTGAGAGGACAGTGGATTGAGCTGGGAATAAGAGAAAGGAGTGACGTGCATGAAAGGAACTGCAGGCTGACATCAAACCGGGCCGGCTGCATGAAGCGTAACCTCCATATGTGGGTCAGCGGTAACCCAGCTGCACACTCCTAACGCTCAGAGGTCTACACCTGCTCTCCAAAAGGTAAACTCGTAAATAAAGAAACTTTAAAACAAACTGAGTGAATAAAAGCTTCTTCATGTTGGCAGCAGGCTGGTTAGCACACAGTGTACAGTTCACCTCCACACCGTCGTATTAAAGCGCAGTGGAATTCAGTGAATCAGGAAAAACTTGATTTCACCCTCAAACTAATAAATCAGACTTTTTTTGAGGTTGTGTGATATTTCACAGAGATTTTTCCCTCCGCTGACAGGAACAGTAAAAGTCAAACATCATGGAAAGGGTTCGAAGTGCCTCAGGAACAAATATCTCCCACACAGGCGAACATCAATCATACAGGAGAGACTTGAGCCTGCTTGCAGAGTCACTTTTGACTCTCTCTGGGAGGAAATGTGTCGTACTTTCTGCAGCACTGTCTGCATTAAGAGCAACATCTCAGAGCAAAATATCCTTTCAGGAGTTTCAGGTTGAAACACTTTATTAGGCAAGAAGCATTAAAAAAAAAACACACACACCCAGAAATGACACAAACAAAAGAAACAACAATAAAGTCGACGCTCGGGGACAACTTCTACTTTAACTCTGCGCCGTCAAACATCACAGGAAAACTATTAAACAGCCTGACATTACTCAAAGAGACTCAAACTGGCTGTTCCTGTTCAGTTAGGCTATGAAGACAGATCCGCGTGTGTGTGTGTGTGTGTGTGTGTGTGTGTGTGTGTGTGTGTGTGTGTGTGTGTGTGTGTGTGTGTGTGTGTGTGTGTGTGTTTGTGTGTGTGTGTGTGGCGGCAGCAGGGGTCGACACATTGCTGACATTCCTCAGCTCTGTGTGTACAGAGACGAGCCAAAGGTCAAACTTGCAGTAAAAGGAGAGATTACAGTCGGAGCTTTAAGAGTGATGGATGGAGGGAAAGTGTGTGTGTGTGGTGTGAGTGTGTGTGTGTGTGTGGAGGGGGGTGTTAGAGAGAAAGTGTTGGTGAACAGTATGTGCTTTTCAGCTCTGAGTGACTGTGTGTGTGTGGGCAGGGTGGTAAAGTGTGTATTCTGAAGCTGTATTTAACATGGCATCCAGAGCAAGTGTGTGTGTGTGTGTGTGTGTGTGTGTGTGTGTGTGTGTGTGTGTGTGTGTGTGTGTGTGTGTGTGTGTGTGTGTGGGTGCGCCCACATGCTGTGTATTTAAAAAGACAGATGAGGTTATTTTTAATCTGAACTCAGAGATGTGAAGGAGTCTGTGAGTAGGAGTGGGTCAGAAAAGGGTCCAGAGACAGAGCCGCTAAAACGTGACTAACTGTGGTGATTTTCTTTAAAATGAATATTCAGAAATCTGAGAGCCAATCCAGGGTCTCTGCGGGTTTTAACAAGTCAAATTTAAGACTTTTTAAGACCATTATGAATGGAATTTAAGAGCTATTAGACATCCATACTGGCGAAACAGTACAAAAACATGTAGGAAATCAGAACATTTTACATTTCTTCAAATGAATTCATTTTTTGGGGCCTTTTAAATTCATATTTAAGACATTTTATGAGAATTTTATACATTTTAAGGCCTTAAATTCAAATTATTTGATTTTAGACTTTTTAAGACTGTAATAAATGCAATCGAAGACCCATTTAACATCCATACTGGCAAAAAAGTTAAATTAAGTTAAATTAATACATTTTTAAGAGCTTTTAAACTCATTTTTAAGAAATTTTAAGGGATTTTTAAAGAGAATTTTGGACCTTTTAAGGCCTAAAATTCAAATAATTGGATTTTAGACTTTTAAGAACTCCTTTAAGGCCTTAAAGAATGCAATTTAAAACCGATTTACTATCTCTACTTGCAAAAAAGTACAAAAGACATGAAAGGAAACTGGAACATTTTACAATATTTAAGTTATATCTTTATTCATATGGCACATTATCTATTTGTACATTAAGTTAATACCTTTTTAAGACCTTTCAAAATTGTTTTTAAGACATTTTATAAGACTCTAAGATAATATTAGACATTTTAATGCCTTAAATTCAAATTACTGGATTTAAAACTTTTTAAGACTTTTTAGACCGTAATGAATGCAATTTAACACCTATTTCATATCCACGCTGGCAAAATAGTTAAAAAAAATTGAAGGAATTTGGAACATTTTACATTACTTTAAATCAATCAATTTTTAAGGCCTTTCAAAATCGTATTTGAGACATTTTATTGGATTTTAAGAGAATTTTAGACATTTTAAGGCTTTTTAAGAGCCTGCCAATCACACAGCAGAATTAAGACCATGATCTGACAGTGAACCTGCAGCTTCAAACTCGTGTGCTGAATATTAAACATGAGCAGTGAACTTCACTCAGACATGTCAGAATCTTATTTTATAAATAAACATTTTTTCACATGAATTTTAATCATTTCAGGTTTGACATCATGATGATATTTTGACTAGAGGCAAGGCGAGGGATGAACTGATATACCATAAAATATCCGCCCTGTTGACTGACATCAGTACATTAGTAAACACTGTGCTGTGCATTGATCAGTACGTCTACATGCAGAGTTAAAGCTCAATTAGGCGATTTAATCCAGTTACTGAAGCAAAAATCTAATTATTGGCTGAAGTAAAAGCGCCTAATATCAAGTCGTCTCCTGGTTAAAACAATGTAAATAAACTGCCTGCATGTTTGTCTGCATGCTTTTGTGTTGTGTTCATGAGCGTCACTTTTGAAGTCTTAGTGTAAATAGACAGTAGAGGTGTGTGTGTCTGTGTGTGTATTTTTATTAATCCTGATGCATCGACCAAACCGGCCGAGCTGCTGTTGACACGATACACAGTCAAATACAAACCAGGATCAGCTGATATTTAGAAAACAAAGTTTGTACAAGCAGTTGTACAAGGAGTTTTAATCTCCGTCGAGGAAATATGTCCTCCTCCTGAAAGCTCTCGAAGTGCGGTGTCAGTCATTCATAGAGCCACGTGTCTCAGGATCAAATATGTCATGTACGTCTGAAGTGTCTGCTCGGCGTCTGTTTGTCACCATCAGGCCTGAAAAGGTGATCGTCTTGATGACAGCGAGATGGCATTTCGCCAAATCCTGCAGAGTAACACACCTCAAACACACACACACACACCTTTTACACACAAACACTAAACATGGGAACTGTTCTTTAATAGTTTTCTGAGGTAGAGCCAGGAAACATTAAGAGTTATTATTATTATTATAATTATTATGTTGACTTAGTGTAAAAGTTTCCACTGCAGCAGTCTGACTGGATATAAGAGGGTTGCCTCCATGTATTAGCAGCTGTTGATACTCACGCTGCTCGGCGGGTTACTCCTCCAGGGTTATCAGGTATTTTTAAACCTGAGCAGCAGTTTGTTTGCTGTGTGTTTGAATGTCAAATAAAACTGGAGATATAAAAGAGGCCTGAATCGCTTTTGTTGACTGCAAAAGAAAAAAATAAAAGTTTGTCTGCTTTGAGTGGTTGTTTTGTTTAGTTCTGTCTTACACAGATAATGTCATGAATCCAAACGGACTATTTAAAGTCATGGTTGACGATTAGAGAGATTGGAAATTATTATGAACCTTATTTATATGGCGATCGTGGTCCTATAGTGTGATCTCCACAAAGTAAAGAGAAAAAATGATGTAAAAAATCTGTTCACCTTAGCAGGTGCAGGACTGCAAAAACACTGACCATTCGGAGCCAAAAAAAAAAAAAGAAAAGAAAAAATGCTGCAAGTGGTGGAAAAGGAGGAAGAACATCCTCAAGTTTAATGTCATCAGATCACCTCTGTTGAAGAATTTATGATGTATTGAAGATATGTAAATAAGCAAAACCACAAAAAATAAATGATGTACATATTGCAGAAAGTTTATCAGAGCTAAAACAACTAATGACAAAATCTGTGAATTTGAAGCACTCCATCATCTGTCCTTTTAAGAAGTAGAAGACTACGGTCCAAACCAACCCGATGGTGCAGGGTCGAGAGATAGCAGATTTTCAGGGCTGACACCAACTTCAATTACTTGAAGGTCAAAACGATTTCGTCTGATTGAAAATGGACTTTGAATAACATACTAATGCGGGGAGTTTAGAGTGACCAGCTGACCTGTCAGGCTTGTTTTCTGGACTGTCCGAGGAGGTCAGAGTCCGTCACACACATTTAAAGTTTGTTTTACTTCATTGTTTGTTTCCATCTGAGCCACTGCTCTGTAAAAGATACATGAAGTTTGTCTTCTCGATGTCTGCATCAGCAAATCTGTAATCGACCTTACAGTCTGGTTAAGGAAGCAGCGAAAGCGCATTTGCGAGAACTACTTACACCTGGTTTGTAAAGTCGCAACTCCTAATCCCAGCTAAACAGCCTGTAATAGATGGAGCTGATGTGAACAGATCACACGAGGTCAAGCATCGCTTTTTTCATTCATCCAAGATTTCTAAATTCTGCTTTTGGGGAACAGCCTTTGTTTTTTCATTCAAACTACAACACCACAAACGCTCTGACTGCTGTTATTAGTCCGGTGAGTTTATTTAGTTTGAGGGCTGAATGTGGAAAAGTCACTAAAAAGTCATACACAGGAGAAAACAACAGAGAACCGTTCTTTATATTTCATGTGTTTACAAAAGGTAAGTTCAGGTAGAGACTAAACCTCAGCCTTGTTTTACCCTCAGGTGTACACATTTGAACACTCATGACGCCGGTGTGTCAAAACTTCGATCCTCACAGCTCAATAATGATAATCCACAAGTCCTGGTGTGCCCGTGAAAACACAGGTGCTCTGTGCCGAGGACAGCTGTGCTGACAGTGAGGAGCAGCTGCACGCCGGTACGACAACAGAAATAACACTGAGTTTTGAATGGCAGTTGACCCGGCCTTGATAAGCTTTGTGAGTGTGTGTGTCTGTGTGCGTGTCATGCAAATGCACCAGAGAGAGACAGAGCATGTGCAGACTTATGAATTAGCATTTGGTATCATGGACAGGTGTGTGGATGTGCATAAGAAGCGTCTCTTACCCAGTTCATCTCGGAGGTTGGTCAGCTCCAGAGACAGCTCCTTCTTCTGCTTCAAGACCTCCTCTCGCTGCACAGAAGGAGAAAATCATCTGGTGAGTTAGGGGCCAAAACTAGAACCTGTGTCACTGCAAAAAAAGCTAAATACTTTGCACCAAGACTTTTGCGCTGAGAAGATTTGCCCACTCAAAGATCTTGTTGTTTTACCCTGAAAATCTTAAATTAAGTGTCAAACTGTCTGAAACTTTTAAGACTGATCCATCCAAAGAAAAACTTTTAAACCAGTGGACAGTAAAGAAAAACCTGACCCATCCAAATGATCCCCAAGGTGGTTTAAAAGAGAGTTTACTGGCAGCTGTTTTGTCCTTTCAAAATAAGAGTCTTTTTCCAGAGATCTGCCCTGTTAGGATGTCTTTACATTTAGGATTTCAATCTGAGGCTAAAAACAGTCCTCACAGTCTGATTCAGAGCTGCAGGCTGAGGTGAATTTGCAGAGCGGATAGAGTCGGGGTTTTAGACGGAGAAGAGTTATGCTCCAACTCAAGGGAACTGTTGCATATTTTTGAGGCAGAGTAATGAGCAGGAGCGCTCTCGTGAAGATAGAACAGTTGATCAAATATAAGAACAAGCTTATAGACAATGAAGAAAACTAAATCACAGCTGGAACTGAACAAACCAAACTCAAGACTGGCTCTATCTGAAAGACTTTTAAAGTGTTTTAAAAGTGTTAAAAAAGTCTGAGAGACACCACAAATGACAACAAGAAATGACAGAGCATGGACAGCACTAGTACAACTAAAACACAATTAGATTCATTTATAAAAACCAGAGTCAAAACTCTTTAAATCTTTCAAATATAGCGTTGGCACGCACAAACGAGACAAGATAAAGTGGCGTTGGAAGTTAAAGGACGACTTTTTACTGGAAATTTACGAAGTCAAAAGAGAAAGTGAGGGTGACCTGACATGGATCGTACATGCCAAAGCTGTGGTTTATTATAAAACACAGTCACAGTCTCAGTGATGCTGCATACTGGTTTCAATGGGGGTCGCCATCCCAACCCAAAATCTCGTTCACAGGTCATTTGTTTGGTAGAGGTGAGGTTGTGAGGATCATGCAGGGTCGTCCTGGGCCAGATGTGATAAATCTCTGAAGCACTGATGGAAACGCTGATTTAAAGGGATATTCTGGCGTAAATTTAAGTTTGGGTCAAACACATTGTAACACCTGCTCGCTTCTCTAGTTATACCAACTTTGGTAACGACCGTAGGATAGTAACACACAGCGGTCTGAGGAGCCATAAACAAACCTCAACCTAAACGCCACTCTATAGCCACAAATAACGCTCAGAACAGCACCTAACTTCATCAACAGGACATATAGAGACCAAGCCATAGTACTAGCCACCAAACATCTTTTTAACTTTGCCTGGTTTGTTTAGCAAAGAGACTAAACACAACTCACCTACTGTCTTCCAGCAGCCACTTGTTTGTGAAAAGTGACCCTGATAAGTCGATTATTGAGTGCAGCGGATCATTTCGGTAGTTCGTCTGCCTAAGCGTCTCGGTCTGATTGCATTTCCATAAAGTAATGATCATAAATGTTCTTCCTTCAGCTGTGAAACTCCGCTGCACTCAGTGATCAACTCATCACGGCTCCCCCTACAAACATGCGGCTGCTGGAGGAGAGTGGGTGAGATGTGTTTAGTCTCTTTGCTAAAGAAACCAGGCAAAGCTTAAAAGATGTTTGATGGCTAGTACTATGGCTGGTATAAGTTGGTATAAATAGAGAAGCAAGCAGTCAGCAACAGTCATCTCTTGAGGGGGTGTCTAACTTGGTGTTACAGTGTCTTTGACCATAACTTATATTTATGCCTGAATATCCTTTTAAGCTAACTAAGGATGAAAAAAGAAAAAACTGAGGGTGGCCGAGGAGGCACTTTGGCAAGCTGACTAAAGAAGGAACCAAAACAAATCAACTCATGATGATAAAAGTAAACACAAAGCATGAAGTCAGATGTAATTCACAAACGGAGGAACAACATGTTGATCTGGGGCAACAACACGTGTGTTTTGTAAAAATATCACAATCACATCTGTTAAGACTTTTAACAACTTTTAGTCTTGGCCTTCGGAGTAAAACGACTTTCATACCGCAGGAAAATCTGACAAAATAATCTTTAAAACTAAAAAAAAATCTGGACTCTGCTTCTTTTTTGAAACAAGAGTCTTAGAGTTTGAACCTCGTATTAAAAATAGGTAAACTTCACCTAAAGAGCGTGCAGATTACACGCTTAAAAAGTGAAAACATCAGACAACAGCCCTGCAGGAGTTCACAACCGGCTTAAGTAATGTCTGTAATATTTAGAGGCTTCCAGAAATGCTTTTGCAAACAATAATTTCCCTCTCTTTGCACTCACACACTCACGGACGAGGACTTGATAAGCCTAAGTGCTCGACTCTCTTCCATATTCGATTAAATAACAAGATTTACACACAAAGACAGCAGCCTCACAAGAAGACTAGAGGAATTTACAATGGAGACACACACACACTCACACACAAAAACACACACACACACCCAGAGTCATAAAGTCCATCTGCTGTCTGAGAGGTCAGCAAAGTGAGAAAGCAGACGGTGGCAGAAGAGAGCTTGCAAAAGTGAGATTATAAACATGAGAGGTTATTATCAGAGAGGAAAAACAGCACCATGAGGAAGAGGAGGAGGAGGAGGAGGAGGAGGGTCGAGTCGTATTATTTCATAACTTCAGGGACGTTCGAGGTCTGAATCAGGCTGACTAGGCTGAAAACACCATCAGCTAATGTGATCAGAGAAGTCAACCGGGGATTTTGAAATTCACTCGGCTGAAATCCTGTAAAGTGACCTGATGGTAAAACCTTTAATCCCCCTGACGTCTTCAGCTCCCAGAGAACGACAGAGGAGAAACAAAAGAGAGAGAGAGAGAGAGAGAGAGAGAGAGAAGACTTTCACGCTCACACACCTTGCGTTTCTTCTTGCGGCGCTGAGTGGAAATCTTCCTCGGCTTGGCGTGCGCTTTGCTGACGGTAGAGCCCATGAAGTCCAAGTGAATGACACACACTCACACACACTCTCACACACTCTCTCTCTCTCTCACACACACTTCTGACAACGTGCTCCTCTCTCTTGTTATGAAGTCTTTCCTCCTTCACACTCTCTCTCTCTCTGCCCTCCCACTGGATCTCTCTCTCTCTCTCTCTCTCTCTCTCTCTCTCTCTCTCTCTGTGCTCGCTCAACCCTCCTCCTGCTCTCTACCTGTTCACCACTGAGCTCCCTGTCCTCCCTTGTCTCCTCCTCCCTTGTCTCCTCCTCCTCCTCCTGTCTGGGTACTGTATGATTAGAGGAATGCGAGTTATTTCTTCGCCCTCTCTCCCCTCGTGTCTTTATTCTTATCTCGGTGGTTTACGAACAGAACTGGTGGATCTGGATTGAACTCCGTCTGTCTTCACTCAAACGCTTACCTAACCTTGAAAATTTTCACCTGTAAACCATTTAAACTTTATGTAACCTGAAACACACTGCCTTTACCTTGAATCTACGGTGGCCCCTGAGGTGCAAATCATAACAGCAAAACAGAAAACACATCCATAATTAGAAATCACAACAACAAAGCAGAAAACTGAAAAAAACAGCAAAAGAGAAAACAACAAATAAGAAAACACATTTGTTGATTTGCCATTGTTTTCTCTTTTTGTTGTTGTGTTTTCTTTTTTTGTTGTTGTGTTTTCACTATTTTTGTTTTTTTGTGTTTTCTCTATTTTTGTTTTTTGTTTTGATATGTTTGCTCTTTTTGTGTTGTGTTTTCTGATTTGTTGTGTTTTCTTTTTTGTTGTTGCATCTTCTCTTTTTGTTGATTAGTTTTCTGTTCTGTTGTTGTTTTCTCTTTTGTTGTGTTTTTGCTTTTTGTGTTTTCTGTTGTTGTTTTCTCTTTTTGTGATGTTTTCACTTTTGTCATTTTGTTTTCTGTTTGGTTGTCTTTCCTACATTGTGTTTTCTTTACTCTTTATGTGTTTTCTGTTTTGTTCTTGTATCTTTGTTGTTGTTGTTGTGTTTTCTCTTTTGTTTTTTTTGTGTTGTTTTTTTTGTGTTGTTTTTTCTGATTTGCTGTTGTGTTTTCTGGTTTCTTTTTTTTTGTTGGTTTTTTTTGCTGTTTTGGTGTGTTTCCTCTTCTGTGTTTTTTTTCCTTTTTATGTTTTTTTTTTTTTGTTGTGTTTTCTCATTTGCTGTTTTGATTTGCACCTCAGGGGCCACCGTATTAATCAGGTCAAACAAACTTTACCCAATAACGGTGACTTTGTAAAATATCTTGATAACCCATTTTAAATCAAATTAAGACCCAGTAATAACAATCCCTATTATGAGATAAGCATACGGGGGTAGCTAATCAGACTGATGTCGCCATAGCAACACTGGCGGGTTGATTTCAGCGCACAAAAAAGATGAACTCTTTTAAAAGTGCAGCTTTTTTACTGTTGATGCCGTGGGCAGCCATCTTGGATCCTGATCTGACTCGTAGGGGTTTTCCAGGTGATGAATTTTAAATTTCGAGAGCGAATGAAACACATCACAGTTACAGGGCGCAGCAGATTCACACGTACAGGATCTAGATGAACCCGAGGACGCATGTCAATGAGTTTTCTTCAGAGTGATTTTACCTCAAACTGACGATGACTGAACAACCTTTCTTTGAGGTCAAAAGCTTTTTTTTTTAAAATACGCAACCAAAAATGTTGTAAATCAAAAAGGAGTTACATTGACGGACAAATCTGCTCAAAAACAAACAGCTGACTTTTAAAAAAGAAACTCATCACTGTGTAGAAGTTTCTTGTTTTTGGTTGTTGAATCTTCTGCCCCCCTTGAGGCATTTATACGACACATTCACAGACAAAGAAGTCGGAGTGAAAAGAACAAACCAGCACCAATTAGTCAAATGAAATTTGAGGAAAACCCCACCCAGACCAAAACCACTACCCTCTGAGTGAAACCAAACAGCCCCCATTCCCCCCTCTTGCTCTGCATCAAGTGTGCAGTTTATTTTCACCGCTCACCTTTAAAGTGTGCAGCGCAGATTAGATAACTTTGGCATTCATGCTTCGGATAAAACACACAAACATTATCTGAGAGGCAGGAGTCAAAGAGCTCCAGGGCCAAATCTGCAGCTGCTGCATTCCTACACCCCTCCCTCCGCCCCTCTTCTCTATCCATCCCTCCCCCTTTACAGCACGCCATCAGTCTAATCAATAACCAGGCGAGCGAGCTGGCTCCAGCTCTGTTAACCCCTGGGCGCTCTCTCTCTCTCTCTCTCTCTCAGGTGGTCCGAAACACCGCAGAAAAATGGCATTTATGGAAACCCACAAAACTATTCTTATCGAGGACAGCACAGGGAGTTATGTAACGGTCACACACACTCACCGCCGTAGGTGTGTGAAGTTTTTACTGCTGATAACAGGTTGTACTAAAGATAAAGAGCTGCTTTCACTCAGAGAGAGACACACACACAGGCCGGTACGCTTCAGAAATAGTCTAAAAGAGCATAAACTATCTGAAATCACTGGCAACTTACACCAGTAATCTGTCTGAGGGGATACTTGTTCTTGATAGATGGTTTTCTCCTCGCAGGGAAGTTAAAAAACAGAAATGTTTCTGCCTGGAGTATGTTTCCTTAGATTTCAGTACACATTTTCATCTGGATAAGATATTTAAAGCACAAAATACTGTTTTTATCTGTGACTTCTGTAGTTTGTGGCTTTGATTGTGACCAAGAAAGAATAAATCTGTAAGGAATACAAATTTAAGGGCCTGTGTCCATTGATGATTGTTGTTTTATTTTTGTTAAGCGGGGGCATCGTGTACACCGGCGCTGTTACAGGGTTGTGAAAAATGTTCTGCAGCATTTCCACTTCCCTTTTCAGAGATTATTTAGTCTTTTAAGGTTGTTCTGCATGCTTTAAATTCGCTCTTATTCGAGGAAATTTTACCAAGAAAACCAAAAAACATTGGACCCCTTTATGATTCTGAAGTGACAAAGGCTATTCAGTTAAAAGCAGCAACAAAAAACAGTTGATACTTAGACTGATTTCACATTTTTTAGGACACCAAATGATGAAAAGACTGAACTGATTTGGTTTTGCATGAAAATGGGCAATAAACGCCCCAAAAACTGCTGTCAGTGGACACAGGCCCTAAAAGAGTTTAAGAGAGTTATTTAAGCCTTAAGCATTGATCGAATACTAAAACACTGAACGGACAAAAGGAGGGAAATGCAGAAAATATAATCAATTTGTTTCAATTTTCTCTCAAATAAAATGTGCTTATATTTAAATATATATATTTTATAATAATATATGATTTTGGTCTGTATTCTCGACCTTTATTCACATTTCTTTTTATTTTTATTTTAGTTTATTTTATCAGAGGGCATTAAAGGAAAGCAGCCAATGACAGTTTATTCATTTGTGAGAAGACCTATTTTGCCAGATTTATTTCACTTTTCATGATTTTGTTTTGTCATGTTTTTGCTTGCTGAAAAAAAAGAGCCTTAAATTTGTAGTAACTATGAAAAAGGGACATTTCCCGCTTTTTAATAATCTTAAACTTTTTACATAAATTATAATTTATGACCCTCAGTTCGGAAACAATTAGACAATTTATGGTAGATTAGTTTCATGGTACACAATGTATCGTAAGATATAAATAACTTTTGTAGTTTAAGTAGATTTTGGAAGAAAAGCTTAAGTGAAACTACAGAAGAAGATTAGGGCCACTAGAAAAGAAAAAAAAAGGATCCAATATTTTTTTTATTATTATAATAATAAAGTCAGAATTTTGACTTTGATTTAGCATTCTTTTTTTTTTTAATATTACATTTTTTATTTAAATTAAAAAGTGCAAATAAGGTAAATAATTTTTGCTAAATTTTTAAATCAACAATAGTGCTGAAAAAAAGATACAAACAATATAAAAATAATAATAATAATGATAATAATAATATATTTTTTTATTTTAATACATATAAAAAAACTGATATAAAACCTTTTTCTTTCTCAGTGGCCCTAATATTCTTCCGTATGGAACAGAAAGAAGACCCAAAGGCCAGAGATCAAATTTGCGTAAATGCATCTCATCAGTGTTGGCGAACAAGAATAAAAGACTAAAGCTCAGAGTGATGACAGATCTATTTTAAGTGTTAATTCACACACAGAGTAAAAACTCTAATGAGGTTTCACATGAGGTGGTTAAGGAGTTTCCTCTTTAACGATCACTCTTGTGGCTCCAGTGATGTGTCAGCTGTGTGTTTAGCTTCGACTCTGCAAAGAGAAAATCACTCGTCCCTCTAATCACAGAGCAAACATTTACCGAGCAGCCTCTAACATCCGGGAGGTCCGTGATTGACGCATCCTGGTGTCTGAACGAACCAATCAGAGACGGCTTAACCTGCGGTTAACCGGCCCACAGCGGGATTAACCGTCTTCAAGTCTTATGAAACCAGACGGAGACTCACAGAGGAGAATAACACCGTCATGTTTTATCAGGACACGAGAGAGAGAGAGAGAGAGAGAGAGAGAGAGAGAGAGAGAGAGAGCAAGAGAAGGAGAGAGAGAGAGAGAGAGAACGGGAAGCAAGATAAGGAGATAGAGAGAGATAGAGAGAGAGAGAGAGAGAGAGAGAGAGCGGAGAGAGAAAGAGAGTAATAGAGATAGAGAGAGAGAGAGAGAGAGAGAGAGAGAGAGAGAGAGAGAGAGAGAGAGAGAGAGAGAGAGAGAGAGAGAGAGAGAGAGAGAGAGAGAGAGAGAGATAGAGAGAGAGATTGAGAGAGAGAGAGTTAGAGAGATAGAGAAAGAGAGGAGAGAGAGAGAGATAGAGAGAGGGAAAAGAGAGAGAGAGCAATAGAGAGAGAAAGAGAGAGAGGGGAAAAGAGTGATACAGAGAAGAGAGTGAGAGAGAGAGGAAGAGAGAGAGAGAGAGAGAGAGAGAGAGAGAGAGAAAGTTGGCCGTTAACTTTTAGTTGCTTTTTCCATTTCTGCTTAATTCAATTTAGTTAATATATCAAAAATGGAAAAAAGGAGGAAAAAATGTCTTTGGGGATTTAAGTTTGGTTGAGATGATGAAAATAAATCTTTTTAATACCAGAGCCAGGAATGAGGTAAATAATAATTAGATGACTTTTATTTTTGTCATATTTGACCTGATTTTCTGAAATAAACCTAAAATCAAACTTAATTTGTGTTTTTTAAATCTCTCTTGCTGCATGGAGTCGAATTTGATCTTACATTTGGACGTTTTATTTTCATTTGTATAAACGGAGTTGACTTTAGAGAAAGAAAATATATATATACCATGAAGAAAAGCACCATGAGAGAGCTGCTGAGCCTGACAAAAACCCGTGAGATCTGCCTGCAGGAGCAAACATGCACAAAAATCACACCCTGTTCAAATGTCTTTCACCTCTTTTTGAGGGTAAAGTTATGATCCTGAATACTAAGCAGGCCCTCCATCACGATCACACCCTCATCTCTACGTTTCCAGCCATCATCTCCTCTTCTACTTGTTGTTGTTTTTGAAGGCAGCTGCTGCTCAGTCAGACGAGCCTCTCCCTGCTGCCTCATCACCTCCTCTAACAAACATCCATTAAAACTCCACTCCTCCTCTTCAAGAATCTCACCCAGCCTCTTAAAACGAAACACCACCTTATCACCAACGACAACAGCACAGAGGCTTTAATTACCGGCTTTGTTTTATTTCGCCAAAGGGGAAGGAGGAAGGGAGGGAGGGTGTGCAGATAACTGTTTCCCCTCATTCAGCCCCTTCAAGCTGCTCTCCACCAGAACATGCTAACATGTTCGAACACATCTCAGCTTTTCATGTGGAGGAAAACGACCCTTCAGCACAAAGTAATCCCCCATATTTACCAGAGACAGGAGAATTGTTCAGGGAGACTGGATGGTGACTCTCAGGCTGCGTCAAACTAATCTCAAATAAAAGCAGGAGGTTTCAAAAACTCATGGTTTTACTTGGTGCTTTATTGTTATATTTATTACTTTTTGGACCCAAGTTTCTTTTTACTTAAGTAATTTTAACACCACCAGTTCAAGTATTTTGGGATCTTGTTCCCGAGTGAGGGTAGGATGGAGCGGGAGATCGACAGGCGGATCAGAGCGGCATCAGCAGTGATGCGGACGCTCAACCGATCTGTCGTAGTGAAGAAAGAGCTTTCGATTTACCGGTCGATCTACGTGCCGACCCTCACTTATGGTCATGAACTTTGGGTAATGACCGAAAGAACAAGATGGTGGATACAAGCGGCCAAAATGGGTTTCCTCCGCAGGGTGTCCGGGCTCAGCCTTAGAGATAGGGTAAAGAGCTCGGACACTTGGGAGTCACTCAGAGTAGAGCCGCCGCTCCTCCACGTCGAGAGGAGTCAGCTGAGGTGGCTTGGGACGTGCCTTCTGGACGCCTCCAGTTGGAGGTGTTCCGGGCATGTCCCACTGGGAGGAGACCTCGTGGCCGGCCCAGGACCAGGTGGAGGGATTATATCTCTCACCTGACCTGGGATCTTTTTAAGACATTTTTTTGTTTGTTTTTTAAGTCATAGAAAGTCGAGGATATGACGTTTTCTCGTGACTCTTGTTATTTAATTTTTGTGAGCTGACAGTAACCATGGAAACGGTGCTGTACCTCAGTGAAGAGATGCTGGATGACTGTGGCCAGAGCCTCCACCCTCTTGTTCCCCTGGACCAGCAGCTTCCTCAGCTGGTTGATGGCCTGGTTCTTCTTCTCCGCCTGCTCTTTGCACTGGTTCGGTCTGGTCTGCGCCGTCCCATCTGACACAACAGCGGCCCCAACTGAGACCGGCTTTGATGCGGTCTGTAGGCGGGATCCGGTTCTGGGGCTGGATCGTGTCGCTGTTCTGGCTTTGAGCCCAGGACCAGAGGGTCCTGTAGGTCCTGACCCAGTGTTGGTGGTGTCGGGGGCTGGAACTGGTGTCACTGGTGCAGCATTAGCATTCACCACGTCTGGAGCCTGAAAATGGAAAACAACAGGTGAGACTAAAGTTCAGCTCGTGTGAAGAAACCGCACTTTTTAAAACCTAGTTCCTGCAGGCACAATACACATACACAAGATCACTGTGCATGAATGCAACTTATGAAAGGCATGGAAAAACATCAGCTGTTAAATGTCTGCACAGCTAAGATTTGATCCATTCAAACTTTCAGGGGAGCCCTTACGAGTCGATCACCGAGTGCAGCGGATCATTTCCATGAAGTAATGATCATAAATGTTCTTCCTTTAGCTGCGAAACTCCGCTGCACTCAGTGATCGACTCGTCAGAGCTCCCCCCACAAACAAGCGGCTGCTGGAGGAGAGTAGGTGAGTTGTGTTTAGTCTCTTTGCTAAAGAAATCAGGCAAAGCTAAAAAGATGTTTGATGGCTGGTGGTATGGTTAGGTGCTGTTCTGAGTATCATTTGTGGCGTTTTGGTTGAGGTTGGCGCGTGGAGACATAGACCGCTGTGTATTGCTGTCATGCGGTCGTTACTGAAGTCGGTATAACTAGAGAAGCAAGTGGTCAACAACATTCATCTCTCGAGGAAGTGTCTAACTCGGTTTTACGGTGTGTTTGACCCCAACTTAAATTTGCGCCGGAATATCCCTTTAAGTTTCACTGAGTTAATTCATGCCACCGTCAAATCACATTGTAGCACATTAACTGGTGCTTTAGTTGTACTGTAATGCATCAGTATTGATGTATGATTAATATCGATGTTTTAAATCATGGCTAATGTATTGAGATGTGTATCATAACAACCTCACACCACATATGCATCACTTTACCGGATAGAAATGATCTGCAGGGAGGAGAAGTTTTGTTTTTACATTTTTACATTTGTAGTATTTGCAGTATTTTAGTTAATCAGTCATCACAGTAGTTTAAGTCCACTTAGTTCAAACAATCCTATAGAAAGCAGAGACTGAACATGTAGAGCCTATAGCCTGTATTTTTGAACCAATTACACATTCAGAGAGTAAATATAAAAAGTAAATCATTCACTTTTATAAGTTTCAAAAACAGCTTTGACATCCACTTTTTTAAAAACCAAAAGTGAATTTATATCGGTATTATAAGAGCTGAAATAGAAGTGAAGAAGAAGAAGTGAAATAGTAAGTCTATGAGCTGCATAGACTTACAGACTGAACCTCTCCACTCCTTTGAGCTGAAAAGACTTCCTGTAAAGAGTCTGACAGTGACTTTAAATTTCCTTTTAAATATTATTAGTAAAAACAAGTCACTTCTTTAGACCTAAAACTGGGTCCTTCACTGATAACTCCTAATGTTTCACCCGCATGACTGAATCTCAGAACATAGAAGAAGAAGAAGAATAAAGGGCATACCAGGTCAGGTGGAGGCTGCTGCTGCTGCTGCTGCTGCTGCTGGTTCTGGTTGGTTCCTCCCGCCGGTGGTCCTTGTACTGCTGCTGCTCCCTGTGAGCTGCTGCTGCTGCTGCTGGTGTTGGCGGGTCTCGCCGGAGCCTCCCTGGGTTTGTTTTTGTCCACTGCAAGAGAACGGCGAGCTCTTAGTCGGCGGGCAGTGGGTACGACATTCAACATGGTGTCCACACACACACTCACTCATCCTCTGATTAAAAAAAAGGAACCACACACACACGGGTGTCAATCAAAACTGAGAGTAAACAAACAAACAAACAAACAAACAAGAACACCGGCACATGACACACAAACAACCTCTCTCATCTGGTAAACGAGAACACGCCCTGCTGACTGTTGGAGACTGATGCATCATGGGACTGCGTGGTAATGATGGCCAGTGTGTGCATGCGCAAGTGTGTGAATGTGTGTGTGTGATGGGCCCTGAGTGTGCATTAAGGAGTGCATTACCAGACACAAAGCAATTAGAGAGAGAGATCAGCACACATCTCCTGTCTCCTCCTCTGCTCTACTTTCCTTCACTCCTTCTTTCCTCGTAAATCATCTCATCTCTCTCATCTCTCTCTCTCTTCCATCTTTTTATTGGTTGTCCGTCATCTTAACAGCATTCAGCATCACCCTCTGACTGGAAATAAACCTCACTGCATGTCCTTTCTTCGGTTGATTACAGCCCTAGAATGGATCACCCTCTCTGCAAAACCTGCAGCAAAAAATGCTGCAACTCAAGGGTCAACATCTCAAACTTGATGCAGCATCTTATTTGAGATTTTTGTCAAGAGAGAAAAGAGGTACAGCTTCATCCACTCTGACCCAGAACGTAAAAACACTGCACAGTCAGAAATCAAAGATATGACAGATTTCAGATCAACTAAATTCACTCTTCAGCTCATGTGGAGTCTACAGGACATCTGACAGGTGAAGGTTTTTTTGTGCAGATGTGAAGTCACTGGGCCAGTAAATGTGTGCACCCTGCAGCGCCGAGAGAGAGGTGATGTTATGTGGAGTCTGAAGTTCTCAAAGAGGAAAAAGGTCGTACTTCTCAGAGGGGGATTTCATTTGGCTTCAGTGATTTTTCTTTAATAGTTTGTGCACAATGCTGGTGTCACCTTAAAGTTGATGCATATTTGACTCATGCTGAGAAGAGGGCAGGTTAACATGTGAGTACTGACTGCAACTTGAATGCACCAGAGATTACCTTGAAAATGCATTCATTATATAAAATTTCAAACACATAAGCCTCATGATTAAACTTATGACCAAATTTCTGCTATTTTTGTAAAGAAACCTGAAAAAATGTGAGGCTAAATAAGGCTAAAATCTAAAATTTGAGCTTCATTTCAATTTGAGATTTATCACTGACATGCTGTGAATAGACTTTGGAGATGTTAAAGAGAATTTCATCAAACAAAATTCCACGAATTTACATTTTTAATGGAGAGAAAAAGTGTTTGGATCAAGTTTGAAACAGCTTTAGCTCCAATTTGAGCCTGAATTTCAAAGTATTACAAATCTATAAGCAAAATTTCAGTCAGCTTCATGAGCTGTGTGTCTGTGTGTGGTTCAGGAAGGTCAGTACAGTCCTGAGGGTTGCTGCCACACTAAGAGACACTGCCCCCTGCTGGCAACCAGTGAGCAGGGCATGCAGGAGAATATCAGTGTGTGTTGTTGGAGAAAGGTTGAACATAATTAGAAACGATCAGACTGCTGTGCACTTCAGCAGGAGAGTGATTAGGTGGAGAGACACCAATCAGCTGATGTGACATTAGAGCATCAAAGGAGTTTGAGGCTGTCAATCACAGAGTCGCTTTTCATTAATGAGGCGACTGAAGACAGAAACAAACATCCTGATCAGTCTATAGAAAGGGAAACACAACTGAGAGACTCTTTATTTTTAATATTAATGTTTAAATGTTAGTTCATTATACCAGTTTAATTGTTAATCGGCATATTTTCCCCCCAAAAAAGGTTAAATCCTGCTTATTTTTACAATCAAATACACTGCTCATTGAGAATATTTGCTCTGATACCTGCCAAAACCCCCTAGAGGTGGTTCCAGGGATCAAAAATTGCAGGGACTGAAACATTTTGGGAGTTTTTTTTTCTTGTTTGCTTTTGGAGATCATGAAGACATGAAAAAGGCTGATGCCATAGCACACATTGAAAATGTCTGTGTGTGTGTGTGTGTGTGAGTACAGGTGACACTGTTTAGTACCTGGAGTCTGCAGGGGAGCCATGCAGAGCTGCTGAGCCCAGACTGAGAGAGAAACGACACTGTTAGCATGCAGAGCACCAAACAGGACCAGGACCAGACAGGTAAGTGTGTCATGAGGGTTCGAGTTAAGATGGACGACATTAGACATGATAACACAGAGAGTCCTGATCTAAAGACTCAATCAGTGACATTTACAGCCAACTTCTGACATGTTGGAATATTGTCACAGCTCTTAGTTTTTGAGACTGTTTTTGATTCAGTGTTATCATTGTCGTGTAAACCATCTTATTCGTACTTGTACCATCTCATGATCACTCTGTAGGTCCCTCCGTCTGCTGTTTTCAACCAGAAAAACGTCTACCACAGCGAGGGGCAGAGAGGGAGGATAACAAAGGTCAGGACACAGAGGAGTGGGGGCTGAGACAGACGAAATATGATGTACTCCAGCTCTGAAACTGAAACTGCCAATGACGGGAATATTTTGTTTTTAGAAGATGTTGCAACAATAAAAGCACCAGAGTGAAGATGCTTACTGACAGGCCTACACACCCCAGCAAGTTGGGTGGTCAAATATGATCAACTATCACACACAGAGAAGAAGAAACTCGGCTGTAACACAGTCCTCAAGTTTTACCATCAAATTATTTTGGTCACTTTTAAAGTCGTCATCACAATGAAGCTCAACATCCATCCATCTATCTTCAGCTGCTTATCTGAGGTCAGCATTCTGAGCAGAGAAGCCCAGACTTCGACATATGTCGCGTTCACACCAGCCTTGTTTGGTCCGGTTGAACTGAACGCTGGAGCGTTTACCTCCTTGGTGCGGTTCATTTTGGTCGGTGTGAACGCTGGCCTCAAACTCTGGTGCGGACCAGTCAACTGCTCTCAGGTTCTCCTAGTCGGGGTGGTCTCAGACCGTTTTTAAGTGAACTCTAGAGCGGTTTACTTCTGGTCTGAACCCTATTCGCACCAATCACAGGAAGCACGCCTCGGAAAAACATTGAGGTCGGCTCTCATTATATTCTTCTGTAACATGACCGTCCGATCGCAGAGCATCTCCTGCGACATTATGTATTACTATGGTATGGTAATTGCTGAGGTTGTAATTAAAAATGCAAGCTGTCAGCAACATTCACCTCTTCAGGGGGAGTCTAACTGGGTGTTAAGGTGTGTTTGACCATGACTTAAATTTACACCGGAATATCCCTTTACGATCCTGCTTCTGACCTTCAAAACCATCCATAACCTCGCCCCTCGACCTTTCAGACCTCCTCTCACACTCTCAGGTCCTCTTCCTCTCTCTACCTCACTGTCTCATCTGGCCATTTGACCACCATGAGCTCCGGAACCACCATAACATCGACTCTCTCTATCGTCGAATTCCGTCTTGAAACTCATCTTTTCAAACTGACTGATTCAGTCGACGTCCGCTATTTCATTCAATGTTTGAAGTTATTTTGTGGACTATTTATTTATGTCTCGTTTTAACCTCCTCTTGTAAGGCACCTACAAATAAAATGTATTATTATGATTATTTATGCTTAATTTAATAAATTAAAGTGACATTATTCGGCAGAGTCTATTTTTGTCGTTCATTTTTATTCATATCTTTCAAATATTGAACTTGTACTGTCTCGACTCCTCGGTCTACATTCCTCTAAAACCCTCAGGCCTGTTGGGTCCCAGTCAGCTCCTATTATGTTTCCGGGGTTGCAGACATCAGGCTTCATTAAATGAAGAAGTGTTGTGGGTCCATCTTTAATAAGCTCCCTCATTAACCCCGACGTCTCCTCAGGAACTGAAACCTGTGGTCTCACTGCACGGCTGCGACCAGCCGACTGAATTAAACACCGCCTACTGGGAGGCAGATTAACGCCGGATTACCTCGTCTGTATTTGTGTTTGCAGGACGAAAAAGTGTGCCAGCACGGTGACATGAGCAGGGACACGCACGCAGACACTCTGCAGGTCGTCTAAGCTCATTGATCGTCTTTATCTGCTGTTTTCAGATTACCGAGGCGGACAGGAATATAAATTAATCCAGCGAGGGAGACTACAGCAGAGGGTTTGGTTACTCGCCATGATTTAAATTCAGATCTGACTTTGCAGAACTGGACTTTTTCCCAGAGCTTCAATCTGGTTCTGATAAATCAATCACGCCAGGTTTAGCAGCCAGCTGGAAGACTTTCTCAAAGATTATGAAACACTCAGCTGCTCTCCGAGTCCAAAACAAGTTTTAATTATGGGATAATGACGTAAAGTGGATCAAAAAGATTTTATCCCTTATATTTTATCTTTTCATATTGTTTTCTTTTCTTTGGTATCATTAGAATCTAAGAAATCTGCTGTTCTGTTTCATTTTTTTAAGCTGATGCTAAAAACTGCAGATCCCTGATTGTCCACTAGAGGCGGGCTGCAGAAACACCAGAAACAATAAAACCAGTTTTTAGAGCAAAAATGAACAAGTTAACAGGCTGGTAAAAAAATCGGCTTGGCTCAGTAAATGTTTTTGTAACACATTTGTTTTAAGATAATAAACTAAGCAGATTGGTGAATCAGAGGCACAGCTGACTTGACTGACAGGCGGGAACACTGGAGCTATTTGTGAGGAGGCTAACGACCGTCTATTTGGCTAAAGCCGTCCTATTTGTGTAGGTACGACTGTAGTCTGGTTGAGTCAGCCTTAATAATACGGTGTCTGGTAGACACAAATGAGTGACGTCAACATCGACTTAGTATCTTTTTTTACAAGTTGTTCATAGTATATACAGTCTATGGTCCGAGCATATTATTCCAGGTCAGGGTCACCCATTTCGTCGATCGCGATCAACTGGGTGATTGCAAAGGTATACGTATGGCATTAAAACAAACTATACGCCAGCCTATCATCCGTCCCCATGATAAATTTGTCACTTGATTGACGTACAGGGCGGATGTCATCTGACCTTTTCTGACACATGCGGCACTGCGCGTGCACATATAACAGCTCTAAGTGCTGCAAAACTCTAGCGAGTAAGAAAGGAGATAAAAAAGAGTGAAGGAGCTGAACCAAGTAAGAAGCCAAAAATCTACCACTTCTGTATGGAGTGGGAGGAGGACTTTTTTTTTCCACTATGTCATTTTCGAAGTGCGTTTGCTTCATCTGTTAGTCAACCATCGCTATACCGAAGAAGGGAAATGTGGAGCAGCATTTTCGGACTGTTCATAAACACTACGACCCCGAGTTCCCTCCGAAAAGCATTTTTATAGTCTGTAGATCATTTTCACTCGGTCATTTAATAAGTAGCTCTCATGCTAAAAAGTGTGTGCACCACTGTTCTAGGTTGTTTGTTCTGTATCATATTGTGTAATCCTCTTTAATGGTTTTAATCAGACTGATTTGAATCTTCTTGTGTCCTGCTCTATCAAACTGCATCATCTTTATGGTTTATTGCAATGATTCATATTGTATTGTATCTCTTTGCATCCTCTCTTTTTATATTTCATTATTTGTTATATATTGTTATAATCATCCTTATACCAGATAAGACGGCAGTGATTGTAGATTCCAACACAATGAGGGTTATCTAATCATCTCAAGTTGACCTACATTTAGAGGAGAAACACAGCTGCTGCTCCAAAGCCACCAAAACTGTAAAAAGAGTTCACTGTTTGTGTTTGAACATGCAAACACAAAACTCAACCTCCTTTATCCATCTGCAGAACAACAACAAAACACACAACAGTGATGCTCCACAGCTGCAGGGCTGACTGAATAAAGACGCACCGATTCAGGAGGTTCGATAGAAACCATCATCAGCAGAGTCTTGACTGTTCTAGTTTTATAAACATTTACTAAAACATCCAAAAACACAAACACACACTCCATCAGGTACAAAGAGATTTTCATCGTCTGTACCCTGAAGATGCAGCTTTCACATCACTGTCTCCATGGAAACAGGAGAGAAGAGCGTGTCCGTGTTCACAAGAGTATACGTCCAATATTTGAGCCGTTTACATGCAAACTAGACCGTCCTGTCACCTAGCAACAACCTTCACCTGTCTGACATCCATGTTTAACATGAGGAAGAGGGGGGATGATATCAGCTGTATGATTTCAGGAAGCAGAAACTGACGACACAGTTTCTCTCTCTGCTCCTGTAGATTATATGTATCGTGGTTTTAATTCCCTCTCTAGGTTTCATCTCTCTCTTTTGAGTCTGAAGCGGATAAATTAGATTAAAGTCCATCTGATGCATCTCACTGTCTCCCTTTCTGCTCTCACGTTCTGTATATTATTCATGTGTGTCAAACAGCACAGTTAACCATCACTAATCTATCTTGAAATCTGTCTGGTTCCTGGCGCTGTTAAGGTTTTATAAGATCTTTCAACTCCCTGTGGAAACTCACTCATTTGCATTTTATTTTCGGCCACACTCAAAGTTTCGCCACAAATTGACCCGACAGTCTGAAGGAACCCGGGAGCTCTGTATGACCTTATGAATGGGTAACAGTGACTGCAGCAGTGCAGAGGGTCTAACCACACGGTTAATGACTTTAAAACTACAGAGCTGCAAAACCACAGAAGAAGACTTTGAGTGGTTATCTCTGGAGAGGTGAGCCAAACCGATTCAGCTGCATGGACAGAAACTAAAGAGTCAAAGAGGACATGGGGAGTTAAAATAGAAAGCTCTAGTCTATACTCCAAATTAAGACAAGGCTGAACAACCGCTGAGACATTAATGCACAAATAATTTCCACCATTTTAACCGCGACCTCTTTTGGAGTGAAAAATGAACAGAGTCGAAATGAGGTTTGTAGATCAGACTCTCCAGATGTGGATGAAAAAAAATAAACAGCACATGTCTGTCCTTGATCCACACAGAGAACATCTCTACCTCGTTTCACAAATATTAAGAGCATCCCGCAGCCCAGAAGTACTGGAATATTCCTGCAGAGCCAACCTCTAATGCCTTCATCATCTGCAGGAGGAAAACAGAAACCTCCACTTCAGATTAAAGCTTGCACGAGTGGCCAGCCTCAGCTGAACCGCTGCGCAGCGTGCATGAGTCTGTGAGTGTGTGTGTGTGGACGTGCACATGTGGTGACTAAAGCCTGCTGTAACCTATATTTCAGAGCGATGGCAGGCAGCAGCAGGGAAGTGGGTCTGTGGAGCTCAGACAGCGAAAACACGCTGCAGCCAAACACGTGCTGCTCGGCTCAGATGGGCCGGCGGGGAAACAACCAGAACAACATGACAGCAGAGTGAGTGTGCAGGCGGAGCTGAACCAAACAACATGACAGCAGCACTGAATCTGTGACCTTTTTATCAGGCCTTAAAGGAATAGTTCCTTTTTTCATATACGGGTGCATGATGCCCTCCCCAAACGCTTGTGTCAGAGGTCAGCATCAGACACCATCCGTACAGAACCAGGAGGTTTTTATTTGTCAAAGTGAGGTGCAAAAATAACAAAATTCACACTAAATCAGTTTGCTGGGTGAAAGTCGAGGCTGATAATCTTACCAAGAGACACAAGCACAGCGCTCCCAGCTCTGTTTCTAGGGCTGTAACCACCAAAAGAAATTCTTGGTCAACTAAAACCCTAAAATTTTTGACCAAATATTGACTCATCGGGAGGGGGATTTCCGACTCTGACTTGGCTGGGTGAAAATATACTGACAATATACTGAGACAGGCTGTTAGTTCTGAAACTGGGGTGCTCTGAAAACATCCCCATTAGCACTCGGTATGTTCCTCCAGATGAAATTAACCATAGATTGTAAATTGACATGGAAAAAAAATCAAGTCGACCAGTCAGAATTTCGGTTGGCTCAGCACGTATTGACCAATAAGTCGGACGGACGACTCGGACTTTACAGCCCTACAAAATTCACACTAAATCAGTTTGCTGGGTGAAAGTCAAGGTTGACCATCTTACCAAGAGACACAAGCACGGCACTCCCAGCTCTGTGAGGAAATCTCATCTCTTCTTTCCACCTAATGGCAAAACACTAATTTGTAAACGTTTCTATTTGAGTCCATCTCTTTAACCGGTTCTCCAAGCACACACAAACTAGCATCAACTTCACAGTCTAAGACCACGTTTACATCTGCCCATCTATTTTCATAAACGGACATTTCACCCTCTCCGTTTACAAAAGAAACTGCATGCACATCACTACGTTTTCAGAAAAGTTTTCGTTTACACTAACCCGTGTATATATGCTGTCAAGAGCATGCCAAACCTGTAGGTGGCAGTGTAGCGAAAAGCTCGAGCCCACATAAGCCAATCAGAATCCCAACAACGTCTTGTCAACTTGTATTTGCAAATGCTAACAAATACGAAGGGATTGCACCAGCATGAATGTGACTGCTATTCTGCATGCATCCATGATCACCATAGATTGTAAACAAAGACTTTAGATCGTAAACGTCGCATTTAACCCAGTTTCCGGCGCGCAATCTGCTGTCAGCTACCAAACTAATTTTTTCTCTGTTTACATGCAAACAGAGATTTCCAAAATCTCCACTCTGGCTGGAGTTTTTTAAAAGCATCATTTTCAGGGGCGAACTCTCCATTTGCATCTAAACGAAGAGTGCAAATGATGGTTAATGTCTCAGTTTTTAAAAATAATATGTATAAACGGGGCCCGATTCCGTGATCAGCGTGGCATTAATAACATGATTCTACTGAGAAACAGCAGAGTGATGTTACATCCAGAATTAGACAGCTGCATAAAAAATTAATAAGCAGGGGTACATGTTTTTGAGCAGCAATCGAATGAGATAAACAGCCTGTGGAGCATGACCTGATTTGTGATTTTGCTGCTGAACATGAGCGAGCACGCTGAGAGAGACTTTAAAAGGATCATCTGATTTGTCAGAAATGATGAAGGAATTAGAGAGTCATTTAGCCGAGACACATGTAAGTAATTAATGCCAAAGAGTAAAAGCCCAGAGGCCTGATGAAGCTGGCAAACACACGAGTCAGAACAAATATCACGCTAAGGGAGATCTATATTCATCTTCTCTGCTAAAACATAAACAAAGTTCATCTCTGCGGGGTCTCGCTTTCACAGCTGCTCCTGCTTCATCGCTTTCACATGAACGTCCCACATGTGAATATTTGACATCCTGATCAGAGCGCTGATGTTTGTTTGGATGATGTTTGTGACTTACAGTAAGCCTCTGACACAAAAACCCTGAAGTGGATTTTCTAATGAGTTTCCAGCTCTGGTTTACTGCCTTCATTTGTGTCACTGTGACCCCACAGAGCGAATTCAGCTCTTTAACACAGACACAGAAAGTTATTCTCAGGGAGTTGTCTCCATCCTTCGTAGGGTGTTTTCACACCTGAATGTCCAAACCAAAGTCTGTGTTTTTGTTACACTGTCTACATTTAGTTTGGTCTGTTTAGATTTCACACTGTCATTATTGCCAATGGACGAACAGATATCGTCATCAACTACGTGCTTTACATTGATTGGTCATTAGGCTGGCAGGTGTCTGGCGTCAACATGTTGAAAAGCGCGGGTCTTGAATGGTGTAAACATGGATGAAATGGTCATTCCCACCATCATACTACTTTTGATTTTCTACCTCTTGAAGAGCCGTACATGAGTCTGGTCCGAGGAAGTCTCATGAATTTGATTATTAGACGACAACTTGACGTCATCGACAGGAAAGGAAAAGAAAGTATGTAATCCTGCGACTCATTGAAACACCAGCTTGGGAGAAAAGTATGTGCAGTAAAACTCTTGAAACGATAACCTGTCAATGGTGAAGTTTAACTTTATCTACAATATAAAATTTCCTGTCATTGGACCTTCTTCATTCAACATAATAACAGGTACTTCTACTCCTTGTATCATTTCCTATCTTTGGTACGAACCTTTCAAAATAATGCTTTCACACCGGACATGAATCAGACCGTGGTTCGGTTTGGTCCGGAACAAAACCACCTTTTTTTGGTCAGACCAAGGTCTGGCTTTTTGGTCCGGACTAAGGTAAGGTCCCGGGGAGGTTTCACACCCATCAGTTTAGTTCAGACCAAACAGAAAAGTCAGAAAGTCCAGACCAAACAAAGTAGGTGTGAAATCCCGCTTACACTCATGTTTAAAATCTTCCCTCCTTCTTACAGAGTCATGATGCACATAAATAAACTTGACTACAAAGTACAGCCAGCTACTAGTACTCCCTAGTTCAGTTTTCGCAACACGTACCTCCAAGTTTGGACACAAAAGATCTAGACTTGTGTTCATTGAGTTCTGCAGGTTTTCACATTGACTAATAGAGCTATAAATATAGATATGGATGATCATTGCAGACTCGGTCCATCAGCTTGTCTGTAAAACTCTCTGCCTTGTTGGCTCTCCCATGATCCCCTGTGCACACTGCACCTCATTTTTTTGAGATTGCGCACAGTTGATGCACCAAACCAACGCTGGTGATGTGTGGCAGCCATCATGGATTTGTAGATTTACCCAGTTAACAGCAAATATATCTACAGTCTGGAATAGAAGAATGCTGCTTCTCTACTGCAGGTACCTGGATGGTTTGCTAAAAAAGATCTGACTTAAAAAGATAAAAAGTAGAAATAAAAAAATGGTGCATGTGTAAACGCAAACCTTATGTGGCCTTTAACTCAAAGACAGCCGCCGTTCTGGATGATTTCTCCTCCTGCGCACTCTATCCTCAGCTAAACCGAGCACATCTGACACAGAAAACCCCTCGCTGCGCAGTGCATGTGTAACAGAAAGCCTCTGAAAATATCACAGCTGATGTCCTGAATTGATCTAGAAAATCTCAGGAGCTCATGTGCAGTAGAGACTTCAGATTTGAGAAAACACTTTCCCGTCAGGATTCACGCTCCACATGAGAAAGTACACAATGTACACGACGAGCTACATGGCGGAGCGTGAGCAGAAGTGTCAGAATTAAGTACACACAGAGTGTGTTGTTGGTTTGGCAGACTGACCCCAATGACATCATCTGTTTCACTGTTTTTCCCTTTCACAATAAAACGCCTCGCAGCGTAAACAGCAAACATTCAGAGGAGCCCTGTGGATGTCTGAAGCAGCTCTTTGAGTCTAAAGAAATCAAATCCATTAACGCAGAGGTCTGCCGTGTTCCTCAGAAGCTTTTTACACACAGCCCTTCAATGGTTGGATAAATAAAAGCCAGATGCGTCCTCGGCTATTTCTGGTCTGTGTTTCTGTGTGTGAGTGAGTCACGTGATCGTTGCCCCCCTTAAGGCGTGGGTATCAGGGCTGCGAGGGAGCCTGCAGCCTCGGCGATTCATCACGCCACCGCTCAAGCACTCGTGCAGAAAGCCCGGCACAAATGCAAACACACACACACACACAGACTCGTGTACACACATTAAAACAACTCTATTGTAAACTGGTATGTGCACAGTGGCTGCGGTTTGCACAATACTGAAAGCCCCCACAGTGGAGAAAGAGACGGAGGCAACAATGGCTGCCAGAGCCGAGCAGGGAAACAGGAGGAGGAGGAGGAGGAGGAGGAGGAGGAGGAGGAGGAGGAGGAGGTGTGAGAAAGTGAAGAGGCCTTTGAGGCTGATCTGGAGTCAGTCTTGGCATCCCTTTACGAAGGATGGGGTCAAAAATCTGATTGACACACTTGATTCAAAAAGGGGACCACACCCATCAGAGCAAGTTTAAGATTTTAGAAAGAAGAAAAGTGACACAGATTTGATTTTTTTGTGCTAAAAATAACAAAAAAAATTAAGATTTTTAAATTCTGTAGAGGCAGATCGAGACACGAGGTAAAGCCTGGATGATCTTGTGCTAAAACTCAACTTGTGATGCCACCTTAGATAATTTATAAGACATAAAATAGGACGTAATCATGACAAATTTACTGATCTATTAGAGAGGTTTCTAACAGAATAAGGTCTCTCCTGTGTTTGGGTGTGGTTTAACCCCACCCTGCCACGTGTTTCTATGGAGGACGAGGGACGGTGGCGGATCAGCGTCAGGCCTGCGGGGACGATTTTACTTCAAAATGAAAGAGGATGATGATGGTGGATGATCAGAGGTGATGGTTGGTGTAAACACGAACTAAAACTTCAAATGAAAAAGTTTAAAGACAAATGTGAGGAGAAGGTGATGATCGGGGAGGGGGGACACAGAGTTTTTGGGAAACATCCAGACCTGCGTGGAACACCATTGTGTTCTTCCTGCATCCCGACAGCAGCTGCAGATTTCGGAAAAGTCCTTTTGCCGTCAGCTTCACATGGAAGTTGGACAGCGAAAGTCTGGGAGACCATAACATCGTCTCAGTCGGTAATCCAAAGCTTGAAAACTTAACTTTGGTTCGAGTCAAACTCTAATTTCAGCTCTTATTCTGCTCCTCTTGGGCGGCAGGACACGCTGACCCAGTTTCACTTCTCTTGGTCAAAACTCTCAGCGGTGCCAATCTCACACTCTCACAGGGTTATTGTACAAAAATGAAACACAATCCTTGCTTCAAATCTCTCTAAGAGATAAAACTGTTCCTCCTTTCTTAAATACAAAAACAAGTCAAAAACATTCCCGAGAAAAATAACTTAAAGGTTGTCGGAATTTCTGCCTCAATCATCCACAAAGAAATCATCTAAAAAGAGAGAAAAGCAGGAGGTTTTAAATCCTGAATTAATCCAGTGTTTGCTCAACAGTGGGGAAAAAAACAACAACAAAAAGGAAGGGGAGTCCGTGAATCTGTTTGCCGCCTTTCACCGAGAGTGCAAAACAAAAAACTGAAAGCGAGCTGGTTTCTGCTGCACAGCCAATAGATGGAGGAGAGAAAATGGCGCCAAAAAAGCTGCGTGCTCCACCGTTGTCCAGGTGGTTGTGAATCATCCAACGATGAAGATGGAGGGAAATGAGAGAGAGGTCGCACCGCGAGGAACGGAGGGAGGGAGGAGAGAAAATCCTCGTCGCTGCTGCTGCTGATCAGCCCTCCCTCTCAGAGGTGTGTGTGTGTGTGTGTGTGTGTGTGTAGCGTCACACAAACCCACAAAGACGAGCATTTACACTCTGCCTGTGTGTCGCTGCTGTTTGTGAAGCCGTGTGCACCCTGCATACACACACACACACACACACACTCATGCAGGAGGGAGGGATGCTGCAGGGGGAAGAAGAGGAGGTGGGGGAGGAGGAGATGGGGTGGGATCTGAATAATCCCCCTCACCCCCTCCCCTTCTTTCCTTCCCTCGCTCAGCCTCTCTCCATCATCATGTCCTCTGCTTTCTCGCTCGCCCGTTTTCTCCAAGACAAGGAGAGAGAGAGAGTCAGGGATGATTCATGTCAAGGTATGATGTGATGAAGAGGAAATACTGGGAAGGTGGGCGGAGTCTCACCCTCGCATAAACACACACATACATTCAGTATTCAAGCAAGTCCACATAATTTGACATCAGTGTGCTCCCTCATTCAAAATAAAGCCATAGTATAAAGGGGATTCACTTTATACTGAAGTAAATTAGATTATTAAAGAATTACAACGGAGTATTAGGACATTACTAACGAGAATAAAGTCGTAATAAAATCGTTATGATACTGATGATAAGTGGTGCTGATGTGTTGTTTCAGCTCGGCTCACCACGACAGTTTCATGAGCTCTTCTGTCTCACAACTTTGATTTCTTCAGATGTCACATGGCCAATTAAGTAGGGATGCACCGATCCGATATTTGATATCGGTATCAGTCCTGATACTGAAGAAAATTCTAGATAGGGTATCGTGACAATGGGCTCATTGCATAAGGGCCGATCTATTCAGTCTAACTCTATGTTATGCGCCGTGAGTGGCATCCACAAGTAAACTCGCTGAACGGATGACCACATTATTTTTAAATAGAGTGAGCAAAGGGGTCTGCTATCTTAAAACTTTATCACAATACCTCTGCCTACAAGCTCGACGGCCACTTGGGGGCGCCGGTCAAACTTCAGGTTACAAGAAAAGGTAATTCAGCACAGCTTTTCTGGATCGGCATTGGATCAGTATTGGCCGATACTAAACTGTAGATATCTGTATTGGAGGTATAAAAAGCGGATCGGTGCATCCCTACAATTAAGCACCAAAAAAGTCAGGATTTATGAATGAATGAATGAATGAATGATTTATTTTGAACATGCAATAAAGAAAACAGAGAACTCAATTAACATAAAGCTTTATAACAATTATCATGACACATTATAATACCTGACCTTGTAAAAGTCATGATAAAATGCTTCATAATGTGTTATGATTATTGCTATAAAGCATTATGATTATTTATGAGTGTTTATAACCATAGTTAAACAGTGCTGTAACATGATTATAAACTATGAAACATACTTATCATGTGTTATAGAGAAAGGCGTCAAGTGCACATACTGTTGCACTCTCTCTCAGTGCACCATCATATTAATACATTTAAAATTAATGTGTTGGATCATACCATCTTGAACCAAAGACGTGTGTGTTGTTTTACAAGGTATTGGCAAACAAAGACTTCAAGAGTTGGCTTGGTCTTGAGCTGGAGTGGCTCCTCCTGATTTATTTTGACTGCATGTTTTGCACAGAGCAAAGTAAAGTTCATGTAAAAATAGGCTTTAACTGTCAAAATCATAAAATAACACAGCAGTCAATAAAGCTATGTCCTAAAATCAGACTGAAATATGGGCTTTAAACTCGAGTTAAATTGAATCTATAGCACATAAATAGTGAGTTTGAGTTTACATGACTATGCACGGGTAATCAAACTAGAGTCCTGTGTGTGTCTGTGTGTATTAAAGTGGATGTTAAATAGAGACAGAGTTAAAGAAAGCCACAGTGAGTGTTAAAAGCCCTCACTGCTAACCGCTGTCGCCTGAGGGCTGCTGCGGTGTGCGAATGACAGAGAGAGTTGCATGAATCAAATGCATGTGCGAGACGTCTCGTGTGTGGCACATGTGTGTGTCTGTGTGGTGGTGACAGTATGTCTGTGTGTGGTGGTTCCCCATACGAACTCCTTTATGGTTTTGTCGCTGAGGGGAGGCAGAAAGGCACCCGGGGGCCCAAACCAGAATCACAACACAGGAGGGAAAAACTCCTGTACACAGCCTGGTTTCATGTCCACAATAGCATTGAGACACTTTCACCTGACTATATAATCACATCCATGGTGCATTGATTGGCTTAATTTCCAACAGCTCCAGTAAAAAGTTAAGGTTGTAATAATTCAACCAGTTAAAAAAAACAAGTGTTTATAATTGTAACTTAAGTGTTTGAATCCTCTACAGGATTTTAAACGAAAACACTCGAAAACACTCTGAAATTCAAAGAACATCCTCTATATGTGTGTGTGTGTGTGTGTGTGTGTGTGTGTGTGTGTGTGTGTGTGTGTGTGTGTGTGTGTGTGTGTGTGTCTAATGAGCAGTGGAATAATTACAGAGAGGCTGCAGAGGGATGATAATTATGTTTGCTGAAGCTCGCAGGGTAAGAGCTTCAGTCGGTGAGTTTAAATATGTGTGTTTGAGGGCGTGTGAGTGTGCGGCTGCTGCGCAATAAATGCTCAACTGTCTGCATAATGGAATGATATAATATCCATAATTACATTTTTACACAACACAAACACTAGGATGCACTGAAGATAACACACACGAGACAGCAGGTGACACCTGGTCTTGTTTGAAAGTCTAGCAGAGGAATTACTGATATTCTCCAGAGTAGGATACACTTGGTGTCGAAAAAACTTAAAAAATCACAGAAGTACTTTGACTTTGAGCTACTGCTTTTGAGTTCAGCATACAGGTGCACCATAAATCTATGAATCATGGTTTCAAACCACACAGGAGTAACAGTGCAGCGTTGATCAAAATGATCAAACTAAGAGTCAAGATTATAAAGTCTGTTTCATTCCATCAATTGTCCCTCATTGAATACTGATTGCTTTGGTTTCAGGGTTCCTATACAGTTGGAATTTCCACACTTTTCCATACCCTACTTTTTAGAATTACTTTAGGAAATACTTTTTTATTTTATAACAGTATTTTAGAAATGTAGTAATAGTCTGGAAACATAAATATTTTCCCACTTTACTTTTCATTTTCCATACTTTTTAAGACCTGGAATTTGATCAAATTTATTTCCTTACTTTTCCATACTCGAGTAGGAACCCTGTAGGAACTGTAAAATAGCTTTGCATGAATAAAACAGACTCGATTACAGTTTCAAATGTCACACAAATGGGATCGTGTACATGCGTCTGAAAATGCAAGTTGTGATTTACCAATTAACTTGGGTAATAAACTGCAATTCCAAAAACAGCCCGTCTTTAAAACAATAATCCAAAACGTTTGTTCAGTTTTTGACTCTAAGCTACACAGTTGGCCTCAGATCAACTCCATGGGCGTCAAGGATTTTCAGCATCTTTCCTCCTGCTCTCCCTGCTACAGGCTTTAACAGGGCAGGGAGGAGGACATGTTTGTCAGGTGGTTGTGAGGATGAGGAATGTTTAAGAGTGAGATCAGGACAGCGTCTTGCCAGTTTGAACAGGCTCACAGGCGTCGCCACATCAATCAAACTCTAACCGGCGGATTTGTGGTTTGGTTATTGCATAACAGATCGAGAAAATTCCTGCGATCAAAACTGTCGAAACTATCCTTCACCTGCTCAAAATATTTCAACCTGAGGAACCACAAATACTTTCATAAGAGTCGCATCATTTTAATGCTCGCGTATCATAAAACTGCGCAGGGTTTGATGCTTTCAGTTCTTCATTTTCCACAGAGTATTGTTCCCCAAAAATGCTTCATAAAAACAAAAACACGAGGAGCTGAGATTTAAGACGTTCCCACACACTTCAAAGCTCACAAATCAAACACACTCGCTGTAATAACTCTGGATGTTTGCCATCGAAGCCGCTGCCAAAACTCCTGGGATTACTGCGGTTTGGAGAACGCCGCCACACCTGCACACAAACACCTCTCCTCACAAACACGCACAGGTGACATTCACCCGTTTATTTACCTGTGCTGTTCATCCGACTGAGCCTCGCTGAGCCACTTCTTTGCAGGGGATTCTGGGACGCTTGCTTGGCGAGCCCCTGACCGGCTGCGGGAGGCGTCTTTGCCGCGGTTTGATTGGCGGCGGCTGTCTTTGCTGTAATGTGGTTGGTGACTGACGGGGCTTTCAGACCTGGGGAGAGGACGCAGAGGGCGTTCAGGGCATTCAAACAGAGTGTCCAACATGCGTGTTCAAAAACCAACCATCTAAACAGGTCATGTGACTCCTGGATGAGAAAATAAAGAGCTGTAAATTATCACTTAAACAAGAAAATACATGGGCTACATAAGGATATTCGTGTCCCACCTGTAGCAGGGTTCCTGGCCTGCAGAGACAGAGCTCTGGTCCTCATGATAGGAGGTTTCGGAGCTGCGGTGACTCCACCGTTTGCACTGGGAGCTGCGTCCCCTGCAGTACCGGCGCTGGTGGAAACGAGGGGCTTTGCGGCGCTCTGGTTACCCACAGGAAGAGTGCTCCTGCTGGGCCGATCCTCTGGCTTGGTCCCTGTTGGAGCTCCTGGAGGAAAAGGAAAAAAAAAAAAGGAAACAGAGGAGAAGTTAAAATTCAGATCAAGTTTTATACAGATGGAAAAGAGGAAGTTTGAAGAGGTTCTACATCGTGACCGCCTGCTGAGTTTGGCTGGATGTTTTTTAAACGGCTCTCCAGTTCATAAAAAGTGAAAATCTGCCCTCCTGAGTGTCTTCCTGTTAAGAAAATGTAAAAACCTGCCCTCTGGGTGCAACAAGATATCATTTTGGTAATCCAACCTTGTTATAAATCAATGTTTGGTTGACAGTAAGGTTCATGAATCAAGTTTAATACTTAGTAAAGTCTCTAGCATTTAATTAACAATAGACCACCCAGCTTTAAAAAGCACCACGAGGAAAACAACAAATCAAAGCCAAATCTTACTACAGTGAGAACTTTACTCAGTGTTTTTCTGTTACAGGATTAAATTTCAACCAGAAAATGTTGCAGAAATGTTCATCAGGATACAAAAATTAAGTGTTGGATACTAAAATATGCTGGAAGACGAGCTTAGATTCTTCTCCTATTAGTGTTGCTTTAATCATTCGTTGAACCCTTTGCTTTGGGTTACTCACTTACATGACTCCCCATATTATCAACAAGGCTGCAGTACATAAAGGAAAGTTTGTGGATTTTCATGCTCTCAGGTTATTCTGCAAAAATGTAGAGAAAGTGCTCTTTTGGTCGCCTCTGTAGTAAAGAAAAGATCATAAACGCCCTCTTTAGTGGATTTTGCTGGTCTAGTGGAAACGTGTAAAGAAATAAACACGACCGAGCGCCCGCTGTTCGACCCTCCTGGACATTAGGGTCAGTCTTGTTCAAGTTTACATGAAAAGAGCTTGAACAAGTTCATGCTCCAAGTTTCCAGATAAACATGGGAAAATGCGGAAACAAGCAGAAATTAAAGCTCCCACTTTGACCCAAATACAAGGATCAGCTTCGTAAAAGTGACGATTATCATTCTTCGATGTTCGGCGATGTTACATTATTGACGTCTCAGATAAACCCTGACCGATCGTCATCACTCTGAAAGGACCTTTTCTACAAGACACATCATCTTGTACTCTGGATCTTGGCCAGATGTGCTCCTCAACTTTTGCACAGGAAGTGGGCAGAAGTGGGCTCATTCATGCACACACAGACACACACACAGACACACTCTTTCACACAATCACAACACACACACACACTCCTCTCAGGGTGAGCAGAGAGGATCTGACAGTAAATATTCTCCAGCAGACTGTTTTTACAACAGTTTTATGAATTTTTGGGCTCTCAGCGGGATGTTCATGTTGCTTTAGGAAGTGTGTGTGTGCGCAAATGTGTGTGTGTACGTGTGTGTGCTTTTGAGAAACACACAAACCGACTGTGGAAAGAGAAGGAAGTTAAGTCAGCAGCAAAAGGGAAACCACACCAAAGAAAAACCTCCTCTGATGATACTCAGTGTGTGTTTGAGAAAGTGTGTGTGTGTGTGTGTGTGTGTGTGTGTGCGCGTGTGTGTACTGTGTGCAGACACACACTTCCCACTGCCTCACCTCTCGTTGCTCCATTGTTCTCGTTGCTTCCCAGTGACGAGGAGCTGAGGCTTGTGGGTAACCCTTTGACGGGAAGTTTCGACCCGGCGGCAGCAGCGGGTACAGCGGGTCGCCCACCCGACCCCGATGCTGGCTGCTGATTGGCTGTCGGTTTGGAGCTGGATGTTGCGGGACCCTGGGAGGCAGATGCGGCTGCTCGCTCTGCTGCTGTGCGAGGTTTGGGGAGACCTGAGAGAGAAAAGGACGATGATTTACTAAAACACAGAGGGTGTACAGCGAGTCCGTGTCCCACAGAAGTCCACTCTGCTGTAATTATGGAAATGTGAAGTATGACTCTCGTCATTTTTGGGGACTGAATCACACATTCTTCCCTGAAACTGAAGGAGGATGAATCCCTGAGAGCCGTGATGCTGTCCTCTTCACACAAGTGGAGCTGAAGAGTGTGTGCGCCATTGTGTGTGTGTGTGTGTGTGTGTGTGGGCGTCAGGTCAAGTGTGTGAAATAAAGACAAAAAAAACACAGAATAAAGAAACCTCTTTGAATTCAGATAATGTGTGAAATACTGTTTTTGATCCAGAGCCTTCTTTGCACATTTTGTCCTGACTCTCTTCTCGCTCTCAAAGGCCTGAACTGTCATGAGTAGGGGAGACTGGGGACGGTTGCAACACATTTTGTTTTCCTCTGAAATCATTTAGGTATCATTTTTTTAAACTTTGAAACCCGATCTTCTAACGTAGTAAACACCAGCACACATGCTTCAAGTTTGTAAACATAATCTGACCTGCAGCCTGATCTCCAGCTGCTCAGTGGGGGCCCACAGCCGTGCACACAGTCTGTCAAAGGGAGTTTGTTTGTTTGAGGTATGATCCAGGTTTTGTTGAGAAATTTAAAATGCACAGACATTAAGTGTTTTTTCTCTGGCCTTGGAGAGATAAAAGTCTCGAATTGATGGTTCTGGGAGTGATACAAAAGTTATGTCAAAGCGGTGACATTGGCAGGGATCATAAACAGTTGGGCCAACTTAACCCTAAATTTAACCTTTATGAGGTTCTGAAACACATACGCTCACTAAAATAGGACATTCAAAATCACTTGCCTGAATGAAGATCAATTTGACTCCATAAGCGACATTTCAGGTGACATTACAGGCATGTTAACATGGAAATCTGCAGTTTAACAGCACCAACAAGTGCATGAACATGAGCGATCAAGAAGTCCTCTGATTGGGTAAGCATGAAAGCCAAATGTTGCTGTAATAAAGCGATAGCATCAGAATTAATTACAATTTTAAAAACCCTGGTTAACAGTGTGCCATCTTATACAGGACTGGTTACGTCTCCAGTCTGATGCAGACTGAAAGCTGATAGGTCGGTGGTTTGTTTACGTAAAGTTATGAATATTTAATGCATACAGAGTGGACACTGAGAGCCTGATGTTATGTAATGTGACGTAACATGTGGAGACATACGAGCACTTTGTCATGTGTTTGGAGCAGACCTGCAGTTCTTCACCTTTCATCCCTCAGTAGTCAAAGTTTTCGCTGAGATCAGCAATTCAGAGAAATACATCAGAAAAACGCCTCCCTCTGAAAAGGTTGTGTGTATTTTCCTTTTGAGCCTCTCAGATAAAGACAGGAAGAAAAGAGGGAAACACTGCATCCAAAGTTTAGAAGAGCAGCAATTTGTCTTATAAAACAGAGATAAAGATTTCAACCACCAACTATCAGAATAATGTGAGAGTAAAACAGCATGAGCAGAAGGACTACAACTTTTAGAGGAATCTTAAAAACACTTAACTGCTGGAGGCTTTACTTAAAGGTGAAGACTTTGAGACTTAACCTCATGATGCTGTTGGTCAGAACTGCTTATTTAACAATGTATAAGCAAACATTTGGTTTCCTATTTTGTTAAAAAAATGAAAACATGATTGGCTCTAGCCCTCATTAGCCAATCAGAATCCTGCACAGTAGCTACAACAACAACAACGTCACTAACTTCTTTCCGGCACATAATCTAACGTTGGCTTCCCAAATCTCAGTTTTTCTCTGTTTACATGCAAACATGCAAACAGAGTTTTCCAAAATCTCCACTCTGGTCGGAGTTTTTAAAAAGCATCGTTTTCAGGGGCGAATTCTCCGTTTGTGTCTAAATGAAAAGTACAAACGATGGTTAATGTCTCTGTTTTAAAAATTTGTCAGAGAGGTGTTAATTGTACTGAATAATTACTAATGAAGTCATAATCTTTGGCTTTACCTGTCGTGTTTGGGAGTTTTCTAGGAAATCCTTAAAGTTTTATGATGATCCACAGAAACTAGACGGCAAACAAAGTGACACATTGAGGACAAAGCTTGATAAATGGACTGAATGTGGACCAGACACCTCCACATGAATATACAGGTGCAGGCAGTAAATAACAAACGAGAATCTGTAAGTTGGTCTAGGTATTTTTGAGTCTAAATGACAAAAACGAACAAAAAGTTTTTAAATTGTTCAGCAGACAGCTTCAGCCATAAAACAGGCTGTCACAGTACGAGGTATTCCCCCCGGAGCAAATGTGCAAAATGAAGACGGGCTCAGATTTAATTTGAGTGTCAGGAAACACTAAAGAGAGGATGACAACATGAAAAAAAGATCTCCTTGTCGAGGAAATCTGCTGCTTTTTTCTTTCGGTTTTGTTGCAGACACTTTAAATACCAAGCTGAGCCCATCAGAGGTAAAAAAAAGAGACTTTAATTACAAAACATGAAAATACAACACAGGTTTGAAAACACGAGAATGACCCTGATACTAATCGACAATTTTCTCTTTAATTCATGTGTTATTTTCTTTCCAAAAACCTCGCTTATCGCCAGACGTCATTAAAGTTTCAGACTTTCACTCGACTTTCTGCAAACACGAGTTCTGCCGAGCGAAGAGGGGGAGGAGACGGAGAGCACAAAGAGCTGTGAAGAAAAGAGCGCTTGTTGTAAAGAGAGGAAAAAAGTTTTCATGTGTTCGCCGCAATTACATTACCTCACATTAACACACACACACACACACACACACACGCACACACTCGGGGCTCACAGTCCTTGCTGGCAGAGGCAGAGCGGCAGTAAAACTTGTACAGCGACTGAAGCCAGCAGGAAACATCTGGCTCCGCTTGCTCTCAGTTCTGATGAGGAGCCAGCAGCTGGAGTCGCTTACCTTTCGTACAACGTTAGGTAAGAGCCGACTGCCTCGTGCCTGCTGCTGCTGATACACAAAAACACACACTGCTCTCCCTTTAAATGACTGCAGCTCCTCCGTAATCCTGGACTCTAACCTGATTCTGAACCGACATCTGAGTCCAAACAAGCAGCAGCAGCAGCGGGACAAATTCACTTCTCCTCTTTCTCAACAACACCTACAGTGTGGTTTTCTTTCAGCTCTCACTCTGCAGAGGTAAATCTGGTTAACGCTTCCCATCAGCTGAGTCAGAGATCTGAGTCTTCAATCACATGAAAGCACTAACAGGATGGAAATCCTGCCTCTTTATTTCACAACCCCACCAGACTGAGGACACTTTGATAAACTAAGAAGAGAAATGTGACCTGAGATGCTGCATTCACCTCACAAACAACCCGGAGAGCTTTGGGATTATTGCCTCGGATATTTAAATGCTAATAAATCACAAGACTTTTAGAGGACGACTCTCTTCGTGCCCTAAACACCCGACTAGTCTGAGACCAACAATCTGTAAATGAAATTCTGCAGAGTTTGCACATTTGAAACAAGAGTAATAGATTTATGCTCTTGTTGTTTAAATCTTTGGCTTTAATTTGGTTGGAGATTAGAGATGTTGCAACTCTGACAGAGAAATCTCAAAGTTGAAAACAAACCGTGAAATAAATATAAATATAAGAGGTGTTTAAAGACTGATCATTCAGAAAGAAGAAGGCACGCACTCCCAGGGGCTTCTGCAGCACCTCTTTTCTTTTAAATCAAATAAACCTCAGCAGCCATGTTTACATCTGGAAAATTTCTTGATCCGATTAAAAATTCGAGGGATCGGAAAATCTGAATCAGCTGTTTTCAATAAAAATCGAATAATCCGATCATGACGTGTGTTTACATGCTTTATTCAGACATGCGCAGAGATGTCTAAAATGCTAATCTATGTGCTGATCTGTCATTTCTAAACCCTAAGCATAAAAAAATTTGATTTCCCTTTTGTCAACAACAAAAGTCTGTACAGGGCGCTAAGTTTTGTTGGGGTACAACTTTCAGGTTTAGGGCTACAATAAAGTTAAGATTTATTTTTTTAATGCCACTGAATAACAGCAAATAAGAAGTACTCAGGGCATGTATTTATAGCAGACCCAACAGTCATCTCTTGGGCATTTTAAAGAAAATAAGCAGGCTAAAGTTTTAAGCTTGGGAGGATGTTAAAAATGGCTTTCCATGGAAGACTGTTGTTTTAGCTGCATAAATAAAACCACTTAGAAGTTACTAAAATCATCTTAACAGCCACTAATTCTACCCTTTTGTGTTCGTCTTGTTCTCAAGATACTAAGCAGACCTCTTTTGAGAAGTTGCTGGATGACCTAAAAACCAGCCAATGATTTTTCAGGATGACATCGTACTGCAGTGATAGATTCTGCTTTTTAGGTTGTCTCTATACTGGAGTCATCTATCCCAGACGCACGCTTAGCAGTTAACCGATAAAGGAATATTGAACCAGTTACTCAGAGTTTCTGTGCTGACTCCAAACCGACCCGTCAATAATAACCTGGACCGGTCAGAGTGAGGTGAACTCAGGTGACCCGACAGACTGATTTCAGCTGTTTGCAGAAAAATTCAACGTCAGAGAAAAACGGAGAAGGGAAACACTGAGTATGAGGATCAGCGAGCTAGACCTGGGAAAGATCTGTGAGGATGTAATCAAGACTGATTCAACACGCTGAATGTCACACACACACACACACACACACACACACACACACACACACACACACACACACACACACACACACACACACACACACACACACACACTCAAAGGAGTCTTTGATAGCGGGAGGTCAAGAGACGTCCGTTTGTTCCTGCAGATCAGCAGAGAGGACAGACAAGACTTTGTCCAGCAGAATGTGACCTTTATCAGAGGAGGGATCTGGTTTAACACACACACACACACACATTCACACACACACACACACACACACACACACACACACGCACACACGTTTCAACCACACAGACACAATATGCTTAGAAGCCTTTTCCAACATGTAAATGACACTGTACAGTTCAGTCATTCAGAAAAACAACGCTCAAGTTACACACACACAGACACGCACACACACACACACACACCCTCCTATACGTACAGGAGTGGAATTACAGACCACAGGACACCAGACAGGAGACACCATGTTTAAGTTGAGGGTTTTGTCACCAGCGTTAGACTCCATATTTACTAACACACACAATGTGAGGATGGCGGCACGCTGCCCCTCTTCAACAGTCGACACAAAACACTTTCAGAGCAAACACGTATGAAAATGGAAAAACGGGAAACAAACACACACCTGAGATCATCTGATCAAAACAGAGACTGAGAGGTACAGGTGAGAAATCATGTAAAACACGGGTGATCTGATTTCTTGAAGCATTTTAAAAAGTTGAGTATGATCTGAAAAACATTTTAATTACAGTCATGGAACTGTAAGAGCCATGAAAATATATACAAGTAAGTTCAATGACCAGAAAGTCACCTTTTCAGCAAACTTTGCTTCATAAACAAAATCAAGATATTCATCAAATGTATCAGTACTGGGGGGGAGGGGTCCTCTTGTCTTAACACTGCACCACCAAAAGTCTGTGTGTATATATTTATTTGTATATAAATTTTTCATTAAGTTTACTGCATTAATTCCACTATGCTGTTTTTCTTTTGTTTCTTTTAATCTTATTATTTTGGCTTTTTAATCTTTATTTTAAGAGAAACAGCTTGTAACTTTTGTCTTCATCTGAAATGTGAGGTTTTTTTTCCCTTTAAAAGTGTCTAATCTAAAGGCATTTTTCAACATTTTATATCCTCTAAATTTTATATCCTTAGTTTGCCGACTCTGACGACAAACCCTTCTGTGGCGGGGGACGACACAACTCGGCTCGGTGGGGTGAAAATCTACTGACATCAGCACAAAAAGGCAATTAAACACAAATATTATGTTAAGCAAACTACCGGACATTGATTAACATGGACACTCTTCAATCTGCGTGTTGGGCGAATCCAAATAAGGGGGGTGTTCTAAAACAGGCTGTTACCTGTAAAACGGGGGTGCTCTGAAAACACCCGCATTAGCACTTGGCACGTTCCTCCTGATGAAATTAACTATAGACTGTAAATAAACACGACCAATGAATCGACCAATAAGTCGACTGGTCGACTGGGACTTCACAGCCGTACAAACGTGTTGTGTGACCAACACAGAGGTGTGAACATTAACCTGTAAGCAGGACTGGAGGATGGTGGTGCTAGCTCTACTGCTGGTAGCGACACTCAGCAAAACCAACTGGACATTATTTTGCTGTAGACGGTTTTCCAGTGTGCTCAGTTCTGACTGTTTTTCAGGTGTTTTCTTTACTTTTACACAAGTCAGTTTGTCTGTGATTAAATTTACATTAAAAGAATTAAAACTAAGGACGCTCTGAGGTGATTAGTCTCTGAGGAGAGTTTACAGAGATGTTGATACTTCAATCTGCAGTCGGACAACGGAGGCTCATTGGTAATTCTGTAACTGGAGCATCTTAAAAAGTGTGTATTTTAGACGTTATCTAAAGGCGACTTAAGTCTAACGATTTAGCTATTTGATATCCCTTCAATAACAATCTCTGAGGGCATGTTTCGAGGAGTTCCCTGAAGTTTAAACCCCATGAAACATGATGTACTGACAACCCAAAGAAATCAGATCATGATGATGTGAAAGACGAGTGTGTTAGCGCTCGGTTCGATACTGACTGACAGCTCCGACTCTGTCGTTTTTACACTCCAGGTTGTTTTGAAACAGGAAATCCACCGCAAACCGAACTGTTTTCATGTGGTTCAGGAGGGAACTGTTACTCAAGTGTCCTCAAACTTCCTCTGAAGACAAACACGAAAGGTGCGGGGGGTGTAATTACTCTGCAAACACACTAATGAACAAACACACACACACACACACACACACACACACACACACACACACGAACAAACACAAACAAACACACACAGAGTCTGAGAGTCCAGCAGGAGTTTAAATGTCCTGTGGATGTGGACTGAGACTGAATACAGAGAGAAACTAACTCTGCTCTTATGCAACACTGCAGCGAAGACGAGGACACACACACACACACACACACACACACACACACACACATACACACACAGAATTAGACACACACTCACAAACTGAAAGACACACTCTGTTTTGAAGCTCAAGCACACACTGTTGCATGATTTCCACACTTTGTCACACGCAGGGATAGTTGCCGACAGACAGGCATGTAGTGTTACTGAGTGTACGAGAGTGTGTGTGTGTGTGTGTGTGTGTGTTTGAGTGTGTGTTCATGTAAGTGGTGTAGAGGTATGTGGAAGGCATTTTAACTGGCAGCTCTGCAGTGTCAGCCTGCTCATTTCCTGAGTCTGCTGCAGAGACTGAACAGTTCTCTTACACACACACTTGAACACACACAGACACACACACAGACACACACTCCACTCTGCATGCCTGTCTCTGTGTCTGTGTGTGTGTGTGTGTGTGTGTGTGTGTGTGTTTACGTTCAAGTTTCATGAAGTAAACGTGTCCACTCACCCTGGCTCTGATTCTGATTCGGCCTCCGTCTGGTTGGAGATCCTCCCCCGCCGCTCTGTCCTCCCTCCCTCACCGTGGAGCCCTCACCCTGGGTCTGCCTGGTCCCTGGAGGTCCGGTTCCTGTCCCTGGAGGAGCTGAAGCCGGCCCCGTGGTCCCCTTACTCCCCTGCTGCCTGGCGTTGGGCCCCAGCTTGGAGGAGACTTTCTGCAGGAAGAGCTGACGTTTAGTGACAGCGTCCCAGCCCAGGGGCCCCAGCTCGGCGCTGCGCACCGAGACCATGGTGTTAGCCATTCCCCGCTCAGAGTCAGAAATGTGGAATGGGGGAAGCGAGGGAGGCGGTGAAGGAGCAGAGGGGAGGAGTGAGGGAGAGAGACAGAGGGGGAGGAGGAAAAAAGAGAGAGAAGGAAAGAGAGGGAGGAGGGAGGGAGGGAAAATAGGGAGTGTGCTGCAGCTACAAGAGGAGAAAGAAAAAAGTTGCTATTGTGTCGTACATTCCCCCTGAGGATCCCAACTCTGACCGGGCCAATTTTCTCCCCCTCTCTCTCTCTCTCTGCTGCCCCCACCCCCACATGTTCCTCCCCCTCCTCCATAAACACCAGCACACATGGAGAGAGTTTGTGGATGAGGGTCTGGCGTCTAACTCAGACTTCTCAGAGAGAAACTCAGCTGTCACCGCTCGCTCTGTGGAGGTGACAAAGTTCACACAGTCTGGATTGGAGTAGGAGCTCAGATGGGTGCGACTTTGGTGAAGATAGAAGAAGTGATTTGACTTCCTCACTGAAGATAAAGTTTTAAAGTCCAGGCTCACAGAAAAAAAGTAAAAACTGTCGCTCTGCAGGACCTTATTCCTGTCTGAAGCTAACTGAATCACTTATACGTGTTATTCTAGGATTATCGGACTCAAAACTTCTATTCGTATGAATAAAAACAAAAAAATGTGTGATGTGTGGATCGAAAATGTTAAAAACAAAAAATCTTGCTGCCTCTAAAATGCATAAACACATCGCCCATGTGGGTCAGAGTCTGACAGGAGAACTCGGCAGTCTTCCTCTCGTCTGATTTGACATCTTCTTCCTCTTTGATGTGTGTTTGTCCTCGTTCCCCATCCACCTTCACCCACGGCTCATTTTTACAAAAGAGTATTAGGGCCACATTAAGAAAAATAAATTAAGACTTTGAGATTAAAGTCGTAGTAAAATCATTAAGATAGTATCTCCTTGTTTGAGAAACCGATATGGAAGTACATTTTCACAAAATGCTCCTTGGCTCTTATTTCAACAACTGTCATCCTAAACATCAGGTTTTAATATAAGGACTTTATTCTGACTTTATCTTGTTAGTTATGATTTTATTACGACTTTAATCTTATTAGTAATGACTTTATTCTCTTAAATTAAAGACTTTTATCTTGAAGTCTTTAATTTTCTTTCTTAATGTGGCCCTAATACTTATTTTTCATAACTTTAAATTTGTGATTTAAATCTGGATTTTACATTTTTTGTCTGCAACGTCTCTGCCTCTGTGCACTTATTGCATTAACTCTTCTACATCTACTGTCTCTTTTGTTTGTATTTCACACTTTACTCACTTCCCCTCTTTGCTGCTGTTTTTCTTCTCTTTTTGTACCGCAGCTCTGCGGCTCTACGGGGACAAACAACGTTATTTAAATTAAGATTGATTAAATCAAGCTGGCTAAAAGGATCCTGTTTTCTAACCCTATTTTCGGACGTGCATCTCGGTAGATTTCCTCTAAATTCCTAAGTTACATTCCTAATTACTAAAACACTGTCCACAAGTAAAACTACCAGCCTGAAAATCTACTTCAAACTCCAGTGAGGAACTTTTGCACACCGTGGACAGAGCAATGTTTGCTTATCCTGCTGACTTTTGACCGACAAACAAACCATGTATTGAGAATATTTAATGTACAAAATGTCAAAACAGGGTTGTTTCTTCACCCACCCTCCTAACACAAGTTTCAGATCAGCATGAGAATTATTAGTCTGCTCGGTGATGGTCTTGTTTTCTTTCATATGTCATAAATAAGCTTCAATAAACATCAAAAACTCCTCACAGGAGCTTTAAAGAAAAAGTACGTATTAAAAAAGAATTACTTGGAATCATGAGCTTAAAGGACTTGTCTGTGTGACGGGGTTAAAAGTGTGATATGACCCAAGGTAGCTACTGCAGTACAGCCAGCAGGAGGAAAGGATTTCATCGATGCGTCACCTGTTCAGGTGGAGGAAACTGAATATTGATGAATATTGTTTGTTTCTTCCCTTTTTCCTCCCCTGTGTCACCTCTGCCTCAAGTCATAGCCTTACGGTCATGTAAAGTAAGATTTAACCATATACTGTATGTTTCGATTGCACATGTTTGAGTTACAGTACTTGTGTGTGACTAGCAGAATGCACCTGTCTCTCACACACACACAGGGTTCACCTGTGCTGACATAAACCCCCTGAGGCTGCAGGTGAGAGAATACGTCAGGGCAGGTTTGAAAGCCGTCACCGTCTTCCTTGAATCTTTAAAAAACACATACCAGAGACGCACACACTGTACACGGACCGCTCCCTCGTTTAAAAACCCTGTAAAAATCAACCCTGTTTGAGCTCATGCCAGGATAACAATTTTTCTGCGAAGCTGAGAGTCGAAAATAAAACTTGAAAACATCTCTAACAGCCAGGTAATTTAAACTAAAACACACTGGAAACACCTTTGTATGTATGCTGAGTTTTAATCCAATAATGACCGCCTCTCACAGGTTATTATATCATAACTGGCAGGCTCTCATGGGAGACTACACCTCTGTGTTTCACAATAGCCCAGTTGTGTAACCTGAATCTGGAGCCAGAACTGTTCCTGCAGCAGCGCTGGCACACCAACTCAAAATGACTTCATGTTGTTGGTGTCAAAATGTGATCAAAAACACATCCGAGGTGGAGGACTCTTTACCCCACACTGTACAAGAGAAGGGGACACAGCCTTGGAGATGCTCTCAACATGCAGTACTCAAAATGACCAGCAGGGGGCAACTTTATAGTCTTCTATGTAAAAGAAAATACGCTAACTTCTGAGTAGCCGTGTTTACATGTGCAAAATTTCTTGATCCAATTTGAAAATCTGAATACTTGGGTATACATGCACCAAACTTCATTCAGATTTGAAGCTTTTGGACATGTGCAGAGTTGTCTGTCGCACAAAGGTTGAAGGGTCAAAAATAGGTTGAAGTAACAGCTACAGCCCAGCCATCTACTCATCATCCTAGTCAATTTCTAGGTAAACGTCAGCAAGTTAAGGTTGATATAAAAAAAGACTGCTTTGACCACAGAGGGCGCTAAACTGAACTCAAACCAAAAGTTCCTTACAGGAGCTTTAAGTTATTTTGATGTCGATTTTTCCTCTTCCTAAGAGATGCAATAACAACTTCTGTTTTTTTTTTTTTTGTTGTTGTTGGAAACTTTTGATTCTTCTTCTCTAAAGAAAGTTTTGACTATGAAGTGGCGCCCTCTAGTGAATGTATTGTTCAACATCCTTCCCAACATAAACACTTAAAAATTCAAAGCTCCATCTTTTTTATGTTTTTGAGGAAATTTCTTGTCTGATTTCTCAACAGACTCACAGTACTCACTCTGATAATATTCCTCGGTTTCTCTGCTGCAGTCTTTCCGGCCGCCTCCTTCTGGTCCTCCACAGACTCTTTCTCACTCTGGTTTCTCGTTTCCACACCTTCAGTTGATTCATGATTATCAGCCTTCCTGTGAGAGCCTGGAGGTCTGTCTTCAGTCACCTCAGAGCCCAGCGAGCAAGTGGAGTCAGAGAGTTTCCTGCCGATGGACAGACTCTTCTTCTCCGGCCGGGCCGAGTCACTGGATGCCGTTCGGAGGCCGTCGGTTTTCCCTCTGATCGGCCTCAGCACCACAGCCACTCTGACCGGAGACGACCGCTGCTTTTTGTCCACCTCCTCCTTCCTGGGAGCCGCTCTCTTCACATTTGCCGGAGCAGATTTAATTTGCTGATAGAAGAGATGTTATTAAAGGTGAATGACAGAACATGAAGTCACAGGAAATGAGCAAAAGGGTTAAATGTTGCAAGAGAAAAAGAAAATGCAAGTAAAAAATAATTAGGGGTTATTTTGGAGGAACTCATTACCTACAGAAAGAAATGAAATACTCAATAAACTCATCTGGGTTATTAGACAGGAGAATATAAATATAAATATAAAACTTAAGAGTCCTAAAAGTAACAAATAAGGAAGTAAATGAATAGTTAGACTTCATGAGTACAAATTTAAGTATTTTCTTTTGTATTATTCCTCGATTATGTCTGAATAGTGTCGTCAATAAAAAAAGTTTCATCGGGCTTATTAGAGTCTTTTTTCAAGTGACAGTTGTTCTGGTTCATAAACTATGACTCCACATGCTGTGGATAACACTACCTGAAGCTTATAATTAACATAGATAAATCACAGCTTTTTGGTGAATTAATGACTGCAATCTTTTGACGGGTTATCACGTTAAAAACAGAAAGAAGTCCGTAGCGTAGCTCTGATGTTTTGCTGATAACCTGCAGAGCTGTTTAGGCGGCTTTGTGAGCAGAGAAGCATTAAATGACTTCCCGACAGTCATATTCAACAGTCACTTTCTACCTGCAACATAAACTGAGTTCACTTTTTCTGCTGCATCATCATGATTTTTGTTTTTAGGACTAATTAAATTAAATGTAGATCCATAAAAATAGAAGTTTAACGCTGAAAAGTCCTATAGTTTTAGTTTATTTTCATGCCAATGTGCTCTATAATCATCTCTGGAGTAGTAAAATAATTAATGACATCCCTTATTCTTACAAGTAGATTTCACTAGTTTGCATTTTAACTAAATCCGGCTAAATTTCCATGTATTTCTACCTCCATTTTAAATTTACAGCTTATTTACAGATTTTTTTTAACTTTCCCTACCCAAAATTGGATGATTGACAGCTTTGAGGAGTAGAGGAAAGGATAGGAGCAAGGATGCAAACAATAATATACTAACAAAACTGTGATTAAGGAAAGAAATTATCATTTACATGGCTGATTAGACAAACAATTGTTTGCATGCATTAAACTATTGAGAAAATCTTTTTTTCCTATCTAATTTGATCTTTTATCTAATTTTCTGTAATATCTGAGTACCTTGCTGGGTGTTTTCGGTGGTGATGTGTTCAAGCGGGACCCGACTTTAGCCTTGACATTTTTGAGGTCAAGTTTGGAGACTCTTTTGACCTCCTGATTGGCTCCTCTGAGGACCATGGGTGTCCCTGTTTTTGCGTTTGTAGCCACGCTGGTGGGTTTAGCTCTTGCTGTTCTGGCTTGTGGACTGCTGCTTTGTTGTGTTTTTCTGTTGGACATTTCCCGTCTTTCAGCTTCTTCAGGTGGAGGTGGTTTGGCTTCTTTAACAGCTGGAGCTTGGTCCTGAGAGGAGGACGATATCTGAGGGGTTTCGTTCAGGCCCTCTGAGCCAGGAGGATCCACACTGTGAGGAGAGACCCCCTCCGGTTCTTCTGATTTCTCATCTTCAGCTGCAACAGCCTCCTCAGTCTGGAGCTCGACTGAGAGGCTGGTGAGAGTCGTGCTGCTTCTCCGCATGCCGACCTCAGAGCTCACAGAAAGAAACAATCCGTCTTCTTCATCATCATCATCTCCGGGGATTTCTGTCGCATCTGAGTCTGGCGTCGAGGAGCCGTGTTGTCTCTTCTCGCTGCTGTCGCTCATCGTCAGAGTCAAGGCGAGTGTCAGGTTGTCATTCCAGGTGTCATGGTGGGACTCGCCTCCGTTTGCGTCCAGGTAAACTGACACAGAGTTGTCGTTGGATTCTGTCACTTCTACTGCTGTGTGCATCTTTTCGACAGAGACTTCATCGTTGTCCACTCTACCCTCCTCCTCCTCCTCCTCTTCCTCTGGTACCCACTTTGTCACCACGACATCCCCCATTTCCTCCGTTTCGGTCGTCACCGTTGTCACCAGAGTGACCTCGAACATGTCGTAGTCCAGCGGGCTGTCTGTGCGGCCTCCGCTGAGGCTGCTCAGACTCCGCAGGGACTCGGGAGATGACTCCCCCAGGCAGGAGGAGGAAGATGAAGAGGAAGATGAAGAGGATATGGGGAAAGCGTTTCCATTATGGTCACCGGCACTGTGCAGAGGAAGCCTCATGCTGGATCCGGTTTTCCCTCTGACATGGAAACCTTCAGCGGGCTGAGAAACACTCATGGCTGCAACTTTCTACTGAGTGACGACAAAGTTTTGATTTCCCATCAGAATTTTGTTGGTTTCTTGTTGGTTTAGCAATCTCAGATTAAACGCCAGATTTATCCTTTATGTAGTTTTCTGTTTTGTTTTTCTATATCACTGTAAAGATGATTTTTTTTTAGGTGCCTCAGAGTCTCAGCTGATCCGTGTTTTTGTTTTAGAAGCTGAACAAAAGAGTTTCAGGGTTTCCAAAAGGGCTGAAAACCATCACACCCAATCCAGAGCAGGACTACTGTCCAGAAGTGTCCTTCAGGTTCAGGGTCCAGCACTTGAAAACATCTGGAAAATAAAAAGACAAGAAAATTAATTGCAAAAAAAAAAAAAAAGTATAATTCTTTAGAAGTAAGAATTTATTAGATAGCTTTATTTGTTTTGTTTGTTTTTCTTTTCTCTTTTGTTTTTGATCTCGAAAATGTCTGGTAAATTAAAAAAAATTAATTCGGGAATAAAAATAATAATATAATATTTTTTTAGGAATAAAAAAATCATTACATAGCTTTATTTGTCTTTTGTTTTTTTTGATCAAGAAAGCTGAAAAACTGACACTGTCAAGAATCAATTCAAGTCCCAGCATCAGCAAATTTAGATCCATAAAATCTCAATTTTTAATGTCAGATTCCTTTTAAAAAAATTTACATTTAGAGCTTTTTCCTTTAAAAAGAATCATAACCTAAAGTGACACCGACAGAAACATTTGTGCTTTAAAAAAGACGGTTTGTATTGAGTTAAAAATAATAACAGCTGAAATTAAAATCAGCTGCTGATGCTTGTTGTAAAACACTGCAGTGGAAAAAAAAGACAGAGAGACACAATATTAACTGCTGGGATGTCACTTTGTCTCTGACACTGTAATAGTTGAGGTATGCTGCCCCCTGCAGCTCAAAGAAGGAAGTGATTCCTGCCCAGTGCTGGGTGAACCAAAAAGGATGATACAAAAGCTTTTTAAATAAATAAGAAAATGTAAACTGCATAATTTTGATTTTGATGCAGTAATGGGGTAAACTAGAGGAGCATATTAATTCCTGAATCCTCTGGTTGTATCAGTCTCTTGGCCTGTGTTATTTTGACAAGAAGAAGTACATCAGTATCAAACCTCTCACTATGAAGAGGCTAAAAGACCAACTCAGATGGTTTGTCTGTAAAGTCCAGCTCTTGAGGGAACAAATACATGAAACCTGGATCTGAAATACATGATCAATCAGTAACTTTACACATCCAAGACAGTTTTGTTCACTTTTTTGGTTGCACGTTTTCACCTTTGTACTGAGAAACCTCTGCTTTCACCCTGAATGTCTTCAGCTTCTTTAGGGCCAACTCATTTTCAAACTCTTTGTACAAACAACGAGAAACTCAGGTACATTTTTCCTTTTCTCATTCTCATTTTAAGCTGACGAGATGTCGAAACACACAGCCAGAAAAACCACTAAAATACCCCGAATCAAATTCAGTGTCTCAGCTCTGAGGTTGGATGTCTGTCACTGCCTTTCGGTCCAAATAACTGAGATTGATACCTGCTGTCTGTACTTTCTCTCTGTGTTAGTACGTGTATGTGGGTCAGGGACAAAGAGGAAGGAGAGGAGCAGCTAAATAAAGGCGATCAGATCCAGGACGCTGCTCTGGCTCCATTATTTGCTAATGACAGCAGAGCCCATGGGCAGGTAGACAGACCGACAGACAGACCGACAGACAGACAGACAGACAAAGAGCTGAGAAATGAAGGAGTTATGGAAGCTACCAGCTACCGTAGAGGTCAGTGTTTGATGAGCCAATTATCCTGCAAAAAATACCTGATAATTTTCAGTCTATGCAAACAGAAAATAAAGGTCTAAGCCAGTTCACGTGGATCAGCATCGACTCTTTAAAAGCAGCCCTGAAATTTCAGAGAAGACTGACGGTGTTCATGTGACGTCCTGAGGTGAAGGTGGAGAAGGCAGCTGAGCTCGATCAAATATTAACTCTGGTCCTGCAGTCTGTCTGACCTGCAGACTGTGTCGGCCTCACAGTTTGAGAGCAGACAAACAACCAACCTGAGCCACTCCGGTATCAAAAATTCAACAGCTTCACTCGCTCTGTCCCTGCAGAGAAACTCGAGGAAGGTCTGCCTCTCTTCCTGCAAACACACGACAACATTTCATCTTTTTCATGTAGAAAAAAAAGGACGCTTTTATCAGACTCTCTGGGATTTCACTGACTTTTTCTGCAAAGTGTTGGATTGTGCAACAGCAACTTACTATGCAACTATATTTTCTATTGCTTATTTTCTATTTTTCTATTTCTATTATACCAAATCAAACGTGCAATGTTTAAAACTGTAAAATTGTAATATAAAGTTTAGTATGTGCACAAAGTAAAAATTCACAAAAAACCTCTCATCAAAGATTGGATCAGGAATCTGCTGAAAGAGCAGAACTTTGCAGAGCTGTAAAGATACTATGTCAAAACACCCCTCAAGGTTTTAATGATACTCATATTGTCATATTCTAGATACTGATGTAGTGAGTTTGTAAATAAAACAAAATAAGCAGTTTATCATCGGTTTTGTAAAATGCAATGAAATGCATGAAAAATCACACTAAGATCTATTTTCTACATGCCATGTTCTCCAGACCACGATGAGATGTTGGTGCTCATTGGAAAGCAAACACTGACATTGATGCCTCTCCAATAGGCTGTTTTTATTATTTATTATTAGGTGATCTTAGTGAAGTCCAGTACAATCCAAAAAGTCACAGAACAGCGGACAGATACAAAACAGAAGTGAGTGACCTGACCACTTCAAAATGTTGGAGATGTGAGCCGGTCTGTCCAATCACAGAAAATATTCAGTCAGGAAATGAGGTAGCTGCTTCCCTCAGGGGCATTTAAACCGTCCAAACAAAACATCTCAAACTCTCAGCCTGATAAAAAGTCATGAGGAAGAACTCGTCTACCTCTGAGTGAAACAAATTAAACTTCACCAGAGGTCTAGTGGTCGGTGTCTTCAGTAGTAACAACTGAAAGGACAGAAAGAGAGCTTCACTGAGGTGTTAGCATAGCTCGGCATCTTTTCAAGACTCTGACTCTTTGCAAAACATAAGTCCTGATAGCTGCTCTATTGAAACCATAGACTGTATATACTATGGACAACTTGGCTCCAACCTCCGTCATTATATGGATTTGAAGCCAAAAGGGTTTTTTTCTTCATTTACTGAAACCCACATTGCTATGATAATGCTCGACTCAAACAGCGTATATCCCAGTTGAGGTACGCAATCCTTGTACGCCTATAGGCTGTATCAAGTGTCAGTCATAGAAAACATGAACCCCCTAATAACTTTTAAAAACGGAGCTTCACAGAAAAAAAGGACTTGAGCACAAACCAGTCTGACAGTAACTACATGTCAACATCGCAACCAGGGAGAAGAAAAATGTATATTCTGTTTAATTAACTTATAAAGTTTGTCCACAGCTCCATAGGGATTGCTGGAGGAGGCGGGATTTACGACCTATACTGCAGCCCGTCACCAGAGGGTGCTGTTCTCATGGTTGCTTCACCCAGCGAGAAGACAGACGGCGTCCATTCTATATAGAGTCTATGGTTGAAACTGTCTGAAGTTTAAACTCTTAAACTTAGTTTCCTCTTTAGGCAACTAATCATCTGAATATTAATACTTTCTGTCTGTAATTTGTAACTCACAGGAAAGGAAACAACCGAAACCTAAAGTTTCAAAATAAAAGCATGAAAACAATCTTCTAATGAGGCAAAGTCCACCCCAAAGGAGGCCAGGTCACAGGTTTGGTGATAAATCATAAATCTGAGCATCATTAGAAACGGACTGAGATCAGACTTCACTCAGATTTATATTCCCATAAAGAAAAAGACAAATAGAGTAAGAGACTGAACCACTTTACTGTCAAACTAAGGAGCTGACATGAAGCCTTTCCAGCTGAACTGACTCTCTGCGGCAGGAGCTCGTGAGCCACCTTTCACTGACCCAACGTCTCATCACTTCCTGTTACGATCAGCTCGTCTGCTGGCCTGCGGGGCCTCAATGCGCCTAAGCGTCTGAGCGTGTGTGAGTGCGTACGTGAGTCCAAAGTGGATAACAGGGCTAATCCACAAGTTTAATGACTATTGTTGAGCGGTGGGAGCCCCGCTGTGCATTAAGACACGCTTGTCAAGCAGGTTCTGATCAGAGAGGAGAGGAAGAGGAGAAACACGAGGAAGAAGAGAGAGACACGAGCGAACGAAAGATTAAAGAGTCAGAACAAGAGGACGAATAACCTCTTTAAAATGACTTATTAACTCAGCAGCTCATTTAACTAACTCAGAGTATTTTATTCTGCTTTTAACGCTCCATTTAACTGCATCTCTGAATCAAAACACTAAACGCAAAGTAGCTCACAAATCTCACTGTTAAAGGATTAAACTGAAGTAAACTTGATTTAATCTCTATAGAGGATAAAAGTCGAATCTTAAGTTTGTTAAATAAAATACTATTACTCTCCCCTGTTGATTTCCACTCCTCCTCCTTTATGTTTCATTATGTAACAGTAATAAATGGGATCTGCTGCAGCACAGAGAGGTTCGCTGTTTACAAGTGAACTCCGCCTACGTCTTGATCTGTTTATCCTCTCATCCTCTCTGTGTACAACTGTCAGAGCCACACACACACACACACACACACACAAAGTTAACATCGCCATGTGTTGTTCTGCAGACACGCCAGAGGGCTGCCCCGGTGTTCAAAACAAACACCCTTCAGATCCGCAGAGCCATATGAAGTAATGTAACCTCTGCAGGGGGGGTGTGGGGTTGTATAACATCTCGCAGAGGGGGCGATGATTTCAGTGAAAGTCTTACTTCACGGCTTTTTTATGGATTTAAAGGTCAAGCCAGAGATGAGTCGAAACCAGAGAACAGTCGGTCAGTTTCTGATGTGTTCACTCTGAAAGAAACAAAACATCTGAAACTGAACAAAGAGAGACATTACTGCCCAAACAGAGCTAAGACGTTTTTAAGTTTTAAATGGTAATGTTAAGAAAGTTAAAGGGATATTCAAGCGTAAATTTAAGTTATGGTTAAACACACCGTAACACTGAGTTAGACACCCCCTCAAGAGATGAATGTTGCAGACTGCTTGCTTCTCTAGTTATACCAACTTTAATAACAACCGCACGATAGCAATACACAGCAGTCTATAATAAAAGGTAAAAAGGTAGACCGCTGTGTGTTGCTATCGTACGGTCGTTACTAAATTTGGTATAACTAGAGAAGTAAGCAGTCGGCAACATTCATTTCTCGAGAGGATGTGTTTGACCCTAACTTAATTTTACGCCAGAATATCCCTTTAATTTGTTATGATAAGAGACTTAATTTGAACTCTCAAAATTACTAAAAAGAGCCTAAATGCTACAAGAATAAAGCAGTCATGTTAAGACATAATATTAAAGAAAAAAAAGCCATCATGTTATAAGAGTCATGTCTTAATTTGAGTCAACGGTTAACCTATATGTTACTACAGTTGTGAATTGTTTTCCTACCATAAAGGTCCTCTTTTTTCTTCTTCGATCTCAACATCTGCTTTTGTACTTTGGAAACCCTAAACCCACCTGAGACACCCGAGCAGAACTTTCCGGTTTAATTCCCCAACAACAAATTATCCTGTCACCAGTTTCAGCTTGGTACTCTCAGGTTGGCCATCATGACAGAGGTGAAAAAGACTGGAGGGATGCCGCACGAGCGTACTCTTACATGAGTAAACGAAGAGAGAGGGAACTTTCTGCTGAGCACGATGAAAACAGCATGTGATGCAATTCTGCTCATTAGCTAGAGTTGGAAATTCACAACGCATACTGCGATCTTCACATTAAACCACAAAACACCCACAAAGTTCTGCTGCTCTGTACAATCTGTGTTTTGTGTCTAACGGTGGAGATGAACCATTAGCATCTCCTGTATCTGCTGCTTGGAGCTGCACTGTTCATCCTCATGAAGCTCAAAACTGCACACACACACGATGAGCTGGATTGTGAGTTGATGCTCTCTTTTTTAAAGATGTGATGCATATTTTACTGTTTATGCCCCAGCTAGAGCAAAAATAAAGTTTTTTTTAAATAAATCCAGACTGTGGCGCCTACTTGGACCTGAATCTGCAACAACACATCTTTTGTCTTCTGTTATCTCCTCCCTCCCTCTCTTCTCAGACCGTCACTGTGTCCCTCACACTTGTCAATGTCAAACCACTGATGCGACTCTTTGTGATAACACTGAGTGGATATGTTGTGTGTGTGTGTGTGTTAAACCTGAGAGAGGCCGTGCTAGCCAGAGCTGACAGCAGTAAAAGCGATTTGTGCTGACAGTCGCCGCCTTTGTTTTTAACTGGTTATGATAAAACCTGCAGAAGGTTCAGTTAATTAAAGAGTGTACCATCTGCTAATAACATCACCTCATCAATCTAAATGTAAGAACCTTTTCTGGACTCAGTTTATAGAGTTTACAGTCTGCTGTTCTTCCTGCGTTGCTTTGTGACAAAATGAGTCGACTCGTTTTCCCAACCGATGATTTGATCTCCTTTTCGGGGGCAGCCTTGATTTGTTCATCTCTAGTGTCTGTGGATGTGAAGTGACACAGTGACAGTGGGATTTAACTCTGCCTGAGCAAACTGTGTGACCCCAGTTCAGACTTATCAAGTGATGTGGCTTCAATTGTAGCATCGAAGCACGCCAACACTGCAGCCTATGACCACGCTGAGTAAATGTGTACACTTCAAAGCAGGATGGCGTTTACTTTCCTGATATGATGTTAGAGCTGCACGATTTTGGCCAAAAATAAAATCCAGATTTTTTCCTCTGAAAACTCGATTTTCGATTTTTTATTCAGTGACTTCACTTTAATAAGTTTTTCTATCAACCCTCAAATTGAAACCACTGAAAATGATGTACTGCGTATGCCAAGCCAGTAAGTGGCGCTGTAAGGCTGCACAGGAAATGTACAAAAGACAGAAGAAGAGTACAGAGCATGCGAATAACGGTTGTTTTGGCCGGATACGCACAGGCACCATAAAAGAGTTACACTGTGTGTCACATGATCGTTTAAAGAGACGCAGATAGGCAGGCAGTGTGTTATAGGTAGATTATGTCCCATAAAAAAAGTCCAATTAGCAAGTTTGTTTCTATATTTCGCTACTTTTCAGACCCTCCCTCGCAACTTTCTTTTTAATTTTTTTTTTGCCACAAAAAAAAAGCAGCTAGCGAAAAATCTAGGGACTTTTTCTAGAGTTTGGAGGTTTTGGCGGGGCAGGATTTAAATGTTAGACAATTATGCGAATTGACGTCATTCAGTGACGTCTCGGCCAGCCCCTAGCCACTTTCCTCACTAGGCGTTTTTTTTAACACTGTACCTTTTGTCTTAAAATTGGTTTGTATTGCAGTTTATGTTAACGGTTTTGTCTCTTTTTTGTCAAGTTTCTTACAACACTTTCATGAGGGACTACAGATGGAAATGAGAGGTTTGCTAAATGTGGTGCAACCATCCCTTCATTTATTTTTGCTGTATGAACAATAGTTATGTGGCATTGGCACATTGGTTTAACATTCAATACAACACCATAGGTGAGGATATATTGAAATAAGATAATTTGATACAACATGCATTTCAATTTGATGCAATACAAGATTACAGGATTTAAACTATGCATTGTGATATGACAAATGATATGGTGCTTTATGATGTGCTAAGATACAAGACAACACAATGCAAAGCGATATTATACAACACAACCCAACATGGTTCACTCCACTGTTCCCTTTGGGTAATTTGTCCTGGACCAAAGTGCTGCTCACATCAAGCTGCTTTCACAATACTTTCAATAACATACGTCAGCGCTGTGATTTCCTGTCAGAGAACACCAAAATATTTCCAATCTTTTTGGATTTTGAAGAAAATTCTCATGAACTGATTCCAGTCGGTTTGTTTTATTCATGATGTGAAAGAAAGCCTGCAGCTCTGTGCTGAAGGTTTTTGTTACAGCCGGGCGAACGGCCAATCAGGGAGCTTGTTAACAGGCAGGAGGCAGCAGGCTCACCTTTCCCTCCGACACACACTTGGCTGAGAGTCACCGCTGCATCTTTTTACAGCAACACACACAACAACAGCATCACTGAACACACCCACACACACACTCACTCCGGTTATGATAATATGACCACAAGCAGGTTGATAACACACAATGAGAGGGGTGCTAACATTATCCTCTCACTGCATCACACACACAATGGACATCCCCGACACAGAGAAGTGGTTGCTATGGAGATAAACGGACTGCTTAGTCATTCTGAGAGAAGATACTGCCAGTGTGTGTGTGTGTGTGCGTGCGTGTGTGTGTGTGTGTGTGTGGTATGACAACACACTTATGTCACTCTGCCGTCAGGATTTTCACTGCCTACAGACACAGACGATGTGTGCGTGTGTGTTTGTATGTGTGTGTGCATCTGCAGTTTATTCTACTCTGACATAACACAAACACAGTGTACAAGGTCGCATCAGGAGATGTGACACTGCTGACAGTGTGTGTGTGCGAGTGTGTGTGTGAGAGTTAGTATGACGTCAGCCTCCACACACAAGTGGTGATACAAGAGTGAGGGTGGAAGAGAAAGTGATACAGTCATATTCATGTTAGTATGTTATCTAATAACATGAGCAGCAGGGTACCATGTGGGTAAAGCTGCAGCAGACCAGCATCAAGGTGCAGCTCTGAAACTGCAGGAACAGACAGAGCTGTGGCGTCACAGTCCTGCTGAAGAGTGATAATGCTATAGGGAGTGGAGGTGAGGGCGCTGATGGAGCAGGGCCAATCAGAAACTGTTCTGGGTGGATCGAGCTGTTACATAACAAGCTCTCTCTTCCTATACGGATCAATACCTCAATGCATAGCCATGGATGAGGACTCGTGTAAACTGTAGCTTCATTAGCAGTGATGGACTTAAGTGGTGGTTAACGTTTAGTTCCAGTGAGGCAACAATCAAAACACAAAGTACCATTGAAGTTAATAGGAAGCAGAACTAAAGGGGGATTTCAGCATTTTTGTACATTTCAAAATCTATATAAAACATGTATGTAGTCTTAATTACATCTACTATTGATTTCTAAAGAGGAGCCATGTAACTGTAACAAGCTACCAGCAAATAAGAGGTGGAGTTAAAGCCGGTCAAACAGCTACAACACGCACATCTGTCAGTCAAATATGTTACCCCTGAATTATGCCTCATTATGCAGACCCCTTAGCCTCCAAATAATCAAAATAAATACGGTTTTAGTTATCACGAGTTAGGTTTGGATAACTGACTTTTCAAAAAAGGAAAAATATTGATATTGTTCTGAAAATAAGTTTACGGTAATACCTAAAGTGGCCATAAAACAGAGGACAGATAAAGAAGCAGCAGCTGTTATAGAGAGATGAAGCAACTCTCCGAGAGATGATTCTGCACTTTTGCAGACATTAAAAGATTTATTGTGAATCCATAAAACCACATTAGAGCTTCTACCTCTTCCGTTTGCTAATGAATTGAACCGTTTTCATTCTGTCCTGTAATTTACAATCTGCAGGTGAACTTCAAAATAAAAGCATGGTTCGACAATTTAGGATTGAAACCAAGACCGAAAACACACATACCAAAATAAAAGTATTTAAATCTTTTTATGGGGCAGGATCTTCTCCAAATAAATTTCAGTCACAGGGATGTTAATAACTCATAAATTTGAATATTGCTTTATGGATCATGACATTGAAGCCAAGTTTTGTATTAAAACTCTGAAATTGCAATATTTATACCCATGATAATCCTGATGTGAAAATCTGACGCCATGACGGACAAAACTGCAGCCTTTTGAGCATGCATCTGCACATCCTTCTCCTGCAGGTACAATAAAAAGTTCAGTCAGTAAGGCGTATTATTGAGAGGCTGTGGCATTGACCCAATCATCTCCAGGTATATTCCAGTATGTCAGTGATCCCGCTTGATATGTTTCCAGCGATACTGGAGCCAAAAATGAAACCAAAGACCACTACTTTCTGTCCCAAACTAATCTTTTACCGTTGTCACAATCGGCAAATGTTTCCAAGTTAGTGTGCAGACATGATTAATGCAACATAGGGGTGAAAAAAAAACTGCCTCGGTGTGTGAATACCCTAAATCATCAATTAAACCCGAACCCTCCAAGCAGGCAGACCTGTTGCATCTGAATCAAAGGGGACAGGTTAACCTGATCACTTTGTTGTATATACCTTTTAACGCGCCAGCCTGGCTGCACTAGTGTTTGGGGAAGTTGTGCACCAAAACAAGTACTTAAGAAAAATCAAAACACAAGTTTAAACCAGTGGTGACGCCACAGATCAAGTCATGCAGCAGCAGGGAAACAGGCTGTAATAGCTGTGACATTATCAATGGTTGAGTCTCTGACAGGGATCTGTACAGGGATGGACCTTTTTTCTTTTTAATAAGAGTGGAAAAAGAACACAGTTGTTGTTTTATTTTGAAGGATTGCCTCTGATCCCAAAAACCATTTCAACAAAGTGAGATACTGAGGAAATGGTCGACCAGCAGCTTCTGTTTTCTGCCAGGAAAAAGCATTTCTGTCAGGAGTCTGTCGGCCTGAAAGAGATTTTTTTACTTTTTTGGGGTCAATTTCTTAACTTTCAAAAACTTCTTGCTATGTACAGACATTAAGATCATTTTTGGTGGCAAAATGTAAGAATTTCCAGTGGATTAAAGGTTACACTACAGTCATTACAGCCTGTTTCATGGCTGTAAGATGGCAAACCCAAACTTTTTATACTTCTCACTCATGGAGATCCCAAAAAAAGGGGATCCAAAAGGGGAATTTGTGAATAATCACATCCCTGAGTGTTTGCCATATTTTATGATACTGGTTTTGAATGGAGATCTAACCAAACAGCACAGTATGGTACTGCTCTTTAAAGGGCTCCGCTGTGAGGCAGAGGGAGATACAGAAATACAGAACCAGGACATGTGATCCATCCATACATGGTCAGAAATGTTCCCACAGTCTGAGCCGTACAGTCATTTTACTCCATGAAACAAAAATTCCCGCACTACTCGACCTCACTCATCTCCCTCTTTTTTGAGCTTTTCTTTAAACTGGTTATACTTTAAAATATAAACAATAAATCCATCAAACTCTGGACTTTTCCGAACTTCCACTGACATGTGGAAGTTACTAAACTACTCCGATGAGGCCTCCCTCTGCCTGTGTGTGTGTGTGACCTGTTAGATCTATCACGGCTGTATTCACGATCCTGTTTATACAGACTGATCCTCCTCTGGGAACAGCGACGGCTCGACTCGGCCCGCTGAACTTCATTCGGAGCAGGTTATGTCATCCTAAAATGTTGTTTCCCCATCACTTTTAGACTAGGACCATTTCAAAATCTTCTAGTTCAGACATTTGTCTTTAAATGAAAGACGATAAGATGACTTTTCAACATTTAAAATGTACTTTTGCTCCCCTGAATTTGCAGCTACGGTGTCTAAGCTCATAGATTTCACAAAATACATACTGAAAGAATTTAACTGTGGTGCTTGAACAAAGCCAGCTGCAAACCCACCTCATGCAGCTCGGTGAAACAATGCTTCGACTGTATGTGCATACATTGTGGAGGGATTTAGTTTCACGTGCAATCATCTCAACAAAGCATCTGGAAGTCATCAAACCCACATCTTCAAAGAGGACAGAGGAAAGACCCCAAGACGGCTTAATACACACGATTCTCTCAATGAAGGTTTTTCTATTGAGACAAAATGTTCAAGAATTAGTCCTGCAAACAAACTCCAGAATTTTCTTACGCAAAAACTTTCGAAACTGAAAAAACTGAGCATCCACAATGCAGTAAGTCAAAAACAAAGCACATAAAACGATAAAACAGAATTTACAGTTACACAATTTGACATAAAAACAGATAATTGCTCAATAATCTCAGTAAATCTGCCGCAAATGATCAACCATGACGCCAGTTAATGTTAAATGATTGACTTGTTTTGCACCAGCCAATAAGTCAAAGTGCACTCACTTCCCAGAAGACCTATGCCCCTCACATGACACATACACATTTATGCAGCAGAGAAAACACACACACACATACACACACATACACACACCATGCTGATACAGTCTATAACTGTTGCCAAAACCATAACTTACTTCTGTGTCACCTCTCTTTCGGGCTGCAATGCCGCAAAAACATCCAGCAGGAATTATGGAAGCTCCCTCACACTCCTCTCCTCACACTGGCATGCACTTGGCTCGGCTTGCCATCCTCACACACACACAAACACATGCGCGCACACACACACACACAGGATCCACCTCCTCGCTCACACACACGTACGCTGTAATACCGCACTGCACGTTCATGTGCCGTACCTTATCCCGTCTCTGCTGTGTGTAAGTGTGAGCTCAGGCGAGAGAGGACTATACAGGCTGTGACGGTGGTGGAGAGAGGGAGGGAGGGGCGAGACAGGGGAGAGTGAGAGAGGAGGGGGTGGGGTGGGGGGGGTGCACCTCCCTTTTTGGTCCTGAAACACGAGCGTGCTCCTGCGGTAAGAGGAAACAACGTGTGGGGCAGTTTGAGTTGATGCAAACTCCTGTTTTTTTGGGACATAATGAAGCAAAAAGAAAACAAAATTCCTTCACTAACACACACACACACACACACACACACACACACACACACACACACACACTATGACTCACACACATACTTTCCTAACATACCAATCAAAGACCACAAATCTTAATCGACCATTTGTGGACGTCGGTTTCTGGTCATTTTTTAAAAAGCAGATCATAAGAGAAAATCAGAAAATGAAATATTCTTCCAAAGGTCGTAACCATCATTTTACTTAAGTTTCAAACTTTCATTCTGTGTCAACTTTGGCGCCCCCTGTGGACAAACATGTCCCTCGTTTGCCTGAACTGAGCTCCTGTCTGAGTCTGACTCTTGGCTGCGGTGAATGCTGTTATACTTTGGACTGAGCAGCTCAACTTGCAACTCATGAACAGAAACATGAGCGTAGTTCACTCAGAAGACAGTGATCAGCCACTCACTAGCCTCACCTCCTTCAAAACGCACCTTAAAACCTACCTGTTTACCCTAGCTTTTGGTTGAGTTGTCACTTGCTTTTACTCGCGTACGATTTTCTTTTATTTTTGTTTTTGTATGTTTCCCTTTTAATGTTGCCATACTTGTAGCTTTTATTATTTTATGTGTTTCTCCTGTAAAGCACTTTGTCTGGCCTGTCCTATAAATGTGCTATATAAATAAACGTGACATTGACATTGACATAGTGAAAGAGAGTCCTTGAGCGACACCAAGCACTGGTGCTTTACACTTCTACTTCACTTCCAAGCCTAGTTCATGGTGCTTTTTTGACAGTTTGAAGAAGTTGTAAGATGTTTAAGAAGATTTCATCTCATACCTGTGCTTGTAAACATCCGGGTAGTCAAGTATCACAGCATCATAGCTGTCATCTTTCACCAGAGCTCTGGTTTCCTGGACTCCCTTACAGTCAGTTCAGGTCTGCACAGCAGGAACCCAAACAGTTCGGAGAGTAACATTGACTCCTAAATAAAAATTTCCTCAAGAGTTTTGAACTCCATGAAGAGAGCATTACTGAACATTTTTGTACAAGATCTTGGATCTATTTCCAAAGTTTTGCACCGATAAATGTTTTTGCTAGTTAGAGATTGTGCAGAACTTTGCTGGCAATTTTTAACAGCCTGCTTTACAACACCAGCAGTCAATTGTGTTGGTACCGGATTCGTCTATGAGGTGGATTACGGACAGCAGGACTCACAAGAACTCACAAGAACCCGCAGATTCACATGCAATCGCGCGATAACGAGTCATCTCTATAGCCACATAACCATATTAACAGTACATTGTGTCCTTCCAGAGGAGGAAATCTACGTCTAGACTTTTAGAATCAGCATCTCCTCAACCATGGTGTCAACGGAGTGAATTGAAGTCTGAAAACCTTTCATTTGTTCGTCCCCATCCGTTTACATGGTGTGAAATACGATCCCCCTAAAACATGGAGTGTTTTATTTTGAAAAGAAGCCGGATGTTTTATTTTGTGTCTGTGTCCGACTTCCTTTCCAGCACGGGTTAATCTGTGCTGAATTTATCCAGCAAGCTTTGGCGTCCGGAAAAAATAGAACTCTTGCGATCAGCAGAGAGAAGCCGGTGGAAATCGCCAGACTAACTTGAATGGTTCTGATCAACTTTGATCGGTGGATACTGCCTTTTCGTACACATTCCGGAAGCGGTGGAAATTGTGGGCTTCTACGAGGCACTTCTTCTGACTGTTTAAAAATGACCATATTTTAGTGGATAGTCTTTACACTCAGGGTCTAGGTTCCTTTTAAAGTCATATAGAGGCATCAGTTTTCACCAGCTAAAATCTCCTCACAGGAAATCTGATTTCGTTTCTGAAGGACGACCAAGAGGAAATTCACATGCTTGAGTTGTGTTTACACACACCTCCCTCAAGGTTCAGTGTAGGAGTGGAGAGTCAAGTCTGTGTTTACAGAGAGAGCTGGTGTGTTTCTGCCAGGTAACCTAACCCCGGTCAGGATCCGCCCTCCACCTCCTGGTAGAAAAAAAAGGAGGGGTCAGTCCTGCCCGGTCCATAGGGGTTGGCTGTCGCTAAGCTGCGCTGAGCCCCCTCCCTGTTATTGGCTGCAGGAATCTGAGGGGGAAACAGAGAGGGAGGTTTTGGACTGAAGGAGAAAAGGGGGCAATGAGTGTAATGGAAAAGCAAGCCATGTAATCTGATGGGGAGGACGATAGGAGGAGGAGGAGGAGGAGGAGGAGGAGGAAGGTCCTGGTGAGCTAATAAGAGGAACAATCCAAGCAAGATTACATTATGTCCTGCCAATAGTCTGAACAATAACAAAGTGGATTGGCTAAGAGCCTCAATCCAAGCATTAGACTGGCACCGGTGGTCCTCTTTTTTCTACATCATAATCGTCATAGACTTTTACATAATACTATTACACCTCTTTTCAGCTAAAATGGTTCAAAACTGTTTTTCACAAGGACAGAAGGAACACTGTAAGGAACACACACACACATGTACTCACACACACACAACGTTACACTGGCCCTGATTTCTGTACTAAATCTGTCACTCCCTAACCGTCTGAGGATGCAAGGACGACCGATTCTGCAGAGAGGTCGACCTGAACTAACAGAAATAAGTGAACTGACCGCAACCTTTTCAGAAAACACAAAGACGTGTTAAAAAAACATGTCAAAGCCATTAAAAAACAAAATCTGCAATGGTATACTTATTGTTAACTTATACTTATTACATAATTTAGGGTTTAAATAAATAACAGACGGCATAAAAAGCACTGGAGAATAATTTTGTTAGTCTTATACCATTAGTCTTAGTTGGAGCTGCAACTTTTAATCTGAGCTGCTTTTATTGAAGAAAAGTGAAGCTATTTAAGTAAGGTGACCAGATTTCTGGAATGAAATCCAGGGACATTCAGAGCGGGGTGGGGAGCATGGACTGCGTGATCACAGACAACATCTCAGTACTACTGAGTAGCAGCGCACACCCCCCGTAAAAACTGTTGTTCAGGACTGCGCACAACATTATTGTTCTCATTCATGAAACGCTTGAATCGTGGCCATTTCCAGGGACAGCTGACAGCTGTAGCCGGGGACAGGTCATCCAATAGGGGGATGACTGGTTACCTTATGTTTCAGGGCTCACGTTCTGCTGTTAAGGAGGGGAAGGACAGTGGACTATTTTCAACATTCAGGATAGAGTGGCGCAACACAGCAGACAGCTCAATATTATTCAGCCTCTGTTATCATATTTATTGGATCGTGGGAAGCCATAATCGTAAAAGAAATCGAATAGACACAATATATGACCTGTAATAATTTTATAATAGGTTATTAGCCAGAACAACCAGTTAGCCTGGAGCTAGCTAGCAAAGGTAACAACATTTAATCACCAGCTTTATCCCTACTTGACCAATGCCAACCTGTGAAATTTAAGACTCGGCACAGGTGCCCAGTGGATTGGGAATCAAGCAGGGATTAAGCATGGTTAAGTTCCTGATATCGATCAACAATGGATGTTAGGTCTGTGAGGTAATCGTCTTTTATTGCATGTTTAAGTCCTAAATGACTGTCACTGCTTCCAGATCTCAGTGATAAAGTGTGAGTTAAGTTTTTTTAGCACCATGGAAACGCTCTGACGCAGAGAAAATCCAAGCAACTTCATTTTATCGAACCCCACAGTGTCAAGATCACTCCTGAGGCCACAGATCACAATCGAACATGAACATGACTCCACTATGAGCCAAAGTATGAGTCAATACAGGGATTGCATAATTCAAGTGGGCACTCGAACTCCACTGACGCCCTGCAGCAACAACTCCCCTTTGAAAATAGCGGTGGCCGATTAAACACGGGTGATTGAGCAATCCACCAGCCCACTGGGGACAACGAGATGACTTCATGTCCGTCACTATGATATGTGAAGGAGAGACTGACACACTAAACAATGAACTGAACTCTGGCTGTCCATGATTTTTGAAGAGGGTTTTTACTGATTTATGGATATCCAGGCTCGGACTGCTCTTATTCAGCCAACCAGTCACTGTTTTGTCATCCCAGTTTGTCAAAAAAATTATTCCTTTTGACGAGTTTTAATCAGCGATTCTATGCTACAAAAGGGAGCTGGTGTTTTCAACTGAATGCTTATAAAACTTGTGAAAACAGCATCAGATTATTTCCAGAAGCATGCTTCCAGAGATTATTTTACTGGCATACAAGTATTGACTGTTGTTCTCTATTTATCCAACAAAAGAGCTTTATTTCCTCAAACAACCATAAACCTTAACCCAAGATGACCTTATAAATGTGGAGTCAATGGATCTCTGTTCATTATGGTACCTAAATAATAAAACTAGTTTCAATGCAAATGGTGTGGAAAAATTACAGTCAACATTACTCAATAAAACAAAGTAAGGCCCAATCCCAACTGTCACTCTTCCCCCTTCGTTGTAGCCTCTTTGTCCACCCCTTCCCCTTGGCAAAACACGCCCCTTAAAAACGAGACGTATACAGTGTTGGACGCCAAGATGGACGCCTACTGTTGTAACGCAAAGATGTAACACAGTATTTTACCCATACAAGAGGATGTAGCTTGCACGTGAGAAGCTACATTAGCTAATGTAGCTTCTAGCACTGAATGTAGTTTAACTGTCTGATTATTCTGTGTAAACAGTCATGAAATGTAGTACATCATGGTAAAGTCCATTTGCTATGAATTTGTCTGACATCAGTGTAGTTAACATTAGCTTTAGCCTCGTTAGCTCGCTTGTTATAACAAGCTTAATATTTACATGGAGTAGCCAAGATTGAATATCTGATTAAAAAAAAACAAAAAACTGAAAAACATAAAAAAAATAAAATCGTCCCCATCCCCTTCAAGTGAGGTCTTGGTTTGTCTTAATTTCAAGGGCTGTGTAACTCTTTAGCCTTAGCGTTTCCCCTTAAGCTTACAGAAAATTGGATAATCCCTTCGCTTGACGTGAACATGCAAAACCAAGGGCTAAGGGGTACAACTGGGATTGGCCCTTAATCTTAGATCCTATAAAAAATGCGGAGAAATACCATGAAACAATCAAAATAAAAATCAGCGACTAGTTATCCATTTACATTTAATATCTGTAGTCCAACTCATGACAGCTGGCTGTTAGTGTTGGTGTTATAATTAAGAAGGAAAGTAGTCCGGCACGTTTCACTTAAGCCTGTTGGCATTGTCGCAAAAAAATGTGACTGTTCAAGCAAATAATGATTAGGAAATAATGAGGGTTAGCCGGCACAGATGTGAGAAGTTTGAGAAGATACTGAACTCTAACCATCTTTGATAAGGAAAACAGTAACTGAAAAAAGAAAACTTCTGTGAGGAAAATGTAAAATCGACTTTCATGTACTAGAATCCTCTTCAAGTCCTTCCATTTTTTTCAAGACTTTAAGCCAATTTGGCACAAATACAGTACATAGAATTAGCTTCTAGCAGTCCCTGATTTAAGTGTATTCGTGGTTGCAGTGTGTGAAATAAGTGAGTCTGTGCAGAGTCTGAAAAAACAAAGAAAGTTAAGAGGAATCAAGTCCTAGAAGTCATTACACAGCACATGCTACAGCTTAGAGAAGTAAACCCGTAACCTTTAACTTGACTGTGCGTGAGTGAACAGCGGAAAATATGTCTCTTAACCTACATACATGAAAAGCAGATTTGTTAGCTCACAGAAAGACAAAAATGAAAGATTTTTTCTACTTGCCTATTAAATCTGGAAATTGTGAAATTGCCTGATGACAAACACTGATAACTGATTTTTCATCAACTCCAACTTTTCTAAAAATGTTGAATTAATGCAAAGCACAATAATGAGATTAACTTTGAATCTTAACAAAAGACCTTTCATGAGTGAAGCAATTATGGTCCCATGGGCCCAGTCCTAAGCTCCTGGAGGGTGTAAAGGCTTAGAGGTGATACAAGTGGGTATGGACCAAGCGGCTGGCACCGAAAGCCCCCCAAAAACCCTTTAAAGAACATGTTACAGTTATGGGTGATTCAAACATGGACGTAGTCTCAGTGATGTTATCCATTGGTGTTTGAAGAGGCCAAGGATGGTGGTCGCCATGTTGTAAATGCTGACTCTGCTTGACTTTTGATAACCCATATGACTAGAAAAAAGGTCAAAATTCACTTGAAACTGTTAGAAGTTCAGCTACAACATGCCCATCTACACATCCACTCAGTTATCCTCCTTTATATGTGAATGTATTCAGAAATCTCAGTATTTATGTTGATTAAATAAATAAGGTAGAAAAATTCTCCTCATACAGGATGTACTGTATACAGGATGAGCTACTGAGACCTTTACTTTACTTTGTGCCAGTTTGTAAGCATTCTGTGGGAAAATGGACATTTTAATATGGGCCCTATTTGGGTTTTGTTTACTTTTGGTGCAGCCCCAAGTGGACACTTGAGGAACTGCAGTTTTTTGCAATTTGGTGTAGCTTTATTTAATATGATGTCACATGGTCAGAATGCGTATTCTTACAGCAGAAATAAACATGTTTATGTCCTGGTCCATGAATCTTTTTGTAGTGTGAGGTTTATATAGTTTTTGTTTATCAGCAAAAACTAAACAGGGGATGGGGAACCGATGGCCTAGCAGTCCAAGTGATCCATAGATCCATATGGTCCCGGTCCCGGTGGCCTCTCTGACCGCTCTTTCCAACGGTCTTAGGCAAAATTTCCCTAAACATCATAAAAATACTTAAAAAATGCACGGATGAAAACTTTTTTTTCCTCATTATTGCATAATTAGCGGCATGGCTAATTTGACCGACAGATGGGTATATTGTAGCTAAATGAAAGTTGACTTAAGTGAACATTTATAATATGACTTTAAAATGGTTGAGCTTCAAAAGGCCTCTTCAAAAACCACATACATTGATGTTTTTCACGCAGTCTATGGTGCAGGTATGCACTACACACAATCTACTTTGCAGACTGTTGCCCTGGAGACACTTGAATAAAAATGGTCCTCTGTCAGTGCTCCTGTATGTAATTGGCTTTAATTGAAAAGCAAAGACACATAATGCAAAAAGAATTTCACACAGCGGCGTGTTTCTGCTTGTACGCACGTGCCAAAAGTTAATGCATGTGCAAACACCTTAAAAAAAACATATGGCATACCTGAGGACTGATGTAGTGATGTGTTAATGGGTAAGTGAAGTCTGCCAAGCCTGAAGCCAGAGTTTTAGCTGGGTTCAAAATGGCTCACTTTACACATTGTAAATAAGTTAACCAATAATTAACACCAGACCTGGAATAGATCATGTCCAGGGTTAGCATTGCTGCCATAAACCCACCGAGCATAGCACTACAGTTTCTCTACAGCTGAAAAAAGCTGCTTATTCAAACTCTAACATGTCATTACCAATACTATAGATTGAAGCTGTGCATGCGGTTGGAGCAGAACCAATTAATGCCTGTAGTTTCCAATTTTGCATTAAGAAACACCTGCAAGCATCTAATTCAAAACACAGGATATCTAATAAATTAACCATCTTTATGGTGAATGAGAGAAAATAAGGGGTATTTTTTCAGCCTTGTTAAAAGCAGCACTTTTTTCAATGCCAGAATAACTTTAAGTTTCTGTACAATAATTTTCACAACTTGACTGAAACACACAATCTGTAACTGCTCAAATTAAGCCCTTGGTTACGTCCTCGTACTTTTGGCTTTTGTTGTTGTCTGAGACGGCCAAATTGGTGAAAAACTGGATTAAACTTGCTCGATACATCTCCCTACTTGTTCGTATTTTGAGGGCACTTGTGGTAGTTTTCTGAGTGTACCACTCAGACAGAAAAATAAACATGCATCAAAAGCTGCAGTAACTATTCTGAGTCCGACCGTGGCAGCAGAAGATAAGATAATCTCTCTGCAACTGGTGTTTGGAAACTCAGACTGAAATAGATGCTCTAATCAATTCCTGCCCGTCTGACACAGGAAGTGTGAGGGGAAAAGTGTGTGTCTGTCTGTGTGTGAGAGAAAAAGTGTGTGCTGCTCTTTAACACACAAGAGCAGCTCTTTACTGGATTATTTGCAAGTACAAAAAAATAATAAATTAAACATCACTGAGGAATAAATTGAAAAGTTGTCACTCCTTCATGCAAGAGACTGAATTAAGATTTTTAAGTGTAATTCTAAGATGCAGAAATCAATATTAAAACTCTCTTGAGGTGATGTTTGCATCGGTGGGCGTGATGTTTCTTTGCAGGGCTGATGATAAATCTGCACGACTGAAGAATTCAGAGCAGGATTGATGGATAAAATAAAGTTTGCACCATCACATACAAGAATTTGAAGTCATTAGCATAAGTATCAAAATAGCTCCGGCTTTAAATGGCAAGTAAATAACATTTCTTTCTGCAGGGGTTGAATGGATCCACAGACAGAGCACTGGCTGCCTCCTCTTGGTAGCTCAGTAACAGCCACTCTGTGTGTGTGTGTGTGTGTGTGTGTGTGAGAAAGACTGAAAAACAACCAAAAATAGACTACAGCCACAGACTGAGGATGCAAGTAGGTGGGAGTGTGTGTGTCCACCATCTGCTACAATTTGTGTGAATTTAGAAACCTACTTTAATGAGTTTAAATGAGCATCACTAAGACATTAAAAGGCTGTGTCTCGAATGCTCATAAGGTCATTTTGTTTTTCTTCCCACAGAAGTAAAGAAAAATATCGTGTAAGAAAAGCAAAATAAATAAGTATGACTGTAACTAGATTGTAGAATAAGTTCAAGAATAGTCCAAATCTTATAAAGAAATTAACAGATAAAGAAAAGTTTGCCAATTCTTTGAACTCTTTGTTTGAAAGTTGTGCAAAGACAACAGATCTGTAGACGTGTGTGAGAACAGGAGATCTCATTCTCGCCTGATATAGAATCTAAGCTGCTCAACAGTTCAGGTCTCCTATGACATAACTTTTGGGTCATGGTTCTCCAAATGTTTTTAATGGGTGTCAAGTCAGGACTACAGGCAGGCCAGATTAGCTGCAGGACTCTTCTACAACAGAACCATGCTGCTGTAAATGTGGTTTGTCATTGTCTCGCTGAAATATGAAAGTCATCTCTGATTAAGTCTGAATGCCAGCTTTAAAATCTGTATATGTTGTTCAGCATTAATTGAGCCATCACAGATAAGCTACCTTTGCCATGATCCCTATACCATCTAGGAAGCTCGCTCTTGGACCTTTATGTTTAAAACAAGCCTGGAGGTGTGCAGCCGCCATGATCTCCAAAAAGGATGTCAAATTTAGATTCGTCCGACCACATCAAAGTTTTCCTCCTCATCACCTCAGTCCAGCTCAGGTCAAGAAAAGTCAACTAGATTATGATTATTTAATGTTTTCTAATTGCATGGTACAGCTTTAGTTAGCATTTATGGATGCAGTGGTTTTTGAGAGTGATTTCCACTACAGAGCTCTGTCTATTTTTGATGCTGTCCTGCTTGAGAAACTGTAACTCACATCCCCATTCCTGTCTCTTTAGTCTCTCCCAAAGTTGTACATTTCTGTCCACCCTTCCCTCTAAGAGACTCAGCCTCTCTGCAGTATCCTTATAAATTGCAGATTATAACTGGATCAGAAATGTTCCTCCAGGTATTTTTTACTATTACACAACTTTTCCAGTGTTTGGTTGTCACTGCCTGAGCTGTTTAGAAATGCGTTACTAGCTGCCATCAAACTAAAAATGAGCACATGTATTTTATAAAACCATCCATTTCAGCTCATATTCCATATTTATTTATATATTGGATTTAAATAATTTGCAAATTCTAGTTTTATTAACATTTCACAATGCCTCTCAGCTCTCACGGAGTTGTTTACAATCTGACATCTGTCCAGAAATTGAAGCTCTCCCATGTTTTTGTTTCACAGACTCTTGGCTCACGCAGAAGTGACTTCACATACTAATAATTAAATTTAAACTTAGATGAGAACCAAACTCGGCCCGTCAAACCGGTTTAATTTAGGGCAGCTGTTACTTTTTTGTGTGTGTTACAAATACGGCCACATTAACGGCTGATGAGTGATTTTAAACTGCACCTGTATCAGATTCTGACAAGTCAAAACACCACAGTATTTTATAACCAGAGTAAACTAATTAGTTTAATGTGAAGGTTTATGGTTAGCGCTGCTTTTCTCGTGTGTTCCTGGAGATAATAAGACCATCAATCACAAGACGCCGCTTTGTAAATCCAAACAAGTCTGTGCAGAGGAATCCCTTAAAATACCACACACACAAAAATCCCAATCATGACATACTCTCGCAAACACATGAACCTGCAGCAGCTTAATCACTCTGGATTAGACTTGCAGAAACTTGGCACCTGATGCTCGTAGCTCAGTGAAAAGTGAAAAGGAGGCTGCATAACTCTGCAAGAAAAACGTACCATCCAAGAGTCCACACTTGAAGCAGGGATTTAAATGTGTTTGCATGAAAAATGTAAACTTAAATCACAGAGGAAAGCACAGCTGAGCAGAAAGCAAGACTTGTAGAGGTTCAGATGACGTGTTAAAGCTTAATGTAGCTTCTGTTTGCTCAAATGAAATGTCTCTTACTCAACTACAACATGAAAAAAGGCCACAAATTTACTTTCTGGAAAGCAGAATTCAAATAGAGGAGGTTACGTCACGGCAGAGATCATTATTCATGACACTGAGGCAGAGTACTCTGTATTTTCATTAAGGCGCAGCAGGGATGTGCACACTTACACACACAAAGCACTCCTCCATGCCAAGGAGAGGCACATAGTCTTAATTTAATCCTGGACAGCCCTGCAGGATGGTGCAGAGGACGACCTGTTATGTAACAGGCAGAATGCTGCCGCAGCAGTAATGTCCATTACACACACCGGCATACTTCACTGCATGGACACTCACACACTGGACACACAAACGTAGGCCTACACACAATGCCACAAGCAGCAGCAGCAGCAGTATGGACATCACTACAAAATGCCAAACATAACTGCAGACTTTCATGAATGGATGTTTGTGTATGTACAGTACACAGCAACTCACAAACACAAGTACAGTGTGATGCAGTTTAAAGTCCATGCACATACAAAGTCCAACACATGTCAGTGAACACACCCACAACTACACATGCAGGGTCATGACACACAAAGAATTATTTAATTGATAGGAGAGGCATTTTATGTTTGTAAACATTACATTACTGTACACAAGGGGAAAACGAGGGTTCTTTTTCACAGTATGAATTGAATTGATTTATTTAAAACTTGACTGTCTGGATTAAAATCAGATCCTCTTGCATAATTTAGACCACTGAACGCTTCAAATGTGAGGACCTTAAATTAAAAGTTGTTCATCTTAATGGGCTTTAGTATGCATGAACTTTTCTCAGGCTGTAAAAAAGAAACGTCTCCATTTTTGACAGGTTGTATGGTAATTAGCTGCGGTGAGCAGATAAGGCCGAACCCCATTAACAAATGTGTTAATTTTAGCCCATTTGGACCAGCCATGTTGTAAACAGTAAAATAACTCACAAATATTCTGATATTTAACATGTTCAGAGCTCGGACTTTGATTCAACAAACCGCCAGGATTTAAAAAACCGCTAACTCTCACGATGGTTGAATTTGTTTCACACAATTCTTTACCGGAAAACACGCCCACCGCCACGCCGATTCGGAGTGCAATATAGAGCAATAAAAACTTATTTTAAAGTTAAAGTGATATATTTTTTTATTTAAATGTTTGCCGATTTTTCCACAATAAGTTGTTGTCTCTGAATATGTTAAAACTTTTTTAAATGATATGTCTTTATCTCAAATGTAGCGAGTAAACATTTTTCGGTAACATTTCAAATGGAGTTCGTCGCTACCACACTCGTGGCGAAACTGCCCAATCCACGCTTATTTACCACTCGCTTAAATGAATGCACCGGGAAAACTGCCAAACCACGCAAGATAAGGACATGAAACAACACAAAAGTGCAGTAAATTAAAGGAGTTTAGCTCTGATTTACCGTTGTAGCCCAGTCCTTGTAGGTGATAATCTACCTGAACCTGCTGTCCTCTGCGTTCACCTGGAAACACCCCGAGTTTACCGCATGCAAACCGTGAGGCCACATCACGTCTCCGCCGCAGAGTCTCCACATGCCATGAAGTATATCATCTTTCTGACGGAGAAGAACCCGTCAAACTGACGTCTTCATTTTCAGATGGTCAGTGATTTCTGCAGCCCTCGAGCCTGATCAGCTGAGTCACGACAGAGCCCCCCCCAAACACACATGCACCCACACATACAGAGACTCACACACACCTGTGGGTAAAGACTCAATGATCCAGATCAATGAGGCTGTAACACCTGCGGCCTACTCACCTGTGGGAAAAGAATTTTATTTTAATGGTAATTTTTCTCTCAACCCTATAAATGCTAATTTTATTCCTGTTAATTATGAGTTTGATATACCTTAAATCTTTTTAAAATAGATTTATAAACATAAATAGATGAATAAATACATTTAGAAAAGTGTTAGCCTGCATTGAAATTTTGCACAGTGCATAAGCCTTGTCAAACTTTAAACTCGCAACCAAACAAACTAAAACAAAAGTAAACTTTGAATAAAATAACATTATATTAAAAAAAAACATAATACTGTTCATGCTCTTATATAAGTTGCTTAATAGGTGCAGACAAAACTAACTAGCTTACCTTAACTTACCTGTCTCCATGGTGGGTATTTTCATTTCCAACTCTGCCATCTAGCGGACAAAAGTGGACTAACTCTACATGTTTGGATAAAATCCAATCCAATTATATGGTGCATCTTGTATTGTTAGTGGGTTCAAATGTCTTAAGATTTCTCATGGGGCATCACTTCATGTTAGGACCTATAGATTATAATTAAAGTAATTCAATTAAGTATTAAAAGCAAAGGAAAACAAGTGTTTTTAACTTGTGGGTATCAATATGTAAGAGCAAGAACCATGACAGAACTTAGTCTTCAACTAACCACTAGATGGCAGTGTTAGATTTTTAAATATCTGCTGGTGTTGCAAGTACACTGAGCAGAGCCCACAGTTATTATAACAAATTTATAGGATAGAATTGAATCAATGTACAAATCTGTACCATATAAAAACAGATCAGATTGAGGAGTATGTACCCCCCTGAGGGCAATTAAGGAAATACGGCTTTGACATAATTTTTCTCCGAAAAATTTCAAATGGTTGTGACACAACTTTAACATGCCCTTGTGGGATGTGTATCTGGTTGGCTTCTCTCTGCACCCCAATCAGAGTACATATGCACACCTGGACCCTGGGTGCTGGAAGTATTTAAGCTACTACAGTTACTTGCAATTCCCTCTTTTGTTTCTCCTGACTGCCTTTACAGGTACTTGGTTTGACTTGGCTTGGTTTAGCTTGGCTTAGCTTGGCTTTGTTTGATTTGGTTTGGCTTGTCTTGATTTAGTTTGATTTGATTTGGTTCGGTTTAGCTTGGTTTAGTTGTAGTTTATGTTTGCTCTTTACAACACCCTCGCACACATATACCTACCTTTCACCTATGCACGCCTTACACAATACTGTTTTTTGACCGATTTACACACCTCATATCTTGAATATTCTAATTCTGTTAAATTTGAATTAATAAAGAGTTGTTTGGGAGTTTATACATGGTGTGTGTCTTCCTTCCTCTTTTTGTTGTGACCACCTGGGCCGGGTCATGACGATCCTACTTTGTAAAAAAAGTAAATTTCTCATCCTTATATCTCCTCAGATAATCTCCTCGGACTTTCAGCAGTAAAAGGCTAATTGTTGCCAGTTAACAGGGTTTGTTTGATGGTAACACCAATTTCTACCCATACCATACTTAAACATCATACCGTTACAGTATTCAGCAACATAAACATGGCGATGTGTAAGTGGTTGTCTTTTCCCATGTGAAAGTATTTCTCCCTGAGTCAAGGTCATTGTTGACTAAGAAATGGATGAATGCTGTGTTTTGAAGTCAATTTATCAGCTACCAATTAAAATTATTCCTTATTTCTCTACAGATTTTTCACTTTTTAATGTCTTTGTGGCAGCTCATCTATCAGGGAGAGAAAAAAGACATGGTATTTCAGCTTTTTACTGTGTGTGTGAAATGGCTGCAATGGGAAAATGGGCAAGGCTATCACCTTAACCCGCTAAGTTCAACACCTGAGGGTAGATTCTTCATCTGGTCGAACCTGTACCTGCTTTTACCACTAATAACACGACAGATTGAGTTTAATCGGCATCCCATTACGGAAAAAGAAAGCCCAGCTGGCGCTTGGAGTCTGTGGTTAGACAAACACCCTTCAGGGATGTTGCCGTCTGTTAACATCTATTCACTCAAGTTTGCACCGTCATAAAAGTTATCAAAACTAATGAAACAACAAGATAAATAAAGTCAAAAACATTTAAATGATAAGGAAACACCTGTGCATTTGAAGTTTGAAGTTTGAAGTTTGAAGTTTAAAAGGGAAATAAACAGGCTGTCCAACAGTAGAAGATTTATTGTGAAGACACATTATTACAACAAAGGAATTATCAACCAAACACAACTCAATAGTAATTATATACCGGTAAGTAATAAGGAAACTCCAAAACCACAATTTATATTGACAGTAAAACCTCAGCAGTTACCTCCCCCTCAGGGTAGAAGCTCAAATATTGCTGCCATATCTTTTTACTGTCTCTGATAATCGGATGAACCGCGGTCGCTTCCTTGCTCCTTGTTTGATAATCAACTACAATGAAGCCATCCATAGAGTTAAAAAACACTTTTCTCATCCATTGAAGTACTAGTTGACAATCCTGTTTGAGACTCACAGATAACATGGAAAGAACAAACATAATGACTTTAACGACGATTACTTTGGCAGCACTTGTGTTTGCTTCGGTTCCTCTTTCACAGCACTTAGCCAACAGTACAGTGTGTAGTGGGCGTTTCTCAGTTGTCAGGTTGGGAGTTTGATCCCCGGTCCTCTGGTTCAAAATGTTCGTGTCCTTGTGCAAGACGCTGAACTGTCTTCAGAGGCTTTTCCAGTGGGATTAATGTAAACATCATTGTTAACTATGAATTGGCTGAAGGCTGATATCTGCTGTGTACTGATGTTGACTAAAAGACTTTCAAATATGATATATCTTGATATCTCTCTTGATCCTCTCCGTGTGTTGTCCAGCAGCGAGAACCACTAATGATCAGAAATGCAAAATAAATGAAAGGCTGTGATGGTCGATTTCAGATTGGGAAATAATATTTGGTTCCCATTTTCCAGAGAAGACCTGAGTCAGACAAACACCTCACAGTGAACTCAGTCCTTCAGCTAATCCAACATGTATGCTAATCCAACTGGCATCAGATTCAGTATTAAAAACTTCATAATCCAAAGAAAGCCAGGTTTGCAGTTTTAGATGACAGGTTAAGTCAAAACCCTGACATGTTTTGTTTTCTTACAGTTCATAGTCAGCTATTTTTCGCTGGAAAAGATGTGTGATTACAAGGAAGCTGTGCAGCAAATTCTTCTATTCTGTAATAGAAGAAACTAAAAACAACCTCAGATACTTTTCCAGCAGACAGTCAGAGCTCCATGGAGCCGTGTATCCCTCCAGCCCTCAGCTGTGATGATTTTTAAACTTCTTTGTCTTGAATATTAGAGACTAAATTAGTAATCTATTGCCTCCACCAGGATTAGATCTAATGTGTACCTGGACTGCTTTCACCTTCCTAAACTGAATTCAACTGTTTCCTCTTAGACCTTGTCTCTCAGACCCAGTTCCTACTGAGCTGCTGAAATATATCTTTACCTAAATCGAAAAAAATAGTGTTCAGTGAAAAAAATGTATTCTAAGTTTAGACTTGTGAAAACCAACAAAACACTCTGAGGAAGATCATCCAGCAAATAAAGTTAATTTGTTACAGACTTGGTTTACAAGGGGCGTGAAGGGTTCTGGGTCTCTCAGAGGTGAAGGTTAACCACTCTGGAGAAAACGGCATCAGCAAATACTGTCGTTTAATAATGTTCCTCACTGTAAAACTGCAAAGGAAGTGGATATTTCATCATGTACAGGACAAAACATCATTGGAAATTCAGAGAACCTGGAGTAATCTCTTTTCAGCAGGGACAAAGTCAACACCGCATTAAACTCTGACACGACTCTGTTGTTGAAATCATCGCATGAGCTCAGAAGGACTCCTAAAACCTTTTTCTTTAAGGTAAAAACTGGTCAGCAGCTCATTTAGGATGGACTGAGGTGAATCCCAAATCACATTTTCTTTTTGGGAATCGAGGACACTGCATCGTCTGCTTTAAAGAGCAGCGGGACCGACCTACAACTGAACAGCCTGGGGATGCAGAAGTTCCCAGTGCGTTACACAACTTCTCAGAAACTTTTTGATGGCATCAAACTATTTGTCTTATTAGCATAATTTTCAATAACAAGAACAGTTAAATGATTTGCAAACCTTTAAAGCTTTTTTAAAATTCAACACAGCATCCTAACCTTTTCTGAGATGGGGGTTGTATCTGACCTGGAGATCAGTGTACTGAAGCTGAATCCCTTTGTCTGAACTTGCATCTGGGAGTGTCTTGTTTAAGAAGTCACGCTTCCTTATGTAACATGACTCTTTCTCACCAGTACAGTAAAACATCAGGTTTTCCTCATCTGCACTCTGTAGAAAACATCTTCTGCTGATTGTAACAGCCTGGAGGGTTTTGCCGGGGTTATAAAAGAAGTCGAGCTCCACCCATACTGCACTAATTCTCCTGCAGGCTGCTGAGGTAGGTTCGAGCTCTTTCTATTCACATTATAAACAGTTTTATACTAACTTTATCTCGCACTTTTGAAAACTGAGTAAAGGTTAAGTTCACATTGCATGTAACATCTGCAGGATCTCATTCATTTCCTTTTACCTCCTTTTTTGTACAGTGTTAAAACGGCGCAACCATGCCTACACCGGGTGTGTGTATGAACATCATCAATGCACGGCGCAAAAAAAACGGGTATGGGACTCCTACCAACCCCGAGAGGTTCCTCAACCAAGACTACGTGCAGCTGAAGCAGTACTGTCTGGCCAAACGTGTAAGATACGTCGATGACATGTTCCCACCTGACAAGAGATCCATCGGAGACGAGGTCCTGAGCCCTTCTGATTTGGCCAGAGTTGAGTGGCTGAGACCACATGTGAGTGTTTTTATTAATTAGATTTAATCTGAGGACTACTTGATACATTTGGATGTGTCTTGCTATCCCCTTACAAACCTTTCTTCTTCTTTCTACTCCTTCTGACTTATAAACTCTAGTATATATGTTTCTACCTGGCAACTCCCAGCATGATACACATTGAACTTTGCTCAGAGACGGGTCTGCCACTCACTATGATGTAATATTATTGTGGCATTCCCAGTCTATACAGTAAAACGCATGCGATACATGTACTTTGTTGGTCAACACATTTGAGAAAATATGTGATTTAACTCAAATCAGACTCAGAAACTCCTGTTTTTGATCCATCATGTTTTTGATCGAAGATTGAATCAGCTGTTCAGATGACTTTATATAGATAACCTCTCTCTGTCTGCAGCCGCTGCCACCGGTCGGTGTCAGACAGAGCGATTAACAGTATATCTAAACTAACACTTAATGAACTCCTGCTTGTTATTCTCTGTGTTTCAGAAAATTGTTAACACTCCATCTTTTACTGTCAGTGGGGTCTCCAGGTTCGACTTTGGTCAAGGCATGGTCGGTAAGAAATTGACTTCCTCGATGACTAATGTTACATGATTAACGATTAACAGAGAATAAGATTGTTAAATAAAGATAAAACAATTCTGTGCTAATAAAACTGCTCTACATTGCTCTAATAAAATCTGATCCAAAGCTTGTCGAGGACGCAGGAAAACATCCAAAGTCTGTTGATTGAATGAAAGAAATCAGAAAAAGCAGAAAAATGAAAGTGAAGGTTCATCTTTTAAACTGCTTTTCTGCATCCCCTCACTTGTTATGTCTTGTTATGTCTTGTTTCAGAAAAACAGGAAGAACAGTATGTTTAAGGCGACATCAGATGCCCTTTCCTCCGCCCTGTAATGAAACACAATGTCTGTTTGTGTCAACACCCTCAGCTGGATTAGCCGCTGGATTGACAGTCTTAATTAGCAGTTTGCGTCCTCTCACAGCTGCACTATAATAATCCCAATAAAACACTAAACCTGAGGCTTTTTTCCAACTCTTAACACATGCGCATAAAAAAGAACCTGCAGTCTGTTTCTTTTATCCTGCTTGGAGCCATATAGACCAATATCTCCTGCCTGATGTATCATTATTCAATGATTTATTAACAATTGGCATTCACGTTCACTGACAACCTGATCTGAACTCTGTTTTCCACACACACAAACAGACACGCACTCTTTCGTGTCTTTCCACATTCTTTTATAAGTTGTATCTTTCTGCTCTACTTAAAGTACATAATGTATATAAGACCATACACGGGTGAATGTCTTTGACTAAGCAGTTAAACTTGGAAGACTCTGTCAGTTTGAAGGATCTCTCTCTTCTCTCTGTTACGTGATGGTTTAGTTCAGTCTGATCAGCGGCAGCGTTACACCTCCCTATTTGAACTTTTCTCCATCTCGCTGCAGACCTAGATGATATAACAATAGAGTATTTTTTGTTGTGGGCCTCTGGGTCTTTCTTTGTCAGTATATCCCTCACACAGACATCTATACTGAACTGATCTCACATGTCTGGACATGCCCGGTGTTGTTTTTTTGTGCATGGCAAAATAAGAATCCCCTTAATCTCACATGATTGTAAGAGGACCTGACTGTACCTGATGGTACCTGTCAGTACACTTATGATTTCAGTTTTTGCTCTAATTATTAGATATTGATCTAACTGAGTCAACAACGACCCTAACACAACAAGTGTCACAATTTTAAGAAGAGCACTTTACAATTTAGTCAATTAAATTTTTTTGTTTTGTTGAAATTGAGGTTCCTGACAAAGTCAAAAAGTCTTGATGCACAAAAGCTAATTTAAGTGGTTCTTTTAAGCAAAAACGGGTCGGTGCAGACCCAGACACAGGAGGAGGGTTAAGATCTAAAGTTTATCTCACTAAAACTGGAGAGATGATAAAGTTATGATATTACTTGGATAATGTTACAGCTGTTAACTTTTATTGTTTTTTTTATTTGCACGTGCGCTCCATAGTTATCTTATGAAAGAAGTAGTGATTTTTCAATGTTGATTATGACTTTATTCTTGTAATATAATGACTGTATCTCTCAGTAATGTTTTTTTTCATAAAACCATGACTTTATCATTGTAATGATCACAAACTCTGACTTCTCTGATTTCATTCAACCAGGAAACTGCTGGTTCCTCGCATCTATCGGGGCGCTGACATTCCAGTCGTTTATTTTAGGGCAGGTTGTCCCACTCGACCAAAGATTTGATGAGGATTACTGCGGGCTGTTCCGCTTTAGGGTAACCACACAAACATCATAGCTTGTGTTGAACTAAATCATCAAAAATCATCATTTTGCTTCAAATAACTACGTCTCATTCCTGTTCTGTCTGATGAACTCAGTTCTGGAGGTATGGCAGATGGGTGGAGGTCATCGTCGATGACAAGGTACCAACGATTAATGGAAAACTCATCTTTGTTCACTCCAAAGACCCGAATGAGTTCTGGCCTGCTCTGCTCGAGAAAGCTTATGCAAAGTATGAAACACTTTTACTTTTATATTTCATAATTATTATTATAATTATAGTGTGCTGTACCTCAATAGTAGGCTTGTTTGTGGTAACTTTCCAATCACTTCTGACAGAGTGTGTGGTTCCTACACCGATATGAACGCTGGGACTCCCTCTGAGGCTCTGATGGACTTCACTGGTGTCATCCACATATGTGTGGACCTGTCAAAACCCCTGCTTGATCCCTGGGAGCTGATGTGCAGAGCCGCCCAGTCCAACTCACTGATGGCTTGTGGAACGCCCCAAGGGGTAAGTGCACACTTATGCAGCCTTCGCATGGGGTTTAAAACTGAGGTGTTATACATTGAATATTTTACCACCTTCATTTAAAGAGGAAATTAAACAAATTAGGGTTTATGAATTATCAGTATTATTACCAGTAGGCTAACAGTAAATTTCACTTATCAGCTTTTAATTTGAAAGGCTGTAAATAAACTTTCAACATAAGAAAAAAAAATACACTTGGTAGATTTGCTTTTATTTTAAAAGGCTTCGAAATTATCTCCCAACATAAAAAAATAAAAGAAAAAAAAGCAATCCTGGTATACAAGCTTTTATTTTGAAAGGCTTCAAATCAGTGTCTGGTCCACTCATTGGAGGTGGGTCCTCACAGTGGAGGTCTGCATTGTCTGTCTTGGAGATAGTGACAATAATGCATGTATTGTAAGTGCCTGATATTAACCATTTATTGTTGTGACGCTGTTAAACTGAGAATATTCATGAAGACATTATCCAGAAAGCTTTCTCATTGGGGTTCCAGCGTTTTGTAGGCTCTAGGATTGAGGCTCCATACACATTTCCCACAGTGACGGACCCGGTTGAAAGATTGGAGGTTAAACTGACCCTAAACTTTTGTACGACAGGATGTCGACCAGATCTGCTGTGTTGTGTCTGATGACCCTTACGCTGTTTTTACTGTTTAGGAGACATCGGCGAACACTGTGCTACCAAACGGACTGGTCCAGGGTCATGCCTACACAGTCACTGGTGTCAAACAGGTGAAGAAGTGTAATGGTATCTCATAACATATTTGACAATTGTTTAGTTTATATTATAAGTTTTATTCTCTGATAATTGCTGCTCAGATTATTTGCCAAGGGAAAACTGTGAACCTGGTGCGCTTGTTCAACCCCTGGGGTAAAGGAGAGTGGAACGGAGACTGGAGCGATCGGTAAGAGTCTTCTATTCTCCAAATTGGATATCATATAGAGATTTTGCTCTAAGTCTGAGTGATTACATGCACAATGATGTGTAATTCTATCTGAAACAATCTAGAAAAGATAAACTTTAATATCAACATTTTCTGTCTTTTTATTTGTATGATTGTTTGACTCTGAAGATCCCCGTTGTGGAAAATGGCCAGGCCTGAGGATCGAGAGCTGTGCCTCTCTGCGGCTGATGATGGAGAGTTTTGGTAAGGGTGTTAAAATGAAAACTTGGCAAATATAAGTTAAGTACTTGCTTGCATGGTCTAAATCTACCGCTGGTTTCAACAGGATGCCCGTAGAAGACTTCTGTAAGTTTTATTCCGACCTGGACATCTGCTGCATGTGTCCGGACTTCCTGGATGAAGGCTCTGAATGTCACTGGAAGACATCGGTCTATGAGGGACGATGGGTTGCAGGAACCACTGCAGGCGGATGCATGAATTACCCCGGTACTTTCAGGATTTCTAAATTTACACCCAAACTTGATTACATTATTTAGTGACCGGTGACACAAGATTAACAAATGCAGTCAATAGAAACTGATGTATGTTAGTTTAACAGCAGCTCTTCTCTTTGCTCCACCCACAAGATCGTAGCTACCATGAACAGCGACGCACAATCCTGATTAGTGCTGTTGCTGTAATGGGACGTTTTGGAGGCACTAAGTTAATAAATAACAAATTTGCTGCCAAGTGGAGCAGTTTGGCTTTATGTCACATGTAGGACCCATTTGTAGAAGCCAAAGAGTTTAATCAAACAAAAAAAACAAAAACTGTAAAACAACAAAAACGTTCTTACCTGAAAATCCAAATCTCGAATAACTAAAAAACACTGGAGCTGTGTGAACAAACACAAGGACATGGAGTTGATGATGAAAAACAAAAACACTGTTTGTTCAGGCGTGCCTTCATTGTAGTCATAAAACATAATCGTGCATTGGAATAGTCACTACTTTTGTGTGCTTACCACATTTTTTTTACTATTTAATTTTTTTCTCTCAGACAGCTTCTGGACTAATCCGCAGTATCGGGTGACGATTGAGAAGTTACCAAGTGATTGTGCTGCGAAACAGGGTGAAAAAAACATGTTTGTGTCCCTCATGCAAAAGCCAGACAAGAGGAACAGACGTCTGGTGAAGAATCTCCACATCGGATTCGCCATATATGAGGTAAAGAGAATAAAAAACAACATTAAAACTGTTTTTTTGGACAAAAGAGACAAACAGACACTCGTTAGTCATGTTTGTGTTTGTATTTGTTCAGGATTAAATAAGTGAAATGTTTTTAGCCTTTATTTTGACATATTACAGACACTTTTTCTTGTCTTTTTTTCCTCTTCCAATTGTCATCAACTTCTTCAAAGGTGACCCAAAAAGTGAGTATCATTTTAATCACAGTCCTCATGCACAGTCTAAATTGTGCCAATAATAAAAAACAAAAATCTTTCTTTACTGCTGTACAGGATGAGGAATATGGGGGAAAGTTGAAAGCCTCCTTCTTCAGGAAAAATTCGCCTGTCGCAGTAACAAAGCCATACCTGAACGCACGAGAAGTAATGGAGTTGGTGACGCTGAAGCCCGGCGAATACCTGATCGTGCCGTCAACTTTCAGTCCCAATGAAACGGCCTCCTTCATCCTGACCATCATCTCCAAGTCTGAGACCCACGTTCAGTAAGTTCCTGACAGCTTATCTACCGGTTTTCATGAGCACCTTTTTTAAAACTTGAATTTTTCTGCACTTTATTGAGAATATTAACCGAGAATCAGAAGCGAAGGATTGTATTTTTCATATTTTGTACAGTTAGCTGCTTTAGTGTCGTGTTTCCTAATGTACCAAGGAAGCTTATCTAAAACATGACTCCAAATTTGAAGTTGTATTTGATTTTTACCTGCTGATAGACATCCACAGTCTGGCTAATTCCAGTCAAAATGAGTCTCAATGATGAGATGATCAGTCAAAGGATCATTACTCTTAGTTTAGAGGTCAGAATAATCAGTGGATTCGTCAGACTATGAGTTAAAGAGAATTCATGTTGCTATAGTAGGAAGACAAGAAACTGAATTTTACATATAAATGTAATAATTATGAGAAAAAACTCCAAATTATGAGAAAGTGAAGGTTAAATCACGAGAGAGTGAGTCAAAGTTATGAGAAAAAAGGTTTAAATGTTGAGAATGTGAGTCAAAGTTTTAATGAGAGAGAGAGGAAACATTTTTCAAAAATCACATTTATGAGCTGAGACTAGATAATAATCATATGATAGATATTAACAAGATCAAAAGTGAAAGTAGATGATTCACACATCTCTATCTTCTTTAACATGAAGTCAATCTGCTGATTTCAGAGAGACTGACGTCTGTTTGACCTTTAGTCTAAGATCATTAAAACAGAAAGATAAACTACATCAGGTTTCCTCCTCACCCAGTAATACATTAAGCTCTTCTTTCTGTGTGAAAGTAACCTTTGCAATTGTCCGAGCAAAGAGAATATGGCTGGAAAAAAGCTCACTGACCCACGGACCAGCCGACTTACACGAGGGTAGGGCTGCCGGATTATGTCGTAAATCACAATGACGATTATTTTGATTGATGTCATGGTTATAAAAATCAATCACCTATGATTTGACATCGGCACCACACTGATCAGCCTCTTTATTTTGCACGTCTGTCTGTTTACCTGAATGATCTAAATGAATGAATAAAAAAATTATATCTACACAGATAAACTCAAATCCTTGGGTACGAGGTGAAAGGGTTCAAGTGACGTCACATGCAAGGGAGACTTAATCGAGCCCCGACCTTGTGGGCCGATGCTATAACTTGTATGTGTTTAAAATGTATACTATTATGAAGTGTTATCAGAATAAGACTGGAAATGTCGATAAAATACCACATGACACCAAGTTGGAGCTCGCAGCAGCAGCAGCGTCTCCATTGTCAGCCATCATTGCAGATGTGCGATTGGCAGATTCAGGGCTTGATTAAGTCTCCTTGCGACCTGCCTGTGACCCTGAGTGTGTGTAAATGAGTAGAAGTCTAGTAACACACACACAAACAAAAGTGAAAGTACAATGTAGTCTTGGAGAATATTGTGCATGTGTACGTCCTGATCCCAGCCTGCTACATGACTGACGAGCGCTGTCACTTTAAGGCTCCTCCCACAGGTGTCTGAGAGGCCGATCCCGAGGCCATTACAGCTAATACTTACCATCCCATATTATTATTTTCTTGTCTTTATGATTGTTTTATACGGTAGCGTATTGCATTCACCTACAAAAAGATGAACTTTTTTTTTTAGTTTTTTTTTTTTTTTTTTCCGCTGTTTTTCGGACTAATTTTTTTCTTCTCTTTGTTTTTCGGACTATTTTTTTCTTCATTTTTTTTTGTACTAATATTTTTTCCCCCTCTTTCTGTTTTTCAGACATATTTTTATTTTGTTTTTTGGATTATTTTTTTCCCCCTAACTAAGTGAGATACTTCAAAATCCTGCGAGAATCTCATACAATCAGATAACGTTAACCACCACAGCTCCTCAAAATCTTTTTTTTTTTTGGTGAATGCAATGTGCTTCCGTAGTTTCAAATCTCATATTTTATTATTTTGAAATTTTACATTCAATAAAGATATATATTATACTCTCTTTCATGATTTCACATTTTAATTTCCTAATTATTTTAACTTTTTAAAACTTTATTTCTATGTTTTTTACCAATGGAAATGGGCTAACATACGTTTAATTGTTAAACCATCATTTTTCAACAAGGTATTTTTTGTAATCTGTTATTTAATCAGCCGAGACTTTGTTAAATCAAAAACAACTCTCCTTGAAACAAAGTGATCTTCTTCACCCACTGTTAATCAATTAAGCGATTGTAATGTCCTACAATAATCACAAAATCGATTGTTAATGTGTCTCTGGTTCGTCTTTCCTCTCAGTGAAAATTCAGGTGGCCACAACTATGAACACATGGAAGTGGACGAGGTGCGTATCATATCAGTCATTGCTTTTGTTTTGCATGTTGATTGATGTCCATGAATCACTGATAGCTCCGGTGGTTCAGTGCATCAGCTGATCCCTGTCAATCCTTTGCAGCACGGTCCACACAAAAACGGAGAAGACGAAGCAGAAAAAAATCGAACCTTCTTCCGTCAGTTCTCTGACAAGGTGAGCTCTATGTTGCTTTTGGTGTTTCATAATGTACGTATCAAAATGAACTCAGTTTGGACGTGTGGTAGCCATTTAAGTCCTGTTTGCATTTCCTCCACAGTATGAAGAAGTGGATGCAGAGCAGCTCCGGGTCATTCTGAATGAAAAAATCCTGAGAGGTTTGGACTCTAAACACCTGCAGCCTATGAAACAAAACTGTACAAATAACATGCCTAAACTTGATGTTTAATGGTGCTTCATTTCTTTCTGTTGCTTTTCAGGAAATTTGAAAAATGGAGGCTTTAGCAGCGATGCCTGTCGCAGCATGGTTGCTCTGTACGATGTATCCTCTCATTCAGTGTTGACTCTTACAACATGACCCTCTAGTCACTGTTGTTACATAAAACATACCAGTAGCATGCGTGCCACAGCCTGCCGCCGCTTTTGTTTATTCAGTTCTTACAGTAAATACAAAAAAGGTCCAGTATTTCATGATGCAACATGTACTGGTTAAGTACCTTAATGATGGTTTAAAGACGTCAATCACCGGCAAGCTGAATGGTGAAGAATTTATCCGATTGAGTGACAGGATCATCACATACAAGGTAAAAATAAGCAAACAAGTAATGCTTAAAGATTACATTGGCCTCTCTAAAAGAGACAGGTGTTATGTAAGAGTGCATCCTGTTGAAAGATTGTGATCCTGATCTTTGGTTTGTGTGTTTTCTGGCAAAGTTTCCCACACTTTAATATCGTCCTTTCTCTGAACCAGGACATTTTCAACAGCATGGACGTCTCACAAACGGGAACACTGTCGCTCACTGAGCTTAGGAATGCCCTCATGGCTACAGGTAAGCGATCAATGGTTTTGATTTCAGTGTTTTTTCTGCTCAGTCTGTGCCAGAGAGCCTCAGTCCTCTCTGTCACTCTGTTACATAAGGTGTGGACTTCCTTGTGGCAGTTCAAATAGACTCATGAGACAGGTCTGGACAGAGAACAGGAAGGTGATTCTGGGTGGGCTCTTAAGGCCACCCTGGCTGAAGTTAAGCTCTGATTGTCGTCACTCAAGCTGCTTTTTCTGCAGCCCTCTTATCCTCAATTGCCACCGCATCTGGAATGGCGGCAAAAAGGCCGTATGCGGCGATCAACGCTGACCGTTTCCATTTAAGTTAACGTGTCAATTCCACTAGCTTCTTTCCATCTCACTGTGGTTCAGTGGGCTCCACAGCCAAACGGCAGGGAAGTCAGGCACAGACACAAAATAAAACATCCAGCTTCTTTTCAAAATAAAAAACTACGTGTTTCAGGCAGATTGTATTTCACACCATACAAACTTGAGCGGGGATGAACATGTCAAAGGTTTTCAGAGATCATTTCACCTCGTTGACACCGTGGATGAGGAGATGCTGATTCTAGAAGTCTAGAAGTGGATTTCCTCCTCTTGAAGGACACAATCTACTGCTTCTATGGTTCTGTGGCTGTCTCTATAGAGGTCTCCCAGGTCTTCCGGGAACTCAGAGTGGCTGCTCAGATATCACAGTCCTAGCTCTTTTGTGCTCCTACATGTCCAACATCTCTTCTTCAGAAGAGTTGTTAGATGTGGTAGACAGATCGATTGATCACGATGGATGGATGGATGAATGAATGAATACTTTGTCATCATGTAAAACAAATGGGAAAAGGGGGACCCAGATGGATTGTGCCCGGTGTTGAGGACATGTACAAACCTTGACCAGACCTTATCTTTCGTCCCTCAGGAAAGAGGATCAATGATGAAATGCTGAACTTGATGGCAGTGCGTTACGGCTCCTCCTCTGGACAGATGTCACTGGAGAATTTCATCAGCCTGGTCCTTCGTTTTGACTGCATGTACCGTAAGTGAAGTCAGATTTAATCACAGGTGTTGGTCGGTAACTGATGATGCAAAAATACTTTACACGTTTCAACACTAAACTAGACTTTTCTCACCTCCATTGTTTTTGTTTGTTCTTTACAATAAAGTTGTGTGTCCTTCTCAACAGAAATCTTTGGTCAGCTGTCAGATGGGATGACTGTGACTCTTCGTGAGAGTGAGGTATTAAGATTTTCAGACGTATTGATGAAACAGAGGGAGGAAAATATCTGATTTATGTTTGTTTTTGAAGCAGGATATCAGCTGTTAGTGAGTTCAGTGGGTCAAAACCATAGACTGTATATACAATGGACAACTTTGTTCTGCCTTCCACCTGTATACGGATTTGAAGCTGAAAAGCTCTCGGTATTTCCAGGTTTTTTCTCCACTTCCTTGAACCACCACTTGCGCAGTAGCATTGTACGCATTCGGCTGTATCAAGTGTCAATCATAGAAAACATGAACCCTCTAATAACTTAAAAATGGAGCTGCACAGAAAAATGAGGACTTGAGCACAAACCAGTCTGACAGTAACTACATGTCAACATCACAAACAGGGGGGAGAAACATTTATATTCTGTGTGATAAATTTCATAAGTTTGTCCACAGCTCCATAGGGATTGCTGAAGGAGGCAGGATTTAAACCTATACTGCAGCCTGTCACCAGGGGGTGCTGTTCTCAGGGGTGGCTTCACCCGGCGAGGAGGCAGACGGCGTCCATTCTATATACAGTCTATGGTCAAAACATACTAAGCTTCCTCTTTATTTCAGAGTAGGTGATAAAATGATCTTAAAAGCATGTTTATAACCTCTTTCTCTTTTGTTTTCAGTGGATGTACCTCTCCATGTACACCTAGAGGATGATCAGCAGGAACAAAAGCAGCAGATGATATAAAAGCCAAATACTAATTTCTAAAAAAACAAAACAAAACAAAAAAAAAATCATTTTTCTGCAAATGAGCTGTTACATTATGTGAAACATCAGAGCATTTACTCATATCTGGGGTTTGAGAGGTATGTCTTGTGCTCTTTCTTGTGTCTGCTTCCGTATTTTGAACCATCAAGAGTGAAATGTGTAGTGTAGCAGATGGTGTGAATGTTAAATCTGCTGCAGCTCTACTAAAGCATGGTGTTTACGACTGTATCTGACCAGCGCATATCTATCTTCGTCTCTCTGACCTCCTTTTACACTTGCATCAACATGAGGTTTCAGTGATCAGATCACAGGTGCACTGCCTTAGCGCCTCCTCTTGGACTTTTTTCAGTCAGGCTGAATGTTCTAGTGGTTTAAGGAGTGACTGTGAAAAACCGGTAGTACAAGGCTGCCATCTGCTGGGGAAAATGTCATCCGATGTTGTCTTATGAGCAGGAGAGGTGTGTCCGTGCAAAATGTGCATGTTTCTTTTGATAAAACCTCACATGAGTATCAGGTTTGAGGAGGATTCTGGGTTTTCCTTTTTAGTTTTTCTGTTAGAAGTCCTTCACTTTGATTTAAACCTCAACAGCTATCAGATCGATCATTCTGAGGTTTGGGCTCTAAGTGATGAAGTAGATCACTTGTAGTTGTCATTATCCTCTGATCATATTTACTGTATTAGCCAAGTCTGGGCGTGCATCCATATGTTCTGTCATCTCCACTCATTTTTCTAACTTCCATAAGATAAACTTTTCTCTCAGGACCCAAACAAGTTTTGTTACCTTGAGGTAGTGAGAAAAAAATCAAGAAAACAACTGAAACTTTTTAGATTTGAAACAAACCTCAAATTGTTGATACAGAAAAGCGAGTGCAATGTCAGAATAATGAGATAAATAATTCAAGATGTCTGTGAAACAACCAGAAATGATGTATCGTCTCTGTAAAACAGCGTTCATGAAGAGCTTGCATGTCTGTCTGTGAAACTGTGTTTACTCTTCGGTGTTCATACAATGTTTTCATGATTTTGTGATCCGTGACTTTACATGTAACTTGATGAGGTTAAAAAGGGGAAGAGACTGTGAACAAAGAAGTTCATACAAATGTACTAATTTTTGTTACTTATTAATCATTTGAGTATTTCATTATTTTTACTTTTAGTCTTTGCAGAGTTTTTAACCTTTCCCTGTCGGATGAATCAGTTGTTGCTTTGGTCTTTTAATAAAATTTTGATCAGAAATTCATTCATTCATTTATTATATCATCATTATTTTCAGCATTGTACTGGTACTAATACTCCTAACTCATCTGAACCGTTAACTGAATGCTGCTCAGTTTGATTATGATGCTGTATTAAGTGCTTGACTCTGATTGGTCAATGCCCCCTCGGTTTTTTTCACACAGCAGGTAAAACTGTGGATAAAAGATTGGAGAAGCAGCCTGGAAATAGTCCTTTTTCACATTTGTGTCCTGAAGCTGCTCTTATATCAGGCTGATGTGTCTGTGAGATAATCATTGAGGTGTGTGTTATAAATAAGGCCTACACACGGATGAATCGGTCAATTTTGACACGTAAAGGACTTTTTTCCTCTAAAACAGACATTAAATTAAGACAGAAACAGTTCATAAGTGATAGAATTGTAATGAAGGAAAATGAATTGATTTCATGTCGATGGAAATATGTCGCATTTTCCTTTAAGAGTTCTTTATTTAGAGGGCTCCTGGTTTAAGTATAAGGTCAAAGGATGGCCTTAAAAACAATTCCACAAAAAAGCAGTAGGCGGTGCTGTTGCTTCATTAGTTGCATTTTACACACTGGCATGAATTGAGTGTTCCCTAGTTTTGTAGTGTCAAGTAATAATATCCCACAGGTTATTGTTTTGTCAAGTAAATCAACTTTTTGTGGGAAGGAACGTCAAGTGACTGACGCAACAGGATGGCCCAGCCAGGCTAACATTTATGTACTGTCTTTAATGTTTTTCTGTAAAGACTCCTGTTTTCCTATATGTGTGGCCCCCTGGCAAAAAAGTGATTTTTGCTTGTGTGTTGAATTTTCCTGTTCTGTTAAACACTTGGAAAAAAAAACTATGAGCTGGTCTAAGACCCGAACTGCACGAATGCGGATATATTTCAAACCGCACATATTTATGTCCGATTAGGCCTCCCTACCACACCAAAACGGGAGTTTGGAGCACTCAAACCGGATAAATCTGAATCCGGAAAGACAAGTGGAGAAATTAAAAAATTTCCGTATCCCGTATCCCGTATCCCGTATCCGTAGTGGATTCGGGTGGTTGGACTTTTACGGATCGATGACGTTAAACCGCAGCTCGCGCATGCGAATTAAAAAGAAAAACAACAACAACAACGACGGCGGACAGACAGGGTATTCTTTACGTTTGTTTTTCCCTTTTGGGGCTAATTTCAGCCTTGCAAGTGAACCTTGTTTTATACAATTACATCCACCAGTCAGCCAGCTCACAGAGGGGTCTGCTGCGCCCAATACTTTCATTGGTCACATGGTCCGTCACATGGACCCGACGCTCTAGCGTAGCTTCCGCAAACAATGCATGACGCATCACGCTGTTATGATTCATCGGCCAATCAGGTAGCTTTGTTCCTGAATTTTTTTTAAGCGGCATCAGATAGGATTGAGTTTGAAGGCTACGTGTGGACGCAGATATTTTTGAGAACTAACACGTGTGGACAGATACATTTATTTAGACGGGAGTACAAAAATATCCTGATAAATAGATATCCATATACGTGTAGTTCGGGCCTGAGTTTAATGTGCAGTACTTAAGTTCACCAGAGAGTGGCAGCATGCGCAGGAAAGCAGCCTGTAGCCTTCCGGTTCAGACGAAGAAGTGTTTCCCTCTAGTGGCTGTTACTAGTCCTCTACCTTACTGCCACAGTCTAACGACCATAGACTGTATACGTTCTATGCTAACGACGATTCAAGCGCCTTCACCGTCATCACGCAGCACCAACGATGTCCCATTTGGCTCGTGATTCTGAGCGCGCGCCAAATGCGGGGTTAGCGCCATTTTGAGGGGTGTCCGAAACCTCAAGGATCAATTCCAGTGCCCAATACAGGTGAGTCAAAATTTCCCATAAAGCATTGCAAAATGTAGTGACCATCCGATGGTTACCGTCATGCATTGCGTCTTGCCATGTATTGCCTGAAACCTCTGCTAATTGAGTTCACTACATAGTCAACTTTATACAGTAGGGGGTTAGGGATTGAGTGATTCATTTCAGGGATGCACAACATCTTGAAATATATAGTTTGAGACAAAACTATGATGATTTTGTTGATGTAGTGATCTGAAATATGAAAACTCCACTCTCCCCTATATTTTCAGTAAACTAGTTAGCCTTTAGCTGTGGGGCACAGAGGACTGGCACTAAGATGTTAAGTCTTACTATACAACTACATCTACAACAACACTATGGATGTGTTACCCCTTTTTTTTTGCCTTTCCAAACTGATTTAAGTCTATAGTGACGGTGTAAAGCTAATACCAGTGTCATGAATGCAATGACATATATTTATGATCTCGCCTTTGGGTTTTATCCTTCAAATAAATGCTGCACAGCTATAAAGGGGTCTAAACCAATGGCTTAGTGGTAGAGGACATGCTTCAAAGTGCTGAACTGTGATGAAGCCTTTTCATGCTGTAAATGTTTTACAAATCGCAGGCCTATTTACTTAAATTAAAAACATGTCACGCCAGGAGTAAAAGCAACCCTTGACTTTTCGAGGCTGAATCAACTCTTACAAAACCGAGCACAGAGTCGAAGACGAGCTCCTGAAAGCTGACAGTTAGTGGATACAAGGCTTTCACACCATGTCAGGGTATTCAAATACAGACCTATACATAATGTGAACTGCTGAATGGTAACAGACACACAACAAAAGCCTTTACAAGCTGATTAAGTGACAGATTTTGACCCAGACAGCCAGACTTTACCAAAGTTAATGAAAGGCAATTAAATGTTGCACAGTGCTTCCATCTTAGAGACATTATTTGACCTTGTCCGCAAACAATGCATGACGCATCACGCTGTTACGATTCATCGGCCAATCAGGTAGCTTTGTTCCTGAATTTTTTTTAAGCGGCATCAGATAGGATTGAGTTTGAAGGCTACGTGTGGACGCAGATATTTTTGAGAACTAACACGTGTGGACAGATACATTTATTTAGACGGGAGTACAAAAATATCCTAATAAATAAATATCCAGATACGTGTAGTTCGGGCCTGAGTTTAATGTGCAGTACTTGAGTTCACCAGAGAGTGGCAGCATGCGCAGGAAAGCAGCCTGTAGCCTTCCGGTTCAGACGAAGAAGTGTTTCCCTCTAGTGGCTGTTACTAGTCCTCTACGGTCTAACGACCATAGACTGTATACGTTCTATGCTAACGACGATTCAAGCGCCTTCACCGTCATCACGCAGCACCAACGATGTCCCATTTGGCTCGTGATTCTGAGCGCGCGCCAAATGCGGGGTTAGCGCCATTTTGAGGGGTGTCCGAAACCTCAATGATCAATTCCAGTGCCCAATACAGGTGAGTCAAAATTTCCCATAAAGCATTGCAAAATGTAGTGACCATCCGATGGTTACCGTCATGCATTGCGTCTTGCCATGTAGTGCCTGAAACCTCTGCTAATTGAGTTCACTACATAGTCAACTTTATACAGTAGGGGGTTAGGGATTGAGTGATTCATTTCAGGGATGCACAACATCTTGAAATATATAGTTTGAGACAAAACTATGATGATTTTCTTGATGTAGTGATCTGAAATATGAAAACTCCACTCTCCCCTATATTTTCAGTAAACTAGTTAGCCTTTAGCTGTGGGGCACAGAGGACTGGCACTAAGATGTTAAGTCTTACTATACAACTACATCTACAACAACACTATGGATGTGTTACCCCTTTTTTTGCCTTTCCAAACTGATTTAAGTCTATAGTGACGGTGTAAAGCTAATACCAGTGTCATGAATGCAACGACATATATTTATGATCTCGCCTTTGGGTTTTATCCTTCAAATAAATGCTGCACAGCTATAAAGGGGTCTAAACCAATGGCTTAGTGGTAGAGGACATGCTTCAAAGTGCTGAACTGTGATGAAGCCTTTTCATGCTGTAAATGTTTTACAAATCGCAGGCCTATTTACTTAAATTAAAAACATGTCACGCCAGGAGTAAAAGCAACCCTTGACTTTTCGAGGCTGAATCAACTCTTACAAAACCGAGCACAGAGTCGAAGACGAGCTCCTAAAAGCTGACAGTTAGTGGATACAAGGCTTTCACACCATGTCAGGGTATTCAAATACAGACCTATACATAATGTGAACGGCTGAATGGTAACAGACACACAACAAAAGCCTTTACAAGCTGATTAAGTGACAGATTTTGACCCAGACAGCCAGACTTTACCAAAGTTAATGAAAGGCAATTAAATGTTGCACAGTGCTTCCATCTTAGAGACATTATTTGACCTTGTCGGGCAATAAAAGGCAGACACCCATAAAGACCCTCAGCTATACAAACGGATAAATGCTTCCGTCTGCCAATCATGTGTGACTGACAGCTGGTTGCTGGTAGTAACTGGGAAAAGTAAATCAGCATCATGGGAAGAGATTTTAGACTTTTGGCTTTAGTATAACAGTACAATTAGCCTTCACATGTTCTCACAGGGATTCACAGAAAAGCTCCAAAAGAAGAGTGCTAGGTTGATGGAGCTGTAAGGCACTTTTGTGTCACTGTTGCAGTAAATGGATATTTATGTGTCAGGCTAAAGGAAACAAAAAAGGCAGTGATTGGTTTAAACCTTAAGGGCACATTTAAGATGCCTATTTGTGACGAGATGCACTGACTGTATTAAGACGAGTGGATGTATAGAAGTCAGATGGCTGTGTGACAGTCATTGAGTAATGCCTGGGAGCGGCCCACACTGAGCCTGGTTTACCAGGATTATTCGCTAGTGCTGCTGGTGCGTCCACTGGGAACGGGGCTTTGTTTAATGTGGGGAGCAGTAAGCCTTGGATTTGTCCGCTGTTTTTTCCACTGGTTGGATGAGACCTGTCAGACACTTGAGACACTAGTTTTTAAGTATTATGATCATAAACCCTGTCTTCTCTGTTACCAGATGGGACATTGGTCAAAGCTCAAAACTAAAATAGATGTCAGATAAAATATTCATAAAGATGGCGTCTTGCATATTGCCTTAGCAGGC